ATAACGCCCACGTCGGACCCCAACCTGGGAAGGTTACTGTCAAACCACCTTGCCCCATACAATTGTAACAGCCACATGCCGTTCGCCTGTCACTAACGCACTAATTTACCTTGTCGTACAGGTTCTTGAAGATGCGCTTGATGCTGTCTCCAACCTCCTCGCCCGCCTCAAAAGGTGGGGCTTCTTCGGGTGGGGATGCTGCAGGTGCCTCCTTGTCCTCCTTGCCAGCAGGATGCACTGGAGACGTCACCTTAGGTACAGCCGCTGTATATCCTGCAGGAGCCAAATTCACCACAGCTGCAGCCCCGACATATTCTGCAGGAGCCGGGCTCACCACATCTGCTGTGTGATCTCCGGGAGCCAGGTTCGCCGGAGCTGCAACCTTATTGCTGTACTCTTCCTGCTCCTGCCGCTTGGTTACCTCAATCATAAGCTGAACAATGGCGAGCACCTGTGAGACGCACACAAGCCGGAGGAAGGCTGATTGTTAGACAGCGACACTCCGTAGATGGGTCATGGGATATGATACCTGGACGCTCACTCTGACCGGGAGGTGCACCAATCCCGATAAGCTCCGCGCCCCTGCTACTCCAAGCTCGCCGCGTTGTTACATAGCTAACCGTGGAGACAGCTTTCAAGGAAGCGCCTACACTGCCCCCAGTTAGAACTACTTACCGGCACAGGTTTAGTGTTCGATGCTTCCTCCGTAACTTCCACGACCCTATCCACGGCCTTTGTCAGCAACCCTTGCATTGAAGTCAGGGAGGGAGCCATCTGCCGTTGCAACAGCAACAAAGGAAGGAAGAGGAGAAAATGTGGGAAACGTCATAGAAAGCAATGGACTGGATGAGCTGCTAATGCTTGCTAAAGGGGTTGCAACCAAAGGGTAAGGAACCGGTTAACAAGCTTGCCAGCACCGTGGCATCAGGATGACATCCCCTTATGCTCTACCCCGCGATCCAAGGACACGCACACCTGCAATCAAGTGTGGTTGCTTGGCATGCCTTATAAAGTACCCTCGCTAGGGGCATGGCTAGGTGCAGGAGCAGGCAAGCTATACTACTCATGTGTGGTATGCATGGGATGGCACAGTAGTATTGCAGCCCGCATGACAGCACCTGGAAGGCGTTCCTTGACTCAAGGTCCAAATTCTGTGGGTCGGCTCCGTTGCACAGCAGCATGATGGCGACGTCATGGTACCCTTGCTCCACAGCGTAATGCAGGGCCGTGAATCCCTGCATGCAGGGTGGGGTTATGTGCACGCAACATACATAGGGAAGTGGAGGCGCTGGCGGGCATGCATATGCGCTTGCGCCTTATCTAGCTGCCAGCCAGTGAGGAACACCGTTGCCAGAATGGCACCAGGTCCTAGCTGCCTTTACGCCTCACGCATGGGCCTCAATAGGGAACAAGTTAAGGACCTCCGCAGACGTGTAAGATTAGAAAGTCCATCTCCCCAATTGCTGCAACCAGTAGTGTTCCGGTACCCACGGCAGCAAACATTTGGTGCCAGCTTTTTGAAAAGCTGGAAAAAGGGTGTAGCCCTCTGCTAGAGCTACAGATAGGACCGCACGATGAGCACTGCACTGATGAGGCATGCGAAAACATGCTCGATGGACACCATATGGAATGACACTCCTTGTTTGTGAAGCCAACACCCGTTTTTGTAGATGCTGACCTGGGGTTGGCTAAGATAGGGGAAATGCATGCCATAAGGAGGAGGCACAGGTAAGGGGATGCCTTACAAATAGCCAAACATATGTACATACGCTACCCTATTCCTCGGCTCCTGCGGCGGTTCTGTGGGGACTTCATCTTCCGACATCCCAGTATGTTCCTACTCGCGGCCAGTTATTTTAACACAAGGCTTCTGTCACATCGCCCAGTCAAAAAAGCTTGCAATCCATGCATGCAACCGTGATCTCTTTTACTGGCACACGTGAGCTTTCCCCAGCTGAAAGATACTATCCATGCCGGAGTCCCTAGGTGCTCTTTCTTCTCTTCCCGTCCTATCTCGGCAAATTGGAAGAAAAAGCTCATCCCCAGCCTAGTGCTTCGTGGTCCCCTCCTCCTGCCTCTGACCTTGGTCTCCTACTTGGTCCCCTTGGCAAGCTGACTGGCAACTGGCTTAAGGAGACCCAACACACCTGTTTGTCTTGGTGGTTTATGTGAGGCCATAGTTCCCCACGGCTCCTCATTTGGTACGGATCCAGCAGCACCCCTACCATCTCCTCGTTGCCATAGGCGGCCGCCAAATGCAACGGGAGGCGTCCGTACTGCATAAGCAGGTAGGTGTTCGGCAGCAGGGCAACAGGCCGCCGCCGTGTCAGCTGCACCGTCCCTGCCAAGGAGTCACTGAAAATACGACTCCAAATCCGCACCCCCTTATTGTAAATTGCTTCCTACTAGCGGAAATCAGGTGCACGTTGGTAAGGAAAGCTGCTGCTAATTCACCTTGTCCTCGATCTCCCTTATGCTGCCACTGTATAAATATATCAAGCCCCTGCGTATAGATAAGTGCACGGTTATGAGGGTGTAGCTTTGGGCCCACCGGTTTCCTTACTACTTCCCTGGCGACATATGGTGTTTCACAGCGGGCGGGGGGCACACACCTTGCTGTCGTTGCGAACAGGGGCCTAACGGCGCCTTCCTTGTCTGCGTCGATCTTTCTGGCATTCTCCAGCGTCGTTTGCCCCAACAAGGCAGCGCAGTGTAGCAGCGAAAACCCAGCATCCTGTGCAGGCAGCCGCATATGAGTTTGGCCGCCTGGTTAGGAACGTCCCACAGGATATACGCTGCAACCCACCTCCGCATGTGCCTTCTTGAAATCCGCTGAAGCTTCTAGGTTTTGCACCGCCACCGCTAATGTAGAATCTTCAACGCTCTGCCCCCGCAAACTGTCCGGTCCATGGTTGGCATTACCTTCCGCTACTTCATAGATGACAGTACCAGGCAGAGATGGCCCCAATCCAAAGCGCGTTTTAACCGCAGCTCCAAACACGTCGATCACTTCCGATAATATGGCATCCATATGTACGCCACGAAGCAAAGCGCTTCGCTTACTAGTCTGGCTGCACTCTCACTTACTTGCTTACCGCACCCTGGTTCCTAAATATGTCGGCGGCAAGAGTGCTCGTACCCCCGACGGGAGTCTGAAGTCGTACAGGGCCCCATAGAGTGTGTTGTGCTCGAAAGCATGCTATGAAACATCGTTCGAGTAAGGTTGCGACCTAAAAAATAATGCGTGCGAGCCACCGTGGCAAGATGACCACCGTTACCCCCAGGTCCGGAGCGACCTAGGCGTACTACACCCGCCATAAGGATTCCCGCTTTCTTCAGCTTTCTTTGCTTAGCTGCCCAATAATTATTGGAAGTGATTGGTGTCATTTCGGCACAAACCACTATTGTTGCGCGCTTGCGACCGCGTCGTCAGCCCTCCCCATCCAGCAAAGCTCAGATGGCTTCCCCATTCACTGACAGCAAGGAAAATGTCTATAACCTGGACAACGCATTTACTCAGCAGGCAAGACCCCTGTACTCTGTTTGCTCTGCGCCATGGTTCCGCACGCATGGCATGCGTGGCGTGATGCATGTGCTCGCTTCCGGAGAGGTGTATCGAACCGAGCACTCAATTCAGGCGCCGTCTCTGTTTAATGGAAGGCTGGCTTCTGTTGGCGACGGCGTCACGATGCCGCTCAGCGCGCCTGCCCTTGCCGCTGGGAGAGGGGTTTTCACCATCTTCCGTACCCCTGTTCACTACATGTTTCCCCACATTTGCAGGTGCTTGCCCGCCCCTCCCAGTGGCCGGTGCCTTTGCACCCAGGCCATTTAACCCCAACTTTGTGTTACCTAACAGGAACCATTCCCTAAGTTTCAGGGCAAAAGGCAATGGTCGGTTTTCCCACGTGGTGGCTTGGGGGGGGGGCTTCAAGGCAGGGGTGGAGGCCCTCTGAAGTGCAAAGGACCAAAAACCGACCAGCCATTTCACCGACAGGTGACCCATCCTTGTGCCCGCGAGAGGTATCCTGCGCACATACAAAGCAAGCGTGCGGTTTGCTTGCCAAAGAAGGTTACGGGGCATAAGTGCTGCAGCTTCTGTTGACACATGGTAGCCTGCATACACGCAGCATCTACCGGTAAGTTGCCTGGAGTGTCCTCGTCATCCAAATCATCAACCTCCTACGGCACAGAGGTGCATGACGTTAGCCACGGTGTCCGCTTAAGTAAACGCATGGGGAAATGCGGTAGGGGAATGGCGCTTACAGGAATGGGGGACGGAAGGCTATGCACAGCACAGAAGTACGAGCCTTAGTTAAAGAAGAAAGAAGAAAATACCCAGTGGGAGTGCAGTTGGAATCACAGACAGGGAAAGTAAAGCATGAGGGAAACCGTATGGCGGAGCGATACTCACGAAGACGCCTACGTCATTGAAGGGGTATGTGTCCCCATCAGCTGCAGCCTGCCCCAACTCCATCATATCCCTCTCGCCGGCATCTTCGGCGTCTTCTGATGGTACTTCCTCGGTGAGTGATAGGTCGTCCTCGAAACCTTCAGCGGCATCTTTATATGCGTCATCATCGTCACTGTGGTAGTCGGAAGCGTAGTCAGAGGACATACTATCGCCATCTTCGCTTGCCATGGACCTATTGTTTACTAAATCTGCCCGGTATCCCTATGACATGTAAATAGCCTTGGACTGGTATGACGGCTCTTTCACCTAATAAACTAACTTAGCTACTCAGGTCTTGCTTACAAAACATTGCTACCATAACGGTACATGCGACATGCGTCTTTTGCTGGGGAAATGCGCTGACAGACTTGCAAGCGGACTTCCAAGTGGGCGAGGCTGATTCAAGCGCCCATTCACCTGGCATGTAGGAAGACACAGTCAATAATTGCAAGAAGACTAGAATGAAGGAAAAAGTAAAAATGATGCCGTACGCCTAGGTCGCTCCGGACCTGGACCTGGCAAGGGGGCAGCGGCACCCATGCTACAAACCCTCTTGCGCAATCCCTTCGTTTCATGTGCTGATGTCCAACAATATGTAAAAAGATCACCGCTTTCGCAACAGTCTCCAAACTTCGATGTCGGTATGCATGTAAGCAAGTATTACGTTTCTAGCCGATCTTTACTTTACAACGATACAACTTGAAAGCGCTGCAAAACAATGACAAACAATACACCTCCTGCTGTTGGGCGAAGGGAGTACTTGCTTGCTTCTGGAACAAGGCTCATAGTGTTCCAAGGCAGCATGCCCGACTGGCCAAAAATGCAATTGGATAGACCAGACGCAGACCGGATACGACCCATCGCGGTAGTCAATGCTGGTGAGTGGTGTTGCTGGGAGGATGACAGCTCGTAAACTTGTCACCATACTACAAGTTAAACTCACTTGCCTATCACACCCGCAGCTAACCAGAGGCTTTGCGGAGGGGGTGGTGTTGATGGGAGTAAGTTAAGGGTTGGCACACAAGGCTGTTGCATATGCCGGAATCACACATAGGTCGGCCGTCGCCGCAGTGATACACAAGAAAGCCGGGCCGGAGCTCCTTCAAGAGTGCCAAAGTTTGCCAGAAATCCGGCCGGGGATTCGCTGTCCTACCGGGGAGGCTGTCGTCACCGGGTAGAGCGGGCTGACTGATAGAACATGGTTCGAAGGGAACAAAGACGCCCAGAACGTCCCTGGGCATGATTAAGCTCTTCGGACCAGACGCACAAACCTTCTCACAGATTCCTCTTTGCCTCTGTGGCCATTGAAACCTAGGAGCGTGATTATCATCGTCTTTCCCTTTCCTCCAATCCATCCCCAGCGGCTACAAGTTCGGCACCGACTACATCATCCACACATGCGGCCCGGTGTATGCCACCGATAAGAGGGCGGAATGCGAGGGGTACCTGACCAACGCGTACAGACACTCGCTCCAGGCTGCAACCAAGCTGGGGACCAAGGTCGTTGCATTCGCAGCCATCTCGACCGGCGTGTATGCCTACCCCATCCGAGAGGCAACGAAGGTGAGCAGCATGGAGGGCTGGAGGGCGGAGGGCTGAGCCACTCTTCATCTGCCACAATTGACAGCAGCACGCATGCAATCCATGAATGACGGTTACAATGTGTACAATCCGTTAGATCCAAGCGCTGGTAAGCTGCTGCCCTGACGAACTGCTTGTGGGTTATGGCAATGGTGATGAGGCGCGCTCACCTCGTTTAGACATCCCTGAACCTTCCCTGGCAAACCGCCGTGCATTGCCGGCTGCCCCAGACCTCCTTCACCGTCCTCAAGGACGCCAAGCCGCCAGTCCAGGAGGTGTGGGTCGTCATGTTCATGCAAAGTAAGTGACGCGCCTGCAACCGCGATCTTCCATGATCCCGTTGCAACGTAGCATGAGCGTTGCTGTTTCGTGTTTGCCGGCTTATGGGTTTGCTGCACCCAGCACCACTCCACCGCGCCCTCGCGCCATGTCTCACCCAACAGCCAGTTGCGCGCGTTACCAGGTCTCACATACCTCGTAACACCCCCCCCTCAGGTGACTTCGACACGGCTGTTGCAGTGGCCCAGGAGCTCAACCTGCAGGAGTACGTGCCCGGGCAGATGCCGCTGCCCCTCCCGTCACCACCGCAACAACAACAACAACAACAGGAAACACAGCCTGCCCAATCGCAACTGCAGCTGCCTCAACAGCCGCAAGTGCCACAACAGCAGCAACCGCAGCAGCAACAACAACAGCAGCACAAATCCCCGCAAGAGCTCCCCTGGAACGCAGCCATGTCGGGCCTGCTGTCCAACAACTCCCTCCTGCACGTGCAGCTGCCGCCCACGCAGCCGTCTTGACGGGGCCCAGAGCATGTGGAGCCTGCTCGGGGTGGACAGCCCAGCGTGAGCAGCAGCAGCGGCGGCGGAGGAGGCGGCCGTGTGGACGGTGCTGCTGTTGAGGTCGTCGCCACTGGTGCTGTGTTGGGTAGCAACATCCCGATCACATGCTTGGAGGCAGGAAAGGAAGGAACACGTGAAGCGAGCTTACCTGGCAGCACGCGCGCAGGCTGCGGGCGTCAGGGAGCAGCGCAGGAGCGGCTGAGGCTGCGGCTGCCAAACAGGGCTGAAGCAGGCGGCAGTTGGAATGGCAGCTGCAGCGGTGACGAGAGCTCTTGCTTTGGGGTCTCAAGGGGACGAGCTGTTAGTGCCAGCGGTGGCGCTGGCGGGGTTGCTGCCTCAAGCGGTGTTGGCAGCGGCGGAACGAGGAGGGCGAGGAGCAGCAGCGGGGCCGTTAGCAACGCGGCAGGCGCCAGCGACAGCGGCGGGAACCAACTGGTACGACCCACGCTGTCCGCTACTGCGGCAACGTCGGCAGCAGCAGCGACGGTGCTGCCGGCCCGCAGGTCCCAGGTGCGGTACTCCCTGCCCGGTGAGGCCTTCGAGGGAGGGGGCGGAGCACGGCGTCGGTCGTCCGTGCACCGGCCCACTGACATCTGCATGATACCGGTGGCGAGTGGAGCGCCCTCGGCAGCAGCGACAGCGCCGCTGCCGCCGTGGCTTTCGCTACCGGGATGCTTCTTACCGGGATCATGGCAGTCAGCGGGGGCAGCAGAGTTATGGGATGGCCTAGGGTTGGGAGTGGAGGCAGGAAAGGCGACGATGGGGCCTGTGGAAGCCTCCTTGCTAGGTGGTTCCACTTGGCAGCGGCAGCAACAGGAGCCGTTACTGATGCGGCCGCCCAGGGGGCTCCTGGGGCCTTGCTAGGCGGAGTAAGGGAGGTGGTGGCAACGGTTTTCAGGCTGTTGGAAACCCAACGTGCCGTAAGGAAGGGTCCGTTACGCATTGCGGGGAAACACAATCATGTACAGTACGGTATATAACGATTCGTCGGGGCGCTTTCCATATTTACGGTTGGATCTCACCCGGATCCCTCGTGTGCCAGTGCCTGCTAGCTGCGCTAATGCGTGACTTCTGTAAACTGATCACGGGTAGATGGTCAGATAGGCGAGCACCAAGTTTGCACGGTGGGAGCTTTTTATGCGTCGCACCGCGGCAGGTTTTCATAACCCAACCGTTAGACGTCCAACATATTACAAGGCAGAACTCGTAGGGTGGCCTTGCGAAGGAACATATACAGTGTCATGGTAGGGCAGATCTTCGTTCATCTGTCCTGTGTCATCCTACAACAGAAGCCTGCCCAGCAAGGAGCGGGAGTTGGCGCCCGACCAACCCCTCCTAGTAACAATACCACAAATGCCATTGCAGATTACCACGCACATGCAAAGCGGCACGAGCCATCCCTACTCATACTATGGCCGTCCAGTCGACAGCATTGTTACTGTTGTCAGCTACCAAATGCCCATTCCAGGGCAATTTATGCGGTCGCACACGGCTCCGAAACACGTCTAGATTCCCCAACACAAACGAGACACACCGACGCCACACTGTTGCACAGGGTCTGTAGCATGATCGAACCCTGCCTCCTAGTCCATGTGCATGACTACAATACGCAATCCGAGGCGCGATAGCGCTCCCCTCATCATTACCAACACTGCTGCCCAACTGCTGCTTCAGTGAAATGGGTCCTGCGCCGTCGTGAGCCGCAAACGGCAGACAGGCGCGGCGGCAGATACGTGCTTACAACCCCATGTGCTCCTTGACGTAGAGTCCGTGCGCGATTGCGTACAAGCCTGAGAACACACAACCGGCGGAAAGGCGGGCAAAGGGAGAGGGGAAAACACCAGTAAGACGATGTAGTGAGTACCGTGGTATGAGAGCTAGCTAAGCCTGCACATTAGGTGTGGAGTGGATGAGTGTCAGCGGGACGAGGGGTTGGCAGGCAAATCTTTCGGTGCTTGGGCCGTGTGGGCTAGGGTGGTGTGGCGGTAGCTGGTGGAGGCTCTGCGCAGAAAGGCGCCAGTGTGCGGCTCCCGCTGCGCCTGTACCGTGTGTAGCCGAGTGCCCAGGGCATCCCATGATGCAGCATGCGGCAAGGCACTTGCGCCGATAGCTCAATAGGCACTTTTTGTGTCCTCCGCCAAACCCCTCAGCAACGGCTCAGACCACGAACCATCCACACACGCACTGCAGATCGTAACACCCGAAGATCCCCAGCAACCCAGACACCCATCTTTCGGCAATCACAGTACGTTTCGCCTCGCGGCCAGTTATTTTAACACCGTGACTACCTGCTGTGACAGCGCTTCCTATCTCAATCAAACCCCGTGCCAGTTGATTGCACACACCTGCAAACACGCCCCAGCCCTGCGCCTCATACTGTGCTAGCGTCTGGTGCAGGTTCTTGAGCGGCAGCCACTCCTTGGTGATGCCCAGCTTGCGGTCCGCGCTGCTGGGGGTGGGGTGCTGGTTCTCGGGGGCCTCCGTGTCAATCTGGCGAGTGGAGCAACGGGGAGATCATGGGGTGCAGGGTTGGGTAAAGTTCCGGCAGTCTAGATTAAATCTGGGACAGATCTGGACGGACAGTTGTGTCAATATCTATTTGCAGCCTTCAAACGAACCCTCACGCTCCTACCCAAGCTTTGCCCTGTGACCGAAGGATTCAGGCCACTCACCTCAGCAAAGATCGTGACCTAGCCACCGAAGGGTCGTGGCGGCCATAGCGCAGCAGCAGCAGCAGGCGAGAGCACAGGGAGAGGCAGGGAACGGTAAAATGTAGTGACAATGGCAAACACCCGAGGGCATACTGAAGACACACGCAATGCCTCTCGCACATAAATAGATGGCACCCCACCCGGATCTCCACTATGGCACCCCCGCGTTGGCTGTGCGTTGAGAACCCTCACGGCCATGCTTTCCTCCCACTACCACCGCAAACACATGCTTGTTTCCTGCCAAACTATCCGCAGTTCCAGCTCGTCAGCCCCGCACCCTGCTATCCGTATTTGGCTTGAGCAGGCGAAGAAGCTCCCGACTGCCACACCCTGACCTGGCCTGGGAAGTGGGAACACCCTGTAACACGCACCCGGTAACCGACCCACCATGTTCTCGTTCGTGAGGCCTGGGCTGAGGAACTGCCGGCCCGTCTGGCCGATGAGCTTCCCCACGTAGCCCGTCTCCTCCTTGAGCTCTCGAAGCGCGGCGATCTGCATGTGCCGTACAGATGACACCGTGCAAGCGAACCCGTGGGTGCGGAAGCGGCGTGGTGGGAATCTATGGGGGACTTCGTGTCATCACGGTCATTACGTCATGGCCCCCATATAGCTATAGCAACTGCATGCGAGCAATACCATCCTATGTACGACAAAGCAAGTCAAGTAAGGGTTTAAATTCGCATGCGGCAGCCCAACCCAGTTCGCTGACCCACCTCCGGCGCCTCGCCCTGGTCCACGAGACCTGGCAGAGACATCACAGGGATTGGGGTGATGCGGGTTAGCAGCTTGCAGCAGCCCGTTGCGCCACTTGGGCACCCGTCTACCATGCTGTGACCCGGTTGCCTTACCCGCGGGCAGCTCAATGGTGTACTTTTCGAGAGGTGGACGGTATTGCTTGACTACCAGCACTTGGTGGTTGCCGTCCTTATGCTTTAAGATTGCAAACACGTTGACAGCTGGAGGAGGGGTGAAGGGAGAACCAGGCGGGTAAGAGGTGGATGCCTGAAGAGTTAGAGAACCCAAAGGGCGATCTTACCGTCCACGTCGCCTCTACGTGTCGTCCGCTCCACGTACTGCCAACTTGCCTATGTGGGGAACGTTAAGTTAGCACCAACATGGCTCGCTGGCCAGGAGAAGCCCGGAAGTGGCTTCCTAACCTTCGCGTTGTCTATGGGCCCGTGATAGTTTACATCCACAAAGCGCAAGAACCGGCTCTTCGCAAGTTCTTTTTTCTCAATTGTCGCTGGGCTATGCGGTGGCTTAGGGACCCCCGTCGAGCTTGGAAGTTTTGAATGCGACATGTCGATGTTACCTAAGATAGTTATGGAATGGAGGATCGTTAACTAGGTGCTTCGCATGCGGTCTGGCCGCTCAGAGAGTCGTGTCAGGGTCCCTTTATGCCGTAGGTAGGAAAGAGTAACTTTGCCTTGTTGAAGAATTCAAACTTACGCCGTGTTGCTGCCCGTTGTTACAGTTTGCGACAAGTTTCTTTAGTACGGCGTTCCCGTTGCAGACATAAGCCCGCATATGAATGACAAGCGGAGCGAAGAGACGAAAAGGGAGGAGTCGGGGGCTTCAGGAATCAAGTACTGCTGGCATCCCGTGCACCCACCCCAACCTCCTCACGCCATCATCCTCCGGTATACTACGGTCAGGGTCAGTGTTTCCGCGGCTCAGTTTACCTAACCCCCGCACCCCTGCCAACCTCTCACCCCAACCCAGGCTCCCCGACCAAGCCTCGCCACCCTGTGTCACTATATGTTTTCACCCTCCTCCCCGCACCTGCCCACTCCGGCCTCCGCTCCGTCCGCTTGGCATCGCCCTTCCGCTCCTTCTCCGGCTCGTAGCGGTACACGGCGTGGCCTGCCCGCTTGGCGTCCGTCCTGATGAACTCCGGGTACCTGCCGGGAGGGGGCGGGGGGGTCAAAGACCATACCGAACCATAGGAAACCACAGGTTAGGGCAAAGCAATGGGGGTAGGAGGCGAAAGGGGGGGGGCAGTGCATGAACACCGTCACATACGGAACGCCGAATGCCATGTGCGCCACACCATGTGCCAGGAGTCGTCTTGATGGGGCCACCCGGGGACAACCCGGGCGCCACCCGGAAGCCGCACTTCTTGTTGCTGCACTTCTTGTTGCTGTGAAAATGGCGTGCGCTCAATCAACGTGCCCTTTCCCTGGAACCTGTCACACGACCTCCCCACCTCGCTACCCAACAAACCAACACCAGCAGTTCCAACCCCCGGAAGGCCAAACCGGTGCGCCAACCCGCGCCCACCTCCCCTCCCCTTCCCCCTTTGTGTGCTGCTTCTAACCCAATAAGTTTGACTATGCGCAATTGTAAAATCCAGCCTAATGCGGAACCTTCATCCGTATTAACCCCGTCCCCCTCCCCCGTCCCGCTGCTTCGTCAGTGTCTCCCCTTGATTCTTTCCTAGTTCCGCTCTTCTTACCCGCCAGCACCCATCTCCTGGATTCACAGCCCCCCCCATGCGTCACCAGCAAATCACCTCATCACCGCGCACCGCAGATTCAGCCACCATATGGGGGTGTTGGGGCACTTCGGGTTGGGCCTGCGCGGTTCTCAGGGGCAGACGGAGGGGATTCAGGAGCGTGAGGGTTAACACTACTCGGCACAAGCGCTTAGCCTTTCTGGCTACAAAACATGTTGCTGTGACTTCGGTTGCAGGGGAGCATATCCGCCCCGACTAACTGGGTGGATAACTTTGCTGAGGTTGGCTGAGGTTCCTAAACAGGACAGCTGAGGACGCCCACCTCTTGTCCAGCTTGCATGAGATGTTGGGATCCGCCTCCAGCGCCGCCGCCACCTCGCGCATGGTGCCCTGCGCAGGGGAGGTGAAAAAAGTGATCAGGTCAGGCTTCTCAAGGACCGCGGGAAGAAGAGCGCCTGATGTGTGGGTGTCAGTACGACAACGCACAGAGATAGACCGCAGACAGAGCACTCGGCGACAAAAGGTTACCACGCGGCCGCACGCTGCAGCGGGGCTCCCCGAGTGGTAGCTGCAGAAGCAAAGAGGCACGAGCAACAAACACACCCTCCACCTCACCTCGTGGTTGGGCATCGCCAGCAGGGCGCGCCGCACCCAGCTCTGGAAAGCAAAGAATATACGATGTACAACGTACAAGGGGTGTGTTAAAATAACTGGCCGCGAGGCGAAACGTACTGTGATTGCCGAAAGATGGAGTCCTCCCACCGAAAACGCCACAAGGGGTGTGTTAAAATAACTGGCCAAGGGGTGTGTACGGGTATTAGTACAAGCGCAGCAAAGGGTGTGTGGTATGGTCTAATCCCCCCTCCCAAAACACACAACCGACTATCGGCCAGTTTTCTTAACACACACACACACACAACCTCCTGCCCACCTGGAAATCGTAGGTCCCCCTGACGGTTCTGCTGGTGTTGACTGCCCGGCATGTTGGGGTGGGGAGGGGAGAGGCATGTTGGGGTGGGGAGGGGAGAGGAAAAGAAGAATACCAGATGTGTGTCGATTGTGGGGAGTGGGGAGAAGAGGAGTAGAAAGGTGGCGGAGGGTGTCCGCTGCCACTGCCTGCACCCTGGCCCAGGTGTCTAACTAGGGTATCCTGGCCTGCTATTGGCCTATGCGGGAGCCTGTGATGAGGGAGCCTGTGAGGTCCCTCTTACCTACCTCCTCGGCCCACCCCCAGAGCCGTTGTCAGCCCAGTTCGTCCTCTTCACCCATACGTTAACCTCCCTCACGCCACCCCCCCGTGCATGATGACGCCTTATCACACGGTTGGCTAGTCGTTTCCCCTTTACCCACCCTGCGTGGGGTCCTCCCCCCGCGCCATCTTGCTCTTCATCAAATGCAGCTTGGCAGTCAGCGTCTGCTGCAGCCGCCGACCCGGGTCGGGAATATGGGACAGGCCTGGGGAGGAAGGAGAGGAAACAAAAGTAAATGAGAAGTGCAGCACAGCCCCATGTCCGGACGCATGACTGGGGGGTAGGTAGGGAGCGAGGGAGCGAAGGAGAATGGTGGGGGATGGGGCGGGAGACCTACGGGAGGGGCGAGGGGAGCTACGGGGGGGTGGTGAGGGGCAGCGGAGGTCCTAGGCTTCGAAACACACACACGCACACGCACGCATGCCGGAGCTGCCGACCACCGCTTGCGTGCTTGCTTGCGGGTGCTGCCTGGAGCTCCTCAGCAGCGGTAAGCCGCCACCAACGCGCATCTGTGCTCATAGTGCACACTCTGGAGCTGTTCCCCGGCGATATGCCCCAGGCAGGCGTAGCCACTCAAACCCTGGTAGGCACAGGAGGAGGTCCCTGGTAGACACATGAGGGAAACCCCACTACACCGCAGCAGCAGGGTTTGGAACGGTGTGGGGGCAGCCCGGTCCTCCACAAAGGCAGGGTGTGTGCGCAGGCTGGCAGGCAGCTGCCGGCCCCCTCCACCCCACCCTCTCACCCCCCATAACCCCCCACCCACCCAGCTGCTCCATGGCGGGTTTGATGCGGAGGGTGCTGTTGGGGGACAGGCTGGCCAGGTAGTCCGCAAGCACCTGGGGAATAGGGGCGGGGGAGGGGAAACAGCTAGCCATTGTGTGACAAGATGCCATCGTGGCGGGCTGGGGAGGGATCGAGGTGGTAGGGGAATTCAACTAGCGTGGGTGTCACGAGCGCATAAGAATAGAAACGAGGTCTAGAAGCACTGCCTGGCCGTCGGCGCTCAGGAGTGGGGGAAAGAAGGAGGGACCAAACTGCGGGAGTGAGTCGTGTGGCAGCTGGCAGCAGCCAGGGAAGCAAGCCTGGCTGAACAGCAGCTCTAGGAAACCTCTTCTGGGCTTGCTCAGGAAGCCTTGCTAGCCCGCTTAGCCTTGTTGGGGCCTGACCTTGGTGTCTTCGGGCCGCCAGCTGATGAAGCTGTCCCGCTCGATTGCCGCAGCTAGGTAGTCGGCCATGGACTGCCCGCCAGACGCTGCTTCTGCTGCTTGCTCATTCGCCTTGGGTAAAGCTGCTAGGCGCTGCAGCACTGGCGCAGCCCGCTTCGCGTTCTCCAGCACGACCTCAATAGCGAGCGCAACGACTTTGGATAACACGCTGTTGGGGTCATGCGGCCGCTCGGCAAGCGTGGTCGCGCCAAGGGAGGTCCCATCGGGCTTTGCAGGGGCCTCTTTAAGCCCACCAGTCGAATCCGCGCGCCGCTTTTTGTTGCTGGTTTTCACTTCATGCTTATCTGAAGTCCGTCGCCGCTTGGAGGGCCGAGCATCCTCACTTTGGGGTTCACCTTTCCGCCGAGCCTTCCGAGATTTCTTTGACATCCTGTCCTCGTAGCTTGTAAAAGGTCTTAGGCAAACACAATGACCATTCTCGCTAGGGAGATGGCTTCTGTCGTCCAGATGAATGGGAGCGATTGTAAGCGAGCGTGTACACCTTAGAAAAGTAAGAATAGGATACCTATCTGAGGCTGTGGTTACACAGGCCCAGTAAGCATAGGATTACTTGCCCGCCCTGTGACCGGTAACGGTAACCGTACCTGAACGCACCGCACACATATAACGAAAGCTGATGCGTCCGGATCTGCATTAGGGACAGCTTAGTAAACATGGGAAATGTTTGCTGGCTGGCAACACGTCATCAAAGCAGCTGAAGTTCCTAGCTTCTACACTTTACTGCCACTGAACCCGCCTCATCGCGTGCCACTCAAGGTGCCATTACAGGCGCCCAAAAGCGGTACAAGGATTTTAGGAACGTGGCGTTAGGGCGTCCGTTGGTGCAGGCAATAGCAATGGCTTGGCCGTCGACTCATGTTGGCTCGCCTTGCCTCCAATAGTTATACACCACCTTCATACTGCTTCCGTTTGCCCTCGTAGGTATGCGTGCGAAGCTGGTAAGGGTGTCGGGAGGAGCTGAATTTAATTGGCCTGCTTTTACTGCAGCAGCTGACGATACGGCCCCAGTTAGCAGTGTGTACCGCCCCTCACCAGGACGGCAGGACGTGCAGGTGGGAGGGCCAGGTTTGGGATTATTACAGTCGGATTGAAGGGGTTAATCGAGGGTGGAGTGTTGAGCCTGATTGGCGAGGGGTGCAGGGGAGCAGCTGGTTATGGAATACCGGTACCCCAAAATACTGCACAACTCCCCAGAGTGTCCCTGTTGTGATGCTGTATACCCGTACTGCCGTACCGTACCTCTCGAAACTCTGTACCCGTTGCACATGTTGTACGGTGTATCCTGCTGCAGCCACACAGTTGTCGGCGCCTACTTTACCTCAGCATTGCTCTTTTCTCCTGTGCCATCCCATGCCTTCAGACAGCGCGGGCTGCCCTGGCGCTGTGCAGTGCGGCCGAGCGACCCACGGTTCAGCAGGAAAGTTGACGTGAACTAGGCGCCTCACCCCCCACCTTCTGCCTCATCACGATCCCGCCGGGTGGACGTATGCTCGCCCCAGGTAGGACAGCCGCCGTCGCACAGCCATGCACGCAGCTCCGCATTGCCTGATCGATGCTGATGAGCGGCAGCAGGCAGTCCCCAGGCGTGTTGGCATTGGAGTGCATCGCTGCTCCCCGTTTCTCCCCAGCAGCTGTGCCATCATGCATCCAAGCAGGTGCGTGCCCACATATATGCACATAATGAAGACGTGCATAGCCGTCTCTTACAGTCGTGTTACCTCAGGTAACACCCGAATGAAGTAGGCCAACCAACCGCCGCCTAATCATTGTGAATAATTGTACATAGCTAGAGCGTCCGTTGCAAAAACAACCGTTGCATAACCGCTCGTTAATTTTTTTATGACAGTTTTTGCTAACCCGCCTCCCTTGTCAACGCCCCCTTTATTGAATTAGTGGCCGGCAGTGAAGACAGTCTTACTTTGTTGCACCACAAATTCCATACGCAAGGAAAGGGGAATACAGCACTCAACAGCCATAGAAATACCGGCCCGTAGAGGGTGGGCGGGTGGATAGATACGGTAGAATCCACATCCCGGCAGAGGGACACACGGACCAGTTCTTCTAAACATACGGACTTGATTTACACGACAGCACTTAACCAAACAATGCGCTCAGAGCCGGAAAGAGGCTGAGCCGCCTACCGCTGTACGACACCAGTGTTACATGGCACGTGCGCAGGAACCCGCTTCCACATTCCTGGCTTTATTGATAAAAAACAAGCCTTTTTAGCACGAAACGTCAGCACATAACGACCGGGTTGCACTCCACAGCAGTGGCCGCACGCACCTGGACACCCTCTCTTTCGGCCTCACACCCTCAGGTGTCCGTACCGCTGTACAATACAGCTGCTGCCTTAGAGAGCTGTAGCAAGTGGTGTATTGGCTGCACAGCATAGGGTCAATCACAGCACCCTGAAAACACATGAGTAATGCTTAGCTGCATCGAGGATCGCAACAGGCCCTCAAACGCCAGCACCGTACGACAGCACTATAAAAGATCTTGAGACAACACACGGTTAGACACTAGGCGGCCACAGCTGCGCACGGTTTGGTAAGGAGGGCACAACACAGCCTTGCTTCCAGCGTCTAGACGCCCAGCGCGAGTCAAAACAAAACTCCCCTTAGGGCCACTAGGTTCCCTGACCTCGGGCACTGTCCGTTATGGGACAGGTCTATATATGAATCAACTGTGTGGTGGGTCCACCATACATACAGGTGGTACGCGATTTTCTGGGCACACTTGCGCGTAGCAGCAGATAGGGGCCCGATAAAAGACCATCAGTTCACACATGGACATTTTCACACGCCATCTGCCATACGGAATAACTTCAAACAACCTCAACAGGACGATTAAAGGGTCAGTCGGCGTCAACAGTAGGTTCACATCGACAGTGTACCGCAGGTTAAGGATAGATAGGTCCCCCGCCGCCAAGGATAATCGTAGCCGTGTGGTGGGCACAGAAGCACAGGCACCACGTCCTCATGCTTCAGTGGACTTGTACTCGTCCTGCTGGTTTACTAGCGGCTGCCGGGGTGGACAGTATCATGTACACACTAGCAGCATGAACAACTGGAAAAGAGATGGACGCCAGACACCCCTAGCAAGCATAGGGGTCCCCGAGCTCCACCCACACTTTGACATACATACGCGTTTACAATCTAAAGCAACGGACTTCGTGTTAACGGAACCAGCATACTATAGGCTTACGGCCTGCTCACTCAAATTCAAGGCCAATCCTGCTCACATCCGGCACCAGTTGAACACCCTTGGGCGGAACACCGTTGCAAAGGCCATCACTCCCGGCGGCACCCCCAGCCCAGCAAGTCGTTTTGCCTGCTTAAGCAGCAAAGCGTTGGCGCCCCTGGACCCATGTCCAGATAACAAACTTACCCGATGTTTCCTTAACTAATTCCAGACACTCGCCGGCCATGCAGCCGACCTGAAATAGGGCGATACTACGAGAAGCGCTCAGCTTCTGACCACTCCCACCCGTCGCCGTTGCATACAACTCCCTTTACAATTGCACGAAAACAGAAACCTCATCACACACAGTGTCCACTAGGATAGACGTGAAGGCGTCGTACGGAGGAAGAAGACATAACATGGCCCCAACCTATCCTCTCAAGGATACTAGACACGCGAAGACTAGAGGAGGCACGTCCCTTGGATGGACGCAATACTGGTTTAGGATATCATCACACCATTCCAGCACAACAGAACCACACAACATGGGAAGACCCCAACCAGTTTTCCACCTGTGTTTCCCTTCGGCACCCCCACCAGTTCCCCCAGTATTTGCTCCGGCCACGTACTTTAGCTTCCGCAAGCACTTCGAATACATAGCTTTCAAACGCATATCACTAATATAACCAAATGCAAACCCCGTAGAAGACTGTTAGGGTGCCACAATAATAGGCTACATCCAAAGCCAGCACACCACCGGGGACAGAAGCGGGGACAGAAGCGCAGCCCCCACATCCTCATACGGGCCCTGCGTGCCATACTAGAGGACTTGTACTAGTCCTGAACAATTAGCGGTCACAAGAATGGGCAGCATTAGCCGCGCACTAGCACAAAACGTTAAGAAACTGGATGCCAGATACCTATACCCACCTTCTGGTCCTCGCGTCTGCTATTTAAGCAACGGGACTTACTAGTAAGCAACTTATCCCAACCAGGATTCTATCATGCCCACAGCCTGCTCGCTGCAATCATATTAAGTCCTGCCTACTTCTAACACCCATTGGACGCCCCTAGGCGGCACACCGCAAGACCGCTAGCTACCCGCAGCACCGACACCAACACAAAGGCCGCTACCCGCCAACACATAAAGGCCGCTACAACCAGCACCGCCACCAACGTCTAGCAAGTAAGTCTTGCCTGCTTAGGCTGCAAGCGTTTGCCGCCCCTGGTTACAAGGCGACGTCAAAACCTTGTCCCCTGTTCCAATAGCTAGTCCCGCCGAGCTGCGGGCCATGTATGCAGGCAAGTACTACGAGAAACGCTGGCCTTCGTTCCTGCCATACCAGCTTGCCGCCGTCCGACACACACACATACCTCCATTGTTGCACTGCAGCAAGAAGCGACACACTCAGTGTCCACTCCGAAAGACGTAAAGACGTGCTGGGGAAGGTATATCAGGGCCCCAACCCATTAACCCACGAAAACGAGGCCCGCTAATAAGCCTTGAGGAAGGCCTCAATCCGTTGGTTGCTGCAGGACACGGCCCGCATGAGTGCAGGTCATGTAAACACTCTAGCCCCACCCCTCCAGTGCACCTACCAGTTTTTCCAGTACTTCTAAGAGTTCCTTCAGCACTCCTAACCGTTCTTCCAGTACTCCTCCAGTCTTTTTGCTAGTATACAGTGTCAGCGCTAGTGATAACCCTATCTTCCCCGGCATTCATGCACGCACCAAGATGATCAGGCAGCAGCAGTCGCTCACATGGTCACCATACCCACCCGCTTGGACTGAAGCACTGCGGCCACAGCACCATCGGAGACCCAAGCAGGCCCAACTTGCCATAACGATCCTTCCAGACGGCGATCCCAAGCCCGCGCCCCATGTACCCGAACCGGCCCGTAAGCACGCAGAGCAACGGGGTGGCAGCCTTTGCCCAGCACGACATGCACAATACACAAGCTATGAGCACAGCCCAGCAGGGGCCCACCTAACTTTCTGTGCCTCAAACTCCGTCACCCTGTGTTGGCGGCACCAACATCACCGGGTCGAGGTTGTTGCTGCTGGGCCTCACTTGCTTGCTTCAGCGGCCACCGGGAGTCTGGCCAGTATCTCAGCCGTTGCTGCCGCTGTGTTGCGCATTTCCTGTCGCATGGAATCCAGCTCGGAGCGAATGTCGCGGAACTGGCTGTCTTGGCGCTCCTGGAGCTCACGCACGTCACGCAGCTCGTGCTTCATGATCTGTGTTTGGGTAGGCGTTGGCCAACATGAGAGGCATTGTGGCGATGGTTCGGAGTCATGTCAAAGATCGATAGGAGAGGACGCCGCAGGTGAATACGGAGATACAGGTAGCGATAGGAGGAGCGAGGCGAACACGGGCAAGGTAGGCTCTCTGGCAGGCACCAAGAGCCTTCATGAAGTGCTGCGTGAGCCCCTTGCGCCCCCCATCACTCGTCATGGGGGTTCCCGGGTTCCTGGACGTGGGGGAGTCAACTACCACACGCACCTCTGAGAACGCGTGCATGCGGCCCTTCCAGTCGCCCTGCACAGTTTCTGAGCTGTCCATAAACTTCTCGAACGAATCGTCCGACCGCAGCAGCACGTGCAGGTAGTCGCCCAGCAGCTGCTTCTGTGGGAAGCAACAGGGAGGGGACAGCGGGAAAAGGCACCGCAGCTATTAAACCTTATGTTCCCTCCCAAGGGTGCAGGCGCTCTCTAAAAGGGAAAGACGAGAAAATGAACTATAATGGCTTGGCATATTAAATCCTGAACTTGGGGGGGGGGGGGGCAAAATAAACCAAACGACCAGGAAACCACGAATTAGGTCAAAGCAATGGCATTGTGACGGGGCCATGAATGGGCAGGGAAAGGACCAGAATTTCCCAGTAAAGACCGCAAGCAGCACTTCTGAAGTTTCAGCAGCCGCTTCAGAGGACAATTCAAAAAGGTCAAGGCGGGGGACAGTTATTAGGGGTGCACATGGGGTTCCATCGCTGTAACCACTAACATCTACATACAGAAGCCGCCCCTGGCAGCATCAGGGTACAGGGAAGTCGCCAGCAGGGAAGAAGGATGCCCGAAAGAAGCGGCATGCAATTCAAGGTAGTGAGACGGCATTGTGGTCGCATCACGCTGAGCGGCGGTGGACCACACAGAGCCACCTGCCACGCAAACATGCATGCGACTTGTGGCCACCACGTAGCTGCCGTCTCGCCATTGTGCCCACCGTGTAGCCAACCCCATGCGCAACACCGCAAACGTATGATGTTCCGGAATGCCTGTTCAGCTTCTCTCCTGAACACCACTTCTTTCACATCTTCCAGGAGTAGTACTCTTGCTGGCGCTGTTGCTCGCTATGGTACAGCCCCCTTTGCTGATCGGCCGTTAATCATTAACAAACCCGCACACCATGGTGCCAATTTAAGTAAATAAATTACCCTGCCCACGCCATACATGCAGCTGTGATTCAGGCATGCTGTGCTTTCACCTCATCCGCACCTGCACCTTGACACGCATCTTCATTGCATTCCGTCCCATTCGCACCTGCAGCTTGTTGCGCATATCCTGTGTAAGCAGCGACTCCTGTTCCACAATAAGGCGCGCACGGTTGTGTAGCACCTCAACCTCTTCCGTCTCCTTGATCCGGTCGAAAGTGTCGTTCATGATGGCGATCAGCAGGTTCACTAACACGATCTGCATTAAGATGCCGTACACGCTCATCAACAGCACGCTCAGCCGGGAGGCGTACCTGCGAGGCAGCGGCAACAGCCGAATCACCTACTGCTCATCCCAGCATTGGGCTTGGAAACAGCGGTGAACAGGCTCAGGTTGAAAGTTACATGATGTACGTGCGTACAGCATGAAAAACAGTAAAAGCTGTAGCAGTCCAGTAAGAGGCCCTCGACCTCTCGTATGTACCGGTACCCTTGCTTGCAACCCAAACCTCTCGCGAGCAACCCTCCTAACATCAAATAAACCCCAGCACACACCAGTTGTACTCATGGTCCTCATCATGAATCATGTCGTACAGGTAGTCGTAATCCCAGTCGCCCAGCATCACACTGAACAGCTTGAACGCGACTTTCTCGTAGCTGTTGGTGTGTGTTGGTGTGTCGTTGCGGCCCTGCCAGGGTGTACAGACAAGTAAGTAGGGGAACGGAGGAGATTACTAAGGCGGGGAGAGCGAAGCGAAGGGGAAAGCGGTTAGAGAGGAAGAGGAGCAGAAACGAGCGGAGCAGAGGGGGTGCACGCAAGGACCAGACCGAAGCGACCTCAGGGCCTGTCCGTATGTTGTGCGCCCGCGCGTCGGAATGCATGCATTGGCTGGGCTGGTGCGTCTGGGTTGGCCACATGAACTGTCTGCACTTGGCGTGGGGGTAATTGTATCGTTCAGACCGTTCATGCTGGTGTTCGTTGAAGTGTTTAACAGCAGGCAATGAATGGGTGGTTGGAAAAGGAACTTGAGGGTTCGGGTGCAACAACAAATCGACCTAGCATACTTCTGCCCCGTTTTGGTGTGGCCTAGAAAGTTATCTACTGTACAGGCCACAAGAGTGCGTGTTTGCTCCAACAATTGTCAGTGCAGGTTTTGCAGTGATCGCGTGCTTGACTGTAATAGCCTTTGCTGCTTTACAAAGAGCATCAACTTTAGCCCTACGGCTTCGGCCGATACTTTCTTCTGAGGTACAAAGCCAAGTGTTTCGGGGTAACTTGCCAGGTGTTTTTTACGGCCGCAGTATAGTGCTAACGCAGCTTTACTACTATGCCCTAGTTCATTTAATAAGTCAATGTCTGGCATCTATCACAAGGGGAGGTTGGTCTCGGAGAAAAGGTGCATGCAAGTTAAGAGCTGGCTGTGCAACGTGATGCCAGATGGAAACCAGCAGTTCCGCGCGCAGGACAACCAGTATACGGCACAGTCTTACCAGCAACACGTAGAATGCGATAGCAAAGCCGCCGAACAACATCCCGAGCATGATGAAGAAATGTTTCATGTCCTTGATGATCGAGACAACCATGCGCACCAAACCGCCCATGGAGTCGGTCATGGAGGCGAAGAACACCAGTCGGATGAACAGCAACAGCATCTCAACCGCTCCAACTGCCAGGATGACGTCGTACCGGTACGACGCGCACACCATGCCGAGAAGTACGAAAACGAGCGCGAAGGAGATGAAGTCCACTATATTGCCCAGGTAGTTGCCCCAGGTGCGTAGTGTTAGCTGCATGACCTGTTCAATGTACAGCGTGAAGAAATGTACGACATATGTACGCGGCAAAGATGTAGGGTTACATCCTTACATGTGATTAAGGAAATGCGTTGGCATTGGTAGCAGCATCCCAGCCATCATCCAGGTGCCCTTTCCGCCAACGACTTCATCAGGTAACAACAGCAGCATCCCGACCGTGCCCACCCCCACCTGCAACACCTCCTCCAGCAGTCCTCCGAAGCTCATGAGCCCCAACACGATCAGCAGAGCCACCACCTCCGGCCGCTTGCGGATCTGGGGGCCCAAGCGCATGGTGCGGAAATATCGAAAAGTTACGTAAAGCGTGCATCAGCTCGCACTTAGGCCCGGCTAGAGCTCCGGGAAAGGGCTGCTTTTGTAGGTTGTGATTCTGGGGTTGCTGGGGATGCCAGTAAGGTGAGTGTTAACAAAACCGGCCGGGATCGGGACATACTGGTAATGTAATAGTGTGATGTGTGGATGTACGCGGGTGTAAGGCACATTGCAGCCAAAACGGTTGGATATTGGGAGGTTGGCTGGGGTAATAACGAGGCAGGCGCACAGAAATGTTTGGCGGGTTGGGTTGGGGGTGGCAACAACGTCTGGGTGCCCCCTAGGGCTTTGAGCCCATCATCGCCGCCTGCGCTCCTTCCTGAGTCCTTGCAACGAGACAGATCACCCTAGACCCCCAGATCCCTCCTATTATAACGCTCGCCACGCTACCGCTACCGCCAACAAGTCGCTCCCCGCACCTTGTCCATCTGGCCCCCCTCCTCGTCCCCCGCATGCCGCAGCGCCAGCAGGAATCCGCCGTGCAGCGCCATGAAAATGAGGTGGGTGAGTGCTGACACCAGCGTCAGCATCTGACCATACTCCTCTGCATGCGCGTGGGAGGAATGGGAGACACGGGCAGGAAGCCAAAAAGACATTGGGGTGAAATGGTCAAAATGAGGGAACGATGGAACGTAACGGAATGCACAATATGATGCGAAGCCAGCATAACCGCTTGCATAACAGCTTGCATAGTATTGTCGGATTGGGCAAAGATCTTACGCCATAGCATGCCATGTCACACCCACATCCCAAGACACCACTTTGTAAGACACCGCCTACTGCGACATGCCGTATTAAGAGGGCGATGGGCGCCTTGGCCTACCGGTATAACATGGATCCATGTTACCCAGCCACGCCATACCCCACTCACGCCACTGCACGGTGACTACTGCCTTGACCACGGCGAGTCCAAACCAGCGCGACGGCACGTCCGCGTCCACCAGCGCCGTCAGGATGCCGCCAATGTTCGCTATACCCTTCCAGGGAATCACCTGACATAGCCACATGCGAGAAGAACAAGAGACGACCCAGACAAGGAGTTAGGGCTGAGATTGTAAGTGAAACCGAGAAGCAATAAGGAAGCCACCGGGAAAGCCAATAACGGCTACGATCGCAATACAGTGGCGCTTCCAATGCATGTACAGGTATACGTTTAAGCCGCCCCATAACCATAACCTCACAGAGGAGGCTTCCACGATACCCACCAGCGCTCGTGCATCCATGGCCGGCACGCCTTTTGGCCTACACCAGTTAGCTCCAAGGCGAAGAAAACTGGACACGAAGATGCTGCGCAGTCCCCTTTCCACCCATGCAGTACACAGGCGGAGCCGATGCATGTGCAACAGCATCCTCTCCCTCACGTCCCATAGGAGGTCCAGCAGGAGGTCCAGCAGGAGGTCCAAGGCAACCCTAAAGAAGAGCCACACGCGCTCGAATTGGAGCAGGAGGTGCATGAGGAAGAAGACAGGCCAGCGGTGCAGCAGGACGGGCTGACACACGAAGGCACTGCGGCCAGGATATGATGAGGGAGAGGTGAATGGAGGTCGCGGGTCAGGATTGAGGGCAAAGCAAGGGAGCAAGGAAGGGGCAGAGGAAGCAAGGGTGCAGGGGGAATAAATGAGGGGATGAGCACCAAGGCGGGAAAGACAAAGGGCTCTACAAGTAGGAACGGATGCCGACCTCTGAAATGACGAGGCATCCATACCTTTATGGCCGAGCTGACACCCCTTTCTGCAAATACGACATCCCTTGTTGGAGAAGCTCTGTCCAGAAAGCTAACACCCGTTGGTTGGAAAGCGGACACCCCTTGCTTGTTACGGTCTTGGAAGCTGGCACCACTTGTCTAACAACACCATATTCATTGCTTAAAGCGGTTGAGGCGGACGCCTGGAAGCGTGTGGAAGGTGACACCCCTTGTTTTCCATTGGACCAAGGTGTCTGTCACCTTTGTTGCAACGTTCTATCTATGTCATACGTGTACAATAAAGGGTACTAGGACGGCAAACAAAGTGTACCTACCCCCTTGTCTTCCCCTCATGTTCCTGTTCTTCTCCCTCACCTTATCCCCGTGCACCTACCTTCGCCTTCAACCTCTTCCTCTATCTCCCCTCCCACCCGCTTCGCCCCATTTTTGTCCTCCTCTGCCCCCCTGCCGTACATCATCCACCCCTTGCCATATAATACTTTTTGTCTCATTGCTTTTATATCCCCACTCGCCTTGCCTTTTCCTTATTGCTTCAGATTCATTCCCTCTTACAGGTGACATACAACACCTACTCGTCACCAAGGCCCCTTCGCATTTACCACATACTCAAAACGCATTCCTTGTTTACCTCCCTAGCTACCCTTGCTTCCTTTCTTTTCCAACTTCATCCTGACTTCTTTTGCTTTTCCCTGTCGCACGCCTTGACTATTCCGTGGTGGCTTCCATGGCGCGCGGCTTCCATGGTGCTCACTCTCCCCCCAACCCCACCTGAGTACCAGCCGCTGCTTCTGGACCCGCCGCTTTTGGTCCCGAAGCCTAATCAGTGTCAAGTAGGCCTCCTCATTCCGCTTATCAATGTACACCTGCTTGTCCTTCAGCTTGTTGTTGTACGCCCACTTGAGTGCCGTACACAGCGGGTATTTATGGGAGAATTCGGTGTCGATGAACTGGGTGTTCGGGAAATGGAGGGGAAGGCATTATGTTGAAAGACATTAAGAGCCAGGCGACTCAGGGCAGGACGAAAGGAAAGGCGGGATAAAGACGTATGCCGTATCTCTAGCTATGGGTGCAACGGGCGGCGGGAGGACGAGGGCAATGCCAAAATATTGGGCATGTCCTGTGCGGACCGTTGCATGCAATTCCTTACACCCCGGCCCGGAATGTGGGCTCCGAGCATGCTCGCATAGGATAACACCCGTAATATTGGGCTCTGAGCATGTTCGAAAAGAACTTCGCTTCCTAATAGGATGCTCGAGTAGGTATATTATTTGTCCAATCCAGAATCCCGGGCTTTATTGCGAGAATGCTCAGAGCCCACAATCCGGGCGAGGACCTTACTGCCGAGCCCACAATAAAGGTCCCCCCCAAAGAGCATGAATATATAGGGTGCATGATCAAAGCGTTCAGCCGAAACTGGCTTCTGTGATACCGTTACCATTTACGTTGCATGAATGGTCTACCAGCCCCTCAAAACAGCATCTTTGACCGGTTTCCATGATGATGCATGGCGGGCCCAACCAGCTAATTGTTTGGCCCTGCCACGCATGCATATGATGAACGGTAGGACGTCTGGAGATGGAACGGCCGAGTTTACGTTTTTTGGAGACCGGGGAAGCAGTACCATCGACCTTTACCTTTGCAGCCCGAGAGTCCTTACCGGTACCCACGCCCAGGAGCTGAGGGTGCTGCTGTCCGAAGTCTGTGGCCCCTCGCGATACCTTAGCGACCACTGCCCAGTAAAGCTTTCAATAGGCATCACCTTCGATCCCAGGGTGTCTCCCGTCCCATGCCCCCAAGCGAGGCGGAATATACCCCTGTTCGATATTCGCAGAAAGGGAGATTATAACGCCCTTTTCAGTACTGACGATAGCCGTGCGGCTACTGCTATTAACATGCTAGTGGATGACCTTGAGGAGGGCGTTTCATGTGATGATAGCATTGCAAATTGCTTTGCAAATTGCTTAACAGGTGTTGCTGTGATGTGTATGGCGGCCAGCAGCAAGTAGCGAGCGGTAATGCCCCGTGGTGGAATGAATAGTGTGCTGTGGCCTACGAAGCCATGATGGCGTTCAGGCGGGGAGCTGCTGGTGCCTCCGGGTCGCTACTAGGCACTGATATCACCACATTTCAGGGGCTCAGGCGGTGGTTTAGCAGGGTGCGGCGTGCTGCACGCAAATCCTATGAGCTGAGGGCAGTCGGAAAGAGGATAGCCTAATCCCGTGCTAACCCTAGGGTGTTTTCTTGATAGCCAAAGCGACCTCTGCAGTCTGCACGCTGGACGATCTGAATGCGTGGACCCAACAAATTTCAGACTTTATATATGGGGTTTATGGTAGTAGAAGGGGCATGAGCGATGAAGCACGGGCAATGCTTAATCATATCTCTCTAGGTGGCAACTGGGCTGCAGGGCGTCTTGATGAGGGTAGCTCTGACGTCCCTGAGCTGTGGCGCAAGTGTAAGGTGGCTATTAACTGGAGGGCCAGTGCCCTCTGGCTAAACGGAGATGTCCTGGAGGGGGAGGTGATCGCCGCCGTACGTAGCATGCAAAATTATAATTTGGCGGGGCTGGAACGTGTCCAGGCCGAATGCTACAGATACGCAATTAGGGAGGTGCAGGGACAGCCTACATTCAACGTCCTCAACCCCTTACCTGTGCAAGCTGTTCAATAATATTCTTGATGGCGCATACCCTTCTAAGTCCACGATCGACGAGTACCCTCATACCCGTGTTCAAGAAGATGGGTGATGCGTTTGTTTGTGGTAACTACAGGGGTATAGCAGTCGGCGGGGGCCTGTCCAAGCAAGTGCCATGCCACGGTGCTTGCTCGACGCATTAATTCTTATACAGAGCGAAATGGCCTGTGCCCAACTGCTCAGGCCGGGTGTAGAGAGAAGCATAGAGACCACCTGTTCAGCCTGCGGCATTATTCAATTAGTAGCATACATACAAGGGCTGACACTAGCCCCCTTATCATTATGCAAATTGACTTTGCCAAAGCTTTTAATTCCGTCGATCATGAATTCATGATACACTGTTTGGGCTATTCATTGAGACACTCGCGCGCTACGTCGATGCCCATGTTAGAGACCTCAGTAAGGGAGGTGGTCACGAGTGGAGCTGATGAAGGGTCAAAGCCCCACCCCGTATGGAGTGCGTGAGCCTCACTAATTTGCTCTTCGTTGACGATGCATCCCTACTAGCCACTGGCCATGAGAGGGCCCAGATGCTTTTGGATATTCTCGATAGGTTTTATCGGGCTACAGGGATGGCCGTTAATGCTCCTAAATGTGAAGTCCTCGTGTTTGGAGGTGCCGCGGAAGACCATGCGAGCATCAGGGACCGCGGATTCACGCTGGGCGGCACACACCTTGATGTGCTTCCGGAGCAAGAGACCGCGGCCTACCTTGAAGTTTGGTACGGCCCGGGGCGGCACTTCGCTGCTTGCACCAGTGAGCGCCTTGTGGCTGGCCGCAAGGCTATCTACTCGCTTAAAGCTGTATTTCGGTCTTAGGGTATTCATACCCCGAAGACCTGTATGGAGACTCTTCAATTTGTTCGTCCTCCCTGTTATGTCCTATGGGGCTCAGGTATATTGTATGTGGAAAGCTGGTGCTGTCCTTTGCGTCGGCAAATGCTGAATCCATGGTGGAGGAGCAACAGGCTTTCACGAGAGAGATTGTCTGGGCGAGACAACCCAACCATGGTCTCGCTCTACAGGGAGCGAGACCATGTATTTGTCTCAACTCCCTCTGCAGTACTATTGGGCGAAAATCACACTACAGTTTGGAACATCCAGCGACAACCTTAGTCATTTGGCATTAAAGAAGGATCTGTTATAAGCGGCTACTGATGTAGCCGACGGCTGGGCTGCTAAGGTCATTAATTTTATAATCGAGCTGGGTATTCCCAGGCCCGCGTATGGCGACGCCACTGCTGGCTTCACCCAGTACTACAATGAACTAGAATTACCCGTTAACGATTAACTTAAAAAGTACAGGGAATGCCTGGACGTTAGATGGTTGAACCCTGAGGCAGAGGTGCCCCCACGGGAGTATGAAAAGTCCAGGGGTGTTAAGTCGTGCCGTTATGCCCAGTGGATGGGACTACCGTTTAAAGGGGGTGAGCCCGTGGCGCGGCTACCCCACGCCAGTGCGCTTATCCCCTGCAGCAAGCATCACCTGCTCATGCGATTTATGCTAGGGTGTTGGGATATTGAAGTGAACTTGCATGGGAACCGCCCTAGGTCTGAGAGAGTTTGCAAGTGTTGCAACAGGAATAACACCGTTGAGGATGAGATGCATATTTTCATGGAGTGCCCGTGCTACGGCGAGCTACGTCGTGAGTACGAGGTTTCCCTGAGCTTCAGGAGTAGGTCCATGAGGAAGATTATGACCTCTGCCCCTCCCGAGGCTCTGGCTAGCTACCTGGGCCGTGTATGGATGCGAGTCTGTCTGAAACCACCTGCGCAGAGCCCCTAAACGGAGGCATGTACGTAGGGGACCCTGATTCAGACTGACTTTGATTCTTATAGTGTCTTTTGCCCCCCTGGCTCGTACGGACACACTGTACACGTGTACAGACTGTAACTGTAACTGCATATGATGTGGTATCCACCTACCCCAGCAGTTCTTAACCACCCCATGGCCTATGTATGGGCTGCCCGTAGCCGTGACGGCGGCGCAAAATGTTATTGAAGCGGGACCATGATTGCAGTTATTCGGAACCCATCCATGCCTTTGCGCTTATGCCGCCGACCTGGACGAATGCGCCAGTTGCTGCCCGCTGTAACATCTCTGAGCGAGCCTGGGGCGCCCCCTTTCACTCCCGGCCCCCTACCTTCTTGTCCCAGGGACGTAACAACCAGTCTTCTCCACTCTTCTTGCCTTTGCGCCATTTAGTGAGCAGCTTCTGTGTGGAAAGGGCGGCGGGGAGGGCCAAGAGTCAGGATTGCATGCGGGGGCGACAGTCATGTGAAGATTGTGTTGTGAAGTGAAGTAAAAGGAGAAGCTGTGATGACTGAGAAGCCGACCTGCCAAACCTATCAAAACATGTGTGAGGGGGAGGTGTGATTAGGGGACGCGTCAGCCCAGAATGAGGTCTTAGGACAAGGTGATGGGTCATGAGTAGTTGGTTAAGCTCATGTGCATGCATGTGTGTCACAGTGACAGCAGCAGCTGACGCTGTGGAATGTCGTCGTACCTGCACTTGGGCTGCAGAGTAGTAGCCGCGACTGTCACAGTCGGTGAGTGCCCTGTTCCCATGATCTACCGGTAGAGGGGTGACGGGCAGGGGACGAAAGAGTGAAAAAGAACGGGTTCACAAGAGCAACACGTGTTTAAACTATTATTCCAATTTAGCATTGTAGTTGCAAAACGGCAAAGTACTAGAAAATGGTGCTTCCACTGTTGCATTCTGCCATGTGTTCATCCAGGTGCTATAAGAAACACCAGTTGACAGATTCCCACTGACATAGCAAACCTTCCTCTATCTGTTATTGTCCACGAAAGGCTCGTGTGGATTACAAACCCAAACCATAACTTAGCCCTTGGCCCGTTATGTTTCTTAGGCTTCTTGAGGTGTATTGTGTAGCATGTACGAAAGCACTTGCAGCAATCATGGTATGGTATGAAGCAAACGTAAGAATGCATAGTACATGCCTTGTCGGCTTTGCTAGCCCACGGCATGGGGGACCAATCCAAGTAAAGGCTAACTGGGGGACTTGCACTCCTGGGAAGGGGTACCGTTTCGGGGGCAAGGGGGGCCTCGTGGCTTGCACGGCCTCTCGAGCACAGCGCAGGTGGTGGCGGTTGGGGAATACATGATAAGTGCAGCAACGAGTCCCAATCCCATATCCCGACTCATGCGGTGAGCGCATTCGGAGACTCTATGGCGGGGGTGTAAAAACAAAAAATCTCAAGAGCTGTATGATGTGGCTTCATAGGTTGCTAGGAGGATGGGCGGAGGGGGGAAAATTAAATAAGTGAAACAACGAGTCCCAATCGGAGGGGGGGACACTGGACGGCTATGGTTATTGGTGAGCCGGAGGTGAGGCACCTGCTGGACGGGTAACATGAACGCCAAGGAAGGGTACCGGGTTTGGGGGTACAGGGGTCCTCATCATGGCTGTGGCAGGGGAAGGGGCCTCACTTTCCTTTCACCCTCCCGTGCTTCTTGTATACCTTAAACGCGTCACGTAATCGTGCTGCCACCTACGGTTAGGGGAGGGCTGGCCTGCACGGCCTCTCACGCACAGCGCGGATTGGGCGGGGGAGAGTAAAAATAAGGAAAACTGACGGATTGGGCGGGGGGGGAGGGGTATGGTGGACGTTGGATGGCTATGGTTATTGGTGAGTCGGAGGATGATTTGGCGCCTCCTGGTCTGGTCACATGGACGGCACCATCGCACTTCGATGTCAATATTATTCATTGGTGGGCTAGGGAGCCGGGGGAGGGGGAGGGGGGTGGTGGACACTGGATGGCTATGGTTATTGGTAAGCCGGAGGATGGTGAGGCACCTGGACGGGTAAAATATTTCACTTCCGTTATTTTAATAATTACTATTCTTGGGAGGGTTAGGGGAGTGCAGGCGGGTAGCAGGTGGGATTTAAGGATATCCCAAACCATAGGAAGTTTTAGTAAGAACAACGCAAAGGGGATATGTGGTGGCTGGATGCGATAAAATTAGTGAGGGTTAGCGTTGGGGGGCGCGAGGGGTTAAGTTGGGGGGAAAATTATATAAGTGAAACAACGAGTCCCAATCCCATATCTCGACTCATGCGACTCCCTCAGTTGGGGGGAGGGAGGGGGCCCGTGCGCCCCCTCAGCCTGAGGCTACAGTTAGGTTGTTTTTGTACTGCCACCTACGGTTGGGTCGCCTTGTCATCAGCTATACGAGCTCACCGGCTAGCGGTGGGACTTGCACAACTAGGAAGGGTTCCGGTTTGGGGGCATGGGGGGCCTCATCATGGCTGTGGTAGGGGAAGGGCCTCATTATTCACCCTCCCCGTGCTTCTAGTACACCCGAAAACGCATCAAGTCATCGTGCTGCCACCTACGGTTAGGGGAGGGGCTGGCCTGCTGCACGGCCTCTCATGCACAGCGCGGATTGGGCGGGGGGGAGGGAGGTGGGGGACATGGATGACCTAAGATGATGAGACGCCTCCTGGTCTGGTCACATGAACGCCATTCATCACACTTCTAGCTCAATGTTCGTTGGTGGGCTATTTTTTCCGTAAACATTTTTACTCTGGGAAAGGGTTTGCGAGAGGGCAGGCGGGTAGCGGATGGGGAATAAACAACATACCAACCCATAGGAATCCACAGTAAGGGCAAAGCAAAGGGGATGGGAGGCGGTAGAGTGTCTCAAACAAGAAAAACAGCAGGACAGCCGCAGGCTACAGTTCATAGACCATTACTATGTGCCGCACACCTAGCACTGCCTTCTCTTGCTTTATCCCAGTATGGGTTGCTAAGAAATGAACAGGTACCGCTTAGGGATCTGGGTAGCAGATGTTGGGAAAGAGGTCAGGGGGCTGAGGCTACAGTTGGTTGTATAACCGCTTTGCACTTGTGGCATCGCCTCTTTTCCTACGCACGATTCGATTATGTTCTTCACCGTTTTCTTCATGCGTTTTTTGTCGCTGCGTCCCGTTCACAACACAGCGGCGTCTCACACAATTGCGGTCCCTCCGTATTCCTCCGTCCAGTCTGCAGTTAGTACGGTCTCTCCGTCTTCCTGCATCCTTCCGCGTTGCGGTTTCGCCCTTATTATCGATGATCAGCTTCCGTTCCCAATGCACCCGCGTTTCACGTGCCAGGCGCCTTAATGTCGCCAAATGTTTATGAGCTCTGCCGTACACGCTCTTCCTACTAACGGGCTCTTCCTCCAGTGTAATCCTCGCTTCCTAACAAAAGAACCCAAACCAACTCGCGTCCCCAGCCCCATTCTACCCTGCTGTGTCACAGTCACCCTTGCCCCACTCTCCACTCCCTCCTACTCAGTACGGTACAGGTTTCACATCCACCCCACTTACTCCACAAGGTCAGCACAATATCGAAGCTCAACCTGTTCCGCACCATGTCCCGAATCAAATCCGCCATGGGGTCCACCATAGACTCTTGCTCAACGTCGTCAGGTGGCTGCGCAGTGGGGTGACGGAGCGGGATGTAGTTGTGACAACATCAGAGGAAATATGCATGCCGGAAACGCCAGTAAGCACCCTACAGCCTACAGGAGGCCCCCCGTGTGAGAAACCCACATGTTCCCATTTGTAACGCTTGCACTCGTGGATGATGTCCACCACCACCCGCAGCTCGATGTCAGCGGAGATGAGCACCCGGATTTCCTCGCCCGTGAACCCCTCCTCGATCAGCGCCGCGAAATCCTCCCGCGTGGCGTTGTCATAGAATGCCGCCTTGTAGGTGCACTCGAAGGGAACACCGTAGTCCACCAGTGCGTCCACCACGTGTTCGGAAAAGTGCTGAGGAGCAAGAGAAAAAAACATCCAATGAGGGCCAGTAGGGAAGGAAACCAACAAAGGTAGAGGTTTAGGTGGAACCCTCAGCATGGGGGGAGAAGGTACACCGACGTTGAGACCAGCATGAGTACCAGGCACCCATACAACCAGCGGTAGGCGGAGGCCCAAAAGGTGCCCCAGTAGGTCGGGGTTGTGCAACCCTGTTGCCATGGAACGTCACGCACAATAATATCATACCTCTGTCTCCAGGAATTCCATGAACATCGCGCGCCATGTGAAGTGATTCCGAACACTGCTGCACTTCACCAGCTGGTCCTTGTGCTGCAGCAGATCATCGTCCACCTTCAGTGGTACCAGATGTTCGCGGCCTACCTGCGGGACAGGAAGGACGGAGCAGCGAGGAGCAAGGAAGTGAGGAAGGCTACAGCTCATGCGTGCATGGGACCAATAGGATTGGAAAGGCGGGAGGAGGAGGAGAGTTCAGTATTGCGTACGAGGTGGAGGTAGGGCAAGGTGGTTTGCTTTGTGTAAAACGCTGAATGGAGAAGTCATGGAGCAGACCGGCTCGGAAAACGGAAACGTATGCACTGTTCGAACGGTGGAGAAGGTGGTGTCCTAAACAGGGGGGTATACACTTAAGGTAACCCCCATGGATGATGATTTTTTGGTGGTGACCCCTCTCGGACCCACCCACCCACCCTACAGAACTTAGAACAATGTTTTGTCATGTTGTCATACGCCAAAAAAGCTAAAAAAAAGCCAGAAATGGATTCCTCTCAGCGTATTCTGTCTATTTATATCATTTGTTGAGCTACTGCACACCGTGCATCAAGGTCGCACCCTCAAACCCTATCGACTGCAATTGTAAAGGGCACTAGTACGCCACAACCAGTCTATACCAGCAATTGCCACGGCTCATTGCGACTTTACGCGGCTGCACGGCCCCGCCGTCGCCCACGCCCTCGCCCCCGTCCCGGTTGGTCCTTATAGAGAGGAGAGCCTGAAGGAGTCATGTCGCCAACCATTGTGTCGTGTCATCACGTCATGCCCAAAACGTCTTAGGATAAGACAAAAATAGGTGCTATAGAAAGCTTACAGTATGTTGGTCGTATATATGCTTAATGGTGAGTTTCGCAACGCCAGGAAAAAGTCAGGTAGTCCTTGGAAAAAACCCGCCGGACCCACAGACCCGACCCACCCACCCTGCAGTACCTTTGGGGTGCAGTACCTTTGGGGTGCAGCACCTTTGGGTGCAGATAACTTTTTCCGTACAACTCCAAATAAAATTCTGAAAGCAAGTTTGGCATGCTATCGATAAGCTCCTTTAATCATGGGGTCTGTCCTCGCGTTTCCTACCCCCCCCCCCGTCCTAAAAATTGAAACATGACTACAGAGGTGGTAACCTTGCAGTTCGATGTTCTGCTTACCGCCTGAGACCCACACCAGGTTCATCAGGAGATCAGCACCAGTACACACCCACCAGGTTTAACAGCTTGGCACAGGCCAGCGGGAAGCGCCTGGACAGCTCCTTGAGCAGCTCCGTGCTGATGCCCGTGATGAACACTGCCTGGGGTGTGTGAGACACGATAGCGAATCAGTCAAAGGGGTAAAGACAAGAGGGTATCCTAAGCGTGCGCAAAGGGTACAGTATGTGATATGGGCAGGGAGGAACAATGCTAGCAATACGGAAGGCAGGAAGATATCAACCAAGCAAGCCAACCCAACACCATCCTGATCCACGTGTTCTTTCCAACATCCCAACACCTACCCTGCGGTCCTTGCTGTTCAGCAGGTTCACCCAGATTCAGAATCAGGTTCACAACATCCGCACCCACTCCCCCCTTCTCGTAGCATAGTTACGGGTTTACTTGATGTTCTTATCTGCCCTACTCACTCTGCGATTCTTTACCCAGCTGGTGATGCTGCGAACCGTGGCCTCTGCACTTGTATGCTTGCCCACCTTCACCGCTGCCCAGAGCACCCGGGACACGTCTAGCGTGTGTGTTGCCCGCTCCGACTGCCCCTCGTCTGACGCCGGCTCCGACTGCCCATTGCCTGACTCCCGCTCCGACTGCCCTTCGTCTGACGCCGGCTCCAACTGCCCCTCGTCTGATGCCGGCTCCGACTGCCCATTGCCTGATGCCGGCTCCGACTGCCCATTGCCTGACTCCCACTCCGACTGCCCTTCGTCTGACGCCGGCTCCAACTGCCCCTCGTCTGACGCCGGCTCCGACTGCCCATTGCCTGACTCCCGCTCCGACTGCCCATTGCCTGACTCCCACTCCGACTGCCCTTCGTCTGATGCCGGCTCCGACTGCCCATTGCCTGACTCCCACTCCGACTGCCCCTCATCCACCACCACCTCCATGGTAGGTCGCAACATGACCAGCAGCCGCTCACGGTCAGAACTGGTAAAGTCCTGCACATGTAAGCATGAAGGGGGTATTGTAACTGATCGTGACCACAGAAAGCTCGGAGGATGATAGCGTCACAAGTAATTGATATCCAGGTGGTGTAAAAGAATGCCAATAATAGTACATAAAACTATCTAACGGTGGAGTGGTGTAGGAAGTATCAGTGGTGTCTGTGGTGTTTAAGAACAACGTTGATATATATAGCATTGGAATGCGTGGGCCGTGGGGTGTTTTGGGTAGATGGCTGTGCGAAAGTGATTAGGTGCTGGTTTATGTGAAGAATGTATAAAAAAAGTAATGTTACAGAGATAAGGCAGGAAGACAACCAAACCGAACCACGGACTGGAAACCCCTGGGATGGAAGACCTCTGGAGACAACCGCCTGTACGTCAACGTGAGGGAAGGATACTACCGGTATGCTGGTTATGTGCTGCTTGGATGCTAGTCGAGCGCTTGTGAAAGTAACGAGCCTGGCCCGTACATGCGTAACCTCTAACAACCAGTAACAACCAGTTAGCCTACGCACTTCAGTTCATGCCGTACACTCTAAGTTGGGTTACTTGCTTGCTCCTCGATGCTTGTGCCTATCAGAAGTTTTCAGGTCACGACATGGACATAGTGTTGTATTTTACATGCATGGGTGGCTTGGAGTAGTTCCTCACCGCTCCTCACCGAATTTGGGAGGATTGGGAGACCGTCTGGGATTGCATGCACGGCAGCCAAATAACCCTGTTGTCCGCGCGGTTAGAAGCCACCACCCAGCCCCCTTTCATAGTCCGCTTATTACCCGCAATGACCATAGAAAACACATGCATGGCCACCTATCCGCTTCCACTGTGCTGCCCCAACAACTGTTGCATGAACTGCGACCCATCTACGCACCCACCACGTTGTCATTCCGCTTGTCCACGATGAGCATGACAAAGTTCTCAAAGGGGGGGAGCCTTGCCATGTCGTCGAGCAGATCTTGGCGCGCATTCTCGAAAAGTGCAGTTACCACCCTATTGTTCACCTAGGGACAGCAGGAGGGAGGTAGGAGGACGGGGAGGGAGAGCAGGTAAAGGTAGGAAAAAGCGGCCTGGACAGTGGTTGAGAACAATTGCAGGAAACACATACAGTGCAGAGCGAGCACGGTACATACTAGCAGCAGTAGCAGGAGGGCTTGACCTTTGCCAACACTGCACCAGCTGGTCGTGTGGTGATGTGGTGGCGGAACGTGAAGTGACCTGCCATTGGGTGACGGGTCCTTCCGTGCTTTTCCCAGAGCACACTTTGGATGAGTTGTGTATGTAAGGTACCACCTGTCCATGCCGCATGGTACTAAATTTGCGTAAACCTGTCAGAACAATTTCATAAGGACTCCTGTAGCACGTCGTATACCTGCATTACACCTGTTCTCGGCTGGGGATACTCCGTATTATGGGCCAGTGCCAGGATACGGACGGGTGTCCCAATTTTACGAATCGTGCCAGATGGAATACGGAAAACAGGGAGTCAGAGTGCGTGTGTGCACATGTGTGCACTTTAGGTGGGGCGTGGATTTTAACACAATATAGGACTTAAATACACCCAGTGAGAGGGTTAGGTGCATGTCTGTGTGAACACCATTTGTAAAGCCCACATGGCCTAGAATACGAATGGTTTGGCCTAGATTACGAATTCTCCCCAAAATACGAACGCTCCGTTTTCCCAGAGTGCAGGATGACCAGCTGGCTGCATCAGCAATGCAGCGGCTCCATGAGTGTTCAGCAGCAGCATACCGGCTTGACGACAACACAAGCTCCTTGCTTGCAATATGGAATGCAACGCATCTGGTAGACATAATGCAGCCAATATTACATACAGGCTGCCGTACATCCGTGTTTACAGTGTGTCAGTACGAGCAAGGACACAAGGAGTGTTAGGTCCGCTCACGGGCTGCCGCTTGGGGCCAGCTCAGCGTAGTAACATGCTACTCATTAACATCATGATGCCAAAATTGCAAACCTGTTCATACCTGGATGGGGCGAATCAAGCACGTGCATTTTCACCAGTGAAATACCCGATACACAACGCCCATAAACCCAGGTGTAACTGGAAGGTTTCGCTAGCAATAGGGAGCGAGGCTGCTTCAGGAATACTTACAGCACCAACTCTTACCTTTCGAAGTCCCTCCACCAGCTCCTGGTAGATGCGGCAACTTGTATCATACTTCGCTTGGACCACATCGTTCGTCAAGGAGTTAATGAAGCCAACAACGTCCTGGACCGACACGTCCTGTTGACGGTTGATGAGGAAGGGTTAGCTTCGGTCATAATTGTGTTCAGTTCAAAAGGATGTCCAAAAAGGAAAAATTGAAGGGACCATACAGTGGTGTGGCCTTGGTATAAAAGCATTGTATGCTATACATACGGGCGCCTCCTACCGAACCCCCAGCTGCTAAACTGCAGCCAAGTAAGCTAGCCACCACCTCCTTCCTAAATACCACACTCGTTATCATGGGTAATATGGGTTGGCTTGGAGATATGTCTAGGACCTGCCTGTCTTTACTGTCCTTGCTTCCTAGCTCTAACATTCCACCATATAGATAGCGCATAGTGGGTCAGTGCTATCAGGGTGTGGGGTCGGTTGACATTGTCGGGTGGTGGAGCGGTCCTCACACATTTCCTCATCATCCCCTTCAAGCAGGCAACATCCTTGCCAAAGGAGGGCACATACAGAAGTATGATGGCTACTGCACCTCGGGATTCGTTTAATAGACGCTTAGGACCTACCACCAGGAGCCCAGGCAGGACACTTTGCTAAACCTCAGCCCTAGAGTAATTGTTGTTACACAACCTCGACATGTATTGCAGCAATTGTGGCCTTAGCTTGTGGATAAGCGTAACCCAGTCACGTTTTTCAATTCCCTCAATTCCCTCATTATCTCCTCTTAGCAGGCCTGGTGATGTGGATTACTGCCCACGTCATTGACCCACCACGCCTACCATACCTGCAACTTGTACAGCAGTGTGTGGAAGAAGTCGGGGAAGTGGCAAATGAGGTGGGTCATGGAGGCCCCGGATACGTGCACCAGCATCCTGGGGTACTCCTTGCAGATGAGGTCCAGCATTATAGCGGTCAGCTTATAACTGTCACTTCTAACCGCCTTCAGCACGTATTTCCAGAGCTCACAGAAGTATTTCTATGGAAGCAGTACGGCAGGGGAATGGGAGTAGTATTTTTCTTTAATCAAACGAAATCTACTGGTAGGATAGCTGGTAGGAAGAGAAGTAAGGCAGCAGGCAGGGAGGGTTAAACCTCGGGGTCATGGGGGGGGGGGGTGTACGCACAGCAGAGGCTGAGTGGGTTGGTCCAGGCAATGGGTCCAGGGGCGTTAAGGAGTGGGCGTCAAGGACCTTCAAACCGCAGAACAGCTTCTGTGTCGAAAGCATCAGAGGCGGCTGACCTACCTATAGAGGTATGGAAGCACCTTTGCGGTTGCACACACATATAAAAGCCTGCAATGACATTCAGCCCTATCCCAAGCCCAGGGCTTCACCTTCACTTCCATAAGTAAACAAATAACGCCCACGTCGGACCCCAACCTGGGAAGGTTACTGTCAAACCACCTTGCCCCATACAATTGTAACAGCCACATGCCGTTCGCCTGTCACTAACGCACTAATTTACCTTGTCGTACAGGTTCTTGAAGATGCGCTTGATGCTGTCTCCAACCTCCTCGCCCGCCTCAAAAGGTGGGGCTTCTTCGGGTGGGGATGCTGCAGGTGCCTCCTTGTCCTCCTTGCCAGCAGGATGCACTGGAGACGTCACCTTAGGTACAGCCGCTGTATATCCTGCAGGAGCCAAATTCACCACAGCTGCAGCCCCGACATATTCTGCAGGAGCCGGGCTCACCACATCTGCTGTGTGATCTCCGGGAGCCAGGTTCGCCGGAGCTGCAACCTTATTGCTGTACTCTTCCTGCTCCTGCCGCTTGGTTACCTCAATCATAAGCTGAACAATGGCGAGCACCTGTGAGACGCACACAAGCCGGAGGAAGGCTGATTGTTAGACAGCGACACTCCGTAGATGGGTCATGGGATATGATACCTGGACGCTCACTCTGACCGGGAGGTGCACCAATCCCGATAAGCTCCGCGCCCCTGCTACTCCAAGCTCGCCGCGTTGTTACATAGCTAACCGTGGAGACAGCTTTCAAGGAAGCGCCTACACTGCCCCCAGTTAGAACTACTTACCGGCACAGGTTTAGTGTTCGATGCTTCCTCCGTAACTTCCACGACCCTATCCACGGCCTTTGTCAGCAACCCTTGCATTGAAGTCAGGGAGGGAGCCATCTGCCGTTGCAACAGCAACAAAGGAAGGAAGAGGAGAAAATGTGGGAAACGTCATAGAAAGCAATGGACTGGATGAGCTGCTAATGCTTGCTAAAGGGGTTGCAACCAAAGGGTAAGGAACCGGTTAACAAGCTTGCCAGCACCGTGGCATCAGGATGACATCCCCTTATGCTCTACCCCGCGATCCAAGGACACGCACACCTGCAATCAAGTGTGGTTGCTTGGCATGCCTTATAAAGTACCCTCGCTAGGGGCATGGCTAGGTGCAGGAGCAGGCAAGCTATACTACTCATGTGTGGTATGCATGGGATGGCACAGTAGTATTGCAGCCCGCATGACAGCACCTGGAAGGCGTTCCTTGACTCAAGGTCCAAATTCTGTGGGTCGGCTCCGTTGCACAGCAGCATGATGGCGACGTCATGGTACCCTTGCTCCACAGCGTAATGCAGGGCCGTGAATCCCTGCATGCAGGGTGGGGTTATGTGCACGCAACATACATAGGGAAGTGGAGGCGCTGGCGGGCATGCATATGCGCTTGCGCCTTATCTAGCTGCCAGCCAGTGAGGAACACCGTTGCCAGAATGGCACCAGGTCCTAGCTGCCTTTACGCCTCACGCATGGGCCTCAATAGGGAACAAGTTAAGGACCTCCGCAGACGTGTAAGATTAGAAAGTCCATCTCCCCAATTGCTGCAACCAGTAGTGTTCCGGTACCCACGGCAGCAAACATTTGGTGCCAGCTTTTTGAAAAGCTGGAAAAAGGGTGTAGCCCTCTGCTAGAGCTACAGATAGGACCGCACGATGAGCACTGCACTGATGAGGCATGCGAAAACATGCTCGATGGACACCATATGGAATGACACTCCTTGTTTGTGAAGCCAACACCCGTTTTTGTAGATGCTGACCTGGGGTTGGCTAAGATAGGGGAAATGCATGCCATAAGGAGGAGGCACAGGTAAGGGGATGCCTTACAAATAGCCAAACATATGTACATACGCTACCCTATTCCTCGGCTCCTGCGGCGGTTCTGTGGGGACTTCATCTTCCGACATCCCAGTATGTTCCTACTCGCGGCCAGTTATTTTAACACAAGGCTTCTGTCACATCGCCCAGTCAAAAAAGCTTGCAATCCATGCATGCAACCGTGATCTCTTTTACTGGCACACGTGAGCTTTCCCCAGCTGAAAGATACTATCCATGCCGGAGTCCCTAGGTGCTCTTTCTTCTCTTCCCGTCCTATCTCGGCAAATTGGAAGAAAAAGCTCATCCCCAGCCTAGTGCTTCGTGGTCCCCTCCTCCTGCCTCTGACCTTGGTCTCCTACTTGGTCCCCTTGGCAAGCTGACTGGCAACTGGCTTAAGGAGACCCAACACACCTGTTTGTCTTGGTGGTTTATGTGAGGCCATAGTTCCCCACGGCTCCTCATTTGGTACGGATCCAGCAGCACCCCTACCATCTCCTCGTTGCCATAGGCGGCCGCCAAATGCAACGGGAGGCGTCCGTACTGCATAAGCAGGTAGGTGTTCGGCAGCAGGGCAACAGGCCGCCGCCGTGTCAGCTGCACCGTCCCTGCCAAGGAGTCACTGAAAATACGACTCCAAATCCGCACCCCCTTATTGTAAATTGCTTCCTACTAGCGGAAATCAGGTGCACGTTGGTAAGGAAAGCTGCTGCTAATTCACCTTGTCCTCGATCTCCCTTATGCTGCCACTGTATAAATATATCAAGCCCCTGCGTATAGATAAGTGCACGGTTATGAGGGTGTAGCTTTGGGCCCACCGGTTTCCTTACTACTTCCCTGGCGACATATGGTGTTTCACAGCGGGCGGGGGGCACACACCTTGCTGTCGTTGCGAACAGGGGCCTAACGGCGCCTTCCTTGTCTGCGTCGATCTTTCTGGCATTCTCCAGCGTCGTTTGCCCCAACAAGGCAGCGCAGTGTAGCAGCGAAAACCCAGCATCCTGTGCAGGCAGCCGCATATGAGTTTGGCCGCCTGGTTAGGAACGTCCCACAGGATATACGCTGCAACCCACCTCCGCATGTGCCTTCTTGAAATCCGCTGAAGCTTCTAGGTTTTGCACCGCCACCGCTAATGTAGAATCTTCAACGCTCTGCCCCCGCAAACTGTCCGGTCCATGGTTGGCATTACCTTCCGCTACTTCATAGATGACAGTACCAGGCAGAGATGGCCCCAATCCAAAGCGCGTTTTAACCGCAGCTCCAAACACGTCGATCACTTCCGATAATATGGCATCCATATGTACGCCACGAAGCAAAGCGCTTCGCTTACTAGTCTGGCTGCACTCTCACTTACTTGCTTACCGCACCCTGGTTCCTAAATATGTCGGCGGCAAGAGTGCTCGTACCCCCGACGGGAGTCTGAAGTCGTACAGGGCCCCATAGAGTGTGTTGTGCTCGAAAGCATGCTATGAAACATCGTTCGAGTAAGGTTGCGACCTAAAAAATAATGCGTGCGAGCCACCGTGGCAAGATGACCACCGTTACCCCCAGGTCCGGAGCGACCTAGGCGTACTACACCCGCCATAAGGATTCCCGCTTTCTTCAGCTTTCTTTGCTTAGCTGCCCAATAATTATTGGAAGTGATTGGTGTCATTTCGGCACAAACCACTATTGTTGCGCGCTTGCGACCGCGTCGTCAGCCCTCCCCATCCAGCAAAGCTCAGATGGCTTCCCCATTCACTGACAGCAAGGAAAATGTCTATAACCTGGACAACGCATTTACTCAGCAGGCAAGACCCCTGTACTCTGTTTGCTCTGCGCCATGGTTCCGCACGCATGGCATGCGTGGCGTGATGCATGTGCTCGCTTCCGGAGAGGTGTATCGAACCGAGCACTCAATTCAGGCGCCGTCTCTGTTTAATGGAAGGCTGGCTTCTGTTGGCGACGGCGTCACGATGCCGCTCAGCGCGCCTGCCCTTGCCGCTGGGAGAGGGGTTTTCACCATCTTCCGTACCCCTGTTCACTACATGTTTCCCCACATTTGCAGGTGCTTGCCCGCCCCTCCCAGTGGCCGGTGCCTTTGCACCCAGGCCATTTAACCCCAACTTTGTGTTACCTAACAGGAACCATTCCCTAAGTTTCAGGGCAAAAGGCAATGGTCGGTTTTCCCACGTGGTGGCTTGGGGGGGGGGCTTCAAGGCAGGGGTGGAGGCCCTCTGAAGTGCAAAGGACCAAAAACCGACCAGCCATTTCACCGACAGGTGACCCATCCTTGTGCCCGCGAGAGGTATCCTGCGCACATACAAAGCAAGCGTGCGGTTTGCTTGCCAAAGAAGGTTACGGGGCATAAGTGCTGCAGCTTCTGTTGACACATGGTAGCCTGCATACACGCAGCATCTACCGGTAAGTTGCCTGGAGTGTCCTCGTCATCCAAATCATCAACCTCCTACGGCACAGAGGTGCATGACGTTAGCCACGGTGTCCGCTTAAGTAAACGCATGGGGAAATGCGGTAGGGGAATGGCGCTTACAGGAATGGGGGACGGAAGGCTATGCACAGCACAGAAGTACGAGCCTTAGTTAAAGAAGAAAGAAGAAAATACCCAGTGGGAGTGCAGTTGGAATCACAGACAGGGAAAGTAAAGCATGAGGGAAACCGTATGGCGGAGCGATACTCACGAAGACGCCTACGTCATTGAAGGGGTATGTGTCCCCATCAGCTGCAGCCTGCCCCAACTCCATCATATCCCTCTCGCCGGCATCTTCGGCGTCTTCTGATGGTACTTCCTCGGTGAGTGATAGGTCGTCCTCGAAACCTTCAGCGGCATCTTTATATGCGTCATCATCGTCACTGTGGTAGTCGGAAGCGTAGTCAGAGGACATACTATCGCCATCTTCGCTTGCCATGGACCTATTGTTTACTAAATCTGCCCGGTATCCCTATGACATGTAAATAGCCTTGGACTGGTATGACGGCTCTTTCACCTAATAAACTAACTTAGCTACTCAGGTCTTGCTTACAAAACATTGCTACCATAACGGTACATGCGACATGCGTCTTTTGCTGGGGAAATGCGCTGACAGACTTGCAAGCGGACTTCCAAGTGGGCGAGGCTGATTCAAGCGCCCATTCACCTGGCATGTAGGAAGACACAGTCAATAATTGCAAGAAGACTAGAATGAAGGAAAAAGTAAAAATGATGCCGTACGCCTAGGTCGCTCCGGACCTGGACCTGGCAAGGGGGCAGCGGCACCCATGCTACAAACCCTCTTGCGCAATCCCTTCGTTTCATGTGCTGATGTCCAACAATATGTAAAAAGATCACCGCTTTCGCAACAGTCTCCAAACTTCGATGTCGGTATGCATGTAAGCAAGTATTACGTTTCTAGCCGATCTTTACTTTACAACGATACAACTTGAAAGCGCTGCAAAACAATGACAAACAATACACCTCCTGCTGTTGGGCGAAGGGAGTACTTGCTTGCTTCTGGAACAAGGCTCATAGTGTTCCAAGGCAGCATGCCCGACTGGCCAAAAATGCAATTGGATAGACCAGACGCAGACCGGATACGACCCATCGCGGTAGTCAATGCTGGTGAGTGGTGTTGCTGGGAGGATGACAGCTCGTAAACTTGTCACCATACTACAAGTTAAACTCACTTGCCTATCACACCCGCAGCTAACCAGAGGCTTTGCGGAGGGGGTGGTGTTGATGGGAGTAAGTTAAGGGTTGGCACACAAGGCTGTTGCATATGCCGGAATCACACATAGGTCGGCCGTCGCCGCAGTGATACACAAGAAAGCCGGGCCGGAGCTCCTTCAAGAGTGCCAAAGTTTGCCAGAAATCCGGCCGGGGATTCGCTGTCCTACCGGGGAGGCTGTCGTCACCGGGTAGAGCGGGCTGACTGATAGAACATGGTTCGAAGGGAACAAAGACGCCCAGAACGTCCCTGGGCATGATTAAGCTCTTCGGACCAGACGCACAAACCTTCTCACAGATTCCTCTTTGCCTCTGTGGCCATTGAAACCTAGGAGCGTGATTATCATCGTCTTTCCCTTTCCTCCAATCCATCCCCAGCGGCTACAAGTTCGGCACCGACTACATCATCCACACATGCGGCCCGGTGTATGCCACCGATAAGAGGGCGGAATGCGAGGGGTACCTGACCAACGCGTACAGACACTCGCTCCAGGCTGCAACCAAGCTGGGGACCAAGGTCGTTGCATTCGCAGCCATCTCGACCGGCGTGTATGCCTACCCCATCCGAGAGGCAACGAAGGTGAGCAGCATGGAGGGCTGGAGGGCGGAGGGCTGAGCCACTCTTCATCTGCCACAATTGACAGCAGCACGCATGCAATCCATGAATGACGGTTACAATGTGTACAATCCGTTAGATCCAAGCGCTGGTAAGCTGCTGCCCTGACGAACTGCTTGTGGGTTATGGCAATGGTGATGAGGCGCGCTCACCTCGTTTAGACATCCCTGAACCTTCCCTGGCAAACCGCCGTGCATTGCCGGCTGCCCCAGACCTCCTTCACCGTCCTCAAGGACGCCAAGCCGCCAGTCCAGGAGGTGTGGGTCGTCATGTTCATGCAAAGTAAGTGACGCGCCTGCAACCGCGATCTTCCATGATCCCGTTGCAACGTAGCATGAGCGTTGCTGTTTCGTGTTTGCCGGCTTATGGGTTTGCTGCACCCAGCACCACTCCACCGCGCCCTCGCGCCATGTCTCACCCAACAGCCAGTTGCGCGCGTTACCAGGTCTCACATACCTCGTAACACCCCCCCCTCAGGTGACTTCGACACGGCTGTTGCAGTGGCCCAGGAGCTCAACCTGCAGGAGTACGTGCCCGGGCAGATGCCGCTGCCCCTCCCGTCACCACCGCAACAACAACAACAACAACAGGAAACACAGCCTGCCCAATCGCAACTGCAGCTGCCTCAACAGCCGCAAGTGCCACAACAGCAGCAACCGCAGCAGCAACAACAACAGCAGCACAAATCCCCGCAAGAGCTCCCCTGGAACGCAGCCATGTCGGGCCTGCTGTCCAACAACTCCCTCCTGCACGTGCAGCTGCCGCCCACGCAGCCGTCTTGACGGGGCCCAGAGCATGTGGAGCCTGCTCGGGGTGGACAGCCCAGCGTGAGCAGCAGCAGCAGCGGCGGAGGAGGCGGCCGTGTGGACGGTGCTGCTGTTGAGGTCGTCGCCACTGGTGCTGTGTTGGGTAGCAACATCCCGATCACATGCTTGGAGGCAGGAAAGGAAGGAACACGTGAAGCGAGCTTACCTGGCAGCACGCGCGCAGGCTGCGGGCGTCAGGGAGCAGCGCAGGAGCGGCTGAGGCTGCGGCTGCCAAACAGGGCTGAAGCAGGCGGCAGTTGGAATGGCAGCTGCAGCGGTGACGAGAGCTCTTGCTTTGGGGTCTCAAGGGGACGAGCTGTTAGTGCCAGCGGTGGCGCTGGCGGGGTTGCTGCCTCAAGCGGTGTTGGCAGCGGCGGAACGAGGAGGGCGAGGAGCAGCAGCGGGGCCGTTAGCAACGCGGCAGGCGCCAGCGACAGCGGCGGGAACCAACTGGTACGACCCACGCTGTCCGCTACTGCGGCAACGTCGGCAGCAGCAGCGACGGTGCTGCCGGCCCGCAGGTCCCAGGTGCGGTACTCCCTGCCCGGTGAGGCCTTCGAGGGAGGGGGCGGAGCACGGCGTCGGTCGTCCGTGCACCGGCCCACTGACATCTGCATGATACCGGTGGCGAGTGGAGCGCCCTCGGCAGCAGCGACAGCGCCGCTGCCGCCGTGGCTTTCGCTACCGGGATGCTTCTTACCGGGATCATGGCAGTCAGCGGGGGCAGCAGAGTTATGGGATGGCCTAGGGTTGGGAGTGGAGGCAGGAAAGGCGACGATGGGGCCTGTGGAAGCCTCCTTGCTAGGTGGTTCCACTTGGCAGCGGCAGCAACAGGAGCCGTTACTGATGCGGCCGCCCAGGGGGCTCCTGGGGCCTTGCTAGGCGGAGTAAGGGAGGTGGTGGCAACGGTTTTCAGGCTGTTGGAAACCCAACGTGCCGTAAGGAAGGGTCCGTTACGCATTGCGGGGAAACACAATCATGTACAGTACGGTATATAACGATTCGTCGGGGCGCTTTCCATATTTACGGTTGGATCTCACCCGGATCCCTCGTGTGCCAGTGCCTGCTAGCTGCGCTAATGCGTGACTTCTGTAAACTGATCACGGGTAGATGGTCAGATAGGCGAGCACCAAGTTTGCACGGTGGGAGCTTTTTATGCGTCGCACCGCGGCAGGTTTTCATAACCCAACCGTTAGACGTCCAACATATTACAAGGCAGAACTCGTAGGGTGGCCTTGCGAAGGAACATATACAGTGTCATGGTAGGGCAGATCTTCGTTCATCTGTCCTGTGTCATCCTACAACAGAAGCCTGCCCAGCAAGGAGCGGGAGTTGGCGCCCGACCAACCCCTCCTAGTAACAATACCACAAATGCCATTGCAGATTACCACGCACATGCAAAGCGGCACGAGCCATCCCTACTCATACTATGGCCGTCCAGTCGACAGCATTGTTACTGTTGTCAGCTACCAAATGCCCATTCCAGGGCAATTTATGCGGTCGCACACGGCTCCGAAACACGTCTAGATTCCCCAACACAAACGAGACACACCGACGCCACACTGTTGCACAGGGTCTGTAGCATGATCGAACCCTGCCTCCTAGTCCATGTGCATGACTACAATACGCAATCCGAGGCGCGATAGCGCTCCCCTCATCATTACCAACACTGCTGCCCAACTGCTGCTTCAGTGAAATGGGTCCTGCGCCGTCGTGAGCCGCAAACGGCAGACAGGCGCGGCGGCAGATACGTGCTTACAACCCCATGTGCTCCTTGACGTAGAGTCCGTGCGCGATTGCGTACAAGCCTGAGAACACACAACCGGCGGAAAGGCGGGCAAAGGGAGAGGGGAAAACACCAGTAAGACGATGTAGTGAGTACCGTGGTATGAGAGCTAGCTAAGCCTGCACATTAGGTGTGGAGTGGATGAGTGTCAGCGGGACGAGGGGTTGGCAGGCAAATCTTTCGGTGCTTGGGCCGTGTGGGCTAGGGTGGTGTGGCGGTAGCTGGTGGAGGCTCTGCGCAGAAAGGCGCCAGTGTGCGGCTCCCGCTGCGCCTGTACCGTGTGTAGCCGAGTGCCCAGGGCATCCCATGATGCAGCATGCGGCAAGGCACTTGCGCCGATAGCTCAATAGGCACTTTTTGTGTCCTCCGCCAAACCCCTCAGCAACGGCTCAGACCACGAACCATCCACACACGCACTGCAGATCGTAACACCCGAAGATCCCCAGCAACCCAGACACCCATCTTTCGGCAATCACAGTACGTTTCGCCTCGCGGCCAGTTATTTTAACACCGTGACTACCTGCTGTGACAGCGCTTCCTATCTCAATCAAACCCCGTGCCAGTTGATTGCACACACCTGCAAACACGCCCCAGCCCTGCGCCTCATACTGTGCTAGCGTCTGGTGCAGGTTCTTGAGCGGCAGCCACTCCTTGGTGATGCCCAGCTTGCGGTCCGCGCTGCTGGGGGTGGGGTGCTGGTTCTCGGGGGCCTCCGTGTCAATCTGGCGAGTGGAGCAACGGGGAGATCATGGGGTGCAGGGTTGGGTAAAGTTCCGGCAGTCTAGATTAAATCTGGGACAGATCTGGACGGACAGTTGTGTCAATATCTATTTGCAGCCTTCAAACGAACCCTCACGCTCCTACCCAAGCTTTGCCCTGTGACCGAAGGATTCAGGCCACTCACCTCAGCAAAGATCGTGACCTAGCCACCGAAGGGTCGTGGCGGCCATAGCGCAGCAGCAGCAGCAGGCGAGAGCACAGGGAGAGGCAGGGAACGGTAAAATGTAGTGACAATGGCAAACACCCGAGGGCATACTGAAGACACACGCAATGCCTCTCGCACATAAATAGATGGCACCCCACCCGGATCTCCACTATGGCACCCCCGCGTTGGCTGTGCGTTGAGAACCCTCACGGCCATGCTTTCCTCCCACTACCACCGCAAACACATGCTTGTTTCCTGCCAAACTATCCGCAGTTCCAGCTCGTCAGCCCCGCACCCTGCTATCCGTATTTGGCTTGAGCAGGCGAAGAAGCTCCCGACTGCCACACCCTGACCTGGCCTGGGAAGTGGGAACACCCTGTAACACGCACCCGGTAACCGACCCACCATGTTCTCGTTCGTGAGGCCTGGGCTGAGGAACTGCCGGCCCGTCTGGCCGATGAGCTTCCCCACGTAGCCCGTCTCCTCCTTGAGCTCTCGAAGCGCGGCGATCTGCATGTGCCGTACAGATGACACCGTGCAAGCGAACCCGTGGGTGCGGAAGCGGCGTGGTGGGAATCTATGGGGGACTTCGTGTCATCACGGTCATTACGTCATGGCCCCCATATAGCTATAGCAACTGCATGCGAGCAATACCATCCTATGTACGACAAAGCAAGTCAAGTAAGGGTTTAAATTCGCATGCGGCAGCCCAACCCAGTTCGCTGACCCACCTCCGGCGCCTCGCCCTGGTCCACGAGACCTGGCAGAGACATCACAGGGATTGGGGTGATGCGGGTTAGCAGCTTGCAGCAGCCCGTTGCGCCACTTGGGCACCCGTCTACCATGCTGTGACCCGGTTGCCTTACCCGCGGGCAGCTCAATGGTGTACTTTTCGAGAGGTGGACGGTATTGCTTGACTACCAGCACTTGGTGGTTGCCGTCCTTATGCTTTAAGATTGCAAACACGTTGACAGCTGGAGGAGGGGTGAAGGGAGAACCAGGCGGGTAAGAGGTGGATGCCTGAAGAGTTAGAGAACCCAAAGGGCGATCTTACCGTCCACGTCGCCTCTACGTGTCGTCCGCTCCACGTACTGCCAACTTGCCTATGTGGGGAACGTTAAGTTAGCACCAACATGGCTCGCTGGCCAGGAGAAGCCCGGAAGTGGCTTCCTAACCTTCGCGTTGTCTATGGGCCCGTGATAGTTTACATCCACAAAGCGCAAGAACCGGCTCTTCGCAAGTTCTTTTTTCTCAATTGTCGCTGGGCTATGCGGTGGCTTAGGGACCCCCGTCGAGCTTGGAAGTTTTGAATGCGACATGTCGATGTTACCTAAGATAGTTATGGAATGGAGGATCGTTAACTAGGTGCTTCGCATGCGGTCTGGCCGCTCAGAGAGTCGTGTCAGGGTCCCTTTATGCCGTAGGTAGGAAAGAGTAACTTTGCCTTGTTGAAGAATTCAAACTTACGCCGTGTTGCTGCCCGTTGTTACAGTTTGCGACAAGTTTCTTTAGTACGGCGTTCCCGTTGCAGACATAAGCCCGCATATGAATGACGCTACTGGCTTCAGGACCATATTTGTTCAAGGGGGTCACAGTAGGGTTATATGCAGGATCTATTTGGCCATTGCTGCCGTCTCGATCATTTTGCGCGTACCAGCGCAGAGCCCTAAGCTTGGCGAACAAGATTAGCTATGCTGGAAGCATGAATGGGCCCTTCAAATAATACATTCCAGAGCGGCTCCTTGCATAAAGGTTTGGCGCCATCCTAGTGCATGGAAAGGAACCTTGGCATGCCATGCGCGTCACATGTGCAGCAGCGGGCGGTATGCCTGAACAGCTACATTCATATATGGGATCAGCAGGGTAGACGGCATGTGGGGCCCACCGGCTTGCAAGGCACAGCGAGGGGAGTAGTGTTAATTTTAACCATGTGTCGCACGGTGGTATCTCGGCCGTAGGACTTACAAAGGCCTCCCACACCCGCAACTCCTACCCTACCGAACCAGGATCTGCCATGCCTCCTATTGGACAGCTCTTACTGATCCCCTGCCAGGATGTGCCGCACAAGCCCTGTATCTGACTGTTATACTAGTGTCTGAAACCCCCTGCATGCCGCATACCGCAGCGAGGCCATGTGACGTGAAACCAAGCAAAAGCGTCGTCATATGCCCTACTAACCTCCTCAGCTCGTTTTTATCTCCCCTAACTTGCAGCGTCATCACGGCGGTCAATTCGTTGACCGCAGTGGTAAGTAACATAGAAGCAGCATTTAGGTCCCCCCGGACACGGTAATCGGGCAACGCAACGCAACAGAGTCACATTCCCTTTCCTAGATTAGCTTCTCCTCTGCATGCATAGGTCTGGGGGCACTGATACCGGTAATGAACTCACACCACGAAAGGCTCACATGCAACATCACGAGTTCACGACTTTCAGGATCCTGTTTAACTGGATCTAGTAACGGTCAGATGCACATGGTGCTGTACGGTTCCGTACAGCACAAGGAAGTAGTGAAAGACAAACAATAAGCACCTCCTTTCCATATTGCCACTGCTTGGCTTCTTAGTCACAGCGCGCTTAACGAAAGGGATCACATCCCGCATTCCTTCCTACGGCTCACCAGGAACCCGCAAAACCCGATCACGTAACACAGCAAAGCCATGCCTGCCCAGACATGCCTTTCATTCCTGCCACTATACACTCTGCGGTGATTGTAGCGCCCTCAACATTACTACCTAGCATTCCAGCTCGGGGACGGCCGAGCACTGGCTGCCCCGCCACTACCGCCGCCATTCCCACTGGCTGCCGCCGCAGCAGCAGCGGCTGCCCGTACCTTTGCTGCCGTACCATTCATGATAGGCAGCGGCGGCTGGGCCGAGGCGGCGGATGGCGGCGGCGGTGCTGGCGCGGGTAGCTGGTGGCGATCGGAGGAGGTACGTCTCGACGCGGCAGATCCCAACTCCACCTGCATAGCGTGTGTGGGTAACATGAATAGCAGGTTCCATGGGGAGACGGTTTGTCAATGACTGCGGTGTACATACCTAAGGGCCGGACACCCTGGATTGTCAACAAGTGCAAAAACCCAACCCTAGGTTGTCACTACACGTTCCAAATAGGTGCTCTGCCGGCGTCGTCCTCCCGTATTTCAAACGCCCGTATAACTTTTTCCAGCGCATTGGAATGCACTAACGCATGTTGCCCCACCTGCGCCGCCCTGCTTGCAAAGTTGAGTGAGGACAGCGTCTCCGAGGCCGAGGTGGACTCGGGGGCGATGTTGCACACCAGCAGCACCTTGGAGTTGCCGCACAGCGCGTCCTGGAGCACCTGCAGGGACAGGAGGGGCACGGCAGAGCCGTACGGTAAGAGCCGTACGGCAGAGCAGAAGGTGGGCAATTATCGCAGTCTGTTCAGTGCCACCTCCTAAGCGGCCCCACAACACACACACCTCAGCGGCAGCAGCGCCAATACATTGATTACTGTAGGCTCCCGAACGTCCCACATCACGGTGCGCCGCATGGCATCATACCGGTATCACACCATGTCACATGCGACTTCACGGCACGCGTTACGTTGCTACACGTCACGTGCAATATGCCAATCCTCGCACACGCGGCCCTACCGCGGTGAGCTTGGAGTTGCGGAAGGGCACATGCGGCGAGCGGCGCTGCAGCGCGGAGATGACATCCCCCAGAGCGGACAGGGAGCGGTTGATGGACTGGGCCTCCTGGGGTGAGGGAGAGAGGGAATTTGGAAGTGGAAGTGGGGAAGGGCAGGGAGCAAGGGAGGGCAGAACGCGAGTTTGTGAATAATTTGGATGGAGGGCGAGGGTAGCCGGTGTTGTAAGTATGTAAGGACAGCGGTGGCGCCGCCAAGAGGCACCTCCTGCGCTCTACCGTACGTCCCCACCCAAACCCCCGACCCAGGGTCCGGGCCCCACCTTGAGCTGCTGCCCGGTCACCTCGCTCTTGTCGACCCGCTCAGAGCCTGGCAGGGGGGGAAGTCGATGTGGTGGGGAGGGGGACAGGGAATCAATAAGGGGTACGGGAAAAGTGTCAGCAGCGGAAGCGCCGACCCCAGACTTCCCTCCCGCCCTTCCTCCTGCCACGCCCCCTCCTCCCTCCCCCTCACCCACCTGCCAGGTCAACCAGGTGCAGCACACTGACCGCCCTCCTGCCGTCCGCCCCCGTCACCGTCACCCGCACCGACAGCAGCGCGTGGCTGCGACTCGAGTGCGCGTTGGAGGCGGTGGCGGCGGTGGCGCGGTTGCGGCCGCCCTCCCGCAGCAGCGCCTCCACTGCCGCGGTGGAGGCGACGGGGCGCCAGGTGAGGCCGGGCACGCGGTCCACACCGGGGGGCAGCTCGCCGGCGCCTGGGGCGGGGAAGAGGGAGGGCAGAGGAGGGGAGTTTTGGAGGGAGTTTCGGAAGGGTGTGGGAGTGCGGGAGGAGGAGGCTGGGGCTTGCATGAGGCAACCGGGCCTCGGCTGCTCATTGCTAAACGTCCGAACGCCTTAGGACAGCCAGTCCGATTTAAAAGGTTCACCCACAGTCGTAACAACTCCTATGTAGCCAGTTACAGACACGTACCCAATGCGGAGACCTCAAGGGGCTTCGACGAAGCTGCAGCTCCTGCCGTGGCTGCCATGCCCTCCCCGGCAGCTGCTGCTCCCGTGTCGCCTGCCGCACCGTCCGCCTGACCCATGGGTCCGCTGCTGCCGCTACCAGCCAGCAGATCATGTACGGCTTCGTTGTAGATCTCCAGCATGGACACGTGGAAGCTGAACCGTCCTAGCGTGGCAGCCGGGTCGTCGGCTGCAGCAGCCGCAGCAGCAGCGGCCGACACGTCGCCGCTGCTTGTCGCGGGAAGCAGACCGGTCCCGCTACTGCTGCTGCTCCGCCGCCTGCGGGTGGTCGCACCCCGGGGGCTTGCGGAGGCAACGGTGGGCGTTGTTTGGGCGGTTGCAGTTGCAGTCGTTGTCGTACTGCTGCTGCTGCTGCCGACGGTGGCGGCGGCAGGAGCAGTGGGGTTAGCGGAGGACGTGAGGGCGGTTGCCGCTGCTGCTGCGGCGGCGGCTCCATCCTCCTCCGTGGCGATGCGGAAGAGCTCTTGTAGGGCCCGGAAGTAGATACCTGGGACGGACACATGTAGATGGAGGGTGACGCAGGTACGGCAGTAAAGCACCATGCGCGCAAGGAGGTGCGCATGGAGGAAGAAGCGAGCGGTTGAACGTTACTCGTATATAGAAGAGGAGGAAAGCCACCGGCAGCCAAGGCAGAAACCTGTCCAGAATGCTCCATGCCTGCATGCCCCTCCCACCACCCCAAGTGCCCTCCACTTCCCAACCACCACCCTTACCCAAGCCCCCCACAACCCTAGCCCCCCCCTACCCGGGTCCTCCGGCGGCCCCTGCATGGTGTACGTCTTGCCGCTGCCCGTCTGTCCGTACGCCAGGATGCAGGCGCTGTGTCCGTCCGCCACGGAGCGCACCAGGCAGCCCACCGCCTCCTCGAACACGGAGCACTGACCCGAGCTGGGCGGGAACACGTGGTCGAACTCAAACTCCTGGGGGGTTTAAGACCATACCATACCAAAGGAAACCAAAAGTTAGGGGGGGAGGGAGGAGGGAGTGAGGTAACGCGTGATCTGGGTATACCTGGCCTACGTTGCAGAGGCAGGGCGGTCGTCGGTGAAGAGCCGTCAGGGACGCACAGCCTCGTTGGCATTCCCCATTTTCCTCTTCCAGCTTTCCCCCCTGCAACCTTCCACCCCCGCCCCCCACCCCACCTGGTACCTCCTGTCGGGCGGGCTGACCGCCAGCAGCCCCTCCAGCGGGTAGCTCACGATGTCGCGCTGACCCACCTGCACCGGGCGAACCCTGGGGGGGAGGGAGGAGGGGCAGGAGTGGGGCGGCGCCAGGGGTGGGGACTAGTCGGCTGCGACTTGCACAACGCCCCCTCCTTCCCGCCTAATCCCCTCCTCTTCCCTTCTTCCCTCCCCCTCCCGCACCATCGACGGGTCTTCCTAGGGTCACGGTTGCGGCTCGGTTTACCCCCTCACCCTCACCCCGCACCTGCACAAGACCCGTATGTTGCCCCTCAGCTGCTGCAGCTGGTCGTGCAGCCGCCGCCGCACGTTGCGCTCCCGCATGAAGCGCTCCTGCCACTCGCCCGCCGCCTTGCGCGCCTCGTCCAGCTGCGAGGCAGCCGCCTCCAGCTGCAGGTTGATCTTGGACAGCCACTTGATCTGGGCGGTGTGAGACCACACCGAACCACAGGAAACAGGTATGTGGGGGGGGGAGCGGGGGGCCGGGAGAATGGGAGTATGAATGCCACCAAGCACGGTACGTGTCAGCGGTGATCCCCGGCCCCTGGCTTAGGGGCCGGGGATGGTAGGTAGATGGATGGCTCCTTTTTGGTCGGTAAGGCACCGGGCCTATACATGGAAAAGCCAGTGCTGCCCAGGAAACTAACCCAGCCATCAGCAGCTTACCCTCGCCCCCCCCCGCCCAGCCCCTACCTTGTTTTGCAGGTCCTCCGCCTCCCGCTGCAGCCGCTGCCGCTCCGCCTCGCCCTCGCTCACCCGCCCGCGACATGTCTGCAGCTCGCTCAGCCTGAGCACGGGGGCCAGCCCAGGAGGGAGAAGGGGCCGGTAGGCGTAAGAGAGGGCAGGCGAGGGGGGTCAAATTAACCCAAACCATACGGAACCACAAATGGGTAAACTAATCTGCGAATGAGGCGGCAGGGATTGACACGAGGTACACCGTATCTCCCTGCCCTCCTACCTTGCCGCCAGCTGGTTCCGGAGCAGCGCGTTCTCCTGTTTGAGCTTCTCCGCCTCGTCATCCTTGCTGGAGCTCCAGATGTCCGCCTGGCTGCGCATGCCCTCCAGCTCAGCCTGGCAGGGGTGGGGGGTGGGCAATGGGAGCGAAGCGGGGGTTGGGTAGCCGGCGACGTGCCAAGGTGTTACCGCACCCAATCTCACACGCAACAAGCCCCCTCTCTTTACCTGCTTAGGAGCCTCCGTCCCTCTGCCCCAGCTTGTCAACCGGACCCAGTCCGAAACCAGGATGTGACCCCGGCCCGCCTTGCTGTTCCTTTAGGATCACGCGTTAGGCCCTCCTCTTGCCCCCCATCTCCCACCTGCAGGCTCGCCTCCGTCTCCTTCATGGCCTCCAGCTGCCGCCGCACCGCCGCCGCATCGTCCTCCAGCGCCGCCTTGGCCGCCTGCACAGCCGCCTGCTCCGCGCGCAGCTGCTCCAGCTCCTGGGAGGGAGGGGCGGTGGGGGAAGGGGGCAAGGGGCGGGGACAGGAATAGGGCTGATTTGGGGGTGATTGGTAAGGTAACGAAGCAACGCGCTAAGGTTGCAGATGTCCCAGCTCCAAAGAGGTGGGTGGAGTATGGGATTAAGGATGCTGACACGACGTTGCTATAGCCGCTGCAGATCCCCCCACCCTTACTACTCTCCCCTTCCCACCCTAACGGCTGCGCCCGACACGAACTTTCCTCGCCAGACCCTAACCCGCTTTGCCTCCCATCCGTCTTGCGCTTCGTCTCCTCACCTGCTCCAGCTCCTTGGCCTGCTCCACCTGCTGCTGCAGCGCTGCCGCCGCCGCCTGCGCCTCCGCCAGCTTGGCGTTGGCCTCCGTGAGCGCCTCCGCCGCCGCGCGCCGCACCCGCGCAGTCACCTCCATCTCCGCCTGCAGGTCAGCTGGGTCGAACACGTAGCTGCGGAGAGAGGGGAGGCGCAGGGGTTGTGAAGGAGGCGAAAGGGGAGGATTCGGCATCGGTGGGATGGGCTAAACGCATGCGACTATACATGTACGCTAGTACCAGCCGGCCCCACAGCCAAACAATCCGCAGCCATCACCCGCCTACAGGTATCTTACCGGTAGTAGTGCCCTCCGCCTCCTCCCGTGCCGCCCCCCGTCAGCGCAGCGCCCAAGGCTCCCAGGTGCTGCTCCAGTGCCTTCTCGCTGAAGCTCTCCGCGTGCTGGTAGTGCTGCGGGCCGCCAGACGACTGCAGGCTGCCCGCAGACACTACCCGAGACATCCCCCCGCCCTGCTCGCTGCGATTGTCCCGACCGTCACGGCTGTTGCTGCTATTGTTGTCCTTGTCACGGCCCCATGCGATCCCCAACTTGGAGAGCACGGAACCCGACCATGCAGCGGCGCGAGAGGGTGTGGAACCGCTGGCGTTGGGGGCGCCGCCGCCGCTGCCGCCGTCGCTGCTGCTGCGGCCGCTGGTGCCGCGGCCTGGCGGCAGCGGAGGCCGACCAGTGGCAGCAGCGGCGGCGGCGGAGCCGTCAGCAGCCGTCCCACCTGGAGTCAACGGCGCGGATGTACAGCCCGCACCGCCGCTGCCGCCAGCGGGCTTCGAGGTCATGTTAGCGGAGGTTGCTGTGGACGATGTCCCCGCGGATCCCATGTTCAAGACTTTGCCACTGTCGCGTTGTTGCTTCTGCTGGTCTGCGCTGTCGCCAGCCCCGTACCCCATGGCGCTGCTGTCGATGCTGCTGAGGCTGCTGGGGGTGCCGGCGCTGCCGCCGCTGTGGCTGGGGCTGCATGCAGCGGTGTTGGCGCCGTCCCTGGCGTCGCGTGCCCCAGGGGTCGGCTTGTTGTAGTCAACCACCAAGTGCGTGGCGAACTGGAAGCTGCCACCGGCCTGAAGTGTTTTCGGAGCGGGTACAAGACGGTATGGTGAACGCTACATGAACTAGGAGGAGGAGGGGCTAATGCATTGCCAAACATCGGATCCTTCACTCCTGCAATGCCCAAGATATGATGCGTCGACCTACCTCTTTACTCCCTTCAGCTCCGCCGCCGTTAACATCGTTAGCCGCTGCTATCGGCGTCCCGCTTGCGGCGCCTTGCCCTTCCGCTGTCTCCGCCTGAGTCATCAGGCTGCCGACCAAGTCGCCGCGGCGTGGAGTCATCGCCGTCGCCGCAATCGCTGCTGCCGCCGCCGCCGCTCCCGTCGGCGTCGCCGCGCGAGGGGGCGTCGATACCGGTCCCGCCGCCGGCGCAGATGCGGGGGGAGGAGGCGCCGCGTAAGGCATGGACGGTACGGCCGGTGGTGGCGTCTGTACGACGCTTGCTGTGTGGCTTTCTAGCTTGGCCCATGACTCGCGTAGGGTTGCTAGGATGGAGTCGCGCAGCTTGGATGGCTGTTGCTGTGGTTGCTGTTGTTGTTGCTGGGCGGGAGCTCCGCCTGGGGTCCCCAGCGGTGCTGCTTCTGGGGCAGCGGCGCGTTGTCCTGGAGGAGAGGTGGACGCCAAGCAGGGAAAGGGGAGCTGGAGTTCAATGGGAATGGGAAGGAAGGCGATTGTTAGCACGTATGGGCATGGCAGACGTGCCGCGGAATGCATGCATGTCCTGGCTAAAGCATTTCGTTGACACCGGAGGAGGCCGTGTCGGCAGTAGCTGGTAGGGTGCATGCCCTAAGGATGAGCGCCTTTCTTGCGTGAAATGAGTTTTGTGAATACCCCTGGCTCCTACGCAGCAAGCCCCTTTGCGGGGGAATGAACAGGAAGAAAGGGTGTAGCAATGGGACTGAATGCGGCAAGCCCCAGAACACGCCACCGATGGAAGGAATGACGCATGTGGTGACCGGGGATACTTCCTTCAACTGTGGAGAAATTGTCCCCACCTATTTCAGGCGCCTCGAGCTCCTTTTTGTATAGCTTTTCTTCCAGTTCGGCAATTCGAGCCACAAGGCGCGTTATCAGGAGGTCGTTCTCATTTGGAGTCCTCGATGACTCCTCGCTGCTTGGAGACATGTCATTTGCTTGCACGTCGAATTTCTGCATTGCCCGAGTGTCACCACCGGCCATGATGGTAGGTAGGGGGTAGCGTAATTATGCGAGTCTCAATGAACGTTTATTGCGTCCATGTGAAATGCTTCATATCCTTAGGCGAGAAAGCTGGTCATAATGCAAAGACTGCCACGTTAGGCTGGCTAGCAAAGTGCTGCAATGGTCGTGTGTAGTTGAGTAGCGGTGTCCGAAGTGTGTAGTACCAAGTACATGTGTTACAAGGTCACGCAGCAAGTTGCAACGCCTCTCCTGGCGAGCATGCTGCTTGGGATTTGAAACCGGGCGAAGCCGTCGTGCACGACCGCACGTCCCCATGTCTACCCCATCACCAAGCCTTGTCTGGTTTCCTTCGCTTTCTATTCTGCACACTTATAGATCAGTCTGCTGTTCTAGAAGAGTATGAGATGGTGAGGATTTACGCGTTATGCTTGCGGCCTGCTAACACATGTTTGGCCAACCCAGCTTGAACTTTATTGTTTTTTGTAGAAACTTCCGATCCCAGTTAATATTGTCACTGGCGCGCTGGGTGTCGGAAAGACGACCACTGTGCAACATCTCCTCAGCCAGAAGCCGCCGGGAGAAAAGTGGGCTGTGCTTGTAAATGAATTCGGTGCTTTAGGCATAGACGCTGCACTTATTGGTGCAAGCTTGCAGTCCAGCCCTGTCGAAGGTGCGGCAGTTGATGGCAATTTCTCGAAGGCGTCACCTTAATGGACCCAGAGTCGCAAAGTAGCCACCACCCTCTCCTCCATTGACCTTCCCCAACGCCTCTCAATCGTTTCCTTTCTCTCTGACGTTTTGTTTCAGGTGGCGCCAATGCCGCCAACACCATCAATGGTGGTTTGGTAGTTCGTGAGCTTGCGGGTGGCTGCCTGTGCTGCACCCTGTCGGGCCCAATGGGGGTAGCCATCGCGCAGCTTGTACGGCAAGCCAAGCCCGACCGCCTCATCATTGAGCCCAGCGGCCTGGGTCATCCGGCAGGTGCGTGGCAGCAGCGGACGTACTTAGGACAGCAGCTTTACGGCAGCAAGGGTGGAGTTAGGAGATAACAAATAAGGAGATGGTATGATGAATGCACTTGGTGGTAGAAATGCTGTCAGCTGGGTTTGAGGATGATGGTGGCGGTTTTTACGTCCACATGTTATGGGGGAACAGCCATCCCTAACCAGAGCCGTATGTTTGGGTGCATGGAAAGTTATGCTCAATGTACCTTGTTAATGAATTCATCCATGCCCCTCCTCCCGCAGGCCTGCTGGACGTGCTGTACAGCGAGCACCTGCGTACGGCACTGGACGTCAAGGCGGTGATCTGCCTCGTGGATGTACGACACATTGCAGCTGCAGAAGGCGGGCTGGGAGAAGGGCTGGTGGCAGGGGATGAGGAGGGAGGAGGGCAAGGAGGCGGAGGAGGAACTGGCGATGATGGTGGTGGTGGACGTGGTGGGAGAGGAGGAGCACCAGTGACGGGCAGCAGGGGGGCGACAGCTGCTTCCGCGGCAGGGGTCCCCAGCGAGACCTTTCAGGCATGTCGGGAAGGGCGCGTCGCGGGGAGAACCGTGGTCGAGGCCGGAGTTGGGCAATGAGTTGGGGCGGGACGAGACGAACTTGCTGGCCCTGTGGAGGAACCGCGGGCGAACCAGCTGGGGCAGACCCCACATCCGGCAACACAGCTTGGCTAGCCCCCCGCTTGTCCCCTTCACCACCGCCCCGGTTTCCGCTATGCGGCGGTACCACAGGTCTGTGCCGCCAGGGGCGTCTTGTTACATACCAGCGCACGCTGACGGCCCTCGCGCGTCCCCCCGCCCCGCCCCTATGGTGTGGTCCACCTCCCCCTTATCTTTTATTCACCCCCCTCAGGACCAGGTGAACGTGGCGGATGTGGTGGTGGGGCACAAGGCGGACCTGGCCTCGCCCGGGCAGCTGGGCGCCTTCGAGCGCTGGGCGGAGGGGCTGTACCCGCCCAAGATACGGGTAGGGGTGGTGTAAGGGTGGCGGGTAGTGGGTAGGCGAGGAGGGGACCATGGAGGTAGCTTGTCGTTTTGCGGGTATTTCAAGAGTTATAGGATACACTGTGGCAGCCTGACTACGGAGCGTTGTCTTGACCATGTTTTGCTCCGCGCTGGTGTTTTGACCTGCTGCTTGTTTCTCCCAACAACTCACCCGCACCCCGCCTCTCCCCGCCCGCACTTCCCCCCATATCCTGTAACCAGGTGGTGACAGCCAGCGGGGGCCGGGTGGATGCAGCCCTGCTGGACCTGCCCCGCACACCCGTGTTCAGGTGGGCAGGGTGGCCCGGAGAGGTGTGGTGCGGGGGTCGCATCCGCCTTACCGGCTGCTGCCATCCGAACCCCTGCGAAGCTCAACCGGCCTCGCAGCATTCCTTGTGCACCCTAGCTCCGCAACCCAAGATGCCCGCCGACCCGCCTTCACCGCGTGCGTTCCCCAAGCTCTCCCATTCCATCCACCTGGCAACCGCCCCCGCCCCTCCAGGCCCCTCTTCCGACCGCAGTCGCATGTCAGCCGGCGGCGAGCGGCCCAGAGCAGGTCCCTGCGTGCCGACCCCGCACCACCTGCCGCACCACCCATGCCGCCTGGCGAGGTGGTGGAGGGGCGGCTAGACCTCCCACACGCAGTACAAGCTGCACCCTTGCTGCCGCCGGGAAGCGTTGAAGGGGAGAAGGGGCAGCGGAAGGAGGCGGCGGCTTCATCCGTCGCGCCGCCTGCTGCTGCCGGGGCTTATGACAGTGATAAGGCGGCTGGTGGATGTGGGGGTGGTGGTGGTGATGATGGTGATGACTACGGTGGCGGTGTCCAGGCTGCTGTTGACGCACTCGTGCCCCGCCGACCCGCACGCTTTCCGTCGGGTCCGCACCGCCGCTCGGTCGTGCAGCGGCAACAACAACAAGAGCAAGTGCAGGAGCAGGCAGTGCTGTCACACCTGCTGGGAGAAACTCAAGGCCAGGAACAACAGCTGGAGCTACAGAGACAGCAGGGGTCAGGTGCGGAAAGGGAGGAGCAGCAGCAGATGGCGTCACCGCAGCAACAGGGCGGTGTTCAGGAGCCTCAGGAGGATGGACCCGAAGATGCGGACGTGCAGGAGGAGGAAGAGCAGGAGGAGGAGGAGGAGGTGTCATGCGGCTGGCTGTTCAGCCCGGAAGACGTTTTCGACCGAGGGCGGCTGGCGGCTGTGTTGTCCGCCATGTGGGGGCGGGCAGCGCGCATCAAGGGGGTGTTCCGGGTGGGGAAGGCGTCGTACGTGGTGCCGTACATGAGGCCTGACGGCACACTGGAGCTCCGACCCTTGTCGTACAGGCGGGAGAGCAGACTGGAGGTGATCGTGGGGTTGCCGGCTGCATCCCGACCGTCCCATGGGTCGCACTTGCATGGGCCACAATCAGAGGGGAATACCGGCACACCGTCTTTAAGCCCTCCAGCAGTCGGAGTCCAAGTCGGTGGGGGACAACAGGAAGGGCGACGGGAAGGGCAACTAGTTGAGGGCAGTGTAGCTGCAGCTGCAGCTGCTGCTGCAGCTGCTTCAGCCCTCGAGGTGGAGGGTACGGGACCGGTTGACATGGGGTGGCTGGGCGCGGCGGTTGCAGGCGCGGATTGGGACGCTGTGGAGCGCGCGTTGATAGGCGCGCTGCGGTGAGGACGAGGCGGGGGAACGATGATGACAAGCCGCCGATCCTGCCATATCTATAATGCCGGGCTTTCTTGTTTGTTGGCTGGACTTCTTGTCACTTTGGGCGTTGTGCAGGCATGTGTTGTTGACCTACATGTCTGCTGGAAGAAGGGGTGTTGTCGTCCTTCTGCATCATTCGTTTCTTATGATTTCTGAGGGTACACAGCCCGATGACAGCCCGGGTGACATCGAGGCGGACCGCACTTGCATAGGAGGCGGACCGCACCAACAATGCCGTGCATGGTACCCTTCCTAGCATCGACATGCATGCTTACTTGTCGCATCGCTGGCTACCTACGGGAGGGCTGACCATGGTCGGTCGTACATACTGAAGCTACCCATCACGCCATAAAGCTTGCCGTGTATCATACACAATGCAACCCAATCAGCTTACCCCATATGGTCATCACGTGCTATATGGTAAAGGGATGTCGGAGCCCTGTCTTCAACCCACGCCTTACTGCTGTGTACTCACTCCGCCGCTTGGTCCGCCGGTAGCGCAAGCAACATGCACCCCTCCACGCGCGCTCCGCCACCCAACGTTATCCTCGCGCCAGTCTAAGCGGATTATGAATGTGCGCACCTCGAACCCTCATATATAACGACCATGCAGCTAGCCGTACACCACTCCAAATCATGCAGCCCCGGGAACCCCACACACCCGTCTACCTCCTCGCCGCCGCCGTCCCCTCCGGGATCTGCCTCTTCCAAGACGCCACCACCGCCCTCGCCGCCTCCGCCACCTCCGCCACCGCATGCTTCCCTAGCTTGTTCACACGCTTTCCCACTCCGCCTGCCGCCACCGCCCCCACCGTCACCGCTACTGCCGCCATGGCACGCAGGCGAGCTACAGCCTGCGCCACTGCCGGTGGAGCGCCGCTGGGACTACTGCTGGGATTGCTGCTGTTTCCACCTGCCGCTTGTTGCTGATGTTGCTCGAGAAGGGACTCGATCGCCGAAACTTCCGCCTGCGCAAACATGAAAAGCAAAACGTAGGCGAATGAGATTGGAAACATAGGTAGCCATGGAAGCATCCTGTTTAGGAAACCGATCGGCAGCCCGACATCACCCCTGCAACCCCTTACAAATGATTGAACATCCAGCGCAACAACACCAGATCCTTCCGGACCCAAACACAGCCCACCTGCAGCAACGCTGGTAGCAGTGACCCATGGGTCTCTGCGTGAGTGGGCGGCAGCAGCACCACCGGCGAGGGAGCTGCCTTGGCTCGGCTGATGAGTCCCGCCATGCGACTGGTGTACTGCTGACGAGGCAGCCCTCCGCTGCCGTACACGTCCGCCTCCACGGCGGTTGCCAGTTGCTGCACCTGCAGGTGCAGGTGCATGCACGTAACTCGCTTGCATTCGCGCACACGTACAATGGCGTTAAGAGGAGCATCCGCAAGGCGAGCAGCTGTAAGAACATAAACATGCACCTGCCTATCATTGCCAGCTACAAGGCCCTAACGAGGAGAGACAGCGTAGGGGAATCATGACCCAAGAATGCTATTCACGTCATCAGCAGCCAAAGCGCTTAACCCAACCCATATGCAACAGAAGCCGCCCGGCTGCCCCCGCGGTGCTCCTCACCAGCCCTGGATCTAGCCCCCGCATGGCCGCATTCGCCCCCATGGCTGCAGCCAGCTTGGAGGTGGCGTTCACCCTCGCAGCGGCATCAGGAGGGGGCGCAGCTGGGGCCGCAGCAGCACCCCCGCCGCCGCCTCCTCCACCACCACCTGCCAACATGCGGTCTACCAGGTCTCCTGCGGTGCGGTAAAAATGTACGGAACCCATGTCGTACCGATGTGGGTGTTTGCCCACTTATCATCGCTTAGGCTGAGGGCAACATGTTCGCCATAAGAATCCGTTGAACGTAACAAAGGTACATGCAGCATGAAACATGACGCTTACCATGGCGCACGACTCCCAGGTAAGGGCTTCACAACGCCCTCCCAGACTCTTCCTAACGCCCCCAACACTGCTAACCTGAGCCTCCCCGCATGCGCCGCTCATGCTCCTTCTCCCGGGCCTCCAGCGCAGCGAAGTAGGCGTCGTTCACTTGCCCGCCCGCAGCCGCGCGAGCCGAGGCAGCCGCAGCCCGCGCGGCTGCAACATCCGCAGCAGCGGCGTCATCTTGGCCGCTGTGGCGGCCGGCCTGCAAGGGTATAGTACGGCAAACGTCATGGCATCCTGACATGTACGAGCAGAAGCCAAGAAGTCATTGTAGGTAAACTATTGAGGGTTTGGAGCAGGCCTAGAGGCGGCGTGTCATGCGTGCGCGCAGGCGCATGTTATTACCGGTATGTGCTTCAGATTCCAACCAAGCTTCCCGGTCAAGCTATCCCCTAGGACCTCCCATGCTCCGGTAACCCCTCTCGGGCCTGCCTACATAGTAAACCGACGGCCCAGCAGCCTCCTCCTCCTCTCTGTCGCCGCCACCCCCTCCCCCTCCGCCTCCTCCTCCTCGTACGGCAAACATGTCACCCCCCTCCTCGTCATCATCCTTGCCACCGCCGCCTCCGCCGCCGCCCCTGCCTCCATGTCGTTTCGCTAGCGCGTCGAGCTCCTTCCGTTTCAGCTGTTCGAGCTGCGCGGACACGTGCTGAGGGGCGCCATGTGTGTTGTACATTCACGACCGTACGGCAGTGCAGGGAAAAGGTAGTTAACAGCTGAACACCGCTGCTAGAGCATGGACGTGCTGCAAGGAAAAGGGGCAATTCTTCGCACCCGAGGATCATCGGAAGCCACTACCCAACCCAGCACCACGCGCTCCTGCGCCCACCCCCTCCCACCTCCCACCTCCCACCTCCCACCTCCCACCTCCCACGCCTTCTGCCCACCTGGGGGTCTCTGCAGTAGTCGCAGCCCCCCGCCATCCCATCTCCGTTGCCCGCACAAGGCCCCGCTGGCGCCCCCTCTCCAAAGTGCCCCAACAGCGCCCGCCGGCGGCAGCTGCAGCCGGTGGCCCAGTCCACCACCTTGCCGAACGCCTGGGATGAGGTGAGGGGGCGCGTGTGTTAAAATAACTGGCGTGTGTGTGTGTGTGTGACCCATGGGTCGGGCTGAAGGCGCAACCGTGCAATCCTTTCCTCTTAGTCCGCGAAGGAATGCAAATTGTACCGGTATGCTACGGGAACGGCGGTAGCCTCTTTCGTGCACATCCCACCCGCACAGCTAACCACAGCACCTCTTTAACCCATCCAGACCTCACACATTGTTGCGAGCGTCAGCCACCTGCGACCCAACCACCCACCTGCCAGGCGGTGGCTTGCACCTGCAGCTGCTCCTCCGCGGTGGCAGTGGCAGCAGCCTCCTCCCCCCACACCTCGCCATCCGCATCGCCTCCGCCCTCCTTGCCCTTCTTGTTCTTCTTGTCAGCCTCCTTCTTCTCTTGGTCCTAACAGGCACCGAGAGAACCAACCGGCTCTGCTTGTGTTAACAAAAACAACTGGCCGCGAGTCGCAACGTGCGTTCGTACGGCGGCTCTTGTGAATGCACGGAAAAACACATCCCCTCCTCTGTTCGACACCTCCCAACCCTCCCTCCGGACGTACCAGCGGCTATACACATGCACCTCACATAACAGCCCACGCAAACACCCTCACCTTCCTAAGGATGAAGTCCATGCGAGTGCGGGCCTCCAGGCTGCATGGTGATCACGGCACAACACAGGTGGGAGCGCGCAAGTGGGGGCGCAAATGTAAAATGGGGCACGGTAAGTTTGGAAGCTGGGAAGACCGGCAGAGGGCTACCATATGTTCACCCAGCAGGGGGCTGAAAGGGCGGAGGCGAACGGCGACCGGAGGTGAGCAGGAGAGCCACGACTCGCTGGGGCAGGTCCGGCACTCAGCTCCTGCAACAGGCCCTTCACGCCCTGACACCCCCCGCTCCATCTGGAGCCGACTGGCAACCCTCCATGCAGTCCGAAGCCCCACCCGGGCCCCCCCCGGGCCAACCCCACCAGCCCCCCCCTGCCCACCTGTAGAACAGCACGCTCTCCGCCGGCCTGCCGTCCCGCCCCGCCCGCCCCGCCTCCTGGTAGAACCCCTCCAGCGAGCGGGGCAGGTTCAGATGGACAACCAGCCGGACACCTGAACCGGTAGCGGAGTGAACGGCGGGGAGAAGGCAGGGGTGTCAAGGAAACCCGCACCGAATCGGAACGTACTGTACGTATTGCCGGAAGGTAGGTGCGTGTGACGGAATGGGCGCAAAGCAGCAAGGATGGGGTCGTGGGGAGGCGGGCAGGGCAATTAGGCGGCCGAACACCGGTGGCGGCCAGCCATTAAAGCCCACAACAACCCCAGCAGCCCACCACCGTTCAGCCCCTGGTGTGACCCGCTAACCCCCCCGGACCGCTTCCCCTAAGTCTGACACTCCCCCGACCCCGCAGGCCTGACCCACCGGCCTTGTCGATGCCCATGCCGAACGCAATGGTGGCCACTACCACGGGGATCTCGTCCGCCTGCCACCGCCGCAGCACCTGGTGGGGGTACCGTAAGAGGCGGGTGGGGGTGGAGCGAGCGTGGGTAAAGAGGAAACGACTAACGAACCGTGTGATAAGGCGTCATCGTTGGGGGGGGCCGGGGGGGGGGGGGCGAGCCGGGGTAGCTAAATTCAGAATCACAAGGAAAAATTCGAAGGAAACAACAACCGTGACCGGAAGCTGGAGGGGCATGCAGAGATGATACCGCACCTGTACGTCTTTATCGGGTGCAAATCCGCACCTGTCCCTCCCCCCCCTTTCCTTACCCAGCGCATGCGTACGCCGACCGGTGCATGCTCAGCCCCCACCCCCTCCCGCGCCCCTTCCACCCTACCTCCCGCTTCCTCTGTTCCGACATCTGCCCATGATACGCCGCCGCCTGCAGCCCCTCCCGCTTCAGCCGCTCAGCCACCGCCTCGCACGTGTCGCGCTTGGTGCAGTACACAATGCTGCAGGGCACCACACCGCCTGCGAAAGCGAGGTACATGGCGCCAAGGCAACATAAGATTATGTTACCTATCTCATCTTCTCATGTCATAAAGTAGACAACAACCGCCATAATTAATTTTGATACCCCGGATACGCCGACAAGGACGCGGGAACTGCGGCGGCGGTAGGGGGGCTGTGTGGTTCATTCACCCCTCGCTCACGGACCCGCTACCGCCCTCCGCTCCGCTAGCAGCCGACGAAGCGCCTCCGTCTCGTCCAACTGCTCCACATCCAGATACCTGGCCAGCGGGGGGTAAGGAGGGGGAAACGACTTACGAACCGCGTGATTAGGCGTCATCATGAGGGCGAGAGTGGGGGGTAAGTAGGCCCCAAGCGTACATGGGGTAAGCAATAGTACCCGGGTAGGGCAGCAGGACATTCTGAGAGCGGTAGTGGCCGGTGCAGCGGCAGCAGCTGTGCCCCCCACGCACATCACGCTTTCCCCCCATCACGCCTTCCTTCCATGTCCACCATTGAGTGAGTTCAACATGCAACCCAGTACACCCAACCGACCCGCGCCACCTCCCCGCCCCCCGGGGCCCCCCCCCACCTGACGGTGTAGCTGATGTTGGGTCGGTTGAAGCTGGACAGCAGCCGCACCGGAGCCGTCAGCTGCAGCTGCTGGCAGATGTCGTCTTGAACCTTGCGTGGGTGGTGTGGGCAGGGGCGCGGGTAGGCGCGGGGGTGGACGAGCTACAAGGCAAGTGCTAACGGCTATTTTCCCAGCGTTAGCGGTGGAGGACCTTGCATGGGTGGTGTGGGCGGTGTGGGTGGAGGCGTGGGTAGGCGCGGGGGTGGACCGGCTAAATAACACGTACAGAGGGCAACTTGCCCCGTTAATACAGGAAGCGGGAGTGTGCGGCTCCGTAGAGCAGAAGTGTTGCGGTCACAGGTTTTCACAAGTGCAAGTGCATGCAGGAAGGCATTCGCCCTCGCTCGCTCGCTCGTCAAACAACATTGACACCGACCCACCGACCATCAAACGACATTGACACCGACCCACCGGTCCATCTCCTGCAACAACGCGCAACTCCCCTCCCCCCCATCTTCCCGCACGCACGCACGTCAGCGCGCTGCCCCACCTGGGTCGCTGCGGTGGCGGTGAGGGCCATGATGGGTACACCGGGGAAGTCCCGACGCAGGGCCTGAGGGGCGGGGAGCGGAGAGGGGAGTGGCGGGCGCCGGCGAGTGAGTGCAGGGTGCGGACACGGGTTGGCTGCTGAAAGTACGAACCGGCACCAACCGCACTTGCCTGCAGTCGCCGGTACGCGGGTCGGAAGTCGTGGCCCCAGGTGCTGCATCAGGGTCATGTGCGGGGGGGGTGAAACGAGGGAGGGAGAGGGGAGAGGGTTGGTGGGGTTAGGGGGAAGGCAGGAGGAGGAGGGGAAAGGCAGGCAGCGGAGGGAGGCCTACCGGGGCCTACCAAGGCTGGGAAATGACTGCTACTGAAGGTTCCACTCACCGCTCGGGTAGCATTCAATCAGATAAAGATACACAGTTGCGTGCACCCTCCCGCTTGAGACACCCTCCGCACCCCTCCTCCCCAGCAGCCCTCCCTCGCGGCACGGTTTTCCTAGTCTCCGCTACACCTGTGGAGCCATGTAACACGTTTCGTTCCCCCTCTCTATCCCCACTGGCTCACACACACAAACACAGACAAATACACACACGCACACGCATACCTGATGCAGTGCGACTCGTCGATTGCGAAGAGCGACAGGTTCCGAGCGGCATGCAGCCGGCGTAGCAAGTAGCGGAACCTGCAGTGTACGGCAGGGAACAACGCGTGAAGATGTACGGCACACGAGTGTTTAGGTGTCAGCATCACGCGGGGGAGTTCCGCTTTGTGTGCAGTGGAGCCGCATGCCGCAGTGGAGGAGTGCATGGCGGTGTCTAGTTGGCATATTGCTGCTTTTTGGAGGAACCACGGCAGCTCTGGGACCACACACCGACCTCCTTTGTCCCTCCTCTGTTGCGAGTCTGTTACTGCGACCTTGCCGTCCCCGTCCTTTGCAGCATCATAAAGCTGGACGCAGGGGACTACTGCAAACCGCCTACAAACGCCCCCAGCCCCTCGCCCTAACTGTAGCCCACCATTGCCCGAACTATAGCCGCGTGGAGGCGTTAACCGTGGCCGCGATAACCGCGCCATAGCCAGTGCCTCCACGCGGCCCGCTGTCAGTATATGGACGCAGGGAATTACCAACCAGCTACCGCTATGCTACCGCTTGAAAGCCCTGGCTTTACGCATCATACGATGTCGTACTTTTCTGATACCGCCAGGAGCTCGGGCGTCACCAACAGCAACCGAATGCGGGGCTGCCCGCCGCCTCCGCCGGCGGCGGCCGCACTCAGATCCGCCAGTACGGCATTCCGCTCCGCCGCCGGCAGCGCGGAGGAGAGCTGCGCCGCCTTCACCCCCACGGCCCTGAGGTTGGCAACCTGATCCTGCATGAGGGCTGGATTGCGCAGGGCAAGGGGGGCGCATGCAAGCGGGGTGAAGGGGGGTTGGTAAAAGGGGTAAACCAATACGCGGAACACACCGATCCGGACCCCAAGTAGCCAAGCCTAGGTAACCGAGGAGGAGGGCGGAAGGGGGCGGGGTTAGGAGAGGAAGTGGGTAGCTTTTGGTGCAATATGGAGTACCGGTAAGCAGTTAGAGGTGCGGGGTAGTACGTTACAGCCTTTCTAAGCAAGGCACGCACACCCAAGGTACTTCCCTGTGTGTCGTACGCACCTAGCAGTGGCGACACCACGACGCAGAGCCCCGGCTGCGCCAGCGCCGGAATGACGTAGCACACGGTCTTGCCGCCGCCCGTGGGCATAATGACCAACACGTCCCGCCCTGGGTTTGGGGGGGATGTCCATACGCACAATGTTGCGTTTCATGTCACACGTCAGGGCGTGACAGGGAGGTGGGCGGGGGGTGGACAAGGTGGGCGGGATCTGGGTTGGAGGATGAGCGAGGCGGTTGGTTCAGGGAGTTACAATGGAACCCCCGAACACACAGTTCTCACAATGCCGTATTAGAGTACATGCACCCGACATGCGACACTTGTTGTGTCATATCATGCCCAGGGACGACGAACGAGCCCACACACCTCCCCCGTCAACCCAGCGCCTCTCCCGTCCCCCTCCTTCCCCCCTCCTCCCCCCCCTCACATGCGCTGTCGTACCTGCCAGGGCTGCGAGCACCGCCTCCTCTTGACGACCCCGGAAGGCGTCGAACCCTGGCCATCGTGGGAGGGCGAACACAGCAGCAGCCACAGCGGTACAGTAAGCGGATACTTCGCGCCATTCGATAAGATAAAGTCGAGAAATAAATGGTTCACCATATGTTGATTTTAGGACTGCAAGCGCCCGCGCGCGATTAGCTGCCTGCACTTGGGGTCGTTTGGCGGTTGCTTGGTGCTCTGTGGGCTCTAGAGCCAGACAGCCGCGTTTCTTTGCGTTGCTACTCATAATAAAATTCAGTGTTGCAATTCAGGTCATCAAAGCGCGACGAGAGCAAAAGCGAAGCAAATTGCTGCACGAACGCGCGCGAAAAGTGGTGTCCGGCAACACGCGAGTAAACCGCTGCAGCATTATAGCATTAATGTGTCAACTAACTGCCACACTATGCACCCGGACTTGATGCCGGATTGGATTACCCCAATCGCAGGCAGTACCGTTGAACCAAGGGTCGGCTTGTGTACAGGGTCATGTCAGCCTCAGCGCCGTCGCGCCTTCAATCAGTGGAAACCCCTTCCCTTAATCCTAATTATTTAAATTTTGTGTTGATCGTCCAGGTAAACCCCCGAGTTCATCCTTACACGATTGGCTGCCAGGAGTCGTACAAGTTGAAGGTATGGACATCTCCCCCCCCCCAACCCAGGGATTCTTCTTTTCCCCAACCCAGGGCGCGACGTGTTGGTCATCATGCCCACGGGCGGCGGCAAGACCGTGTGCTACGGTGCACGACAGCCCTTGCACACCACGCATTGTTGAGGAATATGCGGTTAGTGTCGACAGCCCCTGACGCGTTGCACCTTCAGTTCAGGGTAGTTCCCTGTGAGCTCTGCGCCTGGAACAATGTCCAGCTTGGCCTTCAGAATGATGACTTGCGGCAGGATGCTTGACTCGATCGCTGCAGGTGACCAGCGGCCTGCTGATCTTGCAATGGTAGGCATTCACAGGCAGATAGGCACTTGCACTCCACTGAAAAGTCGATTCAGCAACCAATGCAGAGAGCACGGTGTCTGGATGCACCTCTGCCTGGCTGCACTGGAGATCTGCACTGGCTATGTGGAAAAGATCCTCTCTCCAGGCAAGGACTTGAGCAAACAAAAGAGTGAGTTGGAGAGAGGCTGACCCCACAGCGTGAGAGTAGCACGGTTACACACAACATAACACATACGGTGTCTCCCTCTCTCCCGCTGGCAATCCTGCAACTGACAGGACGGGCTGAGCCGCCACCGCTGCTGCACAGATGCCACGGAGCCCTCGCATTGTACTGCACGTGCGCTTAGGTGTACGGCCAGCAACTGTGGCGGATACATTACATACGTTACATACACGTTAGGCTGCAGTGAAGGGGGCTGTACGCGGATACATTACTACAGCATGGACGTGGGTGGTCGTACTTTGGGTACTGTGGTACAACCACCCACATCCATGCTGTAGTAATGTATCAGCATACAGCCCCCTTCACTGCAGCCTAACGTGTGTCACAATGCAACGGCACCTGCCTGAGAAGCTGCGGCAGTGTCAGACACCCGCAACGGCGTTGCACGGTTCCTCCTCTGTGTCCAACTCATTCCTATCACAGTCCGGCTCAACCCCCGGCCCCAGGCCATACAGCCCCAGCCAGCACAGCTCCACCTCACACCAACGCAATGCTGCTGGCGACCATGTTGTGTTGTTGTTGCTGCTGCTGGCCACCGGATATTTACTCCTTCTTAATACTAAACTCTAGGATCTTCACCATGTCGGCCTTGATCTGGTGCATTTCGGCCTTGAGCTGGTGCATGTCTTCCTTGATCTGGCGCATGTCGGCCTTAACCTGGTGCATGTCGGCCTGAAGGATGCCGACCCTGAGGCTTAGAGGTTGAAGCTCTAGCGCAACCATCTTTTCTGTCTCCGCGCCCTTCTCCTTGAGCTTCTCCACAGACTGGTGCAGTCCGTAGAAGTGGTCATACGCCCCCTTTGCTGAAGCCCCCAACACCAAAAGGCACGCTGGCACGCTGGCGGTGCGAAACGCCATCTGCATATGTGCATGCAATGCCACAAGATGTCAATTAGGAGTTAACAGGGCCAGCATCCTGACGAAACGCCTTGCGCACGACTAACAGTGAGCAATATGCAGAGTCTGAGCTGTGTGGGGGAGTTGATTGGGTTAAAAGAATTGAAAAGTCGGAGGTTTTGGACCCTGAGAGTTGGAGTCCTACCTACTATGCTGTGAGGCGTCTTGACGAGCTTCTATGGGTACAGGAACACCCTTGAGATTTTCGAAACGAGTTCCGGTCTGAGCGATTAACCAGAAACCGCGCAGTAAGTAACAGTGTGATAACCTTCTTGCATCCTTCGCAGCCTCAGTCGCTCAAGCAAGCTGACACCTTCGCGCAGGGCGCAGCTTCCTTGTCGTACCAACGGTATCCAAAGTAACACCACAGAAGAAAAAACGCCGCTGGGCAGTTTCAGTATTAAAAAAGCAGGCAGGGCAAAGGCGGATCCTGGTTAAAGTCGCAAGAAGGCTTATTGTACTGCATTGAAGCTGCAGCTCCTCCAATGCCAACAGGTAGCATTTGACGAAAGCTGCCATAGGAAGCTAACATTAGGCATAGCTACGACGGCTGCGGAAGACCAAAGCTTTAGCATCGACGCCATCGACATGCGCTCAACAAGCGCAGTCCCTTTCCCGACCAAAGCACGCTGACGAATCCAGGCTACAAGAAGCAGCGAAACAACATTAAGTCGCAACGGTACCTCAATTGTATAAGACCCGTGCAGGCCGTGCTTGAGCACGGACGCCATGCCAACAAGAAAGGTGCAAACAAGCGACAAGAGGTCACTTCCAGTGAGGGAAACGAATGCATACCACGTACATGAGGTAGCACCTTGTACGCATACATGTAAGGGGGGATGGGGGTATGGGGGAAGGGGCTGGTGCAGATGCATAAGATGCATAAGGTGCCAAGGGAGGCAAGAGCTCCACAGACGGCTGCGACACTCCACGCTAGTTCGGGTTCAGGTTCAGGCTACACGTTCTTCGTGTACGACTCAGACGCGCCAGTTGTTGGGTCTGAGAACACACAACGAAAGAAAGGAAAAAGTTTAAGACACATCACAAAGACTCATCAGAAAAAGCTTCAATCAGCTCCTCTGATAAGGATGTTCCTTCACACCCAAACCTGACTGACAAGTGACAACTTCAGCCAACCGGTTCACGCACTGACACCTCGCTCATCACACGTTCCATGTTACTGCCTCACGGTGCGTCCTGCCACAACTCATACCGAATGTCACCGTACGCTGGACCGCTCATCCTCCACAACATGCTCACCCCCGCAGGCCAGACAGCCCCTCTCATTGCGCACCCGCCCTCTTGGACGGTTCACAGCGATGTCCCAGACACTCAGCCTGAACCGGGTCAACGCCACATATTACCAGGTGGTAAGGCCCCTGGTAACAGGCCCCTGTTTACCAGCCTTCCCAAGAGTCCTGGTTACCAACCCTAAGACCTGGTACCGGTATTCAAACCAGGGCACATTACCAGCCTGGTAATCTTCTAATGGTAATTACCGGTACAAGTTGGCAGCCTGATACCTGATAACCAGCCGTTCACGTCTTGAGGTGGCAGGGGCAAGGGTCTTGAGGTGGCAGGGGCGAGGGTAACGAGGTAGCAGGGGCGAGGGTAATGAGGTGGCAGGGGTGGTTGCGGCGCCGGCCAAGGTCGTCGCCTGCCTCTCTCCACGTTTGGGCGCGCCTTCGCTGCCTCTGGCTACGCTCTGAGCAAGGCTTTGTATCACCTGGAGTTTCAGGGTCTCCCCGCGCAGCACGCCCTGACCCGCCTGCAGGGCACCGTGGCTGCTGTCGTCGATCGCCGTCTGTCCCCTTCCCAGCATGCTACTGCCCCCCATCAGCGCCTCACCGGGGTCGGCCTCGACTGCCTCGCACTGCCTCCAGCTGCTGGCGGCTTTGGGCTCCTCCCCCTGGTGCAGCACGTCCGCGCCCGCCAGGCTGCCACTGCGGTGCGCTTTGTGAGCGGTGCCTGCGGCCTCCTGCCCGTTACTCCTCCCTGGGTGCGGGTGGCGCTGACTCTGATGCGCCGTTGTCATCCCGCAGCCCACCCCCTCTGCGTCCTCATGCCCATCGCCGGCCGGACAGTCCTGGACCGCCCCACCCCGGCTGACTGCCCCGCCCTGTGCTCCTTGGTCGGTGCTCTCGCGCCCCTTGGCACCCTCCACATCCCGGACCCTGCTGCACTTGCTGGTCCCTGGTGCTCCTCTGCTCCCTTGTGGGGCAACCCAGCGCTGCTGACCACCGAAGGCGCCGGCCTGGAGACCGCCTTACCCGACCTTGCCGCCCTTCCCGGCTTCACCTCCATCGGGATCACTGTTCGGAGCTGGCTCACCCTTCGGAGCCTCCCCTGCTTCCGTGCGGCGGCTCTCAACCCCGCGGACCAGCCTTCTCCCCGCCTGCTGCGGCAATGTACTCGGGCCTTCCGCCGCCTGGTCCTCCGTGAAGTGTTGGCCTTCCCTGCTGGTATGGAGTTCCTCCACCGGCTGGTGTCGGGCTGGCATGCCTTCTGGCGCCTCCACATCCTTCTGCTCCAGATCCCGCACCCCTGGGTGCTCGACCGCGGCTGGTGACGGCCGCGGCTGACGGTGCGGCTGCCATGCCGGCCGACGAAGCCTGGCGGGTGCTCGCCCTTGCGCTTGTCTGGCGCCCCACGCCCCCCTTCCACACCGCCCCCCCCCCCCTGCTTCGCCTCAGTGTGCGCCTTGGCACCCAACCCCAGCTCGCCCCTGCCTACTGCGACCTCCAGGCTAAGCATTCCGCCTTTGTGGCGGAGGCCTGCGGGTCCCCCGACGCCCCCCTGCACTCCTCGCTGATTTTCGGTATACCTTGGCGCGGCTGTGGCGCCTGCGCTGGGAGAACCAACACAAGGAGGCGCTGTGGCGGCTCGCCCTCAACGGCTGCGCGGGCTTCCCTCTGCATGCCAGCCATGCCGCCCGGGAAGCCATGCCGCCCGGGAAGCCATGCCGCCCGGGAAGCAGGGCCGTTCGTACTCATTGGCCTGCCCGTGTGGAGCACCCCTGGTCGCCCTAGGAATGGCACAGATCGGTTACACTTGTTTTTGGAGTGCTTGTGGCCCGCACCCTTCGTGAGGCCCTGGGCGAGGCCTTAGGTGCACCCGTGGGCTCACTTGATAGTGCATTTTTCTAGGCAACATTTGTGGTTAGTCCGACCTCCCGACAGTGTGCATGCATGTGTGTGGGATGTCGCGGCGATGGCCGCTCTCTCGGCTCTTGAACAGGCCCGTAGGTGCTATGCTAACAACGGTGGCCGGGCCCCCCTGTCCAGACGGTCTATTCTTGTGCTGGGAGCTCGTGTCGTTGCTGATTTCTGGTCCCGCCTCCAGCCCTTTGCTGTCTTAGGTGTGCCTCCCCGAGGCTGGGACTGTGTTCCCCCTATTCACCCCTTTCCTTGCAAATGTGGCTGGCCATGTACGGTTTGTTGGCCCGCCTGATACTGCGTCCCCGCCGGCCTCCCCGACACTGAATTGATTTGCCATTATTGCTCATTTCGCAGGCTTGGCCTGAGTGTTGTTTTCGCATAGCGGGCTTAGTTGCCACCGCTCCTTATAACCCTAGGTAAACAAAATTAGTAATTTGCGGCAGCGCATGATGGTTTCGGTGCGGCTGCCGTACAGTTCCTATATATCCCTGGCTAAACATTGTAGGGCCCTCGCGAATTCCAATCGTCGCTGTGTTGCTGCGCCTCTAAATCAGCCAAACAAAGCTTTATATCTTACCAGTTTTACACCCTTTATTCATTTATGTAATTGGAATAATCGAAGTCCGCTTTTGGCCATAGCCTCGGTCTGCATGAACCAGCCATTCCCACGCAAACCACCCCAAAGCTCCGCGCCAAAGACCCAACCGGGTCCTTTGGACCCACCATAACGTTTTGACATTTGCTTCAAGCAAAAGGCCACCGCTTCAACCTATTGGGTCACCGGACACATGGTCCGAGCGCCGTACGCTTCTCAGCGAGACAGCTGATATATTGTTCTGGTCCATCGTTGCCTTTGCTTTTACCATAAATCACAATTGACCCAGGTTGACTATAAGAGTCTTAGCTTACTTTTCGCCTTCTCATTCTCGGCTTTGGCAAACAACATGCCAACATTGAGCAAGCCCGCGGCATTCTACTTCGGCTATGGCGGCCTCGAAGCCATGGACTGAATGTTTTGGCCCCACGTCCTAGCTTATGGTTGGTGAGCCAGGGTTTCCTTTCGTGCTTTGTTGCATCTCGACTCCTTAAGCTACAGCCATGCTAACATCGACCGCGGGACTCGCGAAAGCCACACCGGTTACAACCATCAACAGTTTAAAAGACCGTAAAGAATCTTCCCCGTTGTGCAGAACATGTCCCTGGAGAGTCTCCAACCCCAATGTTAATAGCCATTCCTGATGCTTGCAGGCAGCCGGCATCCTTTCTCAGCAGCAACCAGGCACCTTTATGCCAAACGTGTCCACGCCTACTACCTTGCCCCCTGATGCCGACGGCCATAAAGTTGCGCGTCATCGGTTTGTGTTACCTGATCATGAGAACAGCTGCACTGACCCCACTTCCACTGATGATTATCATAATAATGCCCACTTGTGCATGCGCAGAAACCCACGTTACAGCAATCATCGCAGGATTTGTGAGTGATACAGATCACTTTTTTGGCTTACGGCCGCACGGCACCCTTCCAAAGAAAGTAGGTGACTGAAGCCCCTCATCCCCCTGTCCCGCCATTGCCACAGATTTCGCACCTACAGGCATCGGCACATCCTTTTTACATTAAATTGCCCCTCGAGTGGCTGTTGCTGCAGTACCAGCTTCCCGTTTCATCATAAGCCAAGGAAAAGTACTCTTTAATGCTGTCAGTACTGTGTCATGAACTGAACAAGGAAGGAGGAACCGATGACAAACCACAACCACACATGCCTAACGTCTGCGCTTAAGATTATTATGGCTGGGCGTGAGGGGATTGGCCATCCTATCACACCTGGTACGTGGGACCCCACCACCCTCTTTCATTTCTTTATTGAGTTTGTTCTCAGGGCAATCCTTTCTGCACGGCATGGACGCCTAAGCCCCAAATGAGCTGCAACGTACACGATCTTAGCATTTAACAATCCCGAGGCTTGCAAGTGTTAAATAGCATCCCATTTCCGGCATGGGGAAGGGATGGGGTTCAGCGGTGGGGAAGGGGCAGTGGGGCCCTTCCCCACCGCATGCCCCATTCCCATACTAAGGTTTCGTGGGTTAAAATGCGGAACGGAGCGGTGGCCGACCATCTCAAAGCATGATGTTTGTGGTGCTGTGGCCTTGCGGGCTTGGTTTTTGGTGGCTCTGTGTCTGGCATGGCTCCTTGCTTTTTGCAGGGCAGGTCCCTGGGGTAACTTGCTTTGTTGCGGCTGCCTAGCGTGTACCGCTAGCGATTGGGTCTCTTGTACGGCTTCCAGGCTTCCAGGAGTTCCTTCCCATTCTCAGCGCCGTCGCGCCTTCAATCAGTGGAAACCCCTTCCCTTAATGCAATCTCGGCATTCAATTCTAATTATCTGTGTCTTGATCGTCCAGGTAAAGCCCCGAGTTCATCCTTACACGATTGGCTGCCAGGAGTCGTACAAGTCTAGGCGCTAGGCGAGATGGAATGGAAAGCAGCGTACAAATTGGAATGGGTTTTACAGAGGGAATTCCACGGTAATATATGCTGTTACCATCGCGGTATGTCTGACTTATGCACCAAGAGAGATAAAGAGGGGTGTACATTGCGTACTGGCGGTTAGTGCGGGCGTGATGACGAGTTTGATCACGAATGGATCACGTGCACACTTCGTTTGACCACAAGCCCCTGCAACAACATAAGCGGAGATGAAAGAAAAGATAACGCAAAAAAGAAGAAAAGAAGTCTGTCATGCGCCATAATACTACGCCCTCTGCACTTAACCCACAAAAGGATGCCGGCCACAACTATAACCCACGGCTGCTGCTACCGGCATGCGCCGCGCTTGCGCTAGGCGCCCTAAATCCACGCACCGTCAAACGTGGCAAGTAAAGACATGCATTAAGGCCCAGTCCAGCCGCTATAACCAAGTCACCCTATTGCCCTGGTTGCAGAGTGACTACTTTGACACGATTTACGACCACACAGCAAACCGCAGTCCAGGGAATATCCAGCACAACCCCATATCTGTCACTAGCCCACTTATTATGGGACACACTCAGGCCAGGGGTGGTTGCGGCTCTACTACTGAGCAGTGTAAAGAAAAGGTACTCGTGATGTATGCCATGAACCCAGATCACTTGCGGTGTCTTGCAACCGCGCATAGCTAGTGAAGAGCCCGGCCGCGGCCATTGCATCCAGCAACAGCTACTAAGATGGGCGCGCGGCCATGACAGTGGACCGTGGGGCCTGCTGGGCCAATCCGCCGACGATAATGGCTACCTGTACTGCAGCAATCCTGGTTTGAGATCACCTCTAGGCTGCAATTAACCACTATTAACCTCCCTTCCACAATGACACAGCCATAACATGTTGCTAAGCACCCGCTAGTTCATGCCTGTTGGACACGACCTCAGCGGCTACTGCCTAACGTGTCTCACGCGCAAGGCATATACGGATGCTAAATAAACACTCTCCCGTGTCATTCAAATCGCCAGCATAATCCTCACACATACACACTTCTTCGTGGCAACGCCACCGACTATGGCACTTGGTCTGTACATTCCTGCAAGCCGGCGCGAGGGCCCAATGCAGGACATTCCGCGGCGTGCTAAGGTGCTATTAGTAAGCCTTCCAAAAAAGGCGCTGGAAAGCAATGCTAGGTAATCCAAGCGTCTCCTTCAATGCCCCTTGTTCTCGTCCTAGCTCTGCCAACTACGGTCAAGAAAGAAGCAAAAAACGTTCTCCGAGCCCCCTGCTCAGTACAGCGGCCGGTTCATCGCGGCGGCGTTCTGCAGAAGCAGCAGCGTGTTCAGGTCCTGCGGCGGCTGCGCCATGAACGGGTGCGCCGGTGGCGCCATGTGGCCCATGAGCGCGGGCTGCATGTGGGGGCTAGCCAGCGTGGGCGACATCTGCATGCTGCCACCGTTGAGCAGCGACGCCGCTGCCGCGACTTGCTCTCGTGCAGCCGCCAGCTTCGCCAAGGCATCCATGTACTGCTGCTGGGCGTTCATGGAGCGAGCTTGGTCTGCTAGGGCCTGCTGCAGCCGAAGGGCCTGCTGAAAATCAGCAGGAGCCGCGGCACCGCCGCCACACGAGTTGTAAGGTCCCACGGGGTTAGGCCGGGGCACCGGGCGGGGAATCTGGTTGTGGGTAGCAGCGGCGGTGCGGAGCGGCGCCAGCGCAGGCGCGCCTGGGAACACAGGGGGAGCAGGCCCGAAACCCGGAGCCGAAGGCCTGCGCATGGTGCCGGGGTCGCTGCTGACGACACCAGGACGACTTGACGGCACGCCGGGGGCCGTCGGAGCGGGCGCGTGGCCACGGAAGGGATCCTCGGACGCGCCGCCGCTGGTGGTGTTACCAGAGGCAGGAGCAGCGGGAGTGGAGGTGGCAGAGGCACAGCAGGCAGCCGGGGTGGCATCCATGGGCGCAACAGGTGATGAACCAGCCGAGCAGCAGCTAGGGCCATCGCACGACACCGGCGCAAGCTGAACGGTCGTAGCAATGCTGCTATCATCGCTAGCGTGGACGGAGGCGCTCTCGTCGGTGCTGGCGTCGTCGGCAAGGGAGCCTGGGGCGGAGGACTGGGCGCGAGCACTGCCCGGGGCAGCACACCACTTGGCGAGCCGGCTGTGGGCCAGAGCCATGGTGCAGGTCTTGTTGTCGGCTAGGTTGGGCCCGGCGGTAACGAAGACGGCGCCGTCGGAAACGTCCATCGAGGCAGGCGTGGCGGGATGGGAACTCATGACGGACGACGGAGCGGCACCAGCGGCAGGCCCTTGGATGTCGGAGATGGACAGGGTAGACAGGTTGAGCAGGTCAAACGGCATCTGCTGCGGAGCGATGTCGTTGAGAGGAGGCGCCAGGGGTGACTCGCGTTGCTGCGAGGGCAGGAAAGGAAGGGATGAGGGCAATAATTGTTTGTTTCACGACCAAGGGCGCTTGCAGGTGACACGAATGAAGGCAACGAAGGGGCAGAGGAATGAATATAGTTCTGCACCCGCAACCATTAGGGTTGGGAAACCTAAACTACTAACGGACGGGACATGACGGAGGAGTTGAAGCTGATATGACAGGCCCCCAACTTACCGCCAGCACGAAGTTGTCGAGCCAGGCAGAAACATGAGGATTCTGGGGCTGTTGAGGAGGGCTCGGGGTGTCCAGGAGTTGCGCCAGCTGCGCCATCAGGTCAGCCGGCTGGAGCTGGGAAAGTTGAAGGGCCTGTTGAAGCGCCTGGAAGTTGAGGACATCTACGTTGTGCGTGTTGCCCTCTAGAGCGCGCTCGGGGCTGAACCATTTTACAGAAAGTCTCCGTCCCATGAACATAAGGTTATCGATGGCCTGCATAGCTGCGACTGCCTCCTCGTGGCGCAGGAAGGTGACGATTGCGAATCCGGCCGAACGCCCAGAACGATGCCTTGCAATCTGCAGCATGGCAAAATGAGTAACGGTAAGATGGGTTAACAGCCTGTAAGAGTACTGCCTAACTATTGTTGAGGTCCGCCCGGCTTCTGCCCAACTGAACAGCTGCGCACGCCACTCCCGACAACTTCATACGAATCCGACAACATCTTAGGCCGACCGGGACCGGAACCAAGCATCGAGATCTATACTGGATGAACCCATAGAGCCTAGGGAGACAAAAGGCCGCCTCGGTTTCACCATGTACTCATGCTTGCAAGCCCAAAGACTCACCTGGCAGTCCGTGACGGTCCCAAAGGTTGAGAAGATGGCCTGCAGATGCGCAGATGTGCAGCCCTTTGCCAGGCCTTTCGCAAACAGCACGCGGCCAGGAGTAACCGCTTGCTGTGGAGCGGGCCAGCAAGCCATGCCAGCTCCCAAGGTAGTTGCCATTGTTTTCCGATGATAAAGGATAGACGTGGGTGCGCCGGCTTTGCGTATCGGTTGCAAGGTATACGCGGAAGGAGATGAGTAGCCAAGTAATGTCTTGTCACCTTGTGTATCACCTTGAAGCTTTGAGAATTGATGCCAGGAACAAGAGGAATGTAACTTATATATTATATGCCCGGGGTAGAGGAAAGGATGGGACTATAGTGGCCGCTGACAGCGCTACGGGCGCTTCCGTACTGCAGCACAACTGTTGGGTCAGCCCACACAGCTACCCTCCCAGAGATGCAACTTGCCCCTTCACCTTCTCATGGTTTGGTGCTTTCTCCAAGGTGCCTAAGGTCTCCTGAGGCTCTGTTAGTGCGTGTTCCGACTCTTTTGAACGCAACCGCCGTGTCTGAACGTATTCTTTAATTGCCTTGTCTGCAGCCTTGTTAACCTATAAGTGATATAGGCAGTCCTCTTTTATGAAGCCTTCTTCTGATGATGTTCCTTACTAGGGACTTCATAGTCAGCACAGGTTAGAAGAAATCCTTATCAAGGCAAGGGTATTGGAACAAGTCGAAGAGCCTCGTGCCATACATTTACGGAACGCTTGGTCTTCATCTGCGTCATGGCCCAAACTTCTCCGGCTGGGCAGTGAATTTATGTTTTCTTCCCAACATGTATGCATTTCTAGCGTCGGTTCAAGGATTCATCTGCATTGGGCAGGGCGGAGAGCGGGGATCTTTGCTTGTGGCGCTTTCATGCCACACGAATACAATAAGCTGAAGGACTCTTAACCAAAATCATGTTTTTGTCAGCTTGGTCGATACATGTTCTTGCTGGTAGCACCGTGGGTCTTCGGGTGCCCAAACTGCCCCTTCGTAGCGAAATGCCACCTTCAGGCACCCAACTAGCCGCTTCTGCGAGCACCCTTGCGTCGTTGGGTTGTGGGCACTTCCCTCCAATTAAGCGCTGCAAGGCATGGACACGCTTTTCCGGACAGTGCACATCTCAGGGTTCTCCGCAAGTGTGCTGCCGCGTGTCACCCTGCTCTGTGCTGTAGAGCATGCTAATCCGTCCTCTTGGACACGCAGATCCATACTCGCATAGTACTGACCTGGACATCATGGCTTATTGTAGGCCGGCGGTATGGCGTTTGACCTTCCCTGATGTTTGCCGTACCTTCCTTTTGATACTGGCATGGGCTTGGTTGACAGTTCCAAGCAACACCCCTTGGAAGAGTGATAGCGAGGACATGCCGCCCTCGTAGATAAGCGCTCGAACAACACCTATGAGGCCCCTCGTCCAAGTGGTGCCCTCTTCCGTGCCCAGTCAGTACTGTTTGGATCTGGGTGCATCGCAGCATCAGGCATCATCAGAGGAACACCCCACTATACGGCAAAACGGGTCCGACAGGTCCCGGGCCCCAGGACTAGTCACGACCCCCCATGCATTCTCTAAGGGCACCCTCAGAGCCTACTGGAAGGATTTGCTTTGCCCCACAAATAGCCACCCCCGCGTAGGCGACACCTGACATTTGCACGGGATATCTCCAGGGAAGTCACATGAATGAGGAGTATGGGCGCCGACGCAACGCTGCATGCACACGTGGGAGCTTACTGATGTTTACCGGTAAATGGCTGTATCGGCGGTGTGTCCAACGTGGCGTGAGCGTAGCTTCCATAAAGGCTTTACGTCAGGTTACTGTAACGGAGGAGGGTACAGCGCATGTGCTGCGCACGCCCTTCAGGAGGAATGGCGCATCCGGAGTCTGATGTTCCTTCTGCATGGCCCAAGGGTCACTCCTTTAGAGGCCCCTGGCAACCCGGATGTTCCGCAATGCGTACATGATAGACGCAAGGTACAAAGGGGGCGGTAATGCCACATGACAGACATGAGGATGCCGTAACCCGTGAATGCATGCAGGGAAGGAGATGACCAGCACCCATGGGGACGTAGAACTTGCACCCTATCCCCATGCCTTTGCCAAAGCTATATTGAGGCTGCAAGGGGTGGGGAAACATGTATGGGGATATTGTGGTTGGGTTCAAGTTACATTGGGCGTCTGTTTGCCGGGGCCTCTTGCTCGCGGCATTCCCATACCCAAGCATTACCCAGACCCCGTGGCAAGCCCCTACGAGCTGACGACTGCCCTATCGTATGACCACGAAGACAATGCTCGTAGCGCCAAATAACCGCTCCTATCGTGAAGATATAGGAAGGTCAAAACAATTGAGGAGCTGCTTGGAGGGCGTTGTCGAGCAAGCTAGCATCGCCAGGTCCTGACTCCCGCACCATCCTTTCCAAAATGCTCCCCCCAACCATGCATGAAGCAATCTAAAGTAAGGCAAGGATGGGCAAGGGGTATGGTTCTATGGTTAATGACCCAAACGGTTCGATGTCGGTTGCGTCGCTTCGATGGATTGGCCCAGCAGCTAGTACGTCGGGCGGGTCGGGCTTGACCTAGCCGGGTTTTCGACTGGCTCGGGCTTTCCATGTTTCTCAACTGTAATTTTGCTTTCCTTTATGATTACATACTCATCGTTTGCCCAAAAGAAATAATGTCAGACACCTCGGGGTACTTGTTGTCAACTGGCAGATGAACAGCGCTTTGTCAACTATGCACCTAAATCTTTTGTCTATAGGATAGATCATTCAATTACAAGACAGGTTGGGGCTGACTAACCGAGCAAATAGATTGACCGAAAACTTCCAAGTCGATGGCTCCCTCCCGAGGCCATTCTAACTAACAGGACGCTAACCAGCTAACAGAGTATGGTGCATGTCGCGGACTGCGCCGTCTCCCTGGGCTACCTCTTGCAATTCGCGCGAAACTGCGTGCCGGATGGCTTCAGCACCGCGGACGTAGTGCAGCGCATTGTAAAGCCAGCCACGAACGCGCAACGCTGCCGATATGTGTCTCTTGCATCAGTTCCGCCCAGCGCCGTAGGCAGGAGTCAATACTTCATCAGCCATCGCTGGGGTGCTGACTTCACCCAGGAGCTCGTCGCCTTGGTTGCCGGTCATTTCGCAGACGCTGCAGATGCATCAGGGACAACGGCCGCGCCCGGAGGGCTGCGAGGTCCCGCAGACGGTACGCTGTCTGCGGGAAAATGCCCGAACCAGCTTCCTCAAGCTCACACGCTGTGTCACAGCCGTGACGCTGACGTACCATCAGCAGGATTGAATGCATCAAATCTCCCAACAGGCATCCAGACAAGCGCTTCCCTGCGATCTTCGGTCTCTCCATGCGGGGTATACAGTACGGCATCCCTCCCTGTTCATACGAACAACGGCAGACGGATCTCCAGCAGCGGAAGAAGCGGTTGCCAAACTCCCGTGACATCGCCCCCGACGCCCTCATGCCGTAGCACGCTCCCAGCTGCTGCCGCAGTCGCCATCCCCCCTCCACGAACCTCATCCATGCCCCACGGCCCAGCTCGGCACCCCAGCCTGAGGCCCACCAAGCCCCATCTCCGAACCAGTAGGGACTACAACGAGCCCCCATTGGAGGTGGTTGCAAGCGGAAACAGCGTGACAAGCATCAAAAGCGGCTACAGCATTCAGAGGGCCGAACAGGGATCAGGGATCGGGGCCGCTGGCGGGCCTAAAGCATACGTCGACAGGGTTAACAAAAGCTCGCGCACAGGCCTTGTTGCCATGGCACAACTCCCGGGGACCACCGCTGCAGCCGCCGCTGGCCCCGTCGAGACCGACGTCCTGCTTGAATACGACCACCTCGAACTTTTCGACCGTGATGGTTCCTTACAGGGAATTTCCCTCAATCCTCTCCTATGTCATCCGCCTTGTCCCCAGCAACAGCAAAGGCGGCCACAGCAGCTACAGCAGTACCAGCATTCGCCCAGCCGGCAGCGGCATCAGCCGTCCTCGCCGCCCTTTCCCTCGCCCTCCGTTCGCACCCAAAAGCAACGATCCTTCGCCCGCAGCTGCACCTCATCTCGGCACAGCAGTCGTGACATGCTACTTAACAACCCCTCTGCCTGTAGCACCGGTTTCAGTCCCAGAAAGACTCTAGCCTACGCAGAGAGCATGCGGCTTAGGCCGCGAACCCCGCCGCCACCATCGGAACAGGGTACCGCGACAGCCGTACAAAGTACGGCGTACGACAGCTCTGCAAACGCCTCCCCAAGCGCTGCGGCGCTTGCAGCGGCTGCTGCAAGCCATGAGGCAACAGCAGCAATAGCTTGTGATGGTGGTGGTAGTGGTGGTTCTGGTACAGCTGCGCATGGCTTGGGACGGGAGGTATCAGCCATTACCTCCACCGCTGGGTCTATGTGCATCCCGGCCTCAACAGGCATCAGCAGCAGTAGCAGCGGCGGCGGCAGCAACACGAGCGGTGGCAGCGGTATCGACCGCCGCACCTACCGAAGCAGCAGCAGCCGCTTCATGGCTTCTGGACGCGCCTCCCCCGCCTTCGCACCCCATGGCTCCGTCGCCGCAGCCGCGACTGCTGCCGCTGCAACCGCTTCCACCACAAGTTCCGCAGCAACCGAAACCGCCGCACCCAAGCCGTACAACACCGTCAATGCGGAGTTGGTTGACGGGTTGTTGGCGCGGTTCGTTGGTCGGGAGCAGCTGCTACGGGAGACCTTTGTGTGGCTCGACATATTCGCCATCAACCAACACCCCGACACCACGCAGGTGAACACAGGGCTGTGCATGGATGCGGCTGCAAGGGGTCATGTGATTCAGGTTTGGCCACTCCCTTACTGGCACAGGGAATATGGGCAATTGGAGGTTTCCTGCTGTTTGGGTCTGTTGCGGAGTGTCTATCACCACATGCCGCATTGCCGCTGCCGGTGCCCGGGGCCCAAATGCAGGGTCCCCTATAGCCTAGGGTCCGGATCCTAGGCTATGGGGGACACTGCATACCGGTACCCGCCTCCTCGCACTGGGGGTGACTTCATGCCCTATAAACCCGCCCCGGCCCCTGCCCGGTCCGACCCACGTTGTGTTTTCTTCTTTTGTTTGCACGGCCCTATTCACCAGGCTGAGGACCTGTCCAAGCTGCAGGAGGTGGTGGGCTCCTCGCAGGCAACCCTGCTGGTAAGCAGTGGATGGAGGGGGGCGCTGCTCTTGGTCATGGTGGATTGGTTGTGCGTGAGCCTGATGCTAGGGTAGGAAGGAATTACACGGCATGCAGCAGGCAATCCGGGTATGTATGGGTAGTTAGACACTTGTCGCGTAACGCTAACGGCAGGCCAGGGCAGGATAAACAGCTGGCACTATCTGCGCTTTCGTTGTCGTTCTCACCATGCGGTCACCCCCCTGGTGCAGGTGTTGGATGGCGATGGGCAGGTCCTTACCCGCATCTGGTGTCTGTACGAGATTTGGCAGACTGTACGACAGCGCGGAGCCAAGGTAGGGCTGCGTGATAAACGATAGCTTGTACGGCCTCCTGAGTTGCACGTGGGGTGTACGGCTGCTTGGGAGCCCATGACGACAGGTTTCCAGCGCCTGAGCAGGGAACGGTGCTGCGAGCCCTGCGCCCTTTCCTCACTCTCTACACATTACCTCTCAAATTCCTTTACTTCTGGGCCTCTCCTCCTTCGTCTGTCCCCTTCGCAGGGCCTACGTGTCCTGGCGGGCCAGCTGCACCACACGCACCTAGCCCGGGTGTGGGGAGATCTCGAGGTGGAGCGGGCGCAGGTGAGAGGGGGAAAAGGGCGCATTTCGGCGTGGGAACAAGTAGGGGCGGCCCCAGGTTTCGTAACAAGCCGCTGTACCGGTAAAAGCTAAACCCCCTACACCATCCCTTTCCCCTCGGCTCTTTCCTATTTCCTCCTCTCCATCCTCCTCTTGCTCCCCTTCCTCCTCCTCCTTCTGTTCCAGGCTACGGTGGAGGCTGACCACGTGCGCATCCTGGCTGACATCCGCGCCGATACGGGGGCGCAGCAGCTCAACCAGCTCATCAAGAGGGCCATCGTGGAGAGCGCCTGCCACGACCACCAGCTCGCCCGCTCCTCCGCATCCGCATCCGCCTGCCACTCCCCCGCCGCCTCACGCGCCGCCCTCCGCGCCGCCTACCTCCTGCGTCTGGCGGGTCGGACCCACGAGGCCCTGGCTGCAGCCCGTGAGGCGGCGGAGGGGTTCAGGGACGCCAGCTCCGCGCCCGGGATGGGGCAGGATGGAGCTGCAGGGGGAGCAGCAGCCGGGACGTCCTCCGCTGCCTCTGTTGCTGCGGATGGAACAGTGGCTGCCGGTAACGCTGCTGCTGCCGCAGCGACGGCAGCAGCGCATATGGAGACGTTACAGGTGGGGGCTGTGAGGCGCTTGGGGATGTTGGGTCCTGGGGGTGGATGGCCTGCTGTTGTACATCATGGGGCGGTGCCGTCCGAGTAGTTGCTTCTTATACATCGACGGCATTTCCCCCATGTAGCGCAGGCGTCGGCTCCGTGGCCTCCCTGGCTTTTTGGCTGCGGTCCTGCGCCTGCTGCCCTCCATGCGTGCCTCCTTTCATGCGTTATCTATGCGTTACCCGCGGCCCTTCATTTCACCCATGTCCACCCGTTCTCCCCTTCTCCCCTCCACCTTAGGCCCTGCGCACCGTTGCCGGCTGCCATGCGGACCTGGGGTCCTTGCCGCTCGCTGTGGAAATACTGCAGCAGCAGGTAGGGGAGGAGCAGGAGGGGGGTTTGGAGGTTTCGGAGCACAGCTGCCTTTGTGGCAGTAATGCAGGGCGGCATCGGGGCCCGTGCATGGGGATGCGTACGCTCTGTACGTTTCCCATGAAGCCTAAGGTGCACGGTTAACGAACACACGGCGTTCATTTAATGGAGCAGGCGGCAGCACGACCTTGTAGACCCACGATTTTTGCTGGTACCCACATCTGCTCGCGTACCCTGTACACTGCCTGTGCAGGTCGTTCCACACTTGGATGCTGCCGAAGTGGCGTACGACACGACCACCACCGCCGCACTGCCGTACGACGCCTTGTGCGACCTAGGCATGCTGCAGTACAGGATCGGTCAGTACGACATGTCGTACATGACGCTTCTGAGGGCGCTGTACCACCAGCTACGGGCCCTGCACCTTGCCGCTCCTAACGCCACACCCCAGTTGGTGGGTGCGGTGGTGCTGCCGCCGCCGCATGCAGGAAGCTTAGCAGCAGCAGCAGCCACCAGTACTGCTACGGCTGCAGCGACAGATGCATGGGAAGGAGGGAGGGGCCGGGGTAGTCGGTCCGATGAAGTAGTGGACGCAAGCGATGTTGTTGCATGTACGGCAGCGGCAGGGCCGACGGTTGTCGCCGTTGCGGCCCTGTCCGAGGAGCAGTTGACAGCAGCGATGGCTGCCGTACACTCGTTAGCGGCGGCGGTGGCGGCGGAGGCCGAGGCGGACAAGGAGAGGGGTGCAGGGGAGGAGGGCGGGTCTAGCAGAGGCGCCAAGGGAAGTAAGCTGCAAGGCGGCAGCGGAGGAGGGGGCAGCAGCGGTGGCTTGCGTCGGGCTGTGGAGGGTGTGGGAGAGCGAGTGGGGCTTACCCTCCACAGCTTGGGGCTGGTGCAGGTGAGTAACATGACATGGTGGGAATAGGGAGTGTGAGCTTGGAAAGGGTGATTTGGGTTGGTTTACTCGAAGGTTGGAGCTGTCCGGAAGGGGCGGGTCCGTGGATGGGCAGCTGGGCACATGCTTCTTCCTCTCTCCCACTCCTCTCCACTGTCTCTCCATTCCTGGCTCGCCCCGATCGCCAATTTTGTGTGAGTGCTCGGTAGGCCCGTAGCGATCTTAACATTATAGACCACTCGTAGTGACGCCCCTGACAACACGGCATGCATGCAGTGGGAGCGCTCTCGTCGTGTCCGAGGTTGCGGTGGCAGCAGCAACGACGGTGCGGGTGGCAGCGGTGCGGGTCAGGAGTGCGGCGCGGGGCTGGCTCGGCGAGCAAGACAGCTGCTGGAAGCCTCCGTAGAGGTATGTACATATACAACTTTTGGCTGGTTTGCACTGTAGAGGCGAAGGAGTGACCCGTGGGTCTTCTCGCGTTCCCTTGACGTGTAGTAGTCGCCTGCACACATGCAGGGAATACCCAAGGGCATATGTGTTCGGCATGGTCTTGTATTACGTTATTACGCACGCCGCCCTATTGTCCTGCTGTAGTCATTACGCAAGACGTTGATGGGCAGCTGGAGCTGTGATACCGCTGATACGCGGTCAGCTTGCGACCACTGTTGAAAGTTGCGACTGTTTTCCCATAATTTTTCGTCCATGCTCCTAAGGTATCCTAACCCCACCCCCACCACCTCACCCCCACCGCCCTTCCTCACCTCCGCAGCTGCTGGACGTGCTGAGCAGCGCGGAGGGCGGCCTCACCGCCCTGGACGCGCGCAGCAACCTGGCCATGATGGTCATGGAGGGGGGAGAGCTGGAGGTGGGCTGAGGGTGGGGCCGGGGGGGGCCGGGGATCAAAGACCATACCGAGCCATAGGAAACCGCAGGGCGGGGGGGTACTGGTAATGATTGGGGGAGGGCAGGGTTGCGGGTGGAGGGAAGGAGGGAGGGGATAGGGCAGCCGCATCATTTCCCATGCCTCTTCCTGCCAACCCCGCTGTCACCCCTTCTTCTCCCTCATATCCCCCATCCCTGCTGCCGGTGCCGCTCTCTCGCCCTCTGTACGGCAGTCCTGTGAGCGGCTGCTCCGCGCCACGCTGGCCCTCACGGAGCGGGTGTACGGCAGCGCCCACCCGCACACCGCCACCGCCATGAACAACCTGGCGCTGTGCCTCAAGGTGGGATGGGGCGCAGCTGGGGGCGGAGGTTTGAGGAGGGAGGCTTGAGGGGGTCGAGGAAGGGGATGATGGCTGGAGGGTTGTACGCGCTCTTTCCCTCCTACAAACGCCCGTTCTCCCGCACCTTGACTAGCATATGTTTAACTCGCACTAACTACCATCACACCCCCCCTTTCGTCTCCCCCTTTCTCCCTCCCCCTCCCCTCCCAGCGCTCCCGCCGCGCCCCCCTGCTGGCCGAGTCCGTCTCGCTGTACCGGCGCTGCCTGGCGGTGTGCGGGCGGGAGTTGGGCGAGGAGCACCCGGAGACGCTGGCGGTGGCGGTGAACCTGGGGGTGCTGCTGGCGGACATGGTAGGGGCTGGGGGGAGGGAGGAAAGGGGGGAAAGGGGAGGGAGCAGCAGGGATGGTGGCGGGGGGCTCGGGTAGGGGGATGGTTGAGGGATGGGGGGCTGGATGTACTCCACGCTGCCATGTTCACCACCATCACGCCATCCCGGCCCTCCTAAACGACTTTACCCCATGGCAGCTGTTTAGCAACCTCCTCCTGGTTTACTGCCCTATGCAGCGGCAGTGGTCCGAGTCCGAGGCGCTGCTCACCCGTGCGGTGGCCTGCTCCTCCTCCCTGCTGTACAATCACCAAAGCCACCACCACCACCACCACCAAAACCTGCCGTACAACGCTTCCGCGAAGACCTACAACACCAGCCACCTCAGCGGCAACACCAACAGCAACGCTAACCGCCCCAACCCCCACAGCGGCTCCCGCAGTGACGCCTACCGCGCAGCTTCCTCATCCTCATCGCAGTTCGCGTCCTTTACCAATGGACGCAGCATTGGTTTTGGGGCTGGGGCTACGGCAGGCAGCAGGGGAGATCTTGGCGGCGCTGCAGCAGCGGGAGGCTACGGGTGCAGCGGTGGCGGCGGGGGGTTGCTGGTGGCGGGGGGAGCAGCGGGCCCCCACCCGGACGCCATGGCGGCTCACAGGCGGTTGGCGGAAGTGCTGGAGTGCAGGAACAAGTGAGTGCGCATGCTGGGACAAGTAGGACCCCCTCCCCTGGTTGTCCCGACTGAGGCGCAACCCCAGCACCGCCCTTCTCCCCCACAACCCCATGGACTCCACTTGACGGTCATTGTTTCCTCGCGGCTCAGTTTATCCCTGCCCTGCCTCCCTCTCCCTGCCTGCCCCGCCCCCGCACCCAGGTTGTTCGAGGCGGAGGCGATGTTCCGCATTACGCTGCAGCTGGCGGAGAGCTGCCCGCCGGACACACGCGACCACGGGCTGGTGCTGGAGAGCCTGGAGGGGCTGGCGCGGGTGCAGGCGCGCATGGAGCAGGCGGTGCGGGCGCAGGTGGGAGCGCTGGGTGGGGGGGGAAGCGGGTGGGGAGGGGCTGTGGTGGGGAGGTGGGGGCCGTAACGGCCACTGATGTCATGCAGCACGCGGAGGGTAAAGAGCGTGTAAGAGCTTGTTAGTTGTTCGGACAGCAGGCGGGCGCAGGTGGTGTGAGAGGGGCGTTAGTGGGGGGGTTGGGAGTTTTGGCCTCTTGGGTTGAGGTATTCGTCGCTGTGCGGCTGGACGAGGCAGGGCTTTTCGTGTGATCCCGGATAGGAAGAACTTCTTCTGTTACCTTGGTGGTGTGGGTCGGCCTTTCCAACCCTCCCTTCTCCTCTAACTGCCGACCGCCCCTCACTTACCCGCCGTGTGCCCCCGGGTCCTCCCCGGCGCCTCTATACCATCGCCCCAGGCTGACGGCGGCTGCTGTACCATATCCTGACGGCGAAAGCAACAGGAAAGCTCCATTTTGTACGACAATGCCCAAGATCATCAAGATCATCATCATCATTATCATCATCATCATCATCATCATCATCATCATCATCATCATCATCATCATCATAGACATCACTCCAGTCCGGGGCTCCATCTGTGCCCCGGACAAGGGCGGCCTCTAATCGAGGAGAATGAAGTACGGCCATTGTCAAAAATGCTGCTGCCACAGCTGCATGGGGGGCGTCCAACTCCTTGTGTTGCTACTACTACTGTAGCAGCAGAGCGGCGGCACATCCAAGCCCACCACGTCCGCCGCTGCTAAGCGACACGGCGGAAGTCACAGCAGCTACTGGCAACCTTACCCAAATGCCATGAGGCTGCTGCTGCCTCAATCCGGAGCTGTTGTGCCCTACTGCTTAATGCTGTATGTACAGAATATGTAGCACTTCGAATTGAAGTGGATCAGATTCCAGAATCCAAGACCTCGAGATCCGACAGCAGACAAGATACAACTGCGAAAACAATGCATGCATGGACGGCCCAACATCGCCATTGCCGTTAGGCCGCGGGATGACGGGGGATGCCGTTCACTTTCCCGGGCGTTTCCTTGACACTGCTTTGGACGGCTTTGTTTCGGCATAAATTATTGGTCGCTCGGTTTGACTCGAGGATGTGAGGGTGTTAGGTCGTGAAGCTTGTGCAGGCTGTGAAGAAGCTTGGTCACCGAAGTTACTGCAAGGGTAAACATGGCAATAATGTACTATTATGTTTTGTGGCGCATTTTGTTTGCTCTGCAGACTGCTAATCCCCAGTAACATAGATCAGTTAACGGGCACCACGGCGGTTTGCTAGGCATCTGCATGGTTCGCGGAGTACCGTGCTTATTGCGGCACATTCGTACATAGGACACGGGTGGATGGCTGGATGGCTTTTGGCTTTGGGGGATGATATGGGTTTGATCTGTATGCTGCTGTACGGCAAACCTGAACTGTTTCTTGGCACGATAGGCGTCCTGGTACCGGTATTCTTAGCAAGGCTTAACGAACAGGAGGAATGTATAGTGCGTCCACAACATGGTTTTACTGTGCTTGCTCCGTAGCGCTAACAGCATCCTTGTGCAGTACTAAACACTAGCTACTTTTGTATGAGTTAATTTGGTGCAGGACGTGACACGATCAGGCTGAGTGATTCGGCTGGCAGGACGCCCTTTGCAAACGTCCATACCTCCTTAACTGCTGTGTCCTCTGGAAGGTTTGAAGAGGTGGAAACGTTATGTTACGTGCATGCTACCGTAGGGAACTGCAGATTGAAGTTGCATGCTGCATGCGCGGTGTGGTTGCAGCTCTAGCTTTTGCTTCTGCTGGAGTTACGTGACTTAAGGTTGAGTTATTGATATGTACGGTGCATCTAAAGGCGGGGCCTTCCTGCGAATAACGTAAGGTCGTATACGAAGACGACGGACGGAATGCGACTTTTACAGGGGAGTCCGAACGACTCAAGTGCGACGCACAACCCTGTAGGCCATGTAAACCATGCCACAAACTTAAGTTATTGGGATCAGACGGCATGATGGTCTTGGAGGCTGACGGCAAGGGTACGGAAAGCCCGTCGGGCGTTAGCGCATTTGGATGGCCTTTTAGATGAGCATCTTATGGACTGTCCTTGGGCGGGCAAAGTGCGCATGAACACTTTACAGCTTGAATTCTCCTCTACTTGCTAATTTGTAACAGAGCAGTTACTACTGTACAGCACTAACTGTAGTTCCAGAGCTGCTTGCTGCATACAGGGAAGGCGCGCGCTGTATAAGAGTGTTCCGGGAGGGATTCATGTGTCGGACGAATAGGCAGCAGGCAGCGGAAAATTCCAGCTATCCAGGCTCCCATGCATGTCCCACGGGTCGAGTCAGGATCAATGGGGACCCAGGTCCGCAATTGAAAACGATCGCGGTTTAGTCATTGCATGCGTGCAGTTCCTAAGGTTTCACTCAAAGCTTCTGCACAACGAGTTCAATGCCAATGTCAGTTATACCGTAATGCCGAAGGAACTCCACAACTATAGCTGGTTACAATCCTGTTATTCATATTCATATGCGCCACTGCATTTTCAGCTTGTTTTCCTTCTTCAGTTTTGACCGCTTTCCGTTGGATCCACTTTGGATCTGTCGCTCGTTTCGTTTGCCTGGGTTTGCGGCCACCGCTACACTAGCAGTCCGACACACTTTTGTGGCACAACTACCTTACGCTATTTGCCAAAGTACAGTGCAAGTAATCCTCGTTATCCTTGCAACGTTACAGTCCATTGACAGGATGGCACCTAGCGAATTGGCAGCCTCGCAGCCTCCTGGTTTCCAGCAAGCAAAAGACGACATGAAGAAATCGCTATCCGAACTCCAGCAAGCAGTTCTGGTAGGTTTATGCACCCAGGGACGGTGTCGCGATGTGCAAGCATGGCCGTCGGAACTGACCAGTTTCAAAATCACGTTGACCGCGAGTGCCTTTTGTCTTTCTAGCCCGAATGCTTTACCGAAATTTGCTAAATAACGGCTGATGGCATGCGTTGCCTGCAGCCTTTTTATGCCGCCGCCTCGCTGTTTTACTGTAGCCATTCGTTCGGCACCGTTCTATCGTAGATGTTGCCTTGTGTTAACCCCAAACCTTGACCTTGCATTTGCCCAGGCCGAAGTGGAGCCCGACAATATGTCAGTGAGCTCAACGGACAGCGAGTATGACGCGCAGGTATGCGCATGTTGGCTGAGACATACGGGGCAGGAAGGACCACTGGGGCCTTACCTGACTGTTATTCAGAACTAGAATAATTGTTGAAGGGAGGGGGCAAGTAAGGTTTCCGACCACCACACGCTCTGTCTGAATGTCCCCCGTCCTCCGTTTGTCCTCCGTTTGTGACCCCCTTGGTTTTGGTGTGTCTCACGGCCGGTATCGCGTTAGATGTTTTAGGCAGTGCAAAGGATTTGCTTGTCTGGCAGCCTACAACCTTTTCCCTCCGCTGTCTTTCACCAATCCTGCTGCGAATCCATGGCCCCAGGACGGTTACTTTGTGCAACCGCCGTTGGCTGAGTCGTCGTCAGTACGGCACCCGGCCCTGGCGCAAGCCGAGGCCGAGTCAAGGCTCCAGGCCAGCGCCCCTGTACGGCACCCAGCCGCGTCGGAGTCCGAATCCAGTCTCCAGGAGCGTTTGCAAGCAGCAGAGCAGCGAGCCAGGGCAGCGGAGGAGCGGGCCCTTGCGGCCGAGGCGAGGGAGGCGGAGACGCGTGCCACACACCTGAGCAGAGCTACGGAGCTAGAGGGACGGGTTTCGGAGCTACAACAGAAGCTGGAGGCAGCGGAGGCGCAGCGGCGGCAGGCGAGTGCACGGCTGATGGAGCAAGCCCGGGAGCGGCAGGTTGCGGTCCTGCAGGCGCTGCTGGGGGCTTCCACGCCGCAGGAGGTGCAGGACCCGGCGCTCCTAGCGCACCTCTGCCTGCAGCGCTGGCCGCATGGGGAGGTGGTCAGGAACGTACTCGACATGCACCGGAGGGGCCACATTACCCACGAAGCGCTCGTGACGGTGCTGCAAGAGTTGCGTGGGAGGGGCCTTGCAATCGAGGGCGACAAGGAGGTGCTCAAGACCGCAGCGACGTACGGCATGCCGGGCTTGGTGGATGTCGTACACAGCCTGGCGGCTGACTTGAACAGCTCGGCGAGCTGCGAGGCGTTCAAGGGTGCGCTCAAGCTGGGTCACCTTAACGTTGCCCGTCGCATGCTGCGGTACGGATTCAACGCATCCGCTGATTCGGAACGCGCGACGGAGGTGCTGGCGACTGCGGCAACCTCTGTTCGAGTCTGCCCGGAAGCGGTTCAGTTTGCCATGGGCGAGGCGGGCATCAACGCGGCCATGCACGGCGGAAAGGCGCTTAACTTTGCACTGCACCAGCTCACGCTGCTTCCTGCGTTCATCCAGCGTTACGAGGCTGCGGTTCTAGAGCTGCTAGAAGCTGGTGCGGCGGAATGCGGTGGCAGCGAGGAGATCAGGGCGACGGTATTCGCCAAGGCATGCCGGGTCGGCTGCATGTCTGCCGCCTTGCGGCTGCTGTCGGCGGGGTTCGGGGCGCGACTGACGCCGTACTTTAAGGAGATGTGCGTGGAGGATGCGCGGGAGGCCGGGCATAAGATGGTGGTGGAATGGCTGGAACGGGAGTGGGGTGTGTCAGAGGGGTTGGCGGGGGCGATTGTGGTGGTCTGAGCCTGAGCGGCAGCAGGGAGTAAGGGGGTTGGGGTTGAAGCAGGAGAACAGCAGCAGCGTGGCATTTTGGGAGGGCGGATGGGTAAGGAAGATGAGCTAGGTGCATGGCGATTTTTGCTTGACACGTTCTGTGGTTGACGGGAGAATACGGCGGTGTAAGTCTTGCGGTGTTGAGGTGTTGTAAGCTAAGCAGAGAGGAGGACAGCGACGGCGGCGATCAGGCGGGCTTGTTGACGACGAAACGACGAGCAACGCGCATTGTGATGCCGTCACGCTTTGCAGGTGATGGTGGTTCCTGTTTTCGTTACGGCAGGGGTACGACAATCCCGCCAAGCTCTGACATGTGTATGTGCTTTGGCAAGGGAGCATGCATGGGCATTCCGTGTACCCCTATTAGCTCATAACCGTGTGGCATTCTTCCGGACCGCGATAACCTGTTGTACGGGTCGTGAGCAACCCTGGTTACTTGACGACCGCAGACTTGCGAGACTGTGCGAGTGCTTCATGTGATTTATGAGCATGGTACTACAGAACCATGGGCTTCGGGTCGCCGCCGTATGTGGGCACCCGAGCAGGATTTCGGGGTGAGCATGCAAGCAAGTACGGGCTTTCAAGCCTTGCTAGCTGGACTGATTTTGTGTGTTGACCGTGCGAGTGGTGAGCGCATGTGATGGCGCGATGCGCCCACAGAGGCACATGCGGGTTACTGTAGTCGCTCCGGAGCCCACAACGGACGACAAATTCGCTGCTGACCACACCGCATAATTCACAGACAATTGTAATATTATGACGGAGACTTAGCTACCGGGTTTACTGATCGGAATTTGCTATTGCGACGGACACCCTTGGAACCGTCCAACTAACATGCAATGCCCATTAACAGAAGCCTGTCACTTTCCTTACAGATATATCCAGATAAACCTTATCTGCTCGGTTTGCTAGGGTAGGGTTTACTGCTCAGGGCCCGGCTGAAAACCCTAGCTTGCAATAATGCTCTTCAACACTTTCACTTGCTACGTCTGAGCCCTGTAACGTGTTAAAATGGTTTCCAGCGAAACGGTCGTCCGATCAGCTGCCTTTACGGCAACACTTTGTGCCGTGCTGCTGCTGCTGGTCGGCTTCTATGTCCCAGCTGCCATTGACAGGGCTTTACGCCGCGGAGTGAGCATAGTTGGGGTATCAGTACAACGCAATTGTCTACACTTGCGTGCGCAAATGGCTCGTACCGCAGTCCCATGAACCATTGCGCTTTCCTTGCGGTCCGCATCATCCCTCTTTCCGGCTATCTCCCCGCGTCAGCAGCCCCTCCTCCCTGCCCTCGCTCAGGTGCTCCAAGCGGTTATATGGCGTCCGGATTCCCCTCCGGACGTTGACGGTGAGACCTCCGTACACACGTATCCTTGCCTTCTTGCCTGCGTCTGGTACGGGGATGTTAACCCAACATACGGAACCCTTCATCACCAACAAACCGCTTCAGGAGCGCAACCAAGGCTCACATCTTGATCCTGACTCTGCTGCTGCTCCCCTCATGCTCCTTAAAGCCACATCTCCTCCACAACCGTCCCGCCTCATTCACCACCCCCTCATCGCCGCCGTGTTTCTGCAACCGCCACCGCCCCACGCAGCTCGCTTCCGGGGCACCCCCGACCCGGATGCGCCGCCCGACTACTTCCGCGTGTGGCTCTTCAACCTGACCAACCTGCAGGAGGTCCGCGCGGGCGCAAAACCCAGAGTGGTGCGGGCGGGTGCGGGTTGGGGCAGGGCGGATTGCATCTAGCATGGCATTGGATGGATGTAAGCGCAACATTAAAGAGTGGTGCACATACGTGCATCGGGTGGCTGGGTGCGGGCGGCGGCGTTGTGTGGGGTGTGGGTAAGCGGAATGAGTACTGACTTTTGGTTTTTCGTTAGTGCACGCACGCTTTACTGCGCATGGAGCACGCTTTCGGTTCGTCTTTACAAGTGATTGCTTGGTGCTTCCGCAGGTGGAAGTGGGCCCACTGACGTACGCCAAGTACCGCACGCGCACCCAGCCCGTGTGGGACCAGAGGGGGAGGGTGCACGTGCGGGTGGGTGGGTGGGTTTGGAGGAGGGTTGCAACATACTGGTATGTTGTCGTAGGCATGCATGCCGCTGCTTTTATGATATGTGCCCGCCGCATCTCCCTCGCAACTCACTTCTACCCCTCCCACTTCATCCCCCCTCCATCCCCCCACAGGAATGGGACTACCACGTCTTCCAACCGCACCTCTCCGCCGCCAGCCCCAACGACTCCATAACCACCCTCAACCTGCCGCTGCTGGGGGTGCTCGAAACCCTGCACGCGTACGGCAGTGTGTCGCCCGCCGTACGACCGTTGGTTGACGTACTGCTTGGCGTGCTGAGCGGTTGGCGGGACAAGGAACACGTGGACGGGCTGTTCGTACGGCGTACGGCAGGGGAGCTGCTGTGGGGCTATGAGGTGGGAAGGCGGTTGTGATGGGGTCCGGGTTGAGAGGTGTGACATTGCGTGGTGGATAGGCAGTTGGCGCTACACCGGTACTTGCGCATGCGCTGATGGGCGTGCTGGGAGGCGCTGCGGGCATAAGGCCCTCGGCCTTATTTGGTACATGTGCCCCAAGGTTGATCCCTTTGGCATGGATCGTTCATACCATGGTGAAAACCGCCCATCCCATCAGCACTGGGCACGTAAGCACCATTGGGCTAGATCAGTAGTACGGTGGGGGACCACGTGCGAACCCCTGGTGACGATCTGTTTTGCAAACTTCCACAAACCGACTTGCGTGTTTTGCCGCGTAACTTGGTTGTCGGGCAGCACCGTTAGGCCTAAAAGCTTGGGCACGAAGAAAAGGGGCCCGGGTAAGGGTGTCAGCGCGTCTTGGCATGGGTTGCTGGGCGCTTGTTGGAGGCGTAGGCGCCTTCCCAGCTGGCTAGCACAATGGTGGAATAAGGAGGTGAAGACCGGGATGTTAAGCACCCGTTACCCATTGCCCCGTACCTGAGCCCTGCACCTGCTGCGTGTGCCTTGCTGACGTGGAGCAGCTCCGTGCCTCCCCTCGCTCCGGCTTTTACCGTACCCGACCCATATCAGCAATCACATGCCCTGTTCAACCCCCTTCTCCGCTTCTTTCCCAGGACCTGCTGCTTCAGCGGCTGTCGTTGCTGCTGGGCCGCACCTTCGTGCAGCGCACGTCAGTGAGTCTGCTGGTCAACGACACGCAGCCTCGTCAGGTGCGGGTGGTTGGTGGGCTGGCGGTTGGCGGTTGGGGGGTTGTGGGGTTGGGACATGGATGGGCCTGGGCATGTCACCCTAGTCACATGTCACCTAGCTAGTGACGCGTGTCTTGGACTCTCCAAAATTACACCTCAGGTTGAGAATGTCATTGACACGGGCTGGCGCCCCGCCGGTCGGGAGGCTGCGGAGAAAGAGAGCTGGAGGGACGCGGACGGCGCTGTCGGCGGCGACAAGCGACCCATGGGTCATCAGCAGCACCTGCCACTACGGCCCCTGCTGCGACAAGGCTTGGGGACCCGCAATGAAGAAGCCTCGGTTGATGAAAGCAGCATATGGAATGTGAGCAGGCTAGACTTAATCAATACATATCACGGATCTGGCATTCACTTCCAGGATGGCACCTGTGCTGCAGAAATATCAAGAGCAGTATCAACCGTCCCTGCCATGTGTCAGTCACGCCTACGTGGCCTAACGGCCCTGCTGGACAATTGACCGGTCCCTCGTCCCTTATCAGAACCTCTTCGGCCCTGCCTCTTACGACCTTCCTGTTCAATCCAGATGGAGTTGGAGTCCGGCTGGTCGGCTGTCACCAGCTGGGGTCCCGGATGTGAGGAGCCGGTGCGCGGCAGCGATGCCTTCCAGTTCCCACCCGGCGTGACCCGTGGGTCACAACTGAGGGTGTGGATTGCCGAGCTGTACAGGTAGTACACGGTGGTGCCATGTGGTCATCATCTTGTCCCCGCGCAATACACGTGCTGACTCATGCGTTGTAACGGACGGTCGTTCATTCATGCAGCTCTGGAAGCGACCGGTACGCTTGCCTTTGCATTCCCCTTTAGGGTGCTATCGGTAGCACCGCTGTTGTTAAGCGCATCACGTTCCTAGCGGTTAGCCGTTTACAAGCTTCATACGCACATTTCATGCCCTCATCCAACCCCGCTGTGTTGCGGCTATCCCCTACCCCACCCCAGGTCCGCCGCTCTACGCTACGTGGCGGACGTAGAGCTGCACGGCGTGCGGATGCTGCGATTTGAACCGGTAAGAAAGTAGCCGCGGGCCTATCAGAACTTGCGCCATGCGTGGAGGGGCTGCTGCGAGGAGGGGCTTCGGATTAGGTTTTCCTTCCCTGCCATCCAGGTGCCATCTACCACTTAATCTCCACCTCCGTACCTGCATCCTTACATGTATGCGTTCGTGGTCTGCTTGCACCTGCCGTCCTCCTCCCCATCCTGACTTGCCCCCCCTACATCCTACCCTCACTCTCACCCCCTCAACCCGCCCCCTCCCCCTCAGGACCCCGCGGAGAGCGAGCCCGACGTCTGCCACCACCAGACCATCCGAGGCCTCGCCAACATCACCGCCCCCGCCGCGGTGGGACCAGCGGGCAACGGCTCCTCCGAGGCCGCACACGGGGTGCCGCTCTTCATCTCCCTGCCGCATTACTGCAAGGTAGGATGCATGGCATGTCAGCTGAGCCCCCGCATGCCTGCATGCATGCGCGCATGCGGTCGTTCTTCTTGCGGCAGCGACGCAGCTGCAATGCAGCAGCAGCGCATGCGTTGTTAACATTGAAGCAGCGCCCTCTTTCCGTACAGCGTTGCCCCCGACCTCTGCTACCGGTATGATTCCAGCGCACGCCAGCCCGCAGCTCATCAGTTCAATTACTGCGTCCCCGTCGCCCCCCCCCCCCGCTCTCCCACCTCCGGCACCCGTGTCAGGTGGAGGAGTGGGTGGCTGCGCAGGTGGAGGGTCTATCGTGCGACCCCGCCCGACACCTCACGTCCATTGATGTGGAGCCAATCACAGGTGGATACATGCGCGGAGTAGCGGTATTTCGCTAGGGGGTTTGTAGTTTGTAGCTGCACAAGGCCGGTTGTGCTCGCAGTCCAGTTGAACAAACCACCTTAGCAAGCGGTGGGGGAGAGCTGATGTGGGTCATGCTACCAGGGTACCAACTCTGCTTTCCCTTGGATGCTGCCGCCCCCCACTACCTACGCAACGTACGTACCTTGCCCCACCTGTCGTACAATTGTCATACATACCCTACCTTCTCTACCCTGATACCGGGTACCTGTGTGTCTTTAGAATAGTGTCTCCGAATGCACTCACTGCATGAGTCGGGATATGGGATTGGGACTTTAGTTGTTTGCATTTCTTATATAATGTTTTGCCCTCCCACACGCAGGTATCACCATGCGCGCTGCCAAGCGGCTGCAGCTCAGTTCCCAGCTCAGCGACTCCTCCCGAGCCACCCTGGAACCAACCATCCCCTCGTCCCTCATCCTGCCCATCTTCTGGGCGGAGGAGGCCTCCGCCGTCTCCGCCGGACAAGCGGCCGCATTCCGAGACAGTGTTTACGGAGCCCAGGATCTGGCTGCGAGGGTACGAACGCTGTCATACCCCCTGGCGGCGCTGCTGGCGGCGGTGGCGACGGGGCTACTGCTGGCGGCGGTGGCGACGGGGCTGCTGCTGGCGGCGGTCGCATGGCAGCGGCGGCGGCCGCCGTCGCCGTCTGTGCCGGGCCTGCTGCCGGCTGCGCCGCCACCGCGGCCGCCAGCTGGGGTGGCAGCGGCGACGCCAGCTACGGCGGCGACAGCCGCGGCCGCGGCCGCCGGGGGGGTGCTGATAGTGACGGAAGGCGGAGTTGAAAGTGGAGGCGTTGGAGGAGGAGGGGTTCATGGGGTGCCGCAGGGCCAGGGGAGCCCAAGGGGTGGGAGTGGGAATGGCAGTGCGAGCCCGGCTCGTGAGGCGTGCGGCAGTCCGCGCCTCCCCAAACTTGCAAGGACTGATGATAATGATGAGGAAGAGAAGGAGGCTGGCGCACTAGGGGAGGGTTCCCTGCGAATCCCACTGTTACGGGACTAAAGAAGGGTGCTAATGCCGATCTTGGTTAGAACACCAGAACTAGGGGACTAGCAGTGGCATGGCATGAAGGTTGACGAGGCGAGTGCAGGGGAGTGCGGATTGTAGAGGGAGCATGGAACTGAAATGTAGTGGAGACAAGGGGGTTCAGCTTTCTCAAAGCTGAAAAAGGACGGAGCCCCTCCTTCCGGCTGTCCGTGTGTGCGGTTGGGGGCAGCCGTATACGGTGGTTGGTGGGATGTGTCCGGCTGTCCGCTTGTTTTCGGAGCCGGGTCGGGGTTTCGTAAGATGCCATGGAGCAGCGTTGTGTCGCTGTTGCATGTGTTATTGCTGCTTTGGGCTATAACTACAATTGAAGAGAAGGTTTACGGAGGTCCTGTTAGGGCGCCATGGCTGCTTCTAGTAGCGGTGGGAGGCGTAGAATAACGGTCCGGTACTATGATGATTACCCGGGCGGTAAGGTGTTTGCAACAATTACTGAAAGTTCTGAAGGTGTGTATGAAGTGCTGTTTGCTGGTGCAGGTTCCGAGGGGCGGGCAAGGCGCATTGGCCTTGCACGTTCTTCAGCGTCCAAGGTGCCCAAGGTTGCCAGCTAGGGAGTCGGAGTCGGCATCGTAACAGCCATCATTCTAGGCCCTTGCTGGCGTCACTGATGAATGGTGCCTATCTGGAGCTGCTGGAAAGCGGATTTCGTGTGTGCAGGTGTCGGTGTCACGCCAGCACGCACTTTGTGCCTGAGTTACTGCTTACCAATTCAGCAGTAGGTTGCATGCATGATTACCTGCAGGGAGTTAGCCAGCCCCCTCCCAAACCCATCCATCACCCGCCAGAAGACGCTGTTTCGAGGCTACCTGCCGCGCCTGCTCGCTTCTGAAATGCCCATTTGAGCCGTCAACGTCGTGACGTCGGCAGTCTTCGCCTCCCGGGCTTGCTGTACATTTCATCGTTAGCATGATTGTCGGTGCCGCATACGGCCGCTCCCGCAACCTGCTTACGCCCATTGTCGTAGTATATAGCAACTCGTCCAGCAGTCCAATTACTGGAGGTGGTGATAACCACCGGTTGGTAGGACAGAGTCCCAGCGCGGCGACCGATAGTTGCAGATGCCGGATCGTAACCAGGGTCCAAAACCAACCAGTAGGATAATGACACAGATATCATTACACCAGTGACACAGATGCCACGACATAGCCAGGCGCTATATCCCTGTTTCATGACCAGACGCATGCAAGCTGTCATCAGAATGACAGCCAAGTGCCAGACGCACAGTTAGCACAGATACTCAGGATAAGTCAGATAGCACGTGGTAAGCTCCAGCATGCGCTACACTACAATTGTGATGCATGGCGTATGGAACGGGACGGTGCTGGTCTTGGAGCACCTTCCGTCATCAGCCTGATGCCGTATGCAGCTAGCGGTGGCGGAGGGCGTGTCGTACGAGTGCAGGTGTAACACAGGTCCTAATAGGCCTCTAGAGATGTCGTGAGGTTTCCTTTCAGGACTCTTATATTGTAGCCTTGCTACTGGGGGTTAAGGGGCATTTGACGTGTTGATGCGACACCACGTGGCGGTGCGGTCGCAATTACATCCCGGTGCAGCATTGCGACAGGGCTTTCAGAGGGGGATGCGTATTTGGCAGCTTAATTTGGCAGCGACATTTGGCAGCTTAATTTGGCAACGTGCAAGACAGCTGTCGGTCCTGGCGAGAGCTCTTATACCGCTGTAACGGTCCTTCAATCGGGCACCGGTAGTGACAATGCATGCTGGACCCTCCCCACACAGGCCCCACGGACCCCACAAAGGCCCCACAGACTCTCCGACACAGCTGCAATCACAGCCATAGGCAGCTACCAGCAGCTGTAGTGTTGTGTGGCAGGGTAATTTATGGCCCTGCCTGGCAACATCCCGCGACATTTCCAATACCGGTCATGAACCGTCGCCTAGCAGTAGCCCGTCAATCCGCCCATGACACGTGGGGGCACCCACACCAGCTGGGCACGGAAGGTTTGAGGCGCCGTCCGCCAGACACACCGCATTCGGGACGCTCGTGTACCCTCTCAGCTGGGCGGGAGTGGTGCGGGATTGGTGCAGGGCTGGTGTGGGGTTGGTGCAGTGTTGGTGCGGGACAAGTGCGGGGGCGGTGCAGGGTTGGTGCAGCATTGGTCCGGGATTGGCGCGGGGGTGATGCCGGTGGGGACTACAAGGTCATGACAGATGCCATATAGGTGTCGATACTAGCCATCGGCGACATGCGTACAGCTATGTAAAATTATGTCAACCGTTGTAAGGAACAATTATCTATAGAAAACTGTTTTTGTCGCTGATGAAAATCGCAAGCAAGCTGTATGCACGTGACGCAGCGATGCAGATCAAATTTACATAACTTCTATCCTTTGTAGCATGAAGTAACTTATTCATGTGCTGGTTTCTCTGTTGAGGAGTTATCTGCCCACTGGTCCAGCCTCATGAATCTGCTCAAGATCCAGGATCCGGCTGGTTCAGCAGGACAGTCGCGTTGCTGGAAGCAGACAGCTTTCCAATGGAATGTTGTAAGATCATATTTATTATCTGAATCGCGTCTGGGATAAACGAAAAAAGGTTGCTACCGTTTCCCCAACACATCCTACCTTACGCCAGGTTCTAATGTGTAAGGCCCGTCTAAGCAGCTCTCTGCCGCCCCAAGTCCTGTCAGCAGACGGGGCGGATTAAGTGGTACAGGACTCCCGACCACGAAAGCCACACCTAGGGAGGACAAATGCTGGCAACACTGCCAGGAGCCGCAGCAGCGTGGATAGGGTCTTGGGCTTTCCTGGCAATTCGTAAGCCCACGCACGTGCTTGCCAACCCTATGATTATACGCTTTACCTCTTAACATCATTGTGGCGTACCGTACCACGGCGTAACAGACTGTGCTGCAACCGGAGTTAGCCTGGGCAACCCGTATGTTGTGCACAGCGTCCATCAATTGGTGCAATCCTGCCCACCTTGCTGTGCTACGACTGCCAGCCATCTTTGCAACAGCTCACCCCGGGCTGGTTTCTCTCAATAAGCTTTCAGATGCATGCATGGCCAAATTATCAGGGTATAGCTCTCCATGCCGCGCATTATCAGAATCCTGCTCCAGACCCATACCCAAAATTACCCATCCATCCGCACGCTATCCTTGCAGGCGAAAGCCCTCCTCAGCCCCAGCACGCCATCGTTCCCACCCACGGTACCGTGCCAACGGCAGCTGCACCCAAAAGACTTTCCGGCACAGCATGCTCAGCACAGTACATGGAAGGTAGGCTGCAGCATCCCGAATGCAATTCCTGGTCTGCAGCAGGTCAACCTGTCCGTGGCTGTCTCTTTTACAAGGGCTACGACGCGCCGTGTATGCTCTACCATCTCAGATCTGGTATACTTACATGCGACCACGAGTCCTACGCTAACTGGCACACCCCTCACCCGGTGTAGTAAATATAGCTTGCGTTTCATTACCATCCATCCATCCCGCCTTGCCCCTCATTGCCCCTCCAGACTCCCTCCAAGGTGATAACTAACACCGCCTTTTCCGGCCTTTCGAGACTATGTTAACCTCCCGTCCACAACTGTTGACTCTAAACGCATATTAGTCTCCACTTTATTTATTAGCCCCCCATATACCCAACCGTTGCCCGTCAACCATGACTCTTCAAACCATGCCCCTCCTACCCCTTCCTCCCCCTCCCCCGCCGCACGCACTCGCCCCCGTGCCCCCCCGCCGCCCGCCAGTGCGCCACCTGGCACTCCCGCCCGCAGTAGCTCACCGCCCCGCACCGCCCGCACGGCTGCAGCCGCAGGTCTGCCTCGCTGTCCCCAGCCAGGTTCACGCAGCAGGGGTTGGAACACACGGGCAGCAACAGCCGGGCAGCAGCAGGCGGCGGCCGGAAGGGCTCCGCACCGCCTGGCATGCCGACGTCGCCTCCGCCCCCGCTCCCCGAGTCCCTGCCGGCGTCACAGCCGCTATCGGTAGCACCGCAGACCTCCAGCTTTGCCAGCAGAGCCTCTAATTCATCATCCGCCTTGACCTGACGGTGCCCCCTCAGTTTCTGCAACAGCGCCCGTAAATACTGCGGGTGCCAGCTTGGCAGGCGCGAGCTGGCGGCAGCGGCTGCTGCTGCTGCTCCTGCACTTTTGTCAGCATGGCTGGAAGAGGCGGATGCTGAGGAGGCAGCAGTTGAGCCACCGCCACTGCTAGCTGAGCCGCTGTTGGAGCGAGGTAGGCGCCTGCTCTTCCGCATGTGGGCACATCCGCTGTCGCCTTCGCCGCCAACCGTGCAGCGGCCGCTAACTGAAGCCGTCACCTCCGCTTCTACCGCCCTCGCCGCCGCTGCCGCGCGCCGTACCTCCTGCGGAAAGGCCGACGCCACTTCGCAGCAAGTTCGAGCTATGAATGTTGCAGGGAAAATGCCGCCTACGCCCACCAGGTGCGGTGTGGTCCGCAGTCCCGCCCCCACCAGCTCCACCATATGAACCTCCCGCAACAGCAGTTGCCGCACCCAGCTGAGGCCGGGGGAGGACACCGCGTCGCTTGTCGTGTCCATGGCAGTTACCTCCGCCGTCGCTGGGTCCTCCAAGGCTGCGCATAAGGGTGCCGGTGCGAAGCGTAGGATCCGCAGCCAGTTTTCCACCGCCCCCATCACTCGTACGAGCTTTAGCCTCATGTCATCGTCAAGCCGCAAACTTAAGGCTGGCGGCTGGTCGGCGAGGTCCTCCAGCAACGATCTAGCTATGCTGGCCAGCGGCGGCAGCCAGCCACAGGCCAGACTTGGCAGCAGCGCCGCCAGCTGCTGCTGGGGACTGGGGCCCGCCGGCTGCTGCTGGGGACTGGGGCCCGCCGGCTGCTGCTGGGGACTGGGGCCCGCCGGCTGCTGCTGGGGACTGGGGCCCGCCAGCTGCTGCTGGGGACTGGGGGCCGCCGGCTGCTGCTGGGGACTGGGGCCCGCCAGCAGCTGCGGCGCCTGAGGCTCCTCCTCCCCGGTAGCCGCCTGCCTTTGCTCTTGGTCCAGCGTGGCACCCTCCCGCTGCAGCTGCTCCCGCTGCGGAGGTTTCTGAGCGGCCGCAACTTCCAGCCTTGCAATCGCGTTGGACGTAGTGCGTATGAGGGCAAACGTGAACGGATTGTCTAGTGAAGCCGCGTCAAGCGCGACCCCGTCGGACGTCCCTGCCAGCCTCCGCAGCACCTTGGCCATGCTGGCCACCAGAGCGGCCACCTGCCGCGGCTCGCCGTAGGCCAACAGGGAAAGGAATAAGGAAGGGTCCCCCTTGTCCTCTGCTAGCAAGCCGATTAGGAAGTCAGCCTCAGGACACTTAGTTGCCTCCCCTGCTCGCCTCAGCAGGCGCTCCAGGCAGGGCAACATGCCACCTGCCAGCGCCGCCGCGAGCATGGGTGGCGGAGTGGAAGGGAGGGGGCCTGCGCAGCAACAGGAAGGTTGGGGACGGGATGGGTAGGAGGACGCCTTGCCGGGCAAGCATGCAAACAAGTGCGTGGCGCATGAACGACTGTCCCACCTGTGACGCATGTCAGGAAGGCCGCCGGACTCCGAAGCTCCAACAGCAGGCGCCTGCACACCCAATCCCGGTCCAACTTGCTGGCCCACCGCAAAGCGTTGGGCATGCTTGCGGCAGCCAATGCCCAGAACGTCTCGGCCCACCGCATCCACTTGGACTTGGAGGGCTTAGCGGACAGGACACAAGCCATGATTTCCAGGGCATACATGGCCACAGTGCCGACGTCATTGCGCATCAGCACCATCTCCACCTCCTCATAGCACTCGCTCGCCGACACTCCTCCATGGGCCTGCTTCGCTTTACTCGCCCAAACCCGCGCCGACTCCAGGACAAGCCTCCACACACGCGCCGCCACCCCGCACGCCGCATCCCAGCCGGGGGGTGGCGCCGCCTTGCCCCGGGTCGACAGCTCCAGCGCAGTGAGGAGGCCCAGGAAGACGTCCTTGTCCAGTCGCAGCTTGCCATCTTCATCATCCTGGTAGTTGGTTACCCGCATCAGGTTGGTTGGCGTGCCGTACGATGAGCCGCCGTCTGCCTTGCACAATGCTGCCAGCCCCTTCACCAGCATGAAGTAGTGTGTGCACCGGCCGCAAAGGGCGTCTTCCAGCGCGGCGACTGCGGCGGTCTCGTTGTAACGCTTGCAGTCCTCGAGTAACGCAATGGCTCCCCGGACGGTGGTACACATTGTGGTCGAGATCTGGTCAGCCTGAATGCCCTCCATGCTCATGTCATCGTCAACCTCACATGTCTGCAGCTCCAGCTTGGCGGCATGCTCTAGCAGCTTGCTGTCATGGAGTGCCACCGCAAACCGCCTGACAAAGCCGTTTATGTGCTGCTGTTCCCGGGAACTATCTGCCAGAGCATCGAATGCCGCAGCCGTCAGGGCCTCCAGGATGTCGCCTACGGCTGTAACCATGTCCAGCGCCGCTTGGAAACCAGTTGGCCATGTCGACGCTGTCGGCTCCGCTTCAGCCCCGGTCTCCCTTGTCTTGGTGGCCGCCCCGGAGTGTGATTGCAACTGCTTCCCAGCATGAGCAAGGCAGTGCGTGCAGCGGGTCAGCAGCTGCGTTGTAAGAAGCTTGTCTGCAAACGCGAAAGCAGCCGCTCGGGGCATTGGATGAGCGGAGGACATGTCCAGCAAAGCCCTGGCCACGCGCGCTGACTTACAGGCGAGCCGGCCGTAACTCCTGCTTATGTCACTGTCAGGATGCTCCACGCACATGCGGTTGAGAGCTGTGGTGAATAGGATCAATAGCGCCTTTAAGAAGTCGGGATTGAGGAGGAAGGCAGCGGCAAGTCCTTCAAACTCGTAGGCGGCCTTGTCGGTCTTATCAAGCTCCTTGGCAAAGCACTCAATATGTGCCAGGCTCAGCTTGGTGTTGATGAACGCCCTGCCAAGGGAGGTGCCCGCTGCGCACGCGATCTTCTTGCATCTCTCGACAGTCAGCGCAGCAAATCTGTCTAGCGTTGCCGGCGGAAGGCGCATCTTAAGTAGGAAGGCAGGTTTGCACAGACAGCAGCGTAGTCGCCTACTATTTACTTGCGGTCGCGTATCGTCAAGGCTTTCCTCTTGAATGGGCTATGGGGCATCAGCAGCCAGCATGCAACAACCAGGCCTGTGTTTATAGGTTGGGCCCTTCGATGTACCCCATGATTGGCCCTGGTGACTGTTGGTGCCCTGAAGGAAAGCGGAAATCCGGAGATTTAAGATCACCTATTATGTCCAGCATAGAAAGTTGGCTTTCCCACTTCAGTGGGACTACAAGGTCATGACAGATGCCATATAGGTGTCGATACTAGCCATCGGCGACATGCCTACAGCTGTGTAAAATTATGTCAACCGTTGTAACGGAACAATTATCTATAGAAAACTGTTTTCTTGTCGCTGATGAAAATCGCAAGCAAGCTCTATGCACGTGACGCAGCGATGCATACACGTTTACATAACTTCTATTATTTGTGCCATTGAAAAACTTAAACATGTGCCGGTTTCTCTGTTGAGGAGTTGGGGGCCCACTGGTCCAGCCTCATGAATCTGCTCACGATCCAGGATCCGGCTGTTTCTGCAGGACAGTCGCGTTGCTGGAAGCAGACAGTTTTCAAATGGTTAGGGAACGTTGCAAGATTTTATTTATTATCTAAATCGTGTCTAGGAGATACGGAGAAAGGTTGCCACCGTTTCCCCAACACATCCTACCTTACGCCAGGTTCTAATGTGTAAGGTCCGTCTAAGCAGCTCTCCGCCGCCCCAAGTCCTGTCAGCAGACGGGGCGGATTAAATGGTACAGGACTCCCGACCACGAAAGCCACACCTAGGGAGGACAAATGCTGGCAACACTGCCAGGAGCCGCAGCAGCGTGGATAGGGTCTTGGGCTTTCCTGGCAATTCGTAAGCCCACGCACGTGCTTGCCAACCCTATGATTATACGCTTTACCTCTTATCATCATTGTGGCGTACCGTACCACGGCGTAACAGACTGTGCTGCAACCGGAGTTAGCCTGGGCAACCCGTATGTTGTGCACAGCGTCCATCAATTGGTGCAATCCTGCCCACCTTGCTGTGCTACGACTGCCAGCCATCTTTGCAACAGCTCGCCCCGGGCTGGTTTCTCTCAATAAGCTTTCAGATGCATGCATGGCCAAATTATCAGGGTATAGCTCTCCATGCCGCGCATTATCAGAATCCTGCTCCAGACCCATACCCAAAATTACCCATCCATCCGCACGCTATCCTTGCAGGCAAAAGCCCTCCTCAGCCCCAGCACGCCATCGTTCCCACCCACGGTATCGTGCCAACGGCAGCTGCACCCAAAAGACTTTCCGGCACAGCATGCTCAGCGCAGTACATGGAAGGTAGGCTGCAGCATCCCGAATGCAATTCCTGGTCTGCAGCAGGTCAACCTGTCCGTGGCTGTCTCTTTTACAAGGGCTACGACTCGCCGTGTACGCTCTACCATCTCAGATCTGGTATACTTACATGCGACCACGAGTCCTACGCTAACTGGCACACCCCTCACCCGGTGTAGTAAATATAGCTTGCGTTTCATTACCATCCATCCATCCCGCCTTGCCCCTCATTGCCCCGCATTGCCCCTCCAGACTCCCTCCAAGGTGATAACTAACACCGCCTTTTCCGGCCTTTCGAGACTATGTTAACCTCCCGTCCACAACTGTTGACTCTAAACGCATATTAGTCTCCACTTTATTTATTAGCCCCCCATATACCCAACCGTTGCCCGTCAACCATGACTCTTCAAACCATGCCCCTCCTACCCCTTCCTCCCCCTCCCCCGCCGCACGCACTCGCCCCCGTGCCCCCCCGCCGCCCGCCAGTGCGCCACCTGGCACTCCCGCCCGCAGTAGCTCACCGCCCCGCACCGCCCGCACGGCTGCAGCCGCAGGTCTGCCTCGCTGTCCCCAGCCAGGTTCACGCAGCAGGGGTTGGAACACACGGGCAGCAACAGCCGGGCAGCAGCAGGCGGCGGCCGGAAGGGCTCCGCACCGCCTGGCATGCCGACGTCGCCTCCGCCCCCGCTCCCCGAGTCCCTGCCGGCGTCACAGCCGCTATCGGTAGCACCGCAGACCTCCAGCTTTGCCAGCAGAGCCTCTACCTTGCTCACATCATCCATATGCCCGATCCTCCTCAACTCCGGCAGCAGCGCCCGCAAATACTGCGGGTGCCAGCCTGGCAGGTGCGAGCTGGCGGCAGCGGCTGCTGCTGCTGCTGCACTTTTGTCAGCATGGCTGGAAGCGGCGGATGAGCCGCCGTGAGCGCCACCCTGCGAACTGAGGCGTGTAGAGGCACCAGCGCTGCCGCGACTACTGCCTTCAACGCCGCCAGCTGCTTTCCGCACTTCCTCCGGGAAGGCCGACGCCACATAGCAGCAGGACCTCGCAATGAAAGACACAAAGACGTTGAAGCCCCCGATGCTGCTGGCTTCCTTCAGGTGCGGTGTGACCCGCAGCCCCGCCCCCACCAGCTCCACCACACGGACCTCCCGCAGCAGCGGCAGCAGCCACTTGTAGGGCCATGCGTCCGAGCATTCCGCTGCCAACGTCGCCATCGCCGCCTCTGCAGCCAGATCATCAGTGCACAAGCCCCCAGGGCCCGCGACGTGTGTGGCTGCTGCTGTTGCTGCCAAGAGTGAGATCTGCTCGAGCCACCACAGCGGCTCCAAGCATACACAAGCACCCAGTTTATGCCTAAACTTGGAGCCCAGCGCGCCCAGCGGCTGACTAGCGAGGTCCTCCAGCAACGATCTAGCTATGCTGGCCAGCGGCGGCAGCCAGCCACAGGCCAGACTCGGCAGCAGCGCCGCCAGGTGCTGCTGGAGACTGGGGGCCGCCTGCTGCTGCTGGGGACTGGGGGCCGCCTGCTGCTGCTGGGGACTGGGGGCCGCCTGCTGCTGCTGGGGACTGGGGCCCGCCGGCTGCTGCCGGAGATTGGGGCCCGCCGGCCTCTGCTGCCGTGGACGTTCCTGTTGCTCCGACGGCACATGCAACGACTGCTGCCGCTGCTGTTCAACCAGGCCCGCAACGCGCGCAAGCATGCAGGATGCAGTGCTCATGGTCACACAACCGAAACCACTGTTTACCAGAGACAACCCAAGTTTAAGTTTAATAGAAGCCCCTGCCAGCCTCCGCAGCACCTTGGCCATGCTGGCCACCAGTGAGGCCACCTGCCGCGGCTCACCGTAGGCCAACAGGGCCAGTAGGGAGGTGGACAGCTGATGGACGTGGTCTTCCGTGCCGTCGGTGACGTCTGTAAGGAGGTAACTTGCCAGGGCCTGGACCAGGTCCGGGTTTTCCCTGGCTCGCCTCAGCAGGCGCTCCAGGCAGGGCAACATGCCGCCTGCCAGCGCCGCCGCGAGCATGGGTGGCGGAGCGGAAGGGAGGGGGCCTGCATGCATGTAAGTGAGTGGAGGTGGGGGCCATGAAGGAGAAAGGATAAGGTATGTCTACGAAGCGTTTTGAAATACGGTAAGAGCGACAGGGAGGACTAGCCGGAAGTGAGCGGATGGTTGACAAAGTAGCTGCGATGTGAGGTGGGGTGCGATACCAAGACTGTGGGCTACGACAGTGGTGTCGGAAGGTACGATGCTAAATTCAAAGCAATGCATTCCCTGCCGTTCTTAAGCTCTTTGTGCTGTTTGAGCTCGTGTTTCGGTATTCGGATACCGTAACGTGACGGGGCAATTGCAAGACCCCAGAAACCTACCCTCCGCAATGTGGAAAAGCTCCCCAAGCTTCCCCAGTAGCCGCATGCCCAGCTGGCTGTGCTGATCCGGACTCGCCCACCGCATGGCCTCCAGGGTGGTCTCCGCAGCCAGCTCCCAGAACGTCCTGGCCCACCGCTCCCAGCTGGGCTTGGAGGGCTGGGCGGACAGCATGCCAGCCAGGCAGTCTAGGGCCTTCAGGGCCACAGTGCCAATGTCACCGTGCTTCAACACTGCCTTTACGGGTGACCCCGACCCCGTTCTTTCTGGCTGCGTATGTGGCTGGTATGGCGCCGCCGCTGCCACAGCCGCCGCACCATGCCCCAGCTCCAGACCCTCCCCTCCACCCGCCCGGACCCTCGCCGACTCCAGGGCGAACCTCCACACACGCACCACCACCCCGCAAGCCGCACCCCAGCCGGGGCGAGGATCCGTTTTTCCCTTTTCCGCGAGCTCAAGTGCAGCGAGCAGGTTCAGGGTGAGCAGGAACATGCCATCTCCCGTCTCCCGCAGTCGCAGGCCATCGGCGAATTTGCTATGGCACATGCAGAGCTGCTCCAGAACCGGGTTACGCCAGGACTCGCCACCCGCCGCGCACAGCGGCGCCAGGGCTGTCACCAGCATGAGGTGCTGGCAGCATCGGCCCATGAGGACCTCCTCAAGCACCCTGGCGGCAGGCGTGTCGCGGGCGGCGCAGTCCCCGGAGAGCTCCAAGACGAGGCCGATCATACTAACAACTAACGATAAACGCCTGCCAGTCGTTTCCACACTCTGGAGGATCGGGACTCGCTGGCTTGCTGCAAGGTCCTGTAGGCGGCATTGCAGGCTTCTGGCATGCTCACACGTCTGCAGTCCCAACTTCGCTTGCCCTGCTGGCCTCCACTTTCAGGGTCTTGAATGCCACGTTGTCCAGGCTTTCCAGGAGTATTGAAGAAGCCATGATTGCTTTCGAGGCATTATCCAACAGCGCCGCCTCGTTTGCCGCCGCTGCCTCTCGACTTGTGCTCACTTCAAATGTCACTGCTGCTACCGACTCCGAACCAGCAACGGTCGCCTCCAGCTGCCTACGTGCGCGCAGCAGCCAGTGCGAGCAGCGGGATAGGATCTGGGTCGCGAGGAGCTTGTCGGCGAACGCAACGGCGACAGCCAGGGATGCTGGCTGGTTACAGCATAAACTCAGCAGCGAACGTGTGGCGTCCAGTGCCCAAAGGGCAAGCTCAATGTAGCTCTCCACGCTGGCGTCATCGTTGCTCATGACGGCTTCGCCCGTGCGGTTGAACGCTGCAAGGAGCAGGATTACGAGAGCTCTTGAAAAGTCACCATCGCGCAGAAGGGTGGCAGCAAGTCCTTCAAACTTGTAGGCGGCCTTCTTCGTCTTATCAAGCTCCTTGACAAAGCTGTCGATGTGTTTCGGGCTCAGCTTGGTGTGGATGACCTGCCGATCCAGGGAGATGCCCGCTGCGTGCGCGATTTTGTTAAACCTCTCGGCAGTCAGCGCCACAAAACTGTCAAGCGTTTCCGGCGGAAGAAGCATCTTGGATGCAGGGGTGCGGAGGCAGCGGTCGGGCCGTGCACTGCTACTGGCAACTGTGTTGTAGCCTGGTTTCCTCCAACCAAGCGCTCAAGCACGTTGCAGCGTCGCGGTTGCACTATTGCGATAGTTTCCAGAACATATCTGAGATGCTTACATATGAGATACTAGTGACTTGTCTTTCACCTCCCCCCCGCGTAGGCAATATACATTGCATGCCATAAACCTGCTATGGAGATTCCAAGTTCCACGCGACTTAAGCTATGTGTTTGTCGACCTAACCAAAAAGTATACTGTTTATTGCGCCCGTTTTATACAATTAAGGCTTATGCCCAATGCATGATAGTACCAGCAGGTGTTGCAGCGAAACCGTTTTGCAGTATTTGATATACTAAGAGGGCTTCGCGTACAAAACAGTTTAGCTGCGTTTCTGTCTCCACGCAGGCACTTCGCTCCGCTCAGAATGGTTGTACGGCAAAGGATCCAACAAATGCGGCATCACAGCAAATAGCTTTTCATTTCTACGATAATAGGGTGCATATCGTTTTGAAGTACTTGATGATACATAAGCCCGTTACATGGCGGGAAAGGCTGTGCTGGAATGTCCTTAAGCCTATTCTGTATCCTACTCCTGCTTACTCGCTATGGATAGTCCGATGAGCTCTCTACTGTAACAATACGCCTTTTGGCGTATTAGCTTCTAGCCCAGACTCCTAATTGGATATGACGTTTCGTGCCGTTCCTGATTCAGCTTCCAAGGCCCCATGTCTGACTATAACACATGCTACTACACAGCCCGCATTTTGCTTCACGGCTATCGGCGCCTCGCATGCCCCTGCATGCTCTCGCATACAGGTACCCCGGCTTCGCCGTGCCATGGGACAACACATCCTCAGGCTATCGCCCTTCCACGTCCCTTCCACATCCCTTCCCAGCCCAGCCCAGCCCGGAAAGACCCGCCTCCCTGCCAGTTCCATTGCGCCCCACCACCGCCCCAACACGGCAGCCCCGCCATCATCCATCCCATCCAGCCTCATTCCGGCAATTGGCTGCCGAACCCTCCCAGCTGTGTTTGCGGCTGAGATTGTGGCTGCGACAGCGGCTGCTGCTGGTAATCCGGATCCACGAGCAACAGCCCCGCCTGCTGCTGCTGCCCCTCCTGTTGCTGCTGCTGCTGCTGCCCCGTGCTATCACTTCCGTCGCCTACGGCACCCTCATAGCTGCCGCCGACAGCAAAGCCTTCAAACCCTTCTCCTCCTCCTCCGCCGCCGCCGCCGCCGTCATCACCGCCCTGATAGCCGTACGGCACGCCGCCACCCCCCTGCCCTTCGCCGTACAACATCGCCTCCGCGCCCTCCACCGGCAGCTGCTCCTGCTGCTGCTCATGGAACCCGGCAAACTCCTCCGCCGCCCCTGCTTCCAGCTCCGGAACCGTCGCCGCCGCCGACGGCTGCTGTGGCTCAAACGCAAACTCCATCTGCTCCCCCGCCGCCGCCACTGCCTCATGGGTCCCCGCTGGCGGCGGCGCGGCTGCTCCAACACGCCCGCCCGGGTAGCGCTGGAGCACCTGTCGGATCTCGGTCTCCAGCTGCATGCTCCTGAGGGGAACAGCGGTGAAAGGGATGGAAAAGGTCAAGGAAGGCAAGTACGCGGGGTCGCGTGTAAGTACGACAGTGGCATCGGGGAAAACGAGTATGGGCGTGTCCGCATGTATGCGCATGGACGCAGGGGTGAAGCATTGGAGGCGACCCGCAACCTCATGCCTGCACAATCCCGCCCTTCCCTAGGCCCGCGGGAACACGTTCCCAATTTTGCGTGCAAGTCGCACACGGTGTTTGAGTGCCCTACCTCTCCACAAAGGCTGACTTCCTGTCGTACTCGAGGTTTCGGAGCGCCTCTAGCTGTTTCCGGAGCAACTCGACTTCGGTGCGCAAGCTGCCATTCCGTACCTGAAGAGGGGTTCGGATGGAGAGGTGGAAAACGGAAGTTGAAGGGAAATGCAACACCGTATGTACACGCTTCGAAGACAGTGCGGGTAATGCTCGACGGCAGGATTGAGCAGGACTGAATTCAATGCGCGCCGAAACTCAAGTAAGCTAGACAGTGACCCATGGGTCGCCACTGGACTTGCCGAACGTCGACTCGCAATAGTGGCCTCTCCCCACCTCCTGCGCACCTCTATGGCGTCTATTTCAGCTTCCTTGGTGTGCCGCTCCGCCTGGGGGAGAGGTGAGAAGTCAGGGAAGGAGCCGCGGGGTGGCAGGGTGAAGCGAGGGAGGGCCCTCGGCACGCGCAACATGAGCAAAGTCGCGCGTCGCTGCCTTGCCACACGACTCGGCATCCTAGCTGCGACGGTTTGCAATCCCAACCTTCCGTACACACCTCCAGGGCTGCTGTTCGTGACCGTGCCGCCGTCGCGAGCTCAGCAGCCGCGTCGCGCTGCTGTCGTGCCGCTTCAACTTCCGCTAGCACCGCCGCCCGCTGCTCCCGGAGCTTTGCTAGCTGGGCCTCCTGAGTGGAGATGACGTTGGCATAATTCTCTAGCATGCGGTAGTAGTTTTCTGCAAGAAATAATTCAGGAAGGGATATAAGGGAAATAAGCCAACTGCTAAGCGACGCTATTGCTTGGAGAAAGGAGCCGAAGCGCACTGGTTCAACTTCGGCCGAATGTTGCCCTGGACAAGTCTAGGACAAGCAGAATGACCCCCGGGACACAGGCCTTAGGCAAGCAGGCGCTCTCAAAAGGTGTGCTTCCTTTGCAGTTGCCCCATAGTCAACCACAGACGCTGCAGGCAGGCCTTTCACACTTGACACCCATTAGAGTTCCCTAGGCTGTGTACATAGCAGCTACCCTACTTGTGGGAGCCAAGGAATATGGGGACGGCTTTGTCCTCACCTGCTGAGGAACCGCCTGCACCGCCGCCCAGCCCTCCGCCTCCACCGCCCAAGCCTCGGTTCAACATATTCTGCTGATGTAAATGTTTATGCAGTTATGCAGGGTACACGACACAGAAAGAATGGATATTGTCGGGATGTTGTCGTCTGGCTATCATACGCGCGCGGTTCCTATCTCCATTCTTAACCTAGGGGCCCTCGGCATTGCTAAGCTTCTTAAGCAGTTCGGGGACAATTACGTCAATGAGACTTTGCCGCCCCAGCAGTATGCGGCATTAATCAGGTGTCTGCTGCTGCTGCAATCCAGGCTGTCCTGCCGGTGGCTAACAGTCGCGGGCCTGGTGCAATTGGGATTAGCAGACGTCATGTTCTATCCTGGGCAGGTATGCCTAGTGGAGGATGCCTCGTGCCTGGAAATGCGGCTTTCGAAGCAAGCACGCATGGAAGGTCATGTGGGTGGGAAAGACGCGAAGAAGTAGAGCATTCATGGCGCCGTCCGGCCTCACCCCAGGTAATCGGCAGCTCTCACCGGACGAGTTTCGTCCCAATGCATGTTAAAAAGGGCATCAGGAGGAGATGTTCCCCCAGTAGGGTCCACCTGCGATCACACGATCCACCTGCAATCACAGCAATGGTGCTCTATGTTCCACTCACATAGATTTGGTGCCCATAACATTACCGTAGCGTCGCCGTATTAAGCCCCCCTGCCCCCAAAACTCCAACCCCTTTGCTTTCCAAGACGTTTCCCTACGTTTATCAGCGAGCCATCTTCCTTACCCTAAACCCTGCCCTTCAAACTCGCGCATAGCATAGCTAAAAGCAGCGACAGGGAAACTTCCTACTCCAGAAAACGTTGTTGCCCTCTATGACCCATGGGTCCCACTGCGCAGCCCCACCCATGTACCATGCACCCAAGCACCCAAGGACAAGCACCCAAGGACTGCGAAGGAAACACCATCCTTGGCATTCAACCCTGCGCCCCAGCTAACGCTTCCCATTATGCTAGACTCTCGTCCTAGCCCCCCAAAAACACCAGACCCGGCACCCCACACCACAACCCATAACAAACAGCTCACGTGCCTTGTACCCTATCCTAAACAACCCCCTAATCATCCTTGTCACCCACGCTGCCCTCCTCCTCCTCCTCATCATCGTCCTCCGCCTCCTCGACCACCACCGCCTGCCGCTTCTTGCCATCCGCTGGCACGTTGCTGCTGCCCCTGTTGCTGCTGGTGCTGCTGGCAGCCGGCAGCGCGGGCTTGCCCCTGTTGTTGCCCTTCTTGACGTCCTCCACCTCCTCCTCCTCCTCCTCGGAGCCGCTCTCCAGCTCGCCTGACAGGAACAATGGAGCAGGAACAAGGCGCAAACACGATTTGTGAAGTGAGCAAGTGATGTGTTAGGCGGTCTCATAACGATGGGTAAGGGGGAGAAATGGATGCCACCCGGAAGCGGCGCTGCAACTCAAAACACTCACACATGTCTTGCCTAGCAGTCACGAAGCAGGCAAAGAGAGGACCACAGCCCTTTCCTCCTCCTTCCTTCCCATTCCCCTCCTCCCTCCTCCGCCCCCCCCATGATGCCATGCATGCACGCACGCACCCGTCTCCTCGCTGTCGTAGTCCTCGCTGTTGAGGTCGTCCTCGCCCTCCTCGCTGCCCTCCTCGCCCACCGCACTGCCCGCGTCGCTGCCGTTGGCAACACCGCCACGGCGCCGCCGCCGGCCACCCTCTGTGTGAGCCGTGAGGAAGGTTGCGTGTTAGAAGGCAGAGAAGCCATCGCAGCACAACATACAGGCGGGAGCTATTGAGGCAAGGCTGACGGCCGGTTGGCTTCAGAGCCACCATCTCCCCATATACCGTAAGCCGCATATGCCATCGGCCAGTTTTCTCCTACCCTGTAAGCTGCAACTACACCCGCGCACCTTCCTCTCCGTCCTCCTCCTCGTCGCTGCTGTACTCCCGCGCCTTGGCCTGGCTCCTGGCGTCCCGCCCCTCCTGCGCCGCGCGCGTCATGGGCACCACCTTGATCCGCAGCGGCAGGCTGCGGTCGCAGCCCACGTAGCTGTCCGACATGAGCAGCAGCTGCAGCTCCCGCTTGCCCGCCCTGTGGACATGAGGTGAGGGAGCCGTCAAGCACGGGCATGTAAGAAAGCTACATACCAGAGACGTGTGCTACGGGTACATCGGTGCTGGCAGCACCACACATCCATCACAGACCCCAAGTGCCCAACCCAACCCTCGGCGCTCTTAAAAGCAGCCCAGCCCCCCCCTCCTCCCTCCCTCTCCCCCCTCACTTGGGCGCGGCAAATAGCAGCTCCACCACCTGCCCCTCCTCCGTCTCCGCCTCCGCGCCGCCGTCCGCCTGCCCGTCTGCCCCCCCGGCTCCCGCACCCGCCGCGCCGCCCGCACCGCCTCCCTTCCGCACGCCGTTGGGGTAGCGCGAGATGAACTTGTCCGCCGTGGCGAGGGCGCGAGAGCGGCCGCGGTCGGCATCCTGGGAGGAGGAGGAGGAGGAGAGCCAGGGGGAGAGGGCCGGGGGTTAAGCTGGGAGGCACGAGAGAGGCACGGCGAGAGGGGAATCACCCTTCCACTCCACACCCACACGAGCCCCACACCTGTGCTCCCCCCAGCCCCACCAACCCGCCTACACCCGCCACGGCACACATGACTGCCACACGGTTCAGCTGCTGTGTGAACAACCACACACCCAAACACACAAACATAGACAGTACGACGTTCTTCCTCGCGGCCACTTTTGCCAACACCCACCCTACCTTGCCTCCCTTGTCCCCCGCCTCGTTGCCCCCCGCCGCGCCCTGCCGCTCCCACTCCTCCGCCAGCTCGGGTCGGGAGAAGCCCACCGCCTCCGCCTCCACCAGGCTTGCCTTGGCCCAGGTGAGCACCGCGTTGCTGCCCGAGTCAACCAACAGGATGTGCCTTGGGGGGGGGAGGGGAGGGGAAACATAGATAAGTGCATCAACGGAGGGGGGGAGGGAGGGGGGAAACGTAAATGAAGGGCGAAGCAGTGGGGAAGGAGGGGTGGGAGGAGAAGTGGGGGAATAGAGAGGTGGGGAAAGTCAACCAACAGGATGTGCCTGGGGGGGGAGGGGGGAAGGGGGAGAGGGGGGACATAAATGGAAATTGAAGCAGGGGGAGGGAGTGTTGGAATAGAGAGATGGGCAGAGAGGAGTTGGGACTGACGTGGGGGCGGGGAGGGCCACCACCGAGTGGTGGTACTTCAGAAGGAGGGTATGGGAAGGATATTCACGTATACTCCGGGGTCGAGTCAAAGTCCATCCACCCATGCTGCTCCTCCTCCCGCTCACCAGTTCTCGTCCTTGGGCACGGGGTTGTTGGGCGTGAAGGCGCGGATGGCCTTGCTTGACCCGCGGGTCGGCGCCTGCTGCTCGAACCCCGGCGTGTTGTGGCTGGGCCGGGTGACCAGCAGCTGCAGGCGGCACTTCACCACGTCGCCCTCCATGATCTCCTCCTCACCCGTCACCTAGGTGGGGGGACAGCGTACTGGGTGAGTGGCGGAATGGGGTTCAACCAGCGGCTGACAAGCAGCAGAATTTCACTGGTAGCGCTCGTTACAATCATCTGCCCTTTTCATGGATCTTGCGCAAACTATCGCGAACTCTTCCGGCGCGTTTTCCGCCCATGCCGACCAGCCCATGCACCCCCACCCGCCCCCCCACCTCGCACTCCGCCCTGCAGTACACTACGGGCAGTGTGGACAGGAAGGTGGCCACCTCCTCCGCCCCCGCCTCACTCAGCCCGGCAGCCTGCAGCGCCTCCCGCAGCTCGGCAGACGGCAGCTCCTGCAGGTCTGTGGGGGGGGGCGTGGTAGGAGGGGAAAATGAGGCGGGCTGAGAAGTATGTGAAACAGCATATACTGTACAAGTGTACAAGTGAACCATCAGCAACAAGCCCTCTACTGCAACCATCCCCAACTCTCCTCCCCCCTCCGACTCCTCCCTCCCACTCCTCCGCCATCCACCCACCCTGGATCGACTGGAACCACGACACCACCCACCCTTGACCGACTGGATCTTCCGCTTCTTCAGCTTCTTCAACACGTCCACGTCAAAGTGCGGCAGCTGCAGCAGCGCCGCAGTCGCCTCCGCCTGCCCCGCCTTGGCGCTGCTGCCGCCGCCGCCCGCGGTGGGCTTGCGCGCGGAGATGGAGAGCGCCTGCGCCACACACTGCATCATCTCCACGATGGCCACGGCAGGGGTCTGCAGGGGGGGTGGGAGTGCAAGGCGAAGACGTGAAAAGTTTGACTTGCACGACAGTGTGAGAGGAGCGACGTGAGGGTGATGGGAGAGGGGTATGACAGGAGGAGCCGGTACCATGCGCTGCCATGTTGAAGGGTGGCGATGTTGGGTGCATCCAGCATCCTGTTTGGGCACCATGAGGCGTCCTATTCGTGCGTTTGTTTAACCCCCGCCTCGTGGTGCCCAAACAGAGTGCTGGAGGGCGGCCGTGTGTGTGGCGACATGTGTGTCGTACCCACCATCCAGCCGTGTCCCAGCGGCGGTCGAGGCAGTACGGCGATCTTGATCATCTCGTCCAGCAGCAGCGGGGTCTTGGTCAGCACAAAGTTGAGGTCGGCCTGACGGGTGGGGGCAGGCAGGGGGAAGAGGTGGAGGGAGGCGGGGGTGGGGTTAAGTAGTTCAGGAGGGCGGGAGTAGAGTTGGAAGGTGACACGGGTTGCATTGTTGGGCTGGTCACATCCGGTGGAAGCGGCGTCGGGCGATACGTGGTAGTGTCAGTATATCACCTCCGATAGGTTGCGAGTTGAATGGCTAGCAAAACCCAAATCAACCCCCTCCTCACTCTCCCTTCTCTCCTCACTCCTCACCACCACCCCCGCCCACCTTGAGCGATGCGGGCACGCTGTCGTGCTCCCGGTCCAGGTGCGCCAGCAGCAGCATGTGCGCCTGCAGGGGGGCGAAAATAGTTGTGCAGCGACTTTAGTCCCGATCCCATGCAGGGGGCAGGAGGGACGTATACCGGTATGTAGGGCCACACGATGGGCTGTAATGAGAAGGTACCGATAAGCTAAGCACCCGTTGGCGTAAGGAAAGGCAACGTGTAGCGGCAGGGACCCTCCCTCACCCCCCCTTGCGCTTTGCTCCCACCCACCCAACCGTACTGCACTCCGTACCTTGAGCACGGAGGGGTGTCTCTTGACCCAGAAGGCCTTCTTGTCCTTGAGGTCCGGGTTGTTCCGCAGCACCACACGACGCAGCTCCTCAAGACCCGCACCCTGCAGGACAGAAAAGGAGTAATTGGGAGTGATCTAACGGGATGGCAGAACACAAAGCTGACAGCAGCAGCAGCAGCCCGGCCCTGTCCCTACACAGTCCGATGTTAGGGCCGGGCGCCCTTATCTGGTTACCCCTCCCTCCCCTCCCCCCCCCGGCCCCACCTGCTCCCCGGGAGTGGGCAGCGTGAGGAACTCCATGCAGAACACCAGCGTCTCGGGGATGCGAACCAGCGACTGCAGGGAGGGGGGTGGGGTGGAGTGGCGGGGGTGTTACAAGTGTGAGGGGCAGAGGCTTGCGCGTGTGCGCGTGTGCCAGGTAGGTGTCAAGTACGTGGGCGGAGTGTAGTAGGGTGTGGTTGAAGGGCTGCGAATACGGCATTCGCACACAGGAAGCCGCCCCTCTTCCCCCTCCCCGCCCCACCTGCGACTCCTTCACGTTGTACTTGGACGCGTAGTAGAGCGACATGGTGTCTTGCATGACCCCGTTGGGCCCCGTGTAGCGGTTGGATCGCAGCATGTACCAGGAGGCCACCCCCAGCGGCGCCAGGATGCCGCAGAACACCAGCCCCAGCAGCATCAGGGGCGCCACCTTGCTGTCCTTGGTGAACAGCCAGGTGGGCAGCGCCACACCCACATCCATGGCCTGGGGGGAGAGGGAAAGGGAGGAGGGGAAAATTATATAAGAAATGCAAACAACTAAGTCCCAATCCCATATCCCGACTCATGCAGTGAGCGCATTCGGAGGCACTAATAACACGCGGAGGAGGGGAGGGGAAGAGGGGAAGGGGGGAAGGGAGGGGAAGGGCTAAGTGTGAAGAGGCGTGAGGAGACCGTGACTGCTACGGTTTAGACGCCAGTCGCCGCTTTCGCTTTCATTAGTATTTGTACCACTTGATGCCTTACGACTGTTTAAGGACCGCCGGCAACGCCGCCCCCTCCCCACCTGCGGTCCATCCGGGTGTCCGTACTTCTCGTAGTTGCCGCGGGACACCTCGTCCGTGAGCGCCTGGTAGGCCTTGGTGATGTACTCGGCAAAGTAGGCGTGCGCGCGGGGGTCGGGGTTCTGAGGGAGCGGGGGGGGGACAGAGGCAGAATGGGTGAATTGTAGGGAATGTACATGGGAGGAATAGCCGCGTTGCAGATCTTGCAGTCTAACAAACACCGAGCTCCTCAGCTCTCCGTTCGCAACCTCACGCTCACCCGTGCTGCTGCTCTTACCCGCTAAACAGCTACACTTTCCCGTCCCAGCAACCAACCAGCCCAGACCAGCACCAAACCCACCTCTACAGCCATGCCCCAAACCCCATATCGACGCCCTCCCTGACCCTTCCTGGCCTCTTGTTTCCCAAATTCCCCACAGACCCCGACCGTCCCTCCCTCCCGTTCGCCCACCTTATCTGGGTGGTACTGCAGCGACAGGCTGCGGTAGGCCTTCTTGATCTCCGCGGTGGTGGCACCCGGCTCAATCTTCAGGATCTCAAACGGATCAAACGGCTTCAGATCCTGTACGGGAGAAAGGGAGAGGGTTGGTTTGCGGGAGGGCGCCGGGAGGAGGCGGGTGACGTGACTAGCCCAGACTAGCCAGACGTGTGTCGACCAGCAAGGTACGGAGGCGCATGGCAGTCACCATGCCGACAGGCAAGGTGAGCTACGGCCGCCGACCCAATACCCAGTACGGCACCCAGAAAACAAGAAGCATTGTCGTACGTGCAACGTACCTTTGATGTTATGCTGACGTACCACAGCAGCAGCGCCCACAGCAGCCATAGCGCGATGAGGACGAGGTTGCCTGGGGGAGGGGTTGGGAGGGGGACACAAGGAGGGGTAGTAGGGGTAATCGAAGAGAGAAACTGGACCTTGAGCTGCTCTTTCCTAGCACGCCAGCACCCACAAGCCATGGCCGAGTGCACCGTCTGGACGGACATTGTAATAGAAGCGCAGGCCAAACCCCAGGCCCTCATCATCAGCCCTAGGCCACCCCTTCTCCACCCATGTGCATAAGGGCTTGTCCCCCGTTGATACCCGCTAGCCACAAGGCGTCTACGAAGACGCTTGCAGGCGGCAACAGTTCCGGCGTGTGCGCCCCGCTTTACCCCATAGCGCCTTGACAGATCGTACCTTTGTTAAACAGCTTACGCAGGACACGACTGACACCGCCCTTCTTCTGCTTGCCCTGCATCAACACAATCGGTGACTTGGACAGGCGCGGAGGTAATCCCGCTAGGAAGGACAGAAGCCCCTCTATAGCCTACTTATAGTGAGCGATAAAACGCATACCTGTAGATATGGCTGCACCACTGTCTCCTCTGAGCCTCCACATGAAATGCGGTAGATCGTGTAAGGAAACAGGAAAAGCGAGTACAAACTCAAGGCAAAGATCGCAAATAGCGATGTGCTTCCTTTATGTTCGACCATCTCGACTACTACGCTAGCGTAATGCTAGAGAAGAGCGGCAACAGCGCTGATGCAAGTTGATTTTTAAAGCTAAGCGATTTTGTTCGTCAAGGAAAAACGTATTGTCAATTAAAGCAAACGCAGGCTTTTTCTACCTAAATAACACCTTGTTCTTTCCCAAAGGCAGCCGCATCAGTACAGTGCAGAACAAATTCCACAGCCGCCTTATATACTGTAGGCGACTGATGTAGAAGACTGCTAAGGATACCATCTAGCCTAGGTAAGTGGACGGATACGACAATTTCTCTTTAATATACGGCATCCGTGTGCAACCAAACGCCGCAGTTCTACTTGGATTGAAACCGATCCATACCAACGCTGTTGTTTATACTTATGCACATGTCGGCATCGCGTCGTGTATGTGCTCACAGGTTTTGGCTTGTCGCAGGAGTGTTCAGGAGCGGCCGTAAACACAATGCTGTTGTAACTTTGACCCAATCCGGGCACGCTGGTGCTCTTACTCAGCGATCTAGGTGGCCTCCTCCCTTCTTTCACGCCGTGGCAAGCAGATGGTGCGCTCGGCCAATCTCAAGCTAACCCTGCCCCCCTCCTCCAGCGTGTGGTAAAGCTTTTGGTTGGACTTACAACTCTGCATCATAACTCGTGGGCGACCAAGGAGCCATTCAAATTGATCTTGGGGTGATATTGGTGATATTGGTGTTGAGCAACTCAACTACCGCAGCGCATACGGTGCGGTTGGCCGCAAGGCTTTAAGCCGTTGGCTACTATACTGTTGCCAATCGCCATGCCTGGAAAGTTTCAGTTCCTTGCAATTTCTCACTGCATCGGGCGCGTTCTTAGGACCGATTGGCCCATGGTTCAACACAGGCAGGAAAGCTCATTCCGTGTTGAGCTAGAGGAGGTCGAGCCCATTTTCTATTTAGGACATGGTAGTTCATGGACACCAGGAAGCGCTGTATTCGGCCGCCATGAATGTCTCCAAATGTCTGACATGGCTTGAAGGTAAGAAGAGAGAAAACCAACTTGAATGCGGCCATAGACACAGTATCTCACGTTCAACAGCAGCCTGGAATTTCAACTTTGAACAACCAACGGCCACTCTACGCCCACAATGCCTCCGGTTAGCCATCGCGCGTTGGCAAAGTTCTACTAGTCGCCTACCAGGTCCGTCTAAGTTACCGTATAAATATTGCTCCTAATTTTATGAACGCATTCATAGCGATGTGCATGGAGCATGGAAAGGACTGGATTGGCTAGACGCGCACAAACCCCAGAGCACTTAGCAGGCAAAAGGAACCTATGGAGTAAGGAACAAACTTATAAGGTGACTTCATATGATGTTGTTTACTGTGTTGCTGTTAACATCCAGGATAGCAACGCGCCTTGACCCGCCACTGCTTCGATAAGAAACATTACTTTTCGAGAAAGAAAAAGCACAAGCATGTTTTCTGTTGTTCCCTGGTTATCTTAAACTTTTTGCCATGCGTACGCTACCCAAGTACGCAACCTAGCTGCATCCGTCGTGTACAGCACTAATATTACACAAAGCAGCCCCAACCGTTACATGGTTTCATTGCAGTATATTGCTTGGGCTGTTTGTTTATGGAACAGGACTGGCCTATGGCCCTCATTTCTTATCTGCAACTTGCACATGTAAATTTCCCTAACTCAGAACGACCCATAACGCTAAAGGCAGCATTTTACCATCTGTTGAGCAATACTTCGATTAACATAACTGATGGGACAGCGGCTGGCGCGTTTGCCTCCTGTGGACTAGGAGAGAGGGCGCAGGAGAGGCGGCAAGCACAGGGACATGGCCGACACTCCGTCCCCGCCGGGCACTTCCGGCGGGGACATGCCACAAGAAAAGCGACTGGGCCAGAATCTGGCGCTGTCGCAGCTAGCGGACTTACCGGAAATTCCGAATGACAACATGGAGGAGTACCGTCTGCAGCAGCATGAGTATACAATGCACCTGGATAGCTCAATGCTAACGTATACTCCAGCAGCTGGAAAGCTGAAGGTCGCGGACCCTCAGCAGGCTAACCGCTTTGAGGATGGCAAGTCCAACAAGCGAAAGATATACGTGAACAAGGAGGTAGGACCAAAGGCGCGGACAGGAGGTTACCAATTAATGCGAAGGGGTGGACGGATGCCGCGAAGAGGGTTTCCTGATGTCTGACCTAAAACTGCTTGCAGGGCCTCTAGCTACTTGTTCCCTGCTACGTGCTAGGCCGCAGGGCGAGCACGCCATGACGTCGCTTAAGAAAGCAGTGATGGGTGATTGGCACATCACATAGAGTCCGGGTCTCTGATACCGGGATACCTCAGCTTTCTCACTGAAGCTCATCTATCCCATCCTAGCCATCTTCTATTCCCCCTGTCCCACCCTACCCCACCCTAGCCCGCCTATGCCCCACCCTGCCCCTCCTCACCCTGTCGTACCCGCCCCCACCCTGCCGTACCGTTCACATGCCGTACGACACAGGTGCTGAGCCGCCTGGTGTGCGTTGCCGAGGAGCTTAATAAGGCCCAGGCGCAGATTGAGGTCCGCAAGATGATCAAACGCGAGCACAAGAGGTGCGGGGAAGCTGCTCCGTTTTGGAAACAGGGGCTAACAGGATACTAAAGCCCAACATCGGGCGTACTGCACCTCAACGCAATGTACCCCTGCCCCAGCTGCATGTAGACAGCCGCAGCCTCGGAAGTGAGCCCTGTCTGCCCGGGGCTGCCGTGCATGCAGCTCTTTACCCTCCCACCGCATCCCACCATGCCATCCCTCCCTCTCCACCACCTAAGCACAACACCCTGCCTCCTAACCTGCATGCGCCCAGCAGGCAAGTGCAGCAGTCGGAGTGCGGCGCCTGGCCGCCTCCCGTCCCGCAGCAGGAGGGGCAGCAGCAGCAGCAGCAGCAGGCGGGACCTCAGGGGCAGGAGGCGGAGGCCGGGAGCGAGCAGCTGCCGCTGGCGGATATCCTAATGGGCCTGGAGGTGGAGGGCGCGCCCGGCTATGTGAGCAGCAGGGGGGCGGGAGGAAATGGAATGGGGTGGGAAGAGGGTGGGAGCCGCATGAGAGACCGGGAGGGAGGGTAGCTTTGTGTGATGGGGGCCGGCCATGGGGCGGGGTGCATGGGCGGACCTGCCGGCAGAAGGGAGCGGAGAGCGGCAAAGCAGCGAGATAGCCAGCGAGAGGCGTGGCGAGAGCGGCAAGACTGAGAGGAATGAAGGGAATGGCGACGAGAGCAAGAGCAGCAAAGGCGGAGCAAGAGCCAGAAAAAGAGCTGGGACGCCAATCCCTCCCTACCTCATCTTATCCTTCCTCGCCTCCTCCTCCACTCCTCCATCATGCAGAACGAGGACGGCACCCCCGCGGAGCCGCTGACCCCTGGGTCGGCGGCAGCCTTTGCCGCCATGTCCCCCGCGCGGGCTCCCTCCAGCCGGCCTGGCAAGCGCGTGCCCAGCGCCTACCGCTCCACGCAGGTGCTGCTGCGTCCCCCGCTGCTTCCTCTCCTTCCTTTCCATTGCTTCCTTAGCTCCTTTGCCGTGATAGCTCCGCTGCCGTTGCAGCTGCTGCTTCGGCTGGCTTAAATGCCTTCAACAACCCCTTCTGGGTCCTACCTGCAGGCTGCCCGAGTAGATCTCCATGTATCGGCCCCCCCTGCCGCCACCCATATAGCTACTCTTCTTTCTACACTAATGTGACCCCTCCTCAACCCCCTTGCTCCCTCCTTTGCTCTCTGCCGTCACGGCTGCTGCTGCTGCCCCGGCTTGCTCTTTCTGCATTCTAACGGCTGCCCTGCCGTACATCGCCGTGCTCCAGGTTCGCTACCCTGCCGTACTCGCCTCCACGGCTCCCAAGAACCGCTGGGGCTACTTCCGGGCTCTTCAGCGGCTGCTGCCCGCCGCCAACGCCGTACGTCCCGGCCACATCGCCTTTGGCAGCGGCTACGCGGCCCCCACCGCCGCCAGCAGTGCCGTACTGGGCCCGCAGGCACACCCCCGCCTGCACCACCACCAGCACTCCATGGGGGCGGCGGCGGTGAAGGTGGGGGGGGCACCCGCGTGTGTGGAGAGGGGAGAGTGGAGGGGTGGGACACGCGTGTTTCAGTTTTACACGAGGAGGAGGGAGAGAGTGGGAGGGTTGCAATGAGGGAGGATGTTCCTGCTGATGTGTTGCGACGTACGCGGCCCTTGCGCAGCAGCCCCTGCAAAGACCACGAATGGAGCAGGCAGCGTTGGGCATTGCCCCATGCTACCCCACCCTTCCTCCCTCTTCCCCACTGCCTCCCCCTCCCTCCCTCGTCCCTCCCTCCCTTCCTTCCCCTCCCGTGCAGGCCGCCAAGGCCCTCCAGCGCGAGGCCGAGCGCGAGGCGGCCGCCGCAGTGGCTGCGGAGGCCGCCCCGCTGGTGTCTCGCGGCAGCGGGCTGGACGACGCGATCGCTGCGGTGCTGCACGCCAACCAGATCCGGGAGGCCAAGCGGGCGGCGGCGCGGCAGCTGGCGGAGGAGGAGGGGCTGCCCACGGAGACGTGGTGGGACATCATGCAGAAGTGAGTGGGCGGGGGGGAAGAGGGTGGTGAGGGAAGAGCGGGGAGGGGGTTCAGGGAGGGACGGGGAGGAGTGAGTGCGGCGGGGAGCGGTGAAGTAAGCCGGGGAGGGAAGAGCGGGTGAGCGGCGAAGTAAGCCGGAGCTGTTTCTCTCGTACGTTTGTGCGGCGGTGTCCACCGCTGACCCGTGGGTCGCTCGTTACCCCTTTCCAGACGCAAGAAGGTGGTATACTTCCAGAAGCTGCTTGAGGCGATGGCTGACAAGATGGAATTCATCCGGGTGGACCGGGCGGCGAGGACCATCCAGAAGGCCTGGCGCATGTTCCGGAAGCAGCGCACACGCAATGTAGGGGGGGGAGGGGGTTAGGTAAACTGAGCTGCGGAAGCACTGGCCGTGACCATAGGTTACCGGTTGGAGGTTGGGGAAGGGTGTAAGGAAAGAGGGTAAGGCGACACATCCTTGAGGCCTGTGTGAAACGAGACGAAGGAAGATTCGTACACCCCGGACGGTCTTCCCCGCCTGCCACGTCCTTAAACCGCCTCTTGCATGCTACGTCATGGCTGCGCTCAGTTTGTAACGCCGCGACAGCGTGACGTCGCTTACATCGCACCTCTCCTCCCCTCCTCCCGCACCCCACCCGCCTGGCTGTCTGCAGGCGAGTGAGGAGATTGCGCTGCTCCAGAAGGAGCTGGCGCACCGCAAGGCGATGGAGGCGGCGCTAAGGTTGGCGGCGGAGGCGGCCATTCGCGACCAGCAGGAGAGGTGGGAGGAGGGAGAAGTGTGGCATGCGGGGAATGATAGTGGAATGATAGTGGCAGGGAGGGGCGGCGCGGGGGGGGGGCTGAAGAACGAAACCTGTGTTCCCATTGCCCCCGAGGGAAAGGGGGCGAGGACCGTCCCTTAGATCGGGTCTTTCATGCCTCGTGCCTTGCCCCCCTCGTGCCATGACACCCCCCCCCTTCAGGGCCAAGCGCAAGGCGCAGCGCACCGCTCGCCTGGCGGTGCCGGAGGGCTCGGGCGGCGATGCGGGGGGCGACTCCACGCCGCGGGCTAGCCCCAAGAGCGGCACCTTCAGCCGGGCGACCAGCGCTAGGGTGGGTCGGGATGAGGGTGGGCGGCCCGACCCATGGGTCAGTGGGGGGCTGCTAGGTGTACATCATGTGGGTTGTGCGGTCCATTGGGGCTGTGTGATCCTTCACTATCCTGTGTCCTGTCACCGGATTCCCGGTTGTCCTATTCACACATCTTCTTCCACCTCCCATTCACGTGATCACCTCCTTCCCCATCCTCCCTATCCTTCTCCTCCTCCTCCTGCTCCTCCTCACAGAACCTGGGCTGGCAGAGCTCCCTGCGCGGCTCCATGGCGGCGTCCCGCAGCCGCGCCGTCAGCCGGGTTGCGTCGCAGCGGCGGCTGGGGGCGGGCGAGGAGGAGGGTGGCGAGGGGGACGACCCGGCGGTGAGTGTGGCAGGCTAGGCGGGCTGGGATTTCGGTTTCGGCGCTAGGGGGGATGCGTGGAAGGCCATATGATATTTGGCCGTACCTGCATGAGAGGTTATGTGAGCTGTGCGGGGCGTGTTTCCGGTAACACAGATACCCATGCTGGCATGAAAGCAACGTGAATAAGCCATTACCTCCCTTCCCCCTTCCCTCCCGTGTCCTTTAAACTCATCGGTACCCACCCACAGGCATCTTTGCCGTATGGCCAGGAGCAAAACAACTTGTGGGCTAAGATCCAAGCGCTCATTGGAACCGACTGGGATGTGGACGAAGAGAGCTCGGCCAGCAGCAGCAAGAGTGGCGCCAGCAGCAGCAGCAGCAAGGACTCGGACGAGGAAGGCGAAGAGTCGCACGCCTCTGGTCAGGAAACGGCTCGCGAGCGACGGATACGGCTGCGGAGGGAACGAAAGGAAGCTCGAAAGGCGCGGAAGGCAGCTGCAGCAGAAGCAGGGGAAGCGGATGGGGATGAGGGTGCCGAGGCCGGGGCAGTGTCGGAGGCAGCAGCTAGGGGTGCGGGAGGCGGCGGCGGGGAGGGTGGCGAGCCTAAGCGGCGGAGGCGGAGGAGGAGGAAGAAGAAGGGAAAGAAGGAGGAGGATGGGACGGGTTTGTTGGCGCAAGTGGTGAAGGAGGCGATCAAGACTGCCAAAGGTAGGCGAGGGCAGTTAGGGGTCGGGTTGGAGTGTCAAGAGGTGGGCGGCATGCATATGGATCCCGGGGAGAAAGGCACGGCATGGAACGTTCACGCCGGAAAGGCTACACCGTGAGGGATCCTTGGAAAACTGTTGAGCTTGGCAGGACCAGAGGTTCATTGGGCGTCCATGTAGTCGTCGACAGGCACATGCTGGCGGGTTTTTTGTATCCAATTCCTAGATACCGGGCACTGGGGTATACCTATCCCCGGCAAACGCCTCCTTAACCCTGCCATTCACCCTTCCTCACCCACCACTCCCCAGCCCTGGAGAAGGAGGACGAGCAGCAGCGCCGCAAGCGCGTGCGCCGCGGTCGCTCCACCGCCGCCGCCTCCACTGCTGGCGGTGGCGGCGGCCCCAGTCGCGGGGTGAGCAAGGAGCTCCAGGCCGCCCTGGACCGCCAGACCCTGGAGCAGGCGGCCGCCTCCCTGCACATGACGGTTGAGGCGTACATCGCGATGCGCAACCGCAAGCTGGGGATTGTGACGGGGGGTGCTCCGTGGGAGGCGCCCGCCATGCCGCAGCAGCTCATGGGCGTGAGCAGCGGGGAGGTGGAGATTGGCGAGGAGGTGAGTGAAGGCAAGGGGGTCGTGGGGTTTGAGGAAGGGTGTGTGGGAGGATGTGTAGGAGGCTGTGGTGCAGGACCTGAGGACCCTCATTCGCCACATGCACGCTCACACGTCCTACGATTCCCGTGTACGTTTTCCCCCCCAGGAGTTGAAGCGCATGGAGGATGAGGCGCGGCGTGAGCTCATGGAGAAGGCGGCGGCGGACTTCATGGCCAAGGCGGCAGCGGCGTCCGCCGCCGCCGGTGCTGACGGCAGCCAGCAGGGGGCCGCAGCGGCGCCCACTGACACGTCAGCAACGGCGGCGGCGGCGATGTGGGGTTCCTCCGCCGCTGCGGCGGCGGTGGGGGGTATTGGCGCTGGGCTGCTTGCCGGTGAGGAGGGCGAGAGCGCGGAGGAGGCGGCGGCGCGGTTCGCCGCGGCGGTGGCGCCGTCACTTGCGGTTTCGGAGGACGATGTGTGGAAGCTGGTGAAGCAAAAGGTGAAGCGACGAATGGAGGAAAAGCACGGGAAGGGTGGCGGCGGCGGAGGCGGTGGTGGTGGCGGAGGCGGGCAAGCGATGGCGGCGGCGGGGCGGCTGCTCGACGGAGGGTCTGCAGTCGGGAGCAGCGAGGACAGCAGCGAGTATGAGGAGGAGGAGGAGGATGGGGAGTGGGATGATAGCGAGGATGATGAAGATGACGATGAATGGGAGTATGAAGAGGAGGAGGACGAGGAGGAGAGCAGTGACGCGAGCGGGGGGAGGCGGCGGCGACGCCGCCGCAAGAAGCAGCAGGACGGGAAGGCTGGCGGCGGCACCCGGGGCAGTGGCGGCGGCGGCGGTTCCAAGCAAGGCACTGCGGGGGGCGCTCCGCTGTCGGGAAGTAGAACCGGGACGCCTCAGCAGCAGCAACAGCGGCGCCGCCGTCGTCGGGCCAGGCATGCACCAGACTCCGGATCTGAGTACGACACAATGTCGGAAGATGAGATCCGACGCGCCGGACCTGCCGTACATAAGAAGATCACGCGCCAGAAGGCTCGAGCGGGTCGCAAACTGCAGGGCTACTACACCCGAAGGCTGCGAACCAAGAGCATCGCCGCCGCGGCGGCGGAGGCGGCCATGCAAGCCGAGCGAGCGGCGGCGGCTCGTCGTACGGCGGCGGCGGGGCCGCCGTCCTCCTGGCCTCGCACCTCCCGGCGCCTCGCTGGTCCGGCCTGGCGTCCTGGCGGCGGCGGCCCCAAGCGTTACATCGCGTCGTACGAAATACAGCAACGTGGCTTCGTTGCGACGCCGTACCGTCCGCCGCCGCCGCCACGGTTCCCCATCCGTCCAAGCGTGGCAGCGCGAATGGCGGCGGAGGCTGCGGCAGCGGCTGCTGGTGGTGGCGGTGGCGAAGGCGCCGCCACCACTGCTGGCGCCGGCGCCGCCGGCGCCGCCGCTGCCCCTCGTTCTCCCTCTCCCACCGTGGTAGAGCGGCTGGGCCCCTACCACCTGAGCCCCGGTGGCCCCTCCCTGTTGTACCGGGAGACGCACCGCTCCAGGTCGCCCTCCCGGCAGCCCGCAGCGTCGCTGCACGCTGCTACCTGGAACAAGGTGGGTGTGTCGGTCCGGTGGAGGAAAGGAGAAACTGTGTTTGTTGGTGGTGCGCACGAAAGGAGCTTCTGCCATAAACGGCTACAAACACGTGTGTTTACTTACTCGCTGCACATGAGTAGTGGTTGGGTGAACGAAAGCGTATCTCAGTGCATGCATGGCACCGCTACTGCTGTCAGCCTGATGCGTTGCTCACCTCTCGCCTCCCGCTTCCCGTCTTCTCGTCACACCTCATCCGTCACCAGGTTGCCGGAGTGCCCGGTGCCATCTTCACGCAGTACGGCTGGGTCACCGCACCCGCTGCTGCTGCTTCCGTGGATCCGCCACCTGCCTCCTCCGAACCAGCCCCCGGGGAAGCCGCGGTCCCGTCCTCCCTGCTAGGACCCCATGTGCCTTCCGGCTCCTCTCCTCGCGCCCAGCAACAACAACACCGCCTCTCCCAGCACCCACAACACCCCCAGCAGGAGCCGCACCAGCAACACGACACGTACCCGCATCAGCAGCCGTACATGCAGCCGTACCTCCAACGTCCCCCTCAGCAGCCGCAGCACACCCCGCAGCTGCAGCCCGCACTGCTGGTCGACCCGCCGGAGCAGCGGCAGCTGGCGGAGACGGTGGCGGCGCTGCGGGGGGGCGCGCTGGTGCCGGCGCTGGAGGCGTACTGCAGGTGGGGGGGACGAGGGGGGAGGGGGGGGGTCAAATTATACCCTACCGAACCATAGGAAACTACAGGTTGGGGAAGGGGGGAAGCGAGCAGGGTAGCATGCATGGGAAGGTGAGTGGAGGGGGGGGGGTGCTAGTGGAAGTGGTGCGAGGCAGGTGAGGGAGTTGAGTGATACCTTATCTCTCCGACCCAACCCCCCATCTCGCGGCCCGTCAATCGTACGGCAGGCAACTGGGGCTGTCTCCGGAGCCCAGCGGAGGAATAGTGATAAGGCACCCCTCAGGTGTCGCTGCCACCGCCTCCACTGCCATCGCCGCAGCCGCTGCGCACTCTGCCTCCCATGCTGGCGCCTTCGCCGGCTCCAGACCCCTCCATGCTGGCCCTTCTTCCTCCTCCTCCCACCATCCGCCGCACACCTCCTCCTCCAACCACCACGCACGCATGCAGTCCCTCCTAGCCCCCGCAAGCGATGCCGCCGGGGCGGGTAGCAGTACGGCAGGCCTGGGTCTGGGGCTTACCGTACGAGGGGCCACACCTGCCAGCCGTGCGCTTGGATCCGGATTTGGATCTGGTGGTAATGCGGGCAGTGGTGCTTCTCGCTCGTCGTCGCCTTCAGCGACCCGTGGGCCGTCATTCCTGCTGCAAGCTGGCAATGCACCCTTGGCGCCGCACCCCCCTGGCCACCCTCCTGTGTCGCGCGGCGGGGCGCGGGGAGCGAGCGGCGTACGACATAACTCTGCGGGCGCGGCAAGCGGCAGCAGCGGCGGCGCCGTCGCTGCCGCCGTCGCGGATACGAATGCCTCGCTGCATGGGAGCAGCTCCGTCCTCAACACACACCATCGAACCCATTCGCATGGTGCTCTGACGGGTGGCGCGGAAGCAGATGCCGACGGTGGTAGCTGCGGCGGGGCTCACACCGTCGGCGGCGGCGAGATGATGACGGCAGGGGGCCTCCCGACAACCAACCATGAGGGGGCAGGGCCGGTGTCGGGTTTGTCACCCGCGCGGCACAGGCTGGGAGTGTCGTCGCTGCGGCGGGCGACGTCTTCTAAAGCCATCGTGGACGGCAGTACGGCATCGCACGGCAGCATGGGCGGTACGGCAGCGGCGGCGGCGGCGGCGATTTCGAGGAGCGGTACGGCAGGGGCGAGCAGTAGTACACGATTTGCCTCACAACGGGGTTACGTTGAGGCTCCTGCCACTGCCTCCGCCGGCAACGGTGGGGCTGCAGGGGCGGAGGCTGCAAGCTCGCACACAGCAGGAAGAGGAGGAGGAGGAGCGACCGGGTTGTCTTTCGGGCTCCCGTACGACAAATCCGAAGCCTTCGCCGCGACTGCTGGCGGTGGTGGGAGTGCTGGCGGCAGTGACGGCGGTGCGACGGCGACGTCAGGGCACCCTGCCGCCGGGCTTGCGTTGGAGGCGGCAGGCCAGGCGGGTGCGGGCGCGGGCGCTCCGCTGCAGGGCCAGGCGCTCAAGGTGCGGGGGAGCTGCATGGCTGCATGGGCTCGCAATCCCTTTACCACCTTGATGGGTGCTAGGTCTTGTTTCCTCCTCGATGGGTGCTAGGCCCTAGTGATGCTTTTTAGAGTGGGGTCATGGTTCAGGGACGGCCATGATAGCAGCGCCCATACGCGCTACTTGCCGCTTTGACCGTCCGTCTGTCGGAAGGATCCTTAACCGGCCGGCTACGCCAAGTCACAACCTTCTTATGAAACCCCCTTCGGTCTTACTCGTAGGCTTAACCTTTGTTTCTACTTATATAACACCTCCTCTCCGCCCAACGCGCTGACGTTGTGCCCTTGCTGCACCCTCATGCGACCCCCCACCCCCCCACCCCAGGTTGCACTAGCCGTCATCAACACGCAGGCTGTGAAACCAGCGGTAAGCGCTTTGCAGCCACCCTCGCCTTCTCCGCAACAACCCTGCAGGGCCGAAGCGAAACAAGCAACCCACGGCAAGCTCCTTCTTATCATAACCCACGTCATGCGCTACTAATTCACCAACTTCCTCCCTGCTTCCGGTCCCGTGCCATTTCATGTACCGGTCTACCCATGCCACACCGGTACCTGTACCAATCCTGGGCCCCTTTTCCTGCACTTCCTTACCCTGCCCCTGTTTGCAGATCGCGCGGCGACTGTTCCCTTTGGGTCATGCACGCATCATGGACTTCCCTGCGCCCGGCGACAGTGGCGGCAGCATGGAGGCCAGCGCGGACGGCTCGTCATCCGCCGCCGCGACCGCCGCAGGGTCTGCGGAGGGCCTTGCGTCCTTTCCTCTCGGGGACATCAGCAGCAGCAGCAGCGACGGCAGCAGCGACGAGGAAGGCTGGGCTACGGTCTCTGATGAAGAGGGCGGCGGCGGCGGTGGCTTGGATGGAGGCCACGAGAGAGCGACGGCGGCGGCAGCGGCAGCGGCTGCCGTCAGCAAGGCCGGCGGCGCTGCCATCGGCTCGTCACACCTGCCGCTGGCGGGGACGCCGAGTGCTCAGACGCCGCCGCTGCAGCAACAGCGCGTGCAGGTGCGGCTGCCGCTGCAACCCCAGCAGCACCCGCAGCCACCCGCGCAGCAGGGTATGCATGGCCGCGCATTGCCCTCGCGATCTGGGCACCGAGGCAGCGGCGGTGTGCCGTCAACGTCTGCGACGTCGCCGCCGGCGCTCACCGCCGTTGCGTCGGCTCCCAACTTGGGACCTGTGACGTCCCGCTACTCCGCCTCGGAGCCGGCGCATGGAAAACACGGCGGCGGCGGCACCTCCGCCGCAGCGGCGCCGCCAGCGGCCTCATCCACGGTGCGCCAGGAACCCCACCTAGGCGTCATCGGTACGGCAGCGGCGGCGGCGGCGACGGCAGGCGGGTCTCCCTCGCGGCGAAGTCCTGTAACGTCCGCCACTACCGCCGGTGCAGCGCAGAGGACCGCCCCCGCCACTGCCGCGGCGGCGGCTGCAGCGGCAATGGCGGTACCGACGACGCCGCTTGTGAAGCCTCTCAAGGCGTCGACGTATCGGGCATCGCCCGCACCCGCTGCGCCGCCGCCGCCGATGTCAGTCCAGGCCCATACACGTGGGAATGGGCCAGTGAAGGCGCACGTTGAGCAGACCGGACCCCTGCCTGCGGGGTCGGACCCGGGTGGCTATGCGGACACGCTTCCGACAGGACAGCCAATTATCGACGAGCCGTTAGATGATGACGAGGACTCGCGGCAGTTCGACATTTTGTACGACATGACTCGTTGGGCTGTGGCGCCGCCACCCACGCCTTGCGACTACAGGTAGTGTAGAACAGGGAACGTTTAGTACGTTGGTGGCCAGTCGTGGGCGACCAATCATGGGTCAATGTGGGCATTGGGACTTTGGGAGTCTGCCAAGCTGCCATTACTAACACTAATGATTGAAACCTTCTTACTGCAACGCAGGCCTGATGCGGAGCATATCAAGATCACCATCCGTCGCACGAGCGCCGCCAAGAAACGTGAAGAGAGCGAGCGCCGGGAACGCCAGCGCGCGCGTCTCTTCGGCTCCTACGCTTTCACGTACGGCCGGTCATTGGGCCAAACGTACGAAAAAGTGCAGTTCCGTCGCCGGGAAGCCAAAGCCCGCGTCGCCATAACAGTCGCGAATAGCCCCATCGCCTCAGCCCTCCGCGCAACTGCACCCGCCGCTAAGGCGCAAACTCGTGCCAATTGGGGCGCGAGTGACGGCGCAGCGGCGCGAGGCGATGGACGCATCGGCGTCCCAGGCGCTGCCATGGGCGGCGGCTTCCGCCGTCCGCGTCCGTCGACTCGCCTCAGCGGTGCTAGCGGCGGCGGCGGCGGCTCGGGCGACGGCAGCCCCGGCGGCGGCGTTGCTTACATGTGGCCGTTACGGTACCTGGGAACGCCGCAGGCCGGCGGCGCTGCCGCCCCCGCCTCGCCTAGGATCCGCGTCCGACCTACGGCAACCTTTGGCTTCGGAGGTACTTATTACTGGCGGCAACCGGTTAAGCTGGCATCGCTTGTGCGGATTCGCCAGGTTGGGAACGGCGGGGTGACTGCGCCGCCGCCGCCGCCGCCGGCGGCGGGGGTGGCAGCGGCCTCGGCTTCCACGGAGGCTTGTGATCCGGCAGCAGCGCCAGCGGAGGCTGCGACGGCGGTGACGACGATGCATGACAACGTTGTGGATTCACCGCGCACTGCTCACCGCCACCGCCTGGCGAGTGCGACAACGGCAGCAGCGGCGGCGGTGGCGGGGGCTCCGGCGCCGCTGCCTCCGCCGCCGCGGCAGATCCGGCGCATGGCGACCCAGGCTATGCGCCTCCTGGATGAGCTGGGGTCCGAGATTGGTCGCATCGAGGTGGAGATGAAGGTGCTGCAACGGAGGGCGGAGCTGGAGCGAGCGCAGGAGCAGGAGGAGGAACAGGAGGAGGCGCAGGGGCAGATGCCTTCTGCATCTGCGGCGCTGGTGCCGCCCGTCCAACCCCAGCAGCCCCAGCCGCAAGCGCGACAGGAGCAGCACACGGCACAGCAACAGCCACGGCAGCAGCCCCAATCGGTGTTGCAGCAGCAGCAGCAACCGCAGCTGCAGCTGCCCCGCAACCGCATCTCGCAGCTCCAACAGCCCCAGCGCCAGCCCACCCTCTTTGCCATCCAGCTTGTGCCCCCAGCTGGCATACAAGGTACAAGCATCAAGAAGCCGCCCACGCATCCGCCCACATCCGGGTCAACGCAGCAACAGCAGCAGAGCGGCGGCGGCGGAAGTGGCAGTGGCGGCGGAGGCGTAACTCGACTGGCACTGTCTTCACGTGCTGGTGGTGGTGGTAGCCATGCGCCAGGGACGGCTGGGGCAGCTAGCAACACCACCAGCAGCAGTGGTGGTGTCAGCAACCGCTACCACTCTGGGACATTCCTCACCAGCACCAATACCTCCGCATTAGGCCCGCCTTCACCGCAGCTGCAACCACCCCAACAGCTGCCGACAGCCCCCGGCCTGCACCGCAGCAGCGACAGCAGCAGCAGCAACAGCAGCGCGGGTAGCGGCGGCGGCAACAGCTCACCGCAGCTTTCCCAGTTAGCTCCTCTGGTAAAGCTGGGGCCCCCAAAGTCAGCGGGCGCGTCAACCGTGGCAAATGGCATTCGGCGTGAGCCGCCATCCTCGTCAACGGACGTCCCGCTGCTCAAGGTGACCTCCCTTGGATCCAGCGCCTTCTCAAAGCTCGTTCTGGATCTGCAGCCCCCGGAGGCCTCCGGATCACCCGCCGGCTCGCCTCATGGGCTTGACCGCTGGACGTCGCCTCGTGCACCGCACGGGCATCCGACGCATGGTACACAACTTGTTAGCACCGGTAGCGGCGGCGGCGGTGGCGGCGGGGGCGGTGTGAGCGACGGTGCCGGCGGCGGCAGCGGGGGCAATGTTGGTGGCGGCGGAAGCTCCGGCTCGCACCTGCCTGTTGTCCGTACGGCAAGCCGCAGAGGGTCGTTGACCAACGGCGGGCCGTCGTTTGACTGGGCACTTCCTGCCCAGTCGGCGGCTCACTCGGCGGCGGCGGCGGCGGCGGCCGGCGTTACAGGAGGGTCGCCGTCGCCCGGTACGGACGTCGAGCCCGACGCCTTGGAAAGCCGTACATCGGCGACACGAGCGACGACGACAGCGACGTCAGCAGCGGCGGCGGCGGCGTGGCAGTCGTCTTCGGCGCCCGGGCACAGCAGGTCGTCGGCGCCGTCATTGTACCACCGCTCGGCGTCGCCGTCAACGATGTTGCCGAGCATTTCCGGCGGGTCGGCTCCCCCGCGGCCTCCGACGGAGCTTGGCGGTGGGGTTACCAGCAGCGGCGGCGGTGCGGGCGCGTCACAGGTCGCGGCGGCGGCGCCGGCGGGTCGTGCCGTACATCCGAACAACATGCCGATGAGTTCCATGGCCGCTGCGGCGGCGGCGGCGGCAGCGGCGGCGCAGCAGCAGCTCCAACAGCAACGAGCACTGCAGCAGCAGGTGTCTAGCGGGCGGGATGGGATGCAGCCGCCGCCGCATTCACCCAAGCCCGCTTGGCTAACTCAGCAGCTTCCGGAGATAGCACAGGTAAGAGTGTGGGAGTGAGGGACTGTGTTAGTAAGGTGCTGCATTGTCATTAACCACTCTTTGCACCTGCCTCCGCAAATTCTGAGCAGCTCAGACACCAACCTTTAACGTGCTGCCGTGCGATTCCCTCGCAGTACGGCAATGCGCCAGTTGGTGGCGGGGTACGGACGTCTACATCGTACGGCCCTCCCTCGTACAGCACCTCCAGCATCACCGCCAGTTCCGGTGCCGTACGAATGGCCTCGACGACCTCCGCCGGCCCGTCAAGCGCCGCCGCACGTGTCTCGCAGTACCAACAGCTTCAGCAACAGCAACAACAACAACCGCCATCATCGCCGCCGCACAGTCCCTACCGTAGCTACCCCCGCATGGATTTGGGTCTAGGAGCATGCGGCACCCCTGCCAGCCGCATTCGCCGCCGGAAGTCCCATGACGGCCCCTCCGCGCAGTACTACTCGTTCACAAGCGGCGGCGGCGGCGGCGGCGGAGGAGGAGGAGGACTCCTTGGCGGCGGCGCGTCGGCGTACGATTTGTACGACAGCTACGGCTTTGGCGGCACCCCGCCCGGTTACGTCAGCGTGGATAGTCTGCTCCTGAACCATAACCTGTTCAGCGGCACGAGCAGCGGTGGCGGCTCCGCATCTGCCGGTGGCGGCGGCAGCAGCGGCGGCGGCGGCTCTGGCGGCGGCGGCGGCGGGGGTCCCGCCAGCGGCACGCAGACGCGTTTCGCCAGGGCGCGTCGCATGAGCGTTGGGATGTCGATGGCCCCAAGCAGCGGTGGCGGTGCTGGCGGTGCTGGCGGCGTTACAGTTACAACTGTCGTACCTTGACAATGCCGTACGACAAGTCCTGTCGTACGACACGTGACGTCTCTTGAAACCCCCGCTCTGACGTTGTATTGGCAGCTCGTACGGCATAATGTCACTATTGTCGTATGGACGCGGCACTGGCGTTGTTTGACCTTTGTTCACGGACCTGGATGGGGCATTTGTGGTGCTGCTCTGACAGGAAGGTTTCTCGCCATATTGCGTACGACAGCACTTGGGGTGTGCTCCTTTGCCAGTGGTTCGTATGTTCTTGGGACATTTATTACTTCCTCCGGCTTCCACTCTTCACTTTTGCGCGTAATGCACACATTTCTTGAGCTACCGGTATTTACACCGAAGTTCCAGCCGACCGTACATAGGTTTTAATGTTACAGATAATACAGATTGCGATTGCGCAAACCTAGGTCTTTTCAAATATCCAGAACGCTTCCATGCAACCCAACAATGGTACGGCATGTCGTCATTCAGTATTGCGCTGTGACATGCGCCGTACATTTGTTGTACGGATATTGCTTTTGGCTTCCTGTGTGAGGAGTCCTCATTACCAGGATTTGTGGTAGGTACATTTGGATTGAGTGTGAGGGGGGCGTGCTGTCTAAGTATTGCAGTGTGGGCATAATAAGCACGACGGCAGGACTGCCAAGTGACACGAGTGAAGGCAGTTTAGCGGTGCGTTGCGCAACAGAGGGAGCAACAGGGCAACAGAGCAAGCTAAGAGGAAGTGTGCTGCTTGCTGATGTGGCTATATACGTGCATTTCCAGAGCTGCGACGCGTGGGATTGTCAGGATGAATGAATGAGAGGTTTGGAGTGGTTTCGGGGGCTGCAAGTGCACACTTGCAGGTGGTGTCAACTCTTGTCTAGCGATCTGGAAAGTGGAAACGGAGGTGGGGATGCGGTTCTTGCTGTCTTTGGGTCCGTTGCTTGAAGGATCGATTCCCTCAGGCAGTTCCTGTGCTGTGGTTCACTAGCTGCATTACTAACACGTGTCGCCGTAGCAGTGCACCCTGTCCTAACCGTGTTTGAAACCGTTGTTGCTCAGGAATGCGCTGCGAACAGCACGATGGCCAGCACATATTCACGTAAACGCATGCCGGCAATCATTGTTCATATTGCATGACCACGCGTACGCTGTAAAAAAACGGCTTTTCTCTCCCCGCATGACCGAGGAAAAGTTCCATTGTCCCAACGAGGAGACCCATGGGTCAGCCCAGCGCAACATCTCTGCATGGCGTAGTACCTTTCGCCGCCTCCGCCACCAAGGCCATCCAAAGGAAGACCCACTCCGCAACCGCAAGGGTGGCACGGCACATCCGTGCCCAAGTTTCGAGAGCTCGACTCTTGCCATTTCCCTTTGGATATCCTGGCAAGGGTGTTCAGTTGATATACGGTTGAACCAACCACGCCTATCGCATTCTTCTTCGCACGCCTACGCGCCCTTCCTCGCTCCCTTCGCTCGCAGCCCCAGGGCCCCAGCAGCAGCACGGCGCCTCCGTATGCCTTCAGTCCATGTATACCGCGGCACACAACGATTCTTCAACCCCCCGCGCACGCTCGCCTGATGCAAATGGAAATCAGTACTCCCGACGCACTGCCTCCTGTGCCGTCCTCCTCGTTCCCCTCCTAGCACACCGAAACTCTCATGTGCATGGAGGGGATGAAAGGGCAACGCAGTCCGATCCCTCAGCACCCCACCCAGCTTCTCACCCATTACCTCGCAGCGGCTCCAACTCCACCGCTCCCCAGCACCGCTGCCTCCAGGCGATGCCCCCCATTTCTTCATAGTTTCTTAACCCCCATCCCTACTCCCCCTATACCCACCATGCACGTTACACCCACCCCCCTGCTGACCGCCACCACCATGATGGCGCCTTATCACACGGTCAGTCAGTTGTTTCCTCTTTACCCCCACCCCCAGCGCCTCACATCCAGGGCAGCCCCCCCGCTCCTGCTCCCCCCGCCGGCCCCCCGCTGGCGCTGTCGTTCGCAATGATGGCCCCCAGCCCGATGCGCCAGAAATCCAGCAGACACGTCACCAGCATGCCGGCAGCTAGGGCGTCCAGGGCGGCCTCGGAGGAGGTCCACTTGGAGCCCCTGGGGGGGGTGGAGTTGGGGGTGGAGTTGGGGGAGGAGGACAGAGGAGGGGGGGCAGGGGTGGTGAAGAGGGCAGGTGGGAAATTATAAATAAGTGGGCAGGTGGGAGGGTGGGCACAGGCGCGCAGGCACATGCATGGTGACACCCTGCCGCCTCCTGTCCCCTTTGCCTTGCCCTAACCTGTGGCTTCCTTTGGTATCGTATAGATAAACGGAGCCGCGTAAACACTGACCCTGACCGTATGGTGTTCGCCCCCCCCCGGCCCCCGCAGTACCTCTTCTGCGGGTACTCGTCCATGCGGTAGAACATGGGGAAGGAGACGAAGAAGTAGATGGCGTAGAAGAGCGAGCCCAGGCTGTACATGCGGCTGCGGTCTACGAAGGTGTAGTAGGGGAACTGCGCAGTCCACCCGGGGAGGGGGGGGAGGGAAAATCATATGACTGGTGCCATTCACCCCAAACCAGGGAGGAGCGGGGAGGGCAGCTGGAGAGGCAGGAGCAGGAGCAAGCAGGAGAGGAAGGGAGGCTCCGCCTCCCAGACCCCTCCCTCGCGACGCGTCCTCCACTCTCCCCGTCCGTGTCCCCAAAACACCTCCGCCTCATGTGCACCGCTATGTCAACCACTCCAGCCATTCATCACCCTCATCACCCTCACCACCACCACCCCCATTGCTGCTGCATGGTAGTTGCACTGCGCACGACACCGCTGCTACAGCACCCTTACATGTGCGATGGTGAGGGTCTCCGCGTAGGCTGTTGCGTACGACAACAAGAATACGACAACCGCCATGGCGGTACGGCGAACCAGCGGGGAGCTCCGGGCGAGACCGGTTTGCACCTTTTGGGGTGGGGGGGGAGGGCGGGAAGGGGAGGAGGAGGTGGTGGCGGGGATAGGAGGAAAGGGAGGTGTGGCATGCGAGCGAGGTGGTGCACAGGTGGAGAGGTAGCCGAGTAAAGGGAAAGGGGGGCACCCAGCATCAGCAGAGAGTGCACGTGTAGGTATCCCTAGTGCTATCAAAGCCCATTCACCTGAAGCCCCAACCCCAGCCAACCCGATTGCCTACTAGTTCGCCTGGTCTACCTAGTCCGCCTGTTTTCAGCCAACCAGCAACCCCTTCCCTCATCTTCCCGGACGGCCCCCGCCACTCTCCACCCTCCCACCCGCCCACCATGATGATGCCTTCTCACACGGTCAGTAACTTGTTTCCTCTTTTCCCCCCCGCCCACCTACCCTCCGCAGCAGCACATTGGAGAGGGTGTGGTAGAAGCAGAAGTAGCCGTGGGTCATCAGGTACAGCGTGATGGGCACCTGGGGGGCGGGGGGGAGGGGTAAAAGAAATTCCAATGTGTGGTGTGATGGTGATACATTTAGCTGACAAGCCCTGGTGGTGGCGGGGGGAAGGGGGGGAGGGGCACGGAGCAGGGGGGGCGCCAGGGGCACACAGCCGGAGGAGCGGGGAGCGGCGTGGCGAATGGGAGCCGGGGGCGGGTGGGGCTGGATAGTGCCTCGTACCTCACCAGTCACCACCCCTCGACCCCCCTCCTACCCTCGTAAGGCCCTCAAGAGCTGCGGGACGGCGTAGCAACCCACCCAGCCCGCGGCGCACCCGTCTCCTCTTTTTCCTCCTCACCACACCCGGCCCTCCCGTCCCCTTCCCTCCCCCCCCTCCCCGCTCTCACGTCGTTCAGCCTCCACGACACGAAGGTGTAGGAGGCGCCCAGCACCTTGTAGAAGTAGTGCGTCCAAATGTAGTTGCCGATGAAGCTGAAGATGGCGATCCAGATGTTTGCCTGAGGAAGGAAGAGAGACCCGTGGGTCGCTGGCAGGGGGGCAGTGAGGTACCTGGGTGGCACGGTACCCTCCGCCCCTCCGCTGTACGAGGCGCTGTACGACACATGTCGGCATGTCGACATGTGCCTGTGACGTACAGCGCACCTGCACGCCCTCCGCCAAACTTCACCGGCCCTACTCAGTGCACAACCCCTGTAGGTCCCCCGCTTTCGCCTGGCCCCCCCACCTACCTTGACCCAGAATCGCTGCCACATGGGCTTGCCTTGGTCCGCCTGGAGGCAGGGGGTTGGGAGCGGGGCAGGGGGAAGAAAGAGGAAGAAAGTGACGAGCTGTATGATGTGTATGCTCTTCGCCATGGGGCGGGAAGGGAGAAGTGGATCGGGGGCAGACGGCAGAGCAGGGTGAGGGGAGGGGTTTAGGTGCCACGCAGGCTACCGGGGCAGCGGGGTGCTTGGGGAAGGGGTTATGTGAGGTCCGGAGGGGGCACCCCTTTTGTCGTACTTATCCTATGTACTGCCCACTACGGCCTTACTGTCGTACCTTGCAGCGGATGACGAGTGGCAGCAGGAAGGTTGGCGCCGCGCAGGAGATACCGATTAGCATGTAGCCGTAGTTACCGCAGTACTGAGGAGGAGAGGAGTAAAGGGCGATTAGGCTGAAGCAGCTGGTGACAGGCTTGGTTGAGCCAGTCGGAAGTGAAGATGGACATGGTGGCAGAGTACATGGAACTGAATGGCACGGTTACGACAGCTAGTGCATCGGTATCCTGCACGGTACGACTGTTTGCTGTGTCGTATGACTGCAGCAACCGTGCGTGGCAGCTTGCAAACTAGGGCATGCGTGCAAATTGCTGCCCTTGGATGTCAGGCCATGCTGCGCCGGGATGGGCCAACACGTCCACCTTCGTACCTCGTAAAGCTGAAAGGGAACCAGCAGCACAAGGGCCCATATGATCCAGAAAGGGCTGTATGCGAGGAAGAAGACCTCCGTCCATCGTTTACTAGGGTCCTTTGCAAGCCAGTGAGGCCCAGAAACTGCTTGGCTAACAGCCATAGCACCCTACTTATATACGCAGGGCCCTAGGGAACACTGGCTATAACTAGACGTAAATAGGTCGCGTTAGGGCAAGGGGCAAGAGAATCGGGGCGAGATCAAGTGGAGCGCGCGCAAAGGTCACGCAGCCGCAACTAGCTTATTCTGTCAAGCGAAATTACATTAGCATGGGAGGTAGATTTCCGACTTGCAAGGCAGGTTTTCGGCGCATGTGTCTATTTGGTAGTACGACGAACGGAAACGGGGGAAGATGAAGCGCAATGCAGCCGATGGCAAGCGCGCAGCAGACAGCGCTTGCACGCTTGCATTGTCTTTTACCCCAGAACTCTTTCCGGCACCACTTAAACTAGAACCTCTCTTTGAGACCCAGCGCTTCTCACGTCGGCGAGACACATATCCTAATAAATTTTATTCTGTGACAAAACATAGAGCGGTGGGCTACTAGGACACTGCTTTGCACTTTCAGTGGGCCAGTCACGCCTAGACAGGGTACCGACTTGATTGGCACAGGTGCGTTAGCTGGGTATACCTTCCTCGCGTTCGTAGATAGCTCAACTAGGGCTTATGTTTCAAACTCATGTTCAGCTTTTGTTTACTGGGCATATGCTCTCGTCGCGTGATGGAAGCCCTGCGCCGGCTCGACAAATCTCGTCAAAGGAGGCTTCACCCTACCAGTGCCGCATGGTTGCTGCTTGATGTCATCATTAAAGCGTTGGACCAGTAACCTGGATAGTGAAGGCGTATTTGCTGCCTGCCCTCCTACGCGGTTATGCAGGACTCGGGCGATGGAGAAGCTACCAGCATCTTTAACAACACTGGAGTAACATACAGAGCAACTCCACGAGGCGCTGCCTTTTTTAGCACAGCTTTCGGCTTTCCGGCTCCGTTAGCAGAGCATTGTACTATCTTCTGAGCCGGCGCAAAAATGGGTGCGTGCTGCTCACAGCCCGGCGACAAGTACGAGGTGTCAGCAGGTAGCAATAAGGCACAGAGCAAGCCGACGTCGTCAGCTAAGCAGCCGGCGAAGCCATCAGTCCCTGACTTCGGTCTTTCAGAGACCCACGAAGTTATCAAGCTCTTGGGACGTGGTGGCGAGGGCGAGACATGGCTATGCCGGGACAAGGAGACGAACGCGCAGGTGGCCATTAAGCTTATTAAGCGGCCGATTCCTAAACCAGCCATCCAGGTTATTAAGCGGGAGATTAAGATTCAAGCGGACCTTGGTCAGGGGCATTTGAACATTGTAAGCGCCGATGAGGTTATCCTCAGCAAAACATATCTGGGGCTCATCATGGAGTATGTGCCAGGTGCGTTTGGCGGGCGGTGGCGTCTGCATGTCCGCATGGCAATGGGCAAACGCGCCGAAGGCCACACGGGTCATAGGATGCTACGTTGCCCCACTTACTAACGCACAATTATCTTTTAGGGCCATGTCGGTAAGCGTAATGCTATTACGCTGTTCACCTGCCCACACATGCTTCACTATTCGCCTTCCGAGTAAGGTCGCACTGCTTCGGTGTTTAAATTGCTCCTGTCTCAGTTACGGTTATCTACGACCGTCCTGCCTGACTGTCGTATTGTGTTGGTGTAGTACCCGGTACTCCAGCCGCATGCCAGCTTCGCATCGCCCCTTCACATAATCGCCCCTTCAACGTTTCTCTTTCCCCACGCATCTCGGTTTCGTCACACGCCTCCTTCACTCCCTCCATCATAGCTTCTCGCTTGCCCCATCGTTTCGCTGCCCGCCTCCGTGCCCTCCATCCACTTCCCACCATACCCCCCCCCATCGTTTCCCCTCCCGACCAATTCCCCCTCCCTCCTCCCCCTCCCCTCCCCCAGGTGGCAACATGGTGGGTTACGTCACCAAGAAGCGCGAGACCAAGCACGAGCGGCAGGGGCTGTGCATTGATGAGGACGAGGCCAGGTACTTCTTCAGGTGAGCCAGCGGGGCAGCAGTGGGGAGGACCGGGAAAGGGGGGGGAGGGAAGGGAGGGGCCGCGAGAACACAGGGCACACGAGGGCAGGGGAACAGGAGGCGCAGGAGATGCATGGGAGGAGGGCGATGGCAAGGCACCTCGCCTCCCCCCCACTTTCCCTTCCTCACAACGCATTGGGAGTCCTTCTCTTCCCCCTCTCCCTCCCTCTCACTGCATGAGTCGGATATGGGATTGGGACTCGTTGTTTCACTTTTTTAAATTCTTTCTCCCCCTCTCCCCCCCCCCCCCAGGCAGCTGATCAGCGCTGTGGAGTACTGCCACCGCAACAACGTGGCTCACCGCGACCTCAAGCTCGACAACACGCTGCTGGACAACCACGAACCCCCCTGGCTCAAGCTGTGCGACTTTGGGTTCGCAAAGCACTGGCAGGTGGGGGGGGAGAAGTGGGGGGGTCAGGAGGGGGGTCAGGAGGGGAGGGGTTGTTGCCGGGGTAGGTGGTGAGGTGGAGGACCGGGCGAGGTGGGGCCGGAGGCGGTGGGCGGGGTAGAAGAGGAGGCGGGGCGGCAGCAGCAGCAGCAGCGGCGGCGGCGGCAGGTGGGGGCCTCATGCCAGCAGTGCCACCCCTCGGAAGCAGCTCGGTGGCGCTCCCGGACACGGCTCTACTCTTGGGAGGTTGCTGCTGGAGAGGGAGGAAGAGAAGGGAGCGACCGAATGTCCAGTGTCCCAATGCGGACGGGGCATGCGCGCGGCAGTGAACCACCCACCGCTGCATCGGTGGCAGAGGGGTGCAGCAGCAGCAGCAGCACCCAAGGACGGGGGGGGCTTGGAGGGGGGAGTGGTGCCCACCTCCCGCTGCAGCGCCCCGCTTGCGTGCCCACACACACCGCGCTCCGCTGTGCTGCTGCCTGTGAAGCCCAGCTGCGGCAGTAGGCTGTATCATGACTCTAGAAGCCCTCTTGCTCCTCTAACAGTCCTCCCCCCAGCTTGTCGTCTGGTTTGCATTCTCATTCAACACATTGGGTATTCTTCTTCCCCCTCCCCCCCTCCCTCCCTCCCCCCCTAGTTTACCACTATCACACCACACATTGGAATTGCTCCCCCCCCTCCCCCCCCCAGGCCGGCTCCAACATGGACACCATGCGCATCGGCACCCCCGAGTACATGGGGCCCGAGCTCATCAGCAGCAGGTGAGTGGAGCCGGGGGCCTCAGCTGGTTATCCATTGACGGGGGCCGCTGCTCGGGTGCCGGGTGGGAGGACGGGGGGCAGGGGCACGGGGAGGCTGCCCGCCCCGCCTCTGCGACCCATGCAACCATCTCCGCCCTCTTTCCACCTCGCCCGGCTTTCCTTGTGCACTATCCGCCTGTCCCTTACCCGCCCCCCTTGTCCTTCTGCCCCCTTTAACGTCTCCTCCCCCCCTCCCGCTCCCCCCTCCTCCCATAGGAGTGGCTATGACGGCAAGAAGGTGGATGTGTGGGCTGCGGGTGTGCTGCTGTACGTGATGCTGGTGGGCATGTTCCCATTCGAGACGCAGGTGGGGGCGGGGGGAGGCCGGGCAGCGCAGGGTAGTGTCGATAGGGTGGGGGGGGGGAGGTAGTAGAAGCAGTGTAATCACAGTGTTGTGAGGATGGGAAGGGCTTGTGGCGTATGGGGGTTTTGTCCCCCACAGCCGGCGTGCTAACTTTCACTAATCTCCTCCTTCCGTATGCGCTCACTGCATGAGTCGGGATTTGGGATTGGGACTCTGTTGCTTCACTTTCATTTCTCCCCCCTCCCCTCCCCCCCTCCCCCCAGGACGACAATTTCAACAACACGGCGGGTCTGTACGACATCTGGCTGCAGCAGATCAAGACCAGCTGGCGCGAGGTACCCAACAACACGCACGCCGCCTCGCGCCTCACGCCCGAGCTGAAGGAGCTGCTGGACCGCATGTTTGATGTGAAGCAGGTGGGGGGGGGAGGAGGGAAAGAAGCATGTAAATGTGGGGAGGAATCCCCAGAGGGCTGTTGATGCGGGGAGGAGGGGGTTGCTGGGGGGTAAGGCCCTCCACTGCGCAACGCGCGAGTGCCCGCAGCCTCCCGCCGCAGCCCTCCACCCCGCTCCCTGAACACCATCTCACACCCTCCCCCCCCCCTCCTCCAAACCCCTCCTCTACCCCCTCCCCCCCCCGCAGGAGAGCCGTGCCAGCATCGACACCATCAAGTCGCACCCCTGGTTCAACCGCCCGCTGCCGCCCAAGTACGAGGAGTCGCTCAAGGTGGGGGGGGAGGGAGGGGGGGGGAGGGGACATGAAAAGTGAAGCAACGGGGAGGGGGAAGGGGAGGGGCAGGGAGGAGGGTAATTGAGGTTCCATGTCCCGACTCATGCAGTGAGCGCAACAGCCGAAGCTGCTCTACAGGAGCGCTGTCCCCAGCCTGCGTGCCTGTCCGAAAGGCAGTCCGGAGGGCAGAGGGCGACCAGACTGTGCAGGGGGCGACCAGACTGTGCAGGGGGCGACCAGACGGCGGCCCCTTTCGTGCTGCATGGCATGCGAGCAGCTTTTCACCTGCCTGCTTCCCCCCTCCCCCTCTCCCTCGTCATTATCATACCACACTTTGGAATTTCTTTTTTCCCCCTCCCCCTCCTCCCCCCTCCACAGGAGCTGCAGGAGGAGCAGCGAGCTATTGACGAGCAGGTGTCCAAGGGCGCATTCCAGAGTGCGGAGAGGGACAAGGCTCTGGAGGTGGGGTGGGGGAGGGGGAGAGGGGGGGGGCCACAAGGGGAAGAGGAGGAGGGCTTTTGACTGCATAGGGAAGGGGGGACCCCGAGGGAACACCCGCCTATTAGGGATGTGCATGTGTTCAGGACTTGTGGTTTGGGCTTTTCCTTGTTAGCTCGTTGTTTTCCGCCCATTAATACTCTCTAAACCACCCGTGAACCTCTTTGACCCTGCCCCCCGGCCTCCCCTCCCTGCTTGTCGTCTGGTTTGCCACTGTCATTCAACACAGTGGGTATCGTATTCAACTTCCCCTCCCCACCCCCGCCACACTACACCACACCACACTTTGAAATTTCTTTTTCCCCACCCCCGCCCCCCATCCTCCCCACCCTCGCAGGCCCTGCTCGACCGCGCCGTGACCCCCCCGCTGCCCACCGAGTCCGTTACCCGACTGAGCCTGGCCAAGATCAAGCGCGCCTACTCCATACTCAAGACCAAGGGCGGGGCGGCGGGTATGGCGGCGGTGGCGGAGGAGGAGTAAAGATGGGGGAGGGAGGGAGAGGAGGAGGAGGGAAGGAGGGAATGAAGAGAAAGCCAAAACCCGCCGGACCTGAAGAACGTGGGGGGTGGGGTTTGGAGGTGCAGAGTGCCAGGGTGTAGGAGGAGGAGGAGGAGGGTCGGCAGCCTTTGCGGACAGGGGGCTCGTGCTCGGTGAACGTGTGACATACACACGGTGGTGTGTGTGTGGATGTGGAGGAGGAAGTGGAGTACAGGCCTCTCTGGTAGGAGGCGTGCGTTGTGCGTGGAGGCGGTTGTTGATACCTCTCTGATGCTTCACCTCGTGCGTTGCCTGCATGTCATGCCATGTCGTGTCATGTGCGCTCATGTCACGGAGGGGCGCTGCGTTGCATGCACCGTAGCTGGGCCCTAGCAGTGGGGCGGGAGCAGCGGCAGCGGCAGTGGGGGGGGCGGGAGGAGGCTGCCCCTCCTGTGTGTGGGGTGTGTGTTCCCCGTGTGGTCGGGAGGGGAGCGGGATGGATGGTGGGGCCAACTCGCACAGCACTCCTGCTCGCTGTAACTCCCTTGCTGTGCGTGCCTGCCTGCCTGCCTGAAACTCTTCCCTCGGTTTACCGGTATGCTTCCCTCGGTGCTCCGGCCACACTTCTTTCAAAGCGTTAGGTGGGACACACAGCTGTAGTCTCTCTCACGCGCACACCCGGACTGTTAGTCTTTCCCAGCCAGTTCCCAGTCTTTCTCATTTAGCTCCCAGCCCCCTCGGACCCCTGTCGTACCGCTACTCCACCCGTTCGCTCACCTCCCACGTGCTCATGGCACCTGCTTTGCACGAGTCGTATGCAAGAGCCAGAGCAGCTGCTGTCAGCTTGCATGTGCGTGCGTGGGAGAGTGCTGCGTGGGTGGGTGGTTCGGCGTGGCGGGAAGGGTGGGGTTCACGACACACATGACGGGGTGACGGGGGGTCCTGCAGCAGACACCGGCAGGACAAGCGAGCATAGCTTGCTCGTCTGTTCGGGCTGTCTGCTCGGGCGGAACCTCACCATTCCTCCATCAGGACTTTGACTGTGGATAGAGCTGTGCAGCTTGGGACGTTAGTAATGGTCATCCCAACACTGTAGCACTGTAATGCCCCCCTAAATCTGATGAGGACCGGAAACGTACGGCAGAAACGGTTTGTGGTTGCGCAACTCCTGTTTGTCGACAATCAGGCTTGCCAGTATTGGCGCGTGAGCGTCACTGAGGGTTGCAACCAGTATGGCTCTAGCTAAACTGTGATCACCATCACAGAATTTGTACTTGTGCGCCACAGCATTTTGTTGCTGTAAGTAGGACTTATGGGTGATTACTACCGGGTGCTTGGAGTTAATCCCGGAGCAAGTCAGGATGAAATTAAAGTTGCATTTCGGAAGCTCGCGCTCTTGCACCATCCAGACAGGCAAGCAAGGGTTTACGAGCGGCTGACAAAGGTTGCTTATCCTGCTGCACACCTTGACGAGCGTAACCTATCTTGCCTTAGGCATGCTGGTGCAACGGAGGCGAAGCAGGCGGAGTCTGCATCGAAATTTAAGGTGCGCGACCGGCCATGCGCCACGTTTCATTTATTCGTCATTCGCCTTTTCCTTTTAGTTATTTTAAAACCCGATTGCAGGCAATTACGGAAGCCTATGACGTGCTAACGGACGGTAAGGGCTTCGGGTTTGCCTACAGTAGCCCAGTTTGGCGTTCACCAACCCCAATCGTGACCAGCATACCGGTGCCACGCCCACCTGTGCTAACCTCTCCAACTTGCTCCAACCACACTCGTGTTGCTTCACCCTTACACATAACCGAGCAGCTTAGCTCTTCAAAAGCACCTTGTACCACGGTTCTTCCTGCAACATCCATCATTGCTTTCATGTTCGCCCTCTCAACCGCCCTCTTCGCACGTACCCCGGTTCATTCCACCCTCAGATCGGAAACGCACTCAATACGAAGCTTCTGTGCGTTCAAGAAGCAGCGGCGGCGGTGGTGGTGGTAGCAGCAGCAGCAGTGCAGGAGGGGGTCAATGGTACGGCAGTCAACATAACGTCAACACGGACTGGACTCGAAGCAGCTACAAACACGAGGGCTACACGACCCGCGTTCGGATCTGTGAGTGTCACCTGCCGTGAGGCTTTACCGGCATTTTATCGTACACACATGTTGTTCTGCATTTCCTCCTCTCCCAACAGGCATTGACATTCGGGTGACCCACCACTCAACTTCTTAACCCATCTCTCCCTCCTCCCATTTCTTTGCCTTTGTTCCCACTCCTCCCCCAGTCTATCCCACTTCCCTTCCCTCCTACCTCCTCATCCCTTTTCATGTAATCCCCCACTCCCGCCCCATTATTACTAAATACCTTGGGTCTTCTCCTTCCCCCCTCCGCCTCGTCATCCAGTTTTCCTTATTCTTATCCCCCCCCTCCCGCCCCCCCCCAGCCTGGTTCCAGCAGCTGCAGCGGCTGGTGGGGTCCCGGCGGCTGGAGACGGGGTTCGGGCTGGCGGCGGTGGGGGTGCTGTTGGCGGGCGGGGTGGCCATCGACTCGTACTGGCTGGCCAGGAACAAAGCGGTGAGAGCCAGGGTGGGAAAATTTTAAAAAATTAAAAAATTACATTAAGTGAAACAACGAGTCCCAAAATCCCATATCCCGACTCATGCAGTGCTGGGGTGGGGGGTGGGGGGTCAAAGACCATACCATACCACAGGAAACCACAGGTGAGGGCAAAGCAATAGGGGGGAGGCAAGGGGTGATGAGGCGGGTGAAGGAGAAGAAACCCGAGGGGTGGGGTTGGGGGTGGGGTTGGGGTTGGGGTTGGGGTTGGGGGTGGGGGTGCAGAAAACTAACAAAGGCTTCCGGGTCGCCTTCCTTGCGCTAACTCTCTATTTTGCCGCCCTTCTCCTGTTCCTCCTGCTCCGGCTGCCGCTGCTGTCTGCACCTGCCGCCGTTCCGCCCTTCCGCCCCGCAGCGGAGCTTCGAGGATGCGATGGCGGTGGTGGCGGCCCGTCGCATGGCCTCCTCCGCCTCCCCCTCGGCAACACGAGGGGGGGCAGGCGGAGGAGCAGGAGGCAGGAGTGAAGCAAGCGGGGATAGAGGAGGCGACAAAGGAGGAGGAGGAGGAACAGCAACAGCCGCCACAGGAGGCGGAGGAGCAGGCGCAGGAGGAGGCGGTACCGCAGTGCCGGCCAGCAGTCGACCCATGCCGTACAGCCCGGTGGGGGGCAGTGGAGGTGCCCGGCCCCTGCGCGCCCCCGTGCTACCGGGAGACCCCACCCAGCGCGCCCTGGCCTCGATGCCGCTGGCGCAGCTGATAGCGGCGGAGGAGCGGGGGGACTGGGGCAGCGTGCTGGGAGGGGGGGAGGGGGGGCGGCGGCAGGGAGCAGCGGCGGAGGCAGCAGGGGCAGGGGCGGGGGCAGAAGGGGTAGGGGCGGGGGCCGAAAGAGCGGCAGGGGCGAATGCAGGAGAGGGAGCAGCAGGGGCAGGCGCAGCAGGAGGGTAGGTTTGAGGGTTCTGGGAGTGGAAAGCCAGAATGTCCTAAACAGTAGCTTTGGTGAGGCTTACTAAGCATGTTGCGTCCGAGTTTAGGGGCGGTTGGAGGGTTGGGTGCGTTGGGTGGCTGGCGCCGACTGGAGTCCAGTTGACAACTGATGAGGTACTTGATGTATTGCTGGGGTCGTTAGTTCGTTGGGAAGTTATTGTACAAGTATGAATGGGCCCGATTTTGCAGCGCGAGCGAGTGTTGAGTGGGATTGTACGGTGGGGAGAGTGTACTGGTGTGTTGCTGGGTTGGGCGGCCGACGGAAGCAGGCGTGCAAGAGGTGTCTGACGGTGATCCCAATACCCGAAGAATGCGTCAACAGGTGTGCAGGTCAGGTCTGAAAGACATATGCAGCTTTGTCGCGGTGAAGGGTTGCATCCTAGCAGATGTGGGCAAAGGAAAGTCCTGGGGGTGTTGCTCGCAGCAAGAAACCCTTTCGCTTTAGCAAACCCGCGTCGTCATGGAGTGCGGCCTTTTCACTTTCATAAATGCTATTGACCTTCAAGCTGACCCTAAATAGGAGCAGCTATTATGAGCACAGCTTGGGTAAGCAGCGAGGCTGAGTCACAAGCCGTTCACGACGAAGCTTCCTCTCTTCTCAGACGGCCTGCACCATTAGAATGTGAGGCAGAACAGCTATCGCAACGCATCCAGCCGCGTTGGCGTCGGTTTGCAGATGCCATCCGGAGCACTGTTTCACCCGAAGCACTGACCCGCCGGTGTCAGCCGCTCTGCGCGAAATACAAAATATCTTTACTTATTCTTGGGGGTCTGTCGCTGACCGCTGGGTTCTATGCGCTGGTGGCTGGCACATGGTCAAACGCAACATCGTCAGCTGACATTCGCGTTGCCCTCCTAGCTGACGCACATCTGATCGGACCGCAATACAAATGCTGCTCCGAGTCAAACGATGTGGACAACGACTCCATAATGAAGACTGTGGACCGGTTACAGGAAGCCCAACGACAAGTAAGATGTGGGAACCTGCTGCCAGGCTGTGGGTATGCAAGTACAAACTCGCTTCTCCCAATGATCAAACACTTGTTTCGCACTGGTAGTGTCATAACCCCGGCCTCAAACCCTGAACCAGCCCTAACTTTCGTACAATAACTCCTCCCTCCCCCTACCCCCTAATTCGCAACCCCCCTCCCCTCCAATCCCTCCAAACCCTCATCCCAGATCAATTCCCTGTCGCCCTCTCCCTCCGCTGTGGTGTTTCTGGGCGACGTGATCCACAACGGCTATTACTCCCACGACTTTAACTGGTGCGTGCACCTCTCCCCGGGGTTCCACAACAAACCCCCAACAAACCCCCAACAAACCCCCCAACCCCCCTACGAGTCGCGTCCCCTCAGGTACCTGGCCAACCGTAACGCCTACACGGTTGGCAGTGAGGTCTTCCAGCACTTCTCCGCACCCGTTCACTTCCTCTGGGGCAACCATGACTACCATGTAAGCAGTACTGCTGCGGCTGCTGCGGGGGAGGAGGAGGAGGAGGAGGAGGAGGGGGAACAGGAGGAAGAGCATGGAATGCTTGGCGCTTGGGAGGGGTCTGGGGATAGTTACAGGAGGGCGTTCGAGGGCGTGGGGCGGGAATCTTGGCATGCAATGTTTTTGTGGTCCTCATACTCCGTTTGTCAACAATAAAGTGGATCTGGATTTGGATCAGGCTGTCTTAGAGCTTGTCACATGCTCTTTCCAACGCCTCCATCCATCTTCCTTGCCTGCGGTGTCCGGACCCACACTCCCCGCCCCCCCCCGCCCCACACAGACGGTATGCGGCAACAGCACCGCCTCACACGACCGAGCGGGCCTCAGCCACCGGCTGTTCCGGCACTTCCTGGGCCCCACCGCGCTGCCGTACAGCTCCCGGAGGCTGGGCCGCTACCTGCTGATCTTCCTCAACGGTCGGTGGGTGGGTGATGTGATCGACTACTGTTTCTTTATTTGCTCCACCTTTTCCTTAACTCCATGCCTCCCCTTTCCTCCTTCCCCATTGTGCCCCTCCTGGGCGCCCTTCCCCCCCTCCGTCCCCCTCACACTCACTGCCTGCTGCCTGCCCCCCCCCTCCCGCCCCCTGCCCCTCTGCTCCATGCTCCCCCCTCCCCCTCCCCCTCCCGCTCCCCCCGCTCCCCGCCCCCAGCCATGCTGGGTCCCTCCTGGGACTCTGCCCACCCGCGCTGCGACACGTCTCAGGCCAGTCTGGGTGCTGAGCAGCTGGCCTGGCTGCGGCGGCAGCTGGCGGGGGGGGCACCCGCGTTCGTGTTCCTGCACCGCCCGCTGCCGGGTAGGTAGGGGCAGGGTGGCGGGGAGGGTAGGGCAGGGGCAGGGTGGCGGGGAGGGTAGCGAGGGGCAGGGTGGCGGGGAGGGTAGCGAGGGGCAGGGTGGCGGGGAGGGTAGGGCAGGGGCAGGGTGGCGGGGAGGGTAGCGAGGGGCAGGGTGGCGGGGAGGGTAGGGCAGGGGCAGGGTGGCGGGGAGGGTAGCGAGGGGCAGGGTGGCGGGGAGGGTAGCGAGGGGCAGGGTGGCGGGGAGGGTAGCGAGGGGCAGGGTGGCGGCGCAGCTTTATTTAGCTGGGCTTCGTTTTCGTGAGCCATTTACTTTGGGCCTTCTTGGGCTTCATCCTCAATTATTACATGGTCATGCATGCATGCCAAACATGACACGGCTCCTCTTCCTCCTCCTCCAGGAGCTCTTGTCCGCTGGATCCGTTCGGTACCACAGCCCTTTCCCACTTGCCCCACCTCTTCCTACTAACCCGCCCCTCAACCCACCTGCCTGCCCTCCCCCCCCCCGCAGCCACCATGCGCAATGAGGCCCCCGCACTGGCTCCCCTGTCTGACGTGCTGTCGGTGCTGCTGGCGCACCGGAGCAGTGTGATGGCGGTGTTCTCGGGACACTACCACAGGTGGGGGGGTGTGGGGGGGTAAAAGAAGAATTGGGGGGGTTCGGAGAGAAGCCAGACCAAGGGTTGCGAAGTTCGCGCTACGGACACCACCACAGGTGGTTGGGTGTGGTTGGGTGAGGGCAGCAGATGGAAGCCGAATCACGCATGATCCCGCATGTTAGGGAAAAGCAGTAGGGAAGGGTAGTGGGGGGACGGGGTCACACCAGGTGCGAGGTGCGAGGCAGACGGTGGTGGTGCAGGCGTCCGCCGCACGTAGACCGGGCGAGGTAAGGTGAGCAGGTGCGATTGCAGGGAACTGAGGAGGGAGGTCCCTGACCACGCAGACCCAGCCCGTCCCTTCCCTCCCCCCGCCTGCTGCACCTCCTTTCCCCTACCGCTTCCATTGTTTTGCCTCAACCTGTGGGTTCCCTATGGTTTGGTATGGTCTTAGCCCCCCTACCCCCCACCCCCTCCCCTGTCAGGGGCCTCAACTGGAGCAGCGCCTACCCCTTCCCGCACATCACGCTGCCCGCCTGCCGATACGACCACGACAACTGGTTCCTGCTCAGCCTGCCGCAGCGGGGGCCGATAAGGTGTGCGGCTGGGGGGGGGGGAGAAGATGGGGAAAGGGGCGGGCGGAAGGGAAGAGAAGAGGGAGGAAGAGAGGCCAAAGTCCATTATACCAGACCCTAGGAACGAGGGAGGAGGGAGGAGGGAGGACGGGGCAAAGACACCTTTCTCCACCCATGCGCGCCAAACCCTCCTCGCCACCCAGCTCTCCCACCAACCCCTCTCACTCCGCCCCTCCTCCCGCCCCTCCCTCCATCCACCACCGCCGCATACCGGTAGGTCCTGGCGGCTGCTGGACTGGGCCAAGAACAAGGGCGGCGCTCGCTGCTCCGAAACCTGGACCTACCCTGCCACTTCTGCTACCATCGCCACCACCTCCGCCACCACCCAGCAAGGGAGCGAGCAGCAGGGACACGAGCCGGGCCCTGTGCAGCCTCAACCCCCAGAAACGGGTAGGAAGGAAAGCAGGGAGGGAGGTAATGAGTGTAGAAGAGACGGAGAGTGGAGACGAGAGAGAGGCCGAGTGCGCAGCTGCATGTTGTTCGTGCGCACACAATTCTCGTGCCATGCATGATTCCTTACTGCTCTCTGCGTGGCGTGTGGTGCTGGCTGCCCGCCTAAGCCAGTAGCACCCCCTGCTGCATGCATGCCTGACTGACTGCCGTACCCACATGTGACTGGCTGACGTGGCTGAGGTGGCTGGGTTGTTGGCTGTTCAGGCAGCTGCGGCAGCCCTACTCTGGCGGAGGTGGGGACCGTGGAGCTACCGGCGCTGCAGGTGGGGGGGCAGGTCGGCGGAATGGGGCCATGCTGCTGCTGCTGATTCCATGCTGCTCAAATAACTGGCGTGTACCTGCATTGCGTTGAAATGCTACGTCGCTGCTCCCACGCCTCGTGTTGAACACTGACACACCACCCACCACATACACGTGTCAGGATGCCTCCGAGGTGCCCGGACCCACGGGTCACCAGTTCAACCCCGAGCCGCCCTGCTGCCTGACCTACCAGCGGGCCTTCCTGCAGCGCTGCCTGGATGTGAGTGAGCGGGAGGAGGAGGGGGGGTAGATGAGGGGATATGGGGAAATCTATAGATAAGTGCAGCAACGGAGTCCCAACCCAAACCGGCAGCTGCGGCACCGGAGCACCTAACCCTCCCACGGCCCATCTCACTCACCCCCCCAACCGCGCTCTTCCCCACCCGCACACCCCCACAGGAGGGCCCCACCGCCGCCTGCTGCTCCATCCTGGGCCAGCACCTGAGACCCAGCTCCGCAGCGTACGGCGCCTCCTGCATGTGCTGGCCGCCCTTCTGGAAGCAGGTGCGGGCGGGGGCGGGTGCGGGTGTGTGCGGGCGAGTACCGGTAGAAAATGGAAGCAGGTGTTGTACAGTTGCTATATGCTGGTCTTATGGTCCATGCTGGGCGCATGGGAGGGGCTGGGGTAATAGCCGGGCTACGGCGAGTGCTCTCTTTTCGTGCACGGATTTCCCTTTCTCCTCTCCGTACACATTCGCACGCGTACATTCCTACTCGCGGCCAGGTTTTTTAATCACGCGCGTACATGCACGCATGCTGCTGTCCGCAGGCACACGAGACCTTTCACGAGGTGGGTCGCAACCTGAGCCAGGTGCTGGATGCCTGTGTGGCGAATCACGGCTGGTCGCTGCAGTGGGCTGGCAGGCCGGGGGGCGCGTGCTTGAAGCCGGGGAGCTGGGAACTGCCGCCGCCACCACCGCCCTTGGATGCTGCTGGTGCTGCTGCTGCTGCTGGTGATGATAACGGGGCTTGACATGCGTGCACCCATGCCTAAGCAAGCAACCTGCACACCGCATGCCTTGGACGTAGCGTGCCTGCTGCCGGCACCTGTACGCCTGCAACACGGTACCTGTGTGGGTTTGGTGGGGTGCGTTGTGGTGGCGTAAGTGTGAGGGTGTTGTGTGAGGAGGAGGGTGTGGAAGGGAGTGTGAAGTAACGCGGCCGACATGCGTTTGGAAGCGCGGGTCAGGTTAAGGTAGCGGAGGGGGTTGCCGCCGGGAGAGGGGCGCATGGCTGGACCAGCATCCCCTCAGTGGTGTCATGAGTGGTGGCGCGGTGGGTGAAGCGGGCGGGAACGGGACAGGGAGGCACGTAGGAACCAAGACGCTGACGCGAGCTAGTAAGCACGCGCCGAATTGTGGACTTGCATGCCTTCCTAAGCCGCAGTGCATAATCGTGCAATCTTGTATCTCTGTGTAGAAGAATTTCCTACCTTGAAAAGGGGCCGAGAGAGTCGAGAAAGGAATGGGAGGCGACCGAATGTCGTAGATCCGAGGTTGCACGGCATTATGAACCTAACCTCCGGCACCCGAACGGCATCCGAGCACCAAAACATCTATAAATTAATTTCCCAATTTTGCTTATTTTCAAATCAAAATCAATGTAACAGTCCTCCAACCAAGCAGTTCCGCTAAAGCTAGGTGCGTGATTAGGCATCGGTTCCTGTCTTGGAGCGAGAGTTTCGGCACATCTCTTGCCAGGGGGCAACAACAACAACAACTTTGCTTAATGTTAAGAGCAAAATGCCTCGGGGGGCTTGGGAAGTACCACCATAATGGCGTCATCACGCCTTCCCAGCCACTTGTAAACCAGCGAAGTGCGCTTACTTGCCACCTAGGCGACCGCGTATCAACATCATCATCTTCCTTAACCTGCTGCTGCTGCTGCTGTTGCTGTGTCAGCAGCACTCACCTAAACGCTCGCTGCTGCGCCCAGTGTCCTACTACTCGGACTTCAGCACCGGCCGCCTCGCGATCGCCAATACGAGCTGTCCTATCGCGTATGCGTCACGTAACAGCTGCAAACTCGGACCAATCTAACAGCGACAGCAGCGATAACCCCACCGATGTCGACCCATCCAGCAGCACCACCAGCGGCACCACCACCGCCAGCAGCGGCAGCAGTGCGGTGGGCAGCCTGTGTGGTCACATAGCGTCTTCAGCCCTCGGAGCCGCTGCAGGCAGCGCTGCAGCTGTGGCGGTGCTAAGGCGTTGCGCGGCCCTGGCGGCATTGGGCGCTGCGACCGGCCCCACAGCCGTCGCCGTCGCTGCAGGTGGGTGGGCGGGTGGGTGCTTCAGTCCGCATTAGGGGTGGGCACGTGGGCTGGAATGGTGATGACCCGTGGGTCAGTGGGCCGCCCTCGGGCCTTGATCAGCCACACAACTCAAAAGTTTGTCCGTTACATGGCTTTCAGTTCAAGATTTTGCTATCCTAGCAGGACGCGGACGGCTATTGGGAGCGTGTAAGTCCTACTGATACGTCTTATGCGTTGCTCGCTCGACGCATGATGACCCGTGGGTCGTTTGCAACTCCCAACGCTTACCTGCTCCCTCGCTTCAGGTGCGCTGGGAGGTGCGGTGGTGGCCGAGGTGCTGATCGGGGGTGCTCGGGAGGAGGATGTGGAGACGGATCGAGATGTGGAGCGGGAGATGGAGGCGGCGGCGGACAGGGTAAGAGGGGCGGGGGGTCAAAATAGACCAAACCATAGGAAACCCCATCATTTTTAGGGCAGAAGAATGGAGGAGTGAGGCAGCAGGGTGCTACAAGACAAGCCGGGTGACGGGGGCGGGGGCGAACGCATGCAAGATGCAACCTCCTGGGGGTTTGCAATAAAACTTACAACGACCCCGTGTCTTGTCATGTACCGCATCCTGACCTCCGCCCCTGACAGGTCATCCAGCGGCTGCGAGAGGTGAGGGCGGAGGGGGGCGGCAGGCTGCATGCGCGGTCGTCACCCTCGGGCGGGGCAGCAGGGGGGCGCAGCAGCAGCGACAACGGCCCTGGCGGCGGTGGCGGCGGCGGGAGTGGTGGTGGCGGGGGTGAGGGCGCTAGAGATGAGGAGGAGCAAGAGGGCAGCAGTTGCGAGGAGGGTAGACGCATGCAGTAGGAACACCAATCCTGCGGTTATGGCTCCTCCTGTTTGATGTGGGATCGCTGAAACAGTCATTATATCATAACATGTATGTGACGGTTATTTATTTATGCATGTAGCCTTTTATCATTATACAGTGTAGGTGTTGATAGTGCAGGTGTCGTAGAGAGCTGTGCTCAGCGCTATTGTCGTGTAAAGGCTGCCAGGAGTCGGGTGGTTGACGGTTGGGTGGTTGCCGGTTGGATGGTTGCCGGTTGAGTCGTTGCCGGGTTAGGACGGCAGTTGAGGAGACGTTGTTGCTCATACTGGGGTATTGGAAGGGAAGCGCTGAAGCCTTTCGACGATGCTTTTACCATCTACGCGTCTTTCACCATGCAAGGAACCTTGGACCCCATCAAAGACTCACTCCTCTGAACCTCTTTGCACACGGGATTTGCTTACATAGCCAGCATGCAAGCGTCTGTCCCCCTCTCTCCTTTGGTAAGACCGAGCCCACGCATGCATGTTGCCAAACAAGCACCGGAACCCAGCAAGCATCCTTCCTCCTCCATGCATACCAGTGTATGCATCACCGCCAGCTTCCCCTCCTCCAGCAGCCAGCCGCATCAGGACACTACACGCGACCGACCCATCTGTGAGGAACGCCCGCCACCCGGGAAAGAAAGCAAAACGAGCTCTCTCTGCTAAGATCGTCATGACCTAGAGGACAACACACAAACCAGCCTGACTTGCGCTTGTGCGATCCTCCCCCACAGCACCTCGATACTGCGTAGTTTAATCCGTAAGTGCCTTTACGCGTGTGTCCTCACACGCCTTGTGCCCTTCACAACCCCGAGGCCTCGCTTGACCTCCCTGCTGCCTGGTGCTGTTAGACAGCCCCAACCGGCTCAACCGCCGCGCTATGCCTACTTGTACCTCAACCCACAACAAACTGCTCTCACCACTACAACTAGCATCGCCACCTGCAAGTCTCACGTGATGCCTGCCGTGCATGCCACCCGCGGCCGACGCGGGTGCGACAGATGCGGTGTTGCAACGCAGCCTTCCACCATCCACACCAGTCAAGCCAAGCAAGGAGCGACCGAGGCAACGCAGGGGGGGGCGCCGGCGAGTGCTGAACCACCTCATGCACAGCTCATCATCAGTTACATCTACAACCCCTCTTAGTAGCATTCAATACACACACGCTCCTACTCGCGGCCAGTTTTCTTAACACACTCCCGCTTAGGTCCATTGCCCTATTCCTCCTACCTTACCATCCACACGGTTCGTTAGTTGTTTCCTCTTTATCCCCCTTACCGTCCTCTCTACCTACCGTCCTTCCGCCTATCCTCCCTTCACCCTACACCAGCTTAGATACCTTCTCACCTTATCCCCCTCCTCCCTCCTCACCCTCCCCATTGCAACAACATAACGCAGTGGGTATTCTTCTTTCCCCCCCTACCACGCCCCCTCCTCATCCAGCCCCGGTATGGCCACTCGGAGCGGGAAGTTGAGGGTCATGTGGAAGCGCTTGCTCACCGACCCGAACAGCGCGCTGGAGGCACCCACGTGCTGTACGAGCGCGGGACGAGCGGTGAAAAGGTAGCAGGCGGCGGCGGCGGGGGGAGGTGCCGTACGGGTGCTTGGACCGCTGCTAGTGCTGCTGCTAGTGCTGGCACTGCCGTTGTTTAGCCCATCATTCGCATGGGAGCCAGTGCCTGTATTGCTGCGGTTGGTGCTGTCAGTGGCGGCATGGAGAAAGGGGTTGCCGTACCCGTCCTCATCAGGTTGGGTTGCATTGCCGTGAATGACCCGTGGGTCACAGGCGGCTCCAGTGACCCTGGGCTTGGCTTTGACGGGTGGCAGGGGGGGTATGCCCAGACAGCCCCGGGCCTGCATGTGACGGACCTGGCGGCAGGCGGGAGGGAGAGGGGTTGGGCGAGGGGTTGGGCGAGGGGTTGGGCGAGGGGTTGGGAGGAGGACAGGAGCCGCGGAGGGGAGAGGCGGGGAAGAAAGGAACTGCCAGGGGACTGCTGCGAGGATGCATGGCCGACATCATCCCGCCGGCATCATGACACCACTCTGTGCCACTACATCACTCCTGTCGCCACGAACGCCGCTCCCCAACACCCTCGGGTGTCCGCTCCCCATATATCGATGTTCTCCCACCCAGCTCAGTCGGATTACCCCCACCTTCTCACCCATGCCCCTCCCGCCCCTGCCCTGCCCCACCCGCCCCCACCCCCCCTACCAGCTCTATGTCCTGCAGTCCGTCCTGCGGCGCGCACCCCGCCATGAGCTCCCGGTAGTGCCGCAGCAGGCTGGTGCGGATGCCGGGGGAGTAGAGCAGGCCCTGAAGGGGGAGGGAGAGAAGGGGAGAGAAGGGGGGAAGACGTGGAAGGGGAAGTTAGCAAACGTGTGACAGGAGGCTCTAGGAGGAGCGGGAGGGTCACAGCTCCCCATCCCTCAACCATGCCATGCTTCCACACGCAACAACGCCCATGCATCCTGCCGGGGGGAGCAATACCCCCTAGGGCGCCCACCTGCGACCCCCAGGACCACAGACTGGGCACCAGCGACATCTCCGGCGCCTCCTCCTCCTCCTCCTCCTCCTGCTCCTGCTCCTCCTGCTCCTGCTCCTCCTCCTCCTCCTCCTGCATCCCCCCCTGCTGCTGCTCCGCCCCTGCCGCCCCCCCTGCCCCCCCTGCTGCTCCCCCCTCTCTCTGCTCCTGCTGCCTGACCGCTGCCCGGTAGGTCCGCAGCACTTCGGGAACCTCCTGCGGCACCATACCCGGGTCGTACAGGCTGACCGCGTAGTCGGGGGAGCGGGGGGGGCGGGGGGGGCGGCTGCTGCTGGGGGTGGGGGTGGGGGTGCTGCTGCTGCCGGTGCTGTCACCGTCGTTGTTGCTGTTGTCGGGTCCGCCCAGCTCCTGCGGAGAGGCGCATGAGCCGCAAGAGGCACATGTACAGCAGTGTTGCAGGCAGGCAGGGACGCAATGGAGCAGAGGTGCGGTGGAGGGTGTGGGAGCATGTGGAGCATGTGGGCGTCGTACATCGGGACCGCGGGCGACTGCGGTGGGGTCTACGTATGTGCATCCAGCCCAGCCCACCTGACACCTTCCCCCACCCAGCCGTACTCCAGTTGCTTCACTTCTCGTTTAGGTTCCCCTCCCCCCCGCCCCAGTCGTACCTCTATCATGCGTATGATGCAGCCCATGCGGTCTCCGAACCCGGGAGCCAGCAGAACATCGCCCTTGGGGTGGGAATGAGGGGGGGGGATGGGGGCGGGGTGGGGGACGGAAACAAGGAAGCAGGGAGGTGTGATGAGGGGGGAGGCAGGCAGGGAAGGGGAGTCAGGCAAAGCGGAAGAGGCAGGTGGGGGGGTAGTGATATGTGGGAATGAGAGAAGGCGGCCGTTGGGGGGGAAATCGTTATGCTGCTGCATAATGATGTCTTGATGTTGATGGGTGCATGCTACAGCCCCCACATGCGCTCCCTCCCTCCCCCTCCCTCCCTCCCCCCCACCTCCAGCACCACTAGCGGCAACCGCCTGAGTCGCGGATCGCCCTCCTCTGCCGCAATCTGGCCGGGAAGGGGTCAGGGGAGAGCAGGGGAAAGGTAGGTGGGAGCTGTCTGCAGGGTGCAGGGTGCAGGGTGCTTCCATCCTCCAGGGCCCCCGCCCTTTCGGAGGACCTCTTCACATCCCGTTCCACATGCACATGCGCCATGTGCCGCTGAGTACCCCTCCTCACCGCATGCCCATGTCCCGGCTGGCTGCCCCAAGCAACAGCCCCTGCTGCTCACCCCTTAAGTGCGACCCCACATCCGGCTCCCCTCTCGCACCCCTGCACCCCCAGCCTATCACCAACCCCACCCACCCCACCCCCACCCCTCATCCATCCTGCCCTACCCTGCCCATCCTGCACCCCCCCTACCCCTCGCCTCTCGAGCCCCAATACCCCACCCCACCCCACCCCCACCCCAACCCGCACCTCATCCGGCACCACCAGTGCCCGGTAGTAGCTGGCCAGCACGTCACCCGGGCGCACATCGGGAGGCAGGTAGCGCACCCGCAGACGGGGGAACACGCCCGCGGCAGAGGAGGAGGGGAAGGGGGGAGAGGAGGAGGGTGCATCTCCGCCGCTGCTGCCGCTACCCCCACCACCCCCATCTCCCCCCGCTGGCGATACCCCTTGCTCCTGCTGCTGCTGCTGTTCCCGCTGCTGTTCCCGCTGCCTCCGCCGCTGCTGCTGCTGCCTCGCCCAGTGGTTGCCGTACAGCTCCAGGTTGTTCAGCAAACTGAATGCGCCGTCCGCCACATCATCGCCGCGTCGGGGCGGCGGCGGCATCTCCAACACCTGCACCAGCGTAGCCTCAACACCACTCCCTCCACCTCCGCTGCCGCTGCCTCCGCCTCCGCCGCCAGCTCCGTTGGGTTGCGGCTGCTGTTTCCCCCCGCCCGGTGCCTCTTGATGCGCCGTCTGCTGCTCCGTCTGCTGCTCCGCCGGCTGGTCCGCCCAGAGCAGTGTGAATGAGGCGGGCCGGGCGGCCGCAGCCGCCACACTGAGCAGTGTAGTGGCCAGGTAGCGGCCCTGGTGCACCTGAGGGGGGTGGGAGAAATTCCAATGTGTGGTGTGATAATGAGGGGGAGGAGGCGAGGTGGGAGGAGACAGGGAGGAGGCAACAGAGAGGGAAACCAACGGCATTTTCCATATCGATAGGTTCAACCACCTGACCAGGTCGTACTAAGCCAACCTTAATGCCCCATACAAATCCGATTGGTACCCGATTGAAAGCCCCCCCCAGTGACGTACCCGCGGCGACGCAAGCACCACGAGGTGATACGCTGGCGGTGCCGCCGTACCCGCAGCGTCACCGCCGCCGCTGCCGTACGACGTCAGGGGGCAGCGCCGCGAGGGCTGCGGCGGCGGCCCCGGCTTCGGCGGCAGCGCTGGAAGCCTCGGAGGCGCCGCCGCCGCCGCCCCAGCCGTCGGACTGGTTCCGGCGGCTCTGTTGAGTACGGCGTTCCTTAGCGGCGTTACGTTGCTGCGCAGAGCCGTCGGAATGACAAAGCGGAGGCTGAGTGAGGCGGTGGGGGGTGATGGCGGAGGCGGTGGTGGCGGAGGCGGCGACGGAGGCGGGGGCGGCGGCGCTGGTTGAGGTGTCGTTGCCGTACCTGCGCTGGCGGCGTCGGTTGTGGTGACGTCAGCAGGCTTCACACCCGCGCCCACAGCATTGGCACCGGTAGAAGCACCGCCCCCGCCAGCGCTCGCTCCGGAACCCAACCCCTGAGCTGCCCCTGCCGCCCCTGCCGTCGCAGCGGCGGCGGGAGCTACCTCCGCTGGTAACCGACTGCCTGCTGCTGCGCCCGCCGCCGCCGCGGAGGCGCCCTGCCCGCCGGCAGACCCGCTGCCGCCGTCGCCGCTGCGAGCAGTGGCTGGCAGCGGCGGCATGCCGGCAGCTCCCACCCCGCTACCCCCGCCGGGAGCACTGCTGCTGATGCCTTCGCGCATACCCCTGTCAACTCCCACGCCCCCACCGCCATTCCCAGCCGCAGCAGTCCCAACACCGCCGCCGCTGCCACCACTGACCCCGCCTGCACCTCCGCTACCACCACTATCGCCGCCTCCGCCTCCGCCGCCCAGCCAGCCGCTGCCCCCCTGCTGCAGCTGCTGCGCAGCCCCGCCACCCCCCCCGCTGCCCCCAGGATATCGCAGCACCGCCCGGGGCACCCACCGCCTCCGCGGCGCCTCCCCGCCTCGCGGCTCCGATCCCACCCAGTAGGCAGCCCCCAGCAGCACCAGGAACAGCAACGCGGCCAGGGGCTTCAGGTGGCCGCGGAGGGCGCGGAGGGGGGGAGAAGGAGCCTGTCCGGCAGGCATTGTACTGCTGGAGGGGCTAGGTCACGTGGGTGAAGGGGCGAGGTCGCGGGAAGCTGCTGGGCTAGCGCACAATGGTTGTGACGGGGTGATTGTGGCGAAGGGAGCAGTCGGGGGGTTGTGAGAGTGCTGAGGAGTTGGGCTTGGGCGTGGGCGGAGGTCCGAAGGAAGGTAGATGCGGCAAGGTTGTTGAAGTGGGCCTAGTGGGCGTTCAGTAGATATGAAGCTAGGATGAAGGCAGGAGAACACAGGCGCAGCTGGATGGATGTTTGTTAAGGTAAGGGGGCCGCGGCGGCTTTGATGCTTGGGTCTGACTGAAACAAAGATGATGGCATTGTGAGGCTGGATAATAGTACAAGAGAACCACTGGTGCTTTCGAACAGCAATGTAACATAACGTTTGTGGGACAGTCGGACTAATAGAAGCAGGAGGCGTAACTTTGCTCGTCCAATGTTGCTTTTGCTGGCCGATGAAAGCTACACTCCAGGGCAAGCAGAGGCAAGCAGGACAAGTTCCATCCATTGCGCTAGGCTCTCCCACATACTTCTTGCACATCCTATCAGTGGGTTAAGACAGCGCTCTTCTAGTGTGTGAGCGGCTCGGCGCCGCTTAACGCTTAGGGCGGTGGGTCGCGACTGCCGGGCGCCGAGGGGCGAGGCGCGACCCAAGGGTCCGTCGGCCCCGCTGGGCCATGCCGCAACTTCCGTAACTTGGAAGTGACTGGCGATCTGCATCCTTAATCCCGAAGGCAATGCCCACCTGCGCATGCGTTCTACCGGAGGTAATCGCGACGCAACGCCATCAGACTCTGGGGCCGACATGTCTGCCCCGGCGGCACGGGTACAGCCGTGGTTACCGTATGCTAGAAGTGCACATACTTCTTCACGCAACGAATTGAGCAGTTTGGGGCCTTAGGTGCCAAGGCATACCGGGATGTTGGTCGTTGCTGGGGCGAAGGAGGAAGAGGTAGGATCAGTCGAGTTGGAATGCATCACCGGGACTGCGGTATTCTTCACCACTGGTCTACCTACCTGTTTCACACGGCCGTGTACGCAAATACCGCACAGTGATGTGAAGTCCCCTTCCGGTGACTTCGGCTAACGTTTGCACCAGCGTCCTCTCCCATTCCTTGCATGTCACAGTCAACGTTCAACCAATATGCGAAATGAATCCCTTTGGGCTGCTAAAGCATATGGCGCCATGTGCATACACCCCTTTTATGTACCAATGAATATCACGCGTCATTTTGTTGCAGGAAGTTACCAAGAAAATTAAACGTTTGCAGCTCCCTACATGGCAGCATACAAGCCCTCAGCGCCCCCTTTGGGGCCCAAGGGACATTATGAGGAGTTGCCGCTAGCTCTCATGATATGTATGCTAGGTTGGGTGATGAAATCCGCTTGCGGCAACGGGAAAAAGGCCAACGCAAGCTGCATGATGCGATCTGTCAGACAGCAAAACGGCGCGCCATCTGGGACACATTTAGGAAATTTGCTTGCGGAGGTATATGCGGAGACGAAGAGCCGCTCAACTGGATATTTGTACGGTGCTGCCCCTGCACGGCAGTCGTGTCGAGCATGCCATGCATCGCATCGCAGTCGCTTGAGTACATAGTTTGAAGACGCCTAGCTCTAGGCTTCTAACTTCAGACATTACAGATCGCAAAGATTATTTGCCACGCACTGGAATTGGCCTTTCAGCTGCTCCTAGCTACGAACTTAAAGCCGATTACTGCCTTCCCTACCAGCGTTTTGTAATGGGTGCGAACCAGAGCACCGAAGACGTATTGGATGCCGTCAACCAAGCAGATACAACAGAAAAGACAACTCCTGTGAAGGTGCGTCCTCATCTGGCTTGCCAGAGCTTGTAGGAACTGATCAAATGGTTGCTGAGAGCTCGATTCAATTTTGCTCTCATCATCTGTTGTGCAGGATGGCGCTGGAGGCACCAAGCTTTACAAATTCGTCGCGACCAGCAGCGGGGAGGGCAATTGGGAGCTTGCCAGCAGCAACGCACGCCCGCGCTTCTATGATAGCCTTGAAGATTCAAACTCCAGTGGCAAGAAGGACTTCTTCTTGGAGATTGAGCAGGGGGATGTTGACGTCCATGTGGACCCGCGGCTTAACTACGTGCTGAACGTAAACCAGCGTCGCATCACTTTCTGCGCAAACAACACGATCTATGCTCTTAAGTTCCCCAACGATCAAGCATGCCGCCTGTTCGGCGAGCAGTTGAACGACATCATCTTCTATAACCAATATGGCGTCGAAAATGACGACGCTAGTCGAGCGAAAGTCATGGAGGACTACGCTGGCACCCTGTTCTCGAAGAACACGGATAGGATGTTCGAGCCTATGGAGGTCGATGCAGGCGAGGACGAGAAGGATGCAGCTCAATTCTATACCCCTGAAAAGCTCAAGGAGAAGCAAGCTAAGGAGATGGACAAGGACGAGGACGCAATCAATGGGATCATCATGGGCGCAGGTGCGTGTGAGGGACTAAGAGGGGTTTCCCCTTTCCCTACGGGGGTATGGTGGTAAGATTCTGCATGCTATGCAGTACTGTAGGGGTATGTCCTGTAGAAGTTTGTGGTGTAAGCATCGCGCTCAACCCAGCGGAGACTCCCACGTATATGCATGGGCCTTTTTGGCCAAGGAACGTCGCATGGGGCTTTCTTTGCTGGGTTGCAACTCCCCTGTACCACGCAAACCGGGGATACCTATGGTTGCGAGTGTGCCTAGAGCGTTTAATGGCTGACTTTCGGTACTAGACAATCCCATGAAAGATGTCTAATCGTCATGCTTTCCCTTAAGTTTTCCTCCAATCGCCCTTCTTGCCACTCAACTGCAGGTGAGAACAACTACCTCATGCGCGGCAGGCGGTTTGACGTGCTGCGTAACCTCGAAGGTGGCGGCGTCGAGGACAAGGGCGTCTGCTTCACACTCACTCCCATGGCGGGCGGGGCAGGGCCGTCCACTCCCGCCGTCAGCACGCGCAAGACGCGAGGCACGGCGGCCAGGGCTGAGGCAGAATCCCTCGGCGCCGGCTTTACGCCCTCCAAGGTGCTCCTGACCCATGGCGAGCGCCGCATGAACCTGCTGACGCCCGACAACCGCAACGTCTTGCACCATGCGGATATCGAGACCGGCAAGATTGTGAACACCTTCACCTTTAACAAGGACTCTGTGGACATCCCGATTGCGGAGATCGCGGCCGATTACAAGGCTGCACAGATGGAGGAGCACTCTCAGTTCCTGGGCATCGACCAGAACCGCCTTAGCAGGTACGGGCATGGCTCGGCTTTAAGGGGACAGGATGCGTTTCGACTGGGACCATCTGGGTCACGGGCGATTGGAGCAGTCGGCGGCTAAAGGGCGGTACAGGGTGACCCTTTCTTTCTGGCCCCTAAATTACGCGCATGCATTGCCATCTTGCTCGTTAGCTAACCTTTGCATATTGTTATATTTGATTTACTTCCCTCATGTGACGTGTCCATGCCTTCCGGTCCCTTTCAGGTGGGACATCCGCGACCCTCGGGGCGTTGTGCAGCAGTCCCCGGCCGTCATGAGTTATGTGGCGGGCAAGGACTACAGCCGCGGGACTAACTTCACCTGCATGGCCACCAGCGGAGACGGCTTTGTGGCTCTGGGCTCGCGCGATGGCCGCATCCGCCTGTACAACAGCAAGACCTTGACGCAGGCCAAGACGTCCATCCCCGGCCTTGGGGCGCCCATTACCTCCATCGACGTCACCTACGACGGCAAGTGGGTGCTGGCCACCACGGACCAGTACCTCATGCTGGTCAAGACCACTTACGTCGATGACAAGGGTCGGCAAGCCAACGGGTTTGAGAGCCGCATGGGAGGTCGCGGTGCGGTGCCGCGCCTGCTGCGGCTGAAGCCGGAGGACGTTATTCGCACACAGGTAAGCGTTAGTTGATTGGGTGAGGCGATGGCCAGAAGGCGTAGTAAACGTAGGACATTAATGCGACACTCGACCGAGATCCCTTGATGTGTTGAGAGTGCCTGAGATATTCTCTGCTGTCTCAACCTGCACAAACGAGCAATGTCTGCACCCCTGCGTCTCTTAGCTTCCCCTTAATCTTCATGTCCTCGTGTTCGCAGGGCGCCAAGTTCACTAAGGGCAAGTTCACATGGATTACCGAGAGCGGGCAGTCGGAGCGCTGGGTGGTGGCGGGTTGCGGCCGCTTCTCGGTGGTGTGGAACTTCTCCAAGATCCGCACCGCCGCCACCGAGACCATCGGCTACGGCGGCCTGCCCACGTCGATGGACTACTTCCTGCGCGCCAAGGAGGAGGAGGTGGTTGACGTGCAGTTTGTGCACCAGAAATACATGCGTGACGTCGACCAGGCGGCGCTGGTGGTGGCAACGCCGCACAGCCTGTTCAACCTGGCCTAAGAGCAGGGTGTGGAAGCCAGCAGCAATGTTAGTCCTATGGCGTACCGGTACATTAGGCGCGGGCCGGGTTTAGGCTTCCAAGCCGCTTGCATGGGAGGAACCCCACCTGGGTACAATCCACTGCATGGGTGTTGTGTTCTTAGGACAAACCTGTCGCATGTCATTGTGCATCGTACATATGGGGTTTAGTAGCGGCTTGGAGTACCCTTCTGTCTGGCCTTAGGGCGACAGATGTCGAGAGCCATGCAGGAACTGTGCACTAGGTGGCGAAGCCGCAGGTGATTAGGGTAGTGCCAACATTATTCTGACTTGCTCCGGGTGACCGTCCTTCGTGCTTCTAGTGAAAATCGGCTGAGCCCGGCCCCAACAGGTTGCGAGAGGTCTGGTACAGTGTTGCTGCCAATACCATCGTCAATAGACTACGTTTGCCCTGCCATTGCTACCGGTGTTATTGTGACAGTGCTAACCCGTACTGCTGTACCCTAATTACGCGGTGATGCCGTAGATGGGCGAAGACGCTGTCCGGTCTGTATTCTCGACATGGCGCATTAACCAAACATGACATGTGCGGTGTGGGTATGGCTTTTGCCGTTGATGCTACCTGCTGTACGACTGTCTTTGGTTGCTGCTGCTTGTAATGTACGCATACTGGTATTCACCTTTTGTACCCTACTCACTGGAGAGTTTAAACATGCGAGGATCATTACACGGGGCAGCTAACATTCCTTTTGGTCGACCTAAGGCAAACATTGGCTTCACCCGCACAGCCGCGCCGCACCATCTTTGTCCATGTTATCAACTGCTTCGCTGCCAGCACCAAAGGGAGATTCCACGTTGAAGGTACTGGTCGTACGGCGGGAGAAGGGGCCCATAACGCATTGCCTTTCTGTGCGCAGCTACTGTTTGGCGCTGCTTTGGCATCAGTATCTCTAGGGATACATTACGTATCGGCAATGTAGGCTTACCGGTGAATGCGGTTCCATGGTAAATGATGGTAGCTCCATTGTCACTGCCACCCCACCACTACCAGGCTGGCGCCCGCAGTGTGTGCCGCCTCTGCTGTCGCACCCGCACACATCACGCATGCCAAGTTGCGTGTACTCCGTACACATTGGCTGACGAGCTGCAGTCAAGCTTGGGGTAGAGTAAGGAGCTTTGAGCTTGTTGATTACGGGAAAAAAAGCCCGCCGCTGGCGCTCAGAACCTATAGGATGGCCCATGAAGGCACAGGGTTGGAGGCTCTACATTTTTAGCCCGCAGCTGTCGATACGAGAGTGGGGTGATTAAAAGGAAGCCATGCACCAGGCTTACCGGATCCCTTTTAGACTAGCAGCGGAAGGCTTATGTGGGTATGATTGACGTACAGGTTCCGGCGTTTCCGAGGATCCACTGTCGTACTTGCCGCCCTTTCCAAGAAAACGGCGTTATGCATTACCTGTGATATAATAGGATACTATTAGACACCGATAGGTAGCCTCTACTGTTGTGCCTCAATACTTGTTATACGGAAACCTTCACATCCTCCCACGGGCCAAGTTTTCTAGGGCTGACGGACAAGAACGACACAAGTGAACGTTTTTGCTTTGTCGTGGTAAGAGCCTTGTTGTTTATCCTGGGGCCCCTGGTGAAACGTTTCACCTGAGCTCCATGACAGAGAACAGTGCCATGAAGCCTTGAGTTCTTGCTCCCAAAAGACCTATGACTGTTTGCCTTTGTGGATACCGTAAAGTAAACGCTGAAGGCCTATGCCAGGTTCTTCGTTAATAACTTCGCGTTGTTGCCCTCTTGCTCTCCTTGCGCGTTGTTGCCCTTGCAGAAATTTCTGGTATGGCGTATCAGGGACCGGCTGCCTATCCGGCTGCCGGGTCAGCCGCCTGGGGTGCTTCTGCCTCTGCGCCAGCGGATCCCTCTTATTATCAACAATATTACGCTTCTTACGGCTACGGGACTGGCTACGACTATTCTGCATACTATCAGCACCAGTCTGCTTATCCTCAAACTGTTCCCGAGCAGGGCACCCAACCTCAGTCCGCGCCAAATGTGCCAACGCCTGACTCGTCAGGCTCCGCGCCTGCACCACCGCCTCCTCCTCCCAGTTTGGAAGGGCCTTCACCAGCCCCTCCAAGCTCGCCTGCAATGAAGGAAACTTCTGCTGCTGCTGACCAGTCCATGCCGCCTCCGCCTCCTCAAGGCGATCCCCCGCCACCAGGCGCTGAAGGCAGCGATGACGCCAAACAACAGAAGGTTGTAGCTTCTTCTGAAGCATCCAAGCAGCCTAGCTCGGCTGCGGCGCCAGCACCTGCCGGTTATGACGCAGCTGCCTACGCGCAATGGTACGCGCAAACATATGGCGCTTACTACTCCTATCCTGGTTATGACCAGCAGAGTTATGCTTATTGGCAACAGCAGCAGCAGCCTTATGCGTACACGTCGCAACCCTACGGCCAGCCACAGCTTCCATCTATTCCTCCACCCGCGCCCCCGAAGGGCGACCCACCGGGAAGCACTGGGCGCACAAAAGCCAGCCAGCCGTCTGGAAGCGCTTCCCCGGCGCATCTTCATGATGCGTACAACGCGCAGCCTCCGCCTTCAAGCTTATACGGCCAACAGCCGGCACACAAGGGTCAGAACGGGCGCCAACAGTCTGGCTCCGTGACCGATGCCTACAACGCCCAGCCCCCGCCAGTGAACCTTTACGGCCACCAGGCCCACAAGGGCCAGCATGGCCGCAATCAGACGGGTCCTACTGGGCCAAATACCGTCCCGATCGGCCCTCGTCCGCCCCCAGGCGAACCCCCAGCGGCCTCAACGGCACAAGCGGCCTCACCCGCAGGCGTGCAGCAGCAGTCAAGTCGTTTCCGCGGCCCATCTGCTATACGACCTCAGCTCCCTGCCGCTAGCCGTCCGAATGCCGCAGCATCTCCAGCGTATATCCCCGTGGGTTCAGGTTCTTCAACTGGTGGGTCTAGCACTTCCGCTGTAGCTGCGGCGGTGGCGGCAGGCGCCGCTAGCGCTGCAGCCGCCGCTTCAGCTGCTAAATCAGCGGCGGCGCAGGGCAGCAACCAATGGCCGCCTAGCTTCACAGCATGGGTGACGCGCTGCTTCAATACGGCGCGCCTTCGCAACATTCCCGACAACCGCCTATCGGAGAAGCTGATGGCCTATTTGGAGCAGGTCAAGGCTGAAGGGCGGCTTTGGACCACTGACTGGGACACGCAGCCGGTCATGCTGCCTGACTCTCCCAGCGAGCTGCGTGGTGATGCGGCGGCGTCCAGCCAAGTGCTGTCACCCAATGCACCGCAGGGCCGCAAGCGGAGCCGCTGGGGTGCTGTCCCAGAGGCTCATGAGCCCGCTTATTCCCTAGGCGGCCACCCTGCATCCAGGCAGCACTACGAGCGTTCCCAAGACGTTGATACGGACGAGGAGGATCACGGACAGTGCGGCTCCGCGCGCAAGGACAAGTCCTCTCGGGGCTTGGATGCGTTGCAGTCGCTGAGCAACCGTAAGCGCAAGAAGCTGCTACAGCTTGAGCAGCAGCGGCGGCGTAATGACGCTCCATCGGCTGAGGAGATGCGGCGGCGGGCGCGTGCGGGTCGCTTTGGCGATGGTCGCGCAGCAGGTGCAGCGGCGGGCGGCCGCAGCGGTGGATCTCAGGATGAGGACAGCTCGGGGATGGACATGTCGGACGATGAGGAGTTGGCTGCTAACCGCTTTGGTGGCGTGGTGGTCGGGACCTGCCAGGCGCTGGAGAAGTCCTACTTCCGGTTAACCAGCCAGCCAGACCCTGCTTCTGTTCGCCCAGAGCCTGTATTAGAGCGTGCCCTGCAGCGGCTGGTAGGCCTGATTGCACGCGGCGAGGCAACGTACTTTTACTCCCTAGACCAGTTCAAGGGCATGCGGCAAGACTGCACTGTGCAGCACCTGCGCAACGCCCTTGCGGTGAAGGTGTACGAGGCACATGCTCGTAGCAGCTTGGAATACGGCGACACGGCGGAGTTTAACCAGTGCCAGGCGCGGCTGGGCCACCTGTACGCCGAAGGGCAGCCCGGCTGCCTTGCTGAGTTCACAGCGTACCGGTTGCTGTACGAGACCATGCACTGCGCGTCGGCCAGCGGGCGGAGTGAAGGCATGGCCAAGTCGCTGCTGCACACGATGCGCAACGTGCCGCGCGAGTTGGCGGGATCGCCCGAGGTCCGCCACGCCTTGCAGGTAGGGTGGGGCCGTGGGTACGCGGTTACCTTGTTACCTTGCAGGCTGCGCACGGTTTGCCCTGCTGGTTTCTGGGTTACACCTGTTTGCCTGACATACGTATGTTGTTGGCCCTGCCGTGCAAGTAAGTCAGTTCATCTGGCTGGTATGTGGATGTAAACTTTGCGCTTTCCCTCTTCCCTTCTGTGATTGACTTCAGGTCCGCGAGGCCGTCATGACGCAGAACTACGCGGCCTTCTTCCGCCTCTACGCCAGTGCGCCGCACCTTGGGCGTGCCATCATGGACTTGGTGGCGGAGTCCATGCGCTGGGGCGGCCTGAATGCTTTTGTCAAGGCATGCGACCTGCCGGTGCCTGTGACTGCCATGTCCCAGTTGCTGGGATTCTCGCCGCGGCCGGAGCAGGCGGTCGAGGCGGCAGGCAAGGCCGATGCCAAGCCGCTGCCGGGATGCATGCGGGTACGCTTGGAGGGCGAGGCGGCGCCTGCCGCTACTGAGGAAGAGGCGCTGGTGCAGTGTTCGGCTTGGCTGCAAGAGCATGGGGCCGTGGTTGTTGAGAAGGGTACGTTGGGTTTGCTTGAAGAGATGATTTATGGGGTCAAGTATAGATCGGAGCCATAGGAAACCACAGGGCAAATTTGAGGGGAAACTCTCCAGGCTAGCAGCCAGGCATATGCTTGTACTTGCCGTATGCATGGCACTTGTAGCCGACTGTTGGTAACCGCCTAACATGAATTTCAACCATCATTCCACTCTCCAGGCGCTGAGCTGCTGCTTGACACCAAGGCCTCCCGCGGCAAGTTGTTCGTACCAGAAGTGGTCGCCAAGGTGGCGCACGGTGACGAGAACCTCAGCGTGGTGGATTTCCTGTCCAGGGCGCTGGCCGCGTAACGGACGCCTCCCCTGCCGGCATTCAGCGCAGTGTGCTGCAGTGTCGCCATCGCCACGCGGCTTTGGCTGCTATGCTGGCCAATACCAACTTACATTGCATGGGCGCGTGTCGACGTACGGCTGTTGGAGCTTATCCCTAGTGCACCATCATTTTCTCGATAACTTGCAGGTCTACGGCGTGCCTACCGCGACGGCTTGGTACTGCACAACGCGCCTTGTACCTGCTTCGCCCTTTCGCAAGGGCTGCAGTGCTGCTCAAGCATTGCATGGCGGCCGTCCGAAAGGGCCTTGCTCTGGCTTCTTCGTCTCGGCGTTGACTCGACATCGTCAGGTAGCAGCATACCGGGCTCACTTGAATCATATTGGCGGCCGCGTCCCACGATGCCGTATACTAACGCTCTTCTAGCTCACTAGTCCCACCGATGGCGCCCACAATGCCGCCTGGTCACCAGCGTTTGTCTTCTTCCACCCCTCCTCCGCCTCATAACGTCTGCGTTCGTGTTAAGCAGTGTGGAGTCTTACGAGTTTAGCCTCACCTGTACGATACAGCCATGACGCCTAGCAGTCACCCGGAGCTTACGAGTGCGATGTGCCTCATGGCGGGTCCTTCAAAGCCTTCGCCTCGGTTGACTCCCACTCCCAACAGCCCCCTCGCACGGAAAACTGGGTCTTAGCACAGCTTTTCGGAATAACGGTCAGGTACGGCACTCTGTTTTGTTGTTGCATTTGCACGTCGCATGGTCTTCGGGAGCGATCAGCATGGCGTGGAGGGCCATGCTCGTCGCCGCCTATAGTACGGCGGCCGCTGCTTACCGGCTGACAGCTGTTGCTGGCGTTGGCAGCGGCCATTAGCGGTCGGGGAAATGCTGCGCCGCATCCTCCAAAGGCGGCTAACTGCCTTCGCCTCACGTGTCTGCGTAAGCACGTGGTGCGAAGGCTGGCCATGATGCGCACCTAGAGGGCGAGGCATTCACAGGTCAAGTCGCATGCAAGCAGTGCACGCCGCCGTCCGCTGAGGGGCTCCGACATCAGGGAGGTACGACGCCTTGCCAGCGGTGGGCGTCGCGGCATGTCTGTGTCAGCCATTACTGAGTGTGCCCTTAGTTGGGTGGGAAGGGAAGCGGGGTACTCGGGGCGGGGCGAGCTCAATATGTTTAAATGGAGTGAACTGCCAAAGGGGTCTGCTAGCTACACTTTAGATTGGTGTCGGTTCTAGTAGAGAAAGTTGAATGCGCTTGCAATGTTCGGTAAATATAGTGCACGTTGAAGGAATGGTCCGCGGTTGGGAGGGGTTGTGGTGTTTGATGGGAGCAGGTGATGTGAATGGGTGGTAGCAAGGGGGTTTAACGGGACAAGAGGGGACATGAATGTAGAGGTGCATGATCACCATTGGTTTGTTTTACCTTGCATTTTGCACTGCCCTTTGCTGTCATGAACTGCTTAACAAACGAGGCCTGGTTCGGGTGTGTGTTGGGGATCTGAGAGTGAGCGTCATGCTTCACTGACGAATGGGTTTGCCAGCAGAGGGGGCCACGCATGTTACAGCTCATGCAGGTTTTGTTAGAGCTAGCGCATCAGTACTGCATACAGAACTGCAACCCTTGCGAAAATGTAACAGGTTCGCTTATGTACGGGGCGTGCCGCGCGTATATGAGTGCAAAGCACCAGGCAAGCCAAAGAGCTGATCACCTGGGGTCGCACCGAGTTACCTAGCACGCGGGACCGTTCAACAGACGATTTGTCTTCAAAATAGTTGGCGGTGTTCGCAAAAGGCTTCTCACCTCAGCAGGCAGATAAAAGAAGGATTAACATAAAGCCTACGCAGCAGCGAAAATAACCACACAGCAAATCACCACCAGCCGAGGGCACCTTGAGGCCGTCATTACCGTCCCCCTACTTTCCGCTGGAACGCAGGCACACCCGTGCGCCTATTCGCAGACCCAATCCGCACCGGCTCGCCCCACTCCGGCCTGCAAATGCTCTGGTAACCTACACCTTCACCCTCTGCGCCACAACCCCCACCGCACGCACCCTTGCCCGCCCCTTCCGCCCCCCTTCCTTGCTGTTTCCCGTCCCCTGCCTGCTCTCCCACCCCAGCCGCTGCCTCCCCCCGCGGAACCATCACCAGCTTCCACACCAGCGAGTAGCGCGGCCCGGGCGCCAGGCTGGAAGGAGGGGAGATGCGGTGCGGCACGTCCTGATCGAACAACACCACCCTGCATGCATAGGGGGGAGGGGAGGCGTTTAGGTGGCTGGGAGACAGAGAGAGAATATTAACACGGCTCGCGTCAGTTACCAACCGCCCCCAAACACCACCACACGCATGCATGAGCGCGTGACCCACCTGCCCGGTGCCGGCCTCACGAACAGCCCCAGCTGCGTCTCCGGGTCAAGGAACAGCGTCTCAGCTGCGGGGGAGGGGGGGATGGGGTCAGGAGGTGCAGGGGGTACGGCACCACACATGCAGCAGGTGATCGGGGTAGCACGGGCTGGCAGGATGCGACAGGACGTTACCCCCGTAGGAGAGGGAGAGGGTGTTAAGCAAAGGAGCTTAGTTCGGGCGGTAATATCCTAATATCTACAACGGAGTGCGTAACGAGCGGTAGGGGAGCATGTGAACACGGTCCACACTGGCCCCCACATCACACCCCAAGCGGCTGCTCCCCCGGCCTCCCCCCTAAGCCAGTGACCTCTAAGCTAGTCATCCATGCACACTCACAGTGGAAGTCCTCCGACCAGCTGTCGTTCAGGTAGAGCAGCACACTCACGAACAGCGGGCGGCCCAGCTCCCTAACGTAGGCAGGGGGTGAGGGACAGGGTGAGACCATGCAGGCACCCATCAAACAGGGGCAAAGAGAGGATCACGAGCCCATCATCATTCCGGTAGGTAGAGGACAGGGGCAGTCCTAACAATCCGCCGATCCATCCCACAGTTGTCATCCACAACACCCTCCGCCCCACCTGTTGTGGTAGTACCCAAAGTTGTGCACCCAAGGCGAGTGGGGCGGGACCGTGGTGGGGTCGGCATCCACATGCCATGCACAGGGGTCCCCCGCCATGACCGCATTGCCCACAAACGAGCTCAGCGGCGTGCCCTCATCCCCCTCAGCACCTCCCTCGGCACCCGGTTCCGGAGCATCAGAGGAGATCTGCGCGGCCGGCATGTGACAGATGTCGTACTCTGGGTAGAGCGCGGCCAGGCGGGTTTGCAGGGCTACCACGGGAGGCGGGGGGTCGTCTCGGAGGGCGGCCAGCATGGCGGGCTGCAGGCCCCAGGTGGCCTTGTCACCTGGGGGGGATTGGGGAAGAACCAAACCACAGGTGATTAGATAAACTGAGCCAACCACAGGTGAGGGCAAGACAATTGTGGTGGTGGAGGTGGCGGACAACGACGTGAGGGCCATCAGAGGGGCAGGAGGTCGCACTGCCAGGATAATGCATGGTTATGCATCGCTATCGTAGTGCGTGACCCATGGGTCAGTCGCACCCACCCACCTCAAGGATCGCACCAACAAAGAACCAAGCTTACGCCCTGCAACATTATACAAGGCCCGGGACCCGTTATGCTGCCATACGCCTAGATATGCCTCCATCCCCACACAGCTAAACTCGCCGCTTCCCCTCCCACATTGTTACCGGCATCCTGTCACACTGACCTTCCCTGTCCACGCACGCCACCTCCCACTTGTTCTCCGGCGGGGGCCCCTGGTGACAGTGTGCCGGCGCCGTCAGCCAGGCCAGCAGCTGCGACCTCTCGGCGCCGCTCAGCAGCCCATCCAGCACCACCAGGTGCCCGCTGTCGGGCCGGTAGTGGCCTGCGGGGGCGGGTACCAGTAATTGGTTGGAGCGGTGGTGGTGGTGCTGGTGGTGGTGGTGGTGGTGGTGGAGGGATAAGGAAGGCAATCACGGCAACCCGTCACATACGCCGTTTCATGCCAACCATGCTACGCCGTGTTGTGCTAGGGGACGCCGTACCATGACTGTACGGCATTGGCGGCACGCACCGTGTATGGAGGGCACCTCCCCGGCGTCTAACGCGGCATTCAGCACCACCCTGACCTCGCGCAGCACGGACAGGTGCTGCTGCTGCTGCTCCAGGGCTGCTGCTGCTGACGCCTCGGTTTGGTCGGAGGGGCTAACAGCATCACCTTCAGCTGCGCTGGTAACGCCAGCGCTTGTACTGGCGCTTGCGTTGCTGCTGCCGCTTCCGCCTGTGCTGCTGCTGCTGCTACTGCCGTTACAGCTGCAGTTGCAGCGGCCGTCACAGCCTTTGCTGCTGCTGCTGCTGCCACTGCTACTGCTGCTGTCGTCCAAGAGCTGCCTCAGCGCTAGGGGCTCCACCTTGACCGGCTGAAGCAGTCCGTAGTACCTGGAGTGGGCGTCACGCAGGGAGGCGACCAGCGAGCGCAGGGGCATGCCCTCGTGCCTGCAGGGGGGCCCAGGGGGCAGGCGGGCGAGGTTGGCAGCGTTGACGGTAATGCGGCATGACACGCGGGTTGCGACTGGCGAGTGGCGGGGGGCTGCGGCGAAGTCAAGTCATCCTCCACATGCAAACAAAGATTTGCATGCATACGGACACCGTACATGCAGCAGCTGTCGTACAGCCTACAGCCACTCCCCTGCCCCTGCCCCTGACCCGCCATACAAGCACACGGGATGTAGACCGCCCCTCGCCCCCAGCACCAGCCCCTTCCTCACTTGCGCTGGTAGGCCGCGATGAGGGCCGGCACCACACCCCACTCCGCGAGCCAGTCGTTGAGCTCCGCCCCTAGCCCGTGAGCGGTGGGCCCCACCAGCAGCACCACGCGACCAGCGGCCACAGCAGAGGTCAGCGTCGGCTGCTGCTGAGGCTGTTGCTGATCCTGCAACGAGGCCTGCTGCTGCTGCTGCAGTGTCGTTGTATCTGGAGCGCTGTCGCTGCTGCTGCGGCTGTCATCGACACCAATGGCGGCATCTGCCGGTGATGGCAGCAACACGTCACGAACGGTGTGCGGAAGCATGTCGTACGTAACATCAACAATCGGCAGTTCAGCAGCAGCTGATGATGATGGTGTTGGTGACGATGATGATGATGGCAGCATTCCAGGCAGGTTCTGCCGTACGGCTTCGAGTTCTTCAGGATGGAAACCGATGAAGAGTACGGCACCTGTTTTGGAAATATCTGCTGCTGTTGCGCTACGCTGTCGTTGTCCTCGCTTTGGTGCCTTCTTTTCGTCCTGTTGCGGCTGCTGCTGCTCTTGCTGCTGACGCTGGTCTTCAGCAGATGCCGATGAAGATGTCGAGATGGATGCTGCGAATGCTGTAAGCGGCACTCCAGCAGCCGCAGCCACGCCCCGACGGAAGGCTCCAAGTCGATGCTGGTAAGCTTCGCGAGGAGGAGGTGCGAGTCGAAGACATTCAACCAGCGGCCGCGCCCAATGGGCAACTGGCGAACGTGCGCATGTGGCTATGCGTTTAGCAGCCAGCTGCGTGACATGTGCTGAGGAGGGTGATGCCGGTCCTGGGCTGGCGGAGCTGGCATGCGCGCCAGCGGATGTCCGGATGGCATGGTACATGCCGAGGGAGCTGGCAATGCGCCGGCCGACGCGCGCGGCAGCAGCCGAAAGGCCGCCGCGTCCAGCGGCAAAGAGAATGGTTGTAGGCGTAATCGTCACGAACGTGAGAAGCTTAGGGTGTTCTGCATGTGAAATATGTAGGGCCCCTGCCGGTACACGCGCTCACTAAACGCTTGCCAGTAACCTTATTTCTGTTAGACTTACAAACGTAATGCTAGAAAACGAGATGACCCCACGGAGTATGGGTCGGCATTTAAGGAAAAGCAGCGACGGCGCAAAACCCGTTCCTATGAGCCCAACGGCGCCGACTTTAACTGTATTAGAGGTCACAGTAAAGCAGTTTGCGTAGCATTAGTAACTTTACTTGAAGCAAGGGAATTGTGACCAGGCAGCCGTACATCAACCATCGCCATAAACGACGGCCATTCGCTTACCTTGCCGATGGCCGACCTGCTGTTTACTTCCATATACAGGCTAGCATGTACGGTAAATATGCTACCCCCGGTCAGGCGTGCCATTTGCGAGGAAGTGTCGCCACAACATCCATCCATGGCAACCGCCTTTGTGGACATAGAAGCAATGTGATAGGCGGTAAGGCTTGCATACCGTTAGATACCGTTTTAAAAACATGTTACGCGTTAATCGGCGTAGCGCCCGGGACGACTTGCTTGCGATGTTTCCCGCAACGTGGCGCTTGCAGGCACCGTATGCCGTTCGCTCTCAACAACCCAAGCAAGCCAAGACGCCGGTGCAGAAGCTGCTACTGTTCAAAGTGAAAGCGAACGCCTGGTGCGGCGGGGACCTATCACAGGTGCGCATGGACGCAAGAATGCCACGTTGGAGGTTCCTCATAAATGCCATCAATGGCCTCCGATTTACTTGCGTTCATGTAACGATGCCATACGTCAATTTACACGATATTCATGGGATTACTCGTCTTACTTCGTCGCTATCCTTGCTTGCGTTGTTCAATCCTTTTTCTGCGTTGCAGCGGATCTGGTTCGGGACCACAGCACACTCTTCTCCTCGCTGCTTTCTGAATACGCGTATCAAGTAAAGGATGAGTGGGTGAGTTCGCGAGGGACCCGTTGGTCGGGATGTGCTAATGCTTACACCACCCGTCGCCCTATTCTGGTTCCTGTGTCGGGCTTTGGGCTTTGCGAAGCAGGCTATCCCTCATATCGCACTACCTCCTTTCTCTTTATAGTACAGCACTTGCATGTTCCCTACCGCCTCGCTCTCTCACCCACGTGGTCTTCTCGCACCCTTCTGTAACCCTAAAGCCCTCCTCCTCTCCCCGTCAGGTCAGCGGCAGCATCCCGCCCGACCTGTGTGGCACCTACTTCCGCAACGGCCCCGGATTGCAGGTGGGGTGAAGGATGGCAGGGAGGGAGGGAGGCAGGGTGGGAGGGAGGCAGGGTAGTCCAGCTGGTTACCCGAAAGCGGGGAGGAAGGGAAAGCAGGAGGGCGAGCGACCCTCAACCTGACTAGCCCTCTGCCTCTGTACCAGCCGTTGCTCCTGCCTCTTAGCAGTATTCACTCCGTCCCCACCTCCCCACCCCCCACCTCCCCGCTCCCCAATTTGGGAATCATATTTTCTCGAACCCCAGGTTTCCAATCCGCGCTACCGCCGCCATACCTTCGACGGCGACGGCATGGTGCTCAGTCTGGGCTTCAGGGGGGGGCGCGCGTACTTCCGCAACCGCTTCGTGAGGACGGAGGGGTTCGTGCGGGAGCAGGTGGGGGGGCCGGGTGTGTGGGGTGCGAGTGCGGGTTTGCAATTGGGCAGCGGAGTTACACCGGTGCCGCACCTCTCCGGTAGCTGTTGCGGCTGAGCCCTCGTACCGGCGAGAAAGATGGAGGACGGGCATGAGAGGCGGGGGGCGGGGGAGGGTCAGCAAAGGTGGGGTTGGGGGTTGGAGATGACCATGGAGTGTTAACATCAAGGAAACCGGTATCCACACAGCCGTCGCCACCCCTGCCAAGAACCTTGCTCCGCTCAATTTCCTGTCGCCGCATCCCTCCCTTCCTGCTCCCTTCCTGCTCCCTACCTCCTTCCTCCTCCACCCCAGGCCGCGGGCAGGCTGCTGTTCCGCAACTCCTTCACCCGAGGTGCCGCCGACGGCTCCCCCTTCTTCAACCCCTTCGACCTCAACTTCAAGAACGTGGCCAACACCGGAGTGCTGTCATGGGCGCAGCAGCTGTGGGCGCTGTGGGAGGTGGGAGCTGCTGGGTGGGGTGGGGGGAGGGGGAGGGGCAGGCAGGGAGGTGAAAGGCCAAACCAAACCATAGGGTACCATGCGCAAAACACACGAATACGTCGCCCTTAAAACCCCGGGTAACAACCTTGCATGCATGTACGTTTGCATCCCATCCCCATCCCATGCGAAGCCCTAACACAGGAACCCGTCTGCTTGCCTTTCCACCCCCCGCCTTCAGGGGGGGCTGCCGTACCGTTTGGATCCGGTCAGCTTGGAAACGTACGGCGAGAGCCGTCTGGGTGGCTCCCTGCCGCCTGACGTCAGCACCTTCTCAGCGCACTTCCGCATCATGCCGCCGTCATCAGCCCCTCCTGCTGCTGGTGCTACAGCTGCTGCTACTGCTGCTACTGCGGGTGCAGCTACTGCTGCTACTGCGGGTGCCGCTACAGGCAGTTCACATGGCGTCAACACATCAGCAGCAGCGGCAGCAGCAGCAGGCGCAGCGGGAGGGCACACCGAGGGCGGGGGTCGGCGCTGGGTGGCCTTCTCCACCTCCCCGGCGGGACTGGGTCGGAGTGCTGGGATCGTATTTTACGAGTTTGCGGAGGGGGAGGCAGGCGGGCAGGGAGAGGGGAAGGCGAATGGAGAAGGATGCGGACCCAAGCTCCTGCATGAGACGAGATACGAGCTGAAGGTAGGTGCGAGGGGTGTGCTCCAGGATGTGAAACTGGTCCAGTGGGTTGGTCCAGTGGACATGACAGGTGCTGACCCTGCAGTGCACCCTCACGCCCCCAACTTCCTGCCTGGCCTCTCCATCCTGGCCCCTCTACGATCATACGCGAACCCAACTATCCATATGCGGGTAGACGTATCCTGCTAATCCTCCTGGCCTCTACATCCTTTTCCTCCATCCTCCACCTCCCCCTCAGGACGTGTTGGTGCCCTTCATCCACGACCTCCTGGTGTCCGAGCACTACTACATCGTCGTACTCAGCCCCGTGCGGTTCGACACGCGCAAGTTCGCCACCCGCTACCTGCTGAGTCGCTGCTCCATCGCGGAGTGCCTGGTGTATGAGGGAGGGGGCGATGGGGGTGGGGGTGGTGGGGGCGGCAAGGACAGCAGCAATGGCAGCAGCAGTAGCAACGGCAGCAGTAGCAATGTTCATGCCCGTGGGGGAGGTGGAGGCGCCCCCTCTCGAGTGGTGCTGGTGCCCAGACCGGGGAGGCCCAGTGGGAAAGGTGCGGGCCGACATGGGGGTGGTAGAGATGGGAGCTTGGGGGCGGGGTGCAACCCATCGGGTGCCGCAGCTTCGTGGTAAAGAGGGGGGCAACAAACCAGCCGGGTCACCTCTTCCTTCTGTTCCTTCTGCCTGACCTCCTCCTCCTTCCGCTCACTACCCAGCCGGCCACCTCCGGGTGTGCTCGTCCTGCCCTCCACACAACCTGACCACACCTGTAACCCCTTTCCCCACCCTTCCCCCCGTACCTTCCCTTCCACCCAACCACCCAACCCCTACCCTCCCAACCCTCCCAGTGTTGCGCCCCCGGGAGTTGTCCGCGCCCCCCTCCTTCATCTTCCACCACGTGAATGCATTCGAGGCTGACAAGCCACCCACCCGGGGGGCGGCATCCCAGGCAGCCACCCAGGAAGACGAAGAGCCGCTGGTGGTGATCGACACGATAGCCTGGCAGGACGTGTCCTTCAGCGTCAACCAATACACCTACGGCCCCGATTACTACACTGGCGGCTGCCGCTCGCACCTCACTCGCCTGGTGTGCGATCCCTCCACCTGCGCCGTCACTTCGCACCGGCTGATGCGGCGAACCGCGGAGTTCCCAGTCGTTGACCCACGGGTCGTGGGTCGGCCGCACCGCATGCTGTGGGCCGCATGCGACGCGGTGGACGATGAGGTGCACTGGGGCCCGGGGCAGGCACTGGTGCGGGTGGAGGTGGATCCCGGGTTGGGGCTGGGAGCGGCGGAGGCGGAGACGGAGGAGATGGGAGGGCAGGCGGCGTCGGAGGGGCGGCGAGCGACGACGGAGGGCGGCAGTGGGCGGCTGAGTGGACGTGATGGTGTGGCGGAGGGAGTCAAGACGGATGTGTGGTAAGCAGTGAGGAACGAGTGTGCGTGTGCGAAAGGCATGGTTATGACCCATGGGTCGATACTTTCACACGCCGGGCGACATAGTGGTATGTAGGCGTAGGTCCTGCGCTGCACGCACCCGCCGTCAGTAGGCACGTTCGCTGGCATCCCTGCCTGGCTGCCTCCCGTCTCAAAGTCCCTTTCCTCCCTCTACTCATCCCATTCCCTCTCTCATTCACTCCCACCCCCACCCCCAGGTATGCGGGCGACCGTCGCTTCGTGGGAGAGCCCATCTTCATTCCGCGATCCGGCAACCCCGCCGGGCAGCAGCGGGGCTCACCAGTTGGTAAGGCCGGGGCTGCTGCTCCTGCTGCTGCTTCTGCTCCTGCTGGTGCGGCGGAGGGCCCGGCGGCTGCTACTGCTGCTGCCGCTGCTGCTGAGGAGGAGGAGGAGGGCGCCGGCTGGTTGCTTGCAGTGGTGCACGACGCGGCTAGTCAGGTGGGGGAGGTGGTGATCCTGGACGCGATGCGGCTGGGTGAGGGGCCGCGAGCGGTGATCCGACTGCCGCATCGGCTGCCTGCGGGCCTGCATGGCAGCTGGGAGGAGGGCAGGTGGACGGGGCCGGAGGGGGAGGGGGAGGGGGTGCGGGAGGTGGGTCGGATCCGGGCGTTGTGAGGGGAGAGTGGGGAGGAGAGGAGAGGAGAGATGACGGAGTGGGAGAGGAGTGGAGAGAAGAGGAGGGGAGGAGCAGAAGGGAGTGGAGTGTGACAGAGGAGAGAGAGGAGGGAAGGGGTTGGCGAGGGTGTTGGAGGTCTGGAAAGGCCCTGAGCGAAGAGGCTGAAGGAACTGCTGAGTGTGAGACGGAGGTGAAGTTGAAGAGAATTCATTAGGATTGTGGACGCTTCATAACAAAGGAGAAGAAGGGGAGAGAGGAATGGGAGAGGCGAGGCGCGGAGGGGAGAGAGAAAGCGGAGTATGAGAGGCGAGGCGAGGCGAGGAAGGAAGGAAGGAAGGGAGGGAGGCCGAGGGGTCCGATAGGTCGTTGATGAGAGGCCCGGCAGGGGTCCCGGCTGAAGGGTGGCTACCTGACCGAGCGACGCCATGGGAGTGCGGGCGTGACCGGGGGAGAGCGAGAGGTGACACGCTGCTGGATAGCAGGTGTGAGCAATGAATACCGGTACATGTATTGTTTGTGTCGTGTAACGCTGTCTGTTAAAACCGACGGTCTCGACCTCAGCGCATCATGGCTTATCCACTGATGGGCCGAGCTGGATAACCACCGAGACGCTGTGACACCGTGTTACAGTGTCTGCGGCGCAATGCTGGGCCGCGTGTGTCTTGTATTCTGTCTTTTGTTAAAAGTTGTGCGGGTTGTCTGTTTGTTGCTTTAGGAGCGCTGAGCGCATGTTTCGGATTGGGGTGAAAGAAATTGTGGTGTGGCGCGCCTCAAGGAGCGCATGTGGAGCGCATCTTGAGTGTGTGTTGCATAAGAGTGTGGGGCAGCTGCAGTGTCGCAAGAAGGGTGTAACGACATGCGGGAGCTGACCGGATACCGGTACAGAGGCGCCATGCGTGAGGAGTGATGAGGAATGAGGTGGCGGCCATGGCGAGTTGGGGGAAGCAAGCAACGTGGAGTTACGTGTGTGCGGGTAGGGCCGTGCGTGATGAACCTTCCGGCTATTGAGGATTCCTTGCTGTATGTGCTAATGTATGCGCTCATGATGAAAGATCCGAATGCTATTCCCAATTAATCAGGAAATTATATTATAGGAAGACAGACAGTGTTTGGGTAATGCGCCTTCTGCGTTCCGGCCCAGCTCCTACTTTACAGTGCATGTCGAGGTTGTTGGCATGACATTGATAAGTCAAAATGGAAAGCAGGATTGTAACCCGCCTGCATAATAAGAGCAAAATACTAAGGTAACTCAGGCGTGCGGGTTCGCCTTCTAGCCAGCAGAGACGGTCGCAGTTGATTGGGAACTCCTAGGTAAGGCGCAGTTACTTGCATTTTATACTCGGCTGCTGTTCCCATATAACGCACACTTCACTCAAGGTTGCAGGCCACACATGTAAAGCTGTTGGACGATGAGTCCCGTTTTTCCTTGGCATACATGTCCGACGTCCTAGGCACCAGCCGGTACCTAATCGCTGTACCTTTGCCGTGCTCAATATGTGTGATATAGAAGGGTTGTTTGAACAAAGGCCTGCCCTGGTAGGCGCAACGACGACTTGGCAAGTAAAGGCTAACTTCCATCGTTAGCCTAACCAGAAAGTCAAATGGCATGAAAATGATTGCTTAACAGCCGGACCTACTATTTCTATATAGCGCGTTATGTTGACGCAAGCACCTATGGGGAATGAGCTGCTCGTCGGGCGGTTGACCGACCCACTTCAACGCCAATAACCTCCCGACCGACATCGCTGTCGCGCCTTGGGAAAACGCGTGTTACATAGCGTACATGACTCGTTACATGTCCCTTGTTTCATCCTGAGGCTCTAGACATTGAGCGGCTTTGAGGGTACACAGGCAGGTACCCAGTCTGTACGTTGTATGTCATGGGTATACGGATGACGGATTCGTGACGCCCGACCAGTTACGGAGAAGCTGTTACTGCGGAACAACATAAAAGGGTTACTGTCAACATTAAATAGTATTCACACACTTGCTCAGCGTCACTTCAGTGCTAGACTTGGGAAGCGGCTCTCACCACTGCTCACCCAGCTTGCACTACATAGCATTTACAGCACCGCTGTGCTTATCCTCAACTTGGTACACCACAATCAAAAGCGGCGACCTTACTTTGCCGATTGACGTTGCTGCACCGTTGCAACGACAACGCAAAAATCGTATACAAATAGAAGCAGTTTCTGAGCGACCACACACCATGCGTCGTCTGGTAGCTGCTACGTGTTTGCTATTATTCCTTGCCAGCGCGCAAGCCCAAGGGTGAGTAGCCGCCCGACAATCAGCTTGTCAGGATGTCCCAACTCGCCTTCTGGTACCGCTCCTCTCCGCAAGCCTTTCATGCAAATCGCGTTAGTTAACGTATAGCCCTCTGGGTGTTGCTTTGCCCCCAGGAACCTTACGGACCCAAATGATCAATCCACCGATGACCCAACAGTTTCAGGCCAGTTCAACCTTCTGGGGGTTTCCTACTGCGTGGGCGTTCAGCTCATTGCTGTGCCAGGTAAGCAAGGCATTTGGGACACAGCGCTGCCTACATTACTACTGTTCAGCGGTACGCATGTCTGATGCCGCCTTGGTGCCGCTCCCGAACCGTCCACAGCGTGTTCGACAAAACCCAACTCTGTATCTCTAGGAAAGCCCTAACAACCTCATTTGTGTGCCACCCTGTAGATAGCGACCTGTTCTTCTTCATGGAGCGGCCATCGACACCTCATCCCGACGGCAACCACTACAACGCTGGCCTCATGAACGCAGCGACCGGCAAGTTTGTAAATGTCAGGACCAACCTGAGCATGGAGAACTGCGGCCACACCTACCTGGAGAACGGCACCGTCGCCATCCTCGCTGGCCACAAGCCGCAGAGCGAGTACAAGGAGGGGCGCAGGGTGAGTATAGGGCCTGCTGCGCTTCTAGGGAAGAGTGTACATACTAGTATGTTGCAAATAGTTTGTCGATGGGCATTGCCTTGCTGCTAGGAACAAGACTTGCGCACCGACGTTGCAAGTTCTCTCGCTGCGATGAGCTATAATGCCTCCTCGGCATTTGTGAGCACTTTCACTTTTTCGCGAAGGCTCCTTTGCAATTCCACGCATCATTGTTCTTAAGAACAAGACGTAACTTTTACATTCCTTCTTTGCCGTACAGGGCATTCAAATTCTGGATCTGGAAGCCAAGCAGCTGCGCAGCGTGGGTCAGCTCAAGTTCGGTCACTGGCTGGCGACCGCCACCCGCCTCCCCAACGGCATGGTCACCATCATGAGCGACAGCCCCTCGCCAGTCGGCCCCACCCGCAAGGACGCCATCAAGGTGTGCTCATCGTACGGCAACTGTACGGCCGTTGCTACTGCACTACAGCGTGGTTGCCCCCGCAGTACTGCAGTTAGAGTGCACGGCAGCTGCATGGCACAGTCACGTGCGCTGGGATTAGTGTCAGGTTTCTGCGCGCTCTAGTCCCGACGGAATACGGAGACACCGTTTCGTGGCGTCCGTGTCTTTCCCCATGCTCGCTTGCCCTTTTCCTGCCGCCAACCTCTCTCCCCTCCCTCTCTCCCTCCCTCCTGCAGAACCCCTTCTACGAGCTGTGGGACCCCGCTAACCCCGCCACCACTAAGCTCTTCCAGCTCGACAACAACTTCGTGACCAAGAGCAAGTACTTCTACTACCCGCGTAACTTCATCCTGCCGACCGGTAAGTGTGTCGCTTTTACCAGCTGTACGGTATCTAAACGGTATGCAGGATTGCGTGTGTATTAGGGCACGGAATGGGGTTTACGCACCTCGCCGCCCGCCAAAGGGATTTTCAAGATGGTGCTGACTGTATGGTTCCATGCTGATGCTGGAAAACGTTCTTAGCCACCTCTCTTGCATGCATCCGCATCTCTCTAACCGCATCCGTCCTCCTGTCGTACCCGTCCGCCAACCACCCTCGCCCCTCCGGTACCCCTGCCTGCCAACCTTCGGTTCCCCGCAGGTGACATGTTCGTGTGGAGCAACGTGTTCGGCCAGATCATCAACCCCCTCACCGGCGCCGTGGTGGCCTCCCTGCCCTCATGGTCCAAGATCCCCGAGGCCAAGGGCATGAGCACCAGCTACCCCTTCAGCGGTACCGCTGTCATGCTGCCGCTCAAGCCAGCGGACAACTACAAGGTGGTTGAGATCATGTAAGTCGTTAGTTAAACCAACCGCCAGTCGCAACCACCCGGCATACCGGTACGCATGGAGCGATACGTACCGGTAGGTGTAGGACAGAGAGAGAGGCTGAGGGCCCGCAACTGCAGTGTCATGCTCGGTTCCATACGTGGCACTGATGCACATTGCCAGCCGCTTGCTTCTTTCTCCTTGCAGATACTAACCACGCACTGTCTTCATACGCACCCAAACCCAACCCAAACCCCAAACCTCCCAAACAGGATCTTCGGTGGCCAGTGGAGTTGGGGCTGGATCAACACCACCGCTGTGGGCCTCAGCATGCGGCTCAAGATCACCTGCAACGACAACGGCACCTACACCATCGGCTCCTGGCAGTCCGAGAAGATGCCCTCGCCCCGTGTCAGCGGCTCCTCCGTCCTCCTGCCCAACGGTCAGGTCCTGCTCATCAACGGCGCCAAGCGCGGCCTGCTGGGCGACGCAGCCGCCGGCGGTGTTGCCATGCTCAACGAGCCCAACTTCTGGCCGGTGCTGTACGACCCTAACGCCCCCGCCGGCCGGCGTTACAGCACCCTGGGTCGCTCCCAGATTGCTCGTCTGCTGCACTCCACCGCCGGACTTACCATCAATGGCACCGTGCTGGTGGCGGGAGGCGACCGCTCCGACCGCTTCTGGAGCCCCGATACCTACAGCCCCAGCCCCACGGGATTCCCCGAGTATCGAGTGGAGATCTTCTCGCCGCCTTTCGTGTACGACACGGACAACCAGCCCACCATCCTGTACGCCCCCACCTCCATTGTCCACCGTAAGCACCAACAGGAGGGCCGTGGGGTAGAGATGAAGCTTGTAGGCCAGGAGACGTGAAGCAGAAAGGGAGGCATGACCTTGAAGCAAGCGGCACTCGCCACTGCAATCGCTTACATTAGGTATCTCCTCCTTTCGCCGCTCTTCTTCCTCCCCTTTCCTACTCTTCCTTCCCTGCCCTGCCCTTCCTCACCCCCCAACAGAGGACATCATGTCAATCGTGTACACCGCTGCTAGTGATGCTGCCGTGGTGACCTCAGTGGTGCTGGTGGCCCCGCCCTCGGACACGCACACCAACAACATGCACCAGCGGGTGGTGGAGCTGGAGGTGAGACCCGTGGGTCGCGAACTAGACAAGAGATGAGCAATGGGATGGCGTATGCGGCGTAGCTGGACGTTGGCACAGGGGCAAGGATGGCCTAAACGACTAGAGTGAAGGCAGCGGGAGGAAGGGATGTGAATGTTGTATGATGCAGCAACCGTAACCCCTCCTCCTTCCCCTCGCTCCTTCCTGTTTCCTCCCCGACAGATCCTGGGCACCGACACCGATACCAACCACGCTGCTGCCATGGACGGCTCCAAGACCGTCACCGTACGGGGCCCCCCCAACCTCAACGTGGCGCCTGCCGGGCCCTACATGCTCTTCCTCGTGGTGGGTGACACCTACGGCCCCGGCCAGTGGGTGTACGTCACTCGGTCCTAAGCTGCTGTCGTACGCAGTACATGCAGTGTACGGCACTGCAGTGTTACGGCGGCGGAACGATGCGCGGATGCGTGAATAATGCCCCTGCGCTGTTTTGGGGCGCGGCCTACATGCATTTGTGAAGCAAAGGCATCATATACATGTGGATGGCAGGGGTTGTAGCTATTGGGCGTGTGTACGCGCGAGCGCTGCCGTGCATGCATCCTACAATAAACAGGCTTGCATGCGGTGACATACACATACCCAACGTGGGGCCAACACATGCGCAGCGTGGCTGTGTTTGCGTCTGTGCGTGATGGCGCTTGGTGAATGGTTGGTGGTTGCGGAGGCCATGATGATGATGATGCATACATGACCATGCATGAGATGAGTACCTGACGGCAACCAAGATTGGTTGGTTGGTGACCCACGTGAATGACGGCGGACATTTAGAGTCGATACTAGTATTCATAGGGCGGCTTACATTAGTGGGCAGGTCCTGCACATGCGCTGCTGGCTGGGAGGCGTGCATTAGGATTCAGCATGCTTGTGGTGACCCACGGGACACTGTTGCGGCGGTTGATGACAATAATAGGGCCAGGCCTTAGCCAAGGGCTGTCAATGGCTGGGTTTTAGGTACAGAACATGCTATGGCCTACACATAGTGGCTCTGTTATTTGAGTGCTAACATGCGTGCGTGCGTGAGATGCACCTCTGCAATTCTTTTCCCGTTGTGCTAACGGCCTAGCATTTTGTAGGTAGGGGGGTCCACGGTTGGTTCAGCCGTTGGGGTTCTTTTGTTTCGTTGCGAGTTGCGCGCGCAAGCAAGCAAGCAGGGGTTGTGGTGGGCTTAGCGCCTGGCCTTACTCATATCTATCTATCACCATTCTAGTTGTAGTAGTTACACAATGCTCTAAGGTGACGTAATTAACATTGATTGATTACGCCCTCCCTTATTTGACTATTCCCAGGTGCCTTTTGACTCAGGAAAGGCTCTATTTAGGATGAATAGTGGCCTTAGCTTTCTCTCGCGCGTTTAGTTCGTTCAGATGGAGCGACGTGGCGTTTTGGTCTTGCATGCAGCAAGCGCTAAGAATTATCGGCTTTCCTTGCCCGCTGACGCCTGGCGGCGATGGCAACGCATCTTGGCGGGTATCCTTCCCGTACAAGCTATTCTGTAACCGAAAGCAGCATCGAAGTTTTCTCCTTCCCAGCTGAACCGGTATCTACCGTACCTAATGCCCTTTTGGATGCCTGATCCGGGCTGAAACCTCGCCCACTTACCGGTATCCGCCAGCCTAGCTGGCTCTCTCACAACTGCCTGTCGTACAGCCTACATTTACCTTGGCACGCTCGTACGGTATAGTCATTACCCAACCCAAACACCTTACATTCCCCTCAAGAATCCGATGCCGCTGGCTCAACACCGTTGTGGGGACAATGGCGGCAAACAAGGGAAAGACTGACAAACTGGTGAGACAGCTGCAGGAAGCGACGGAGGCGCGGGCTGCGCAGGGTCTCGCAGAACGGGCCAAGTGGGCTCGAGATGGGGTGAGTGAGAGAAGCGCAGTGAGAGAAGCGCAGCGGGCCTGCAGTGTTGCAGAATTGTTTGCACCTACATATAAAGGAAGAAACACTTTTCGTTCATCAACTGATCAAGTCTCCGTAGTCTAGGCGGTTAGGATACGTGGCTTTCACCCACGCGACCCGGGTTCGAGTCCCGGCGGTGACACTTTTTTTACAATTTTTTATGACTTTTCATTTATTTTGTGTCTTCATGCAGGTATATTGTGTCAATCCGTCCTCCTTTGCTCGTCTAGATGATTGGTAAAGTGTTGGTGGTTGGTGATTCTAGGAAGATCCAAATATTTTTGTATCGCCACAAGGTTAACGCATACTACGCACTCTTACAAAGTGGGCACATAGGAGGTTGCAAACACCAACACAAGCAGTTACATAGAAAGCGAGCCCTGAGCTCCGTACGGCCTCCTTACAAAATCGCTCCATCCGCTCGCCCTTTCCACGACAGCTTGCTATCCCGATCCTCCAGCCTCCTGCGACGTTCGGGACGCCCCTTCATAGCCACCTAGTACACCCGCCCCAGCACCTTCACTGTGCCAGTCCACTACCTGCATATACCGGTACGTACACCAAGTGTGCAACCGGAGCGTTTCCGGCGTCTTTTCCCGCGGTTTGCAACGCGCAACGCACCCCACGACTCCTGCGGCGGTGCTGTCCCGCAGGACAGTCTGGCCCGTTGTCCGTCATGCAGTCATGTACTAGGGAGGGGTCGGGGCATCCACAATGAGACAGACCTCAGACGGCCATGAAACAGGGAGCATGAACCCTTCACGTGTCCCAGACACGCCTCCTCCTCCGTATAGAGTCCGTCACAGATTCCGCGCATGCACGCATGCATGCATGCATCCTCTTCCCCTCTCATGCCTCGACTCCACTAGAACTCAACCCCCTACACAACCCCACGCGCATCCCTCACGCACCCCTCTGCCTGCTGTCCCTCGCATGTGTGCAAAGCCCAGACCTCAGCCCCCATCCGCTGCTGACACCTACGCGACTGGGTGAGCGTCCTCAAACAACGTCCTAACCAAAACAACCTCCTCCTTTCCGCAACTAACCGTCCATGCAACCAACACCTGACAACAACGACAACTTCCTTTTGCCCGCAGAGGAACACCTCTACCTCCCTGCATGCACCAAGGACACCTGCATCCCTGCACATGCCCTCATCCTGTCAGTTGTCATCACAAACCCCTCCTCATCCTCGCCCCATCCTTCACATCTCCCCACCTCCCCTCTTCTCTCACTGCGCGACCGCAGCGCCCATGGTGTTGACCTTGACCCCCGTCTTGCGCCAGTCAACCGCCGGCTTGATCAGCTCATGTCGTACCCTCTCCTTGTACTGCACCGCAAACTCCAGCAGGCTATCCATCATGCTGTCGGCCATCAGGTGCGGCTGCAGCCCCAGCTCAACCAGCTTGGTGTGTTTTGCGTTGTAGTAGTGCTCCTCCGCTTCCACTCGGGGGTTGGGTACGGATTGTACGACGACATCCAGGCCCAGCTTGCGTCCCTCGCGGCTGACCATGTCGGCCAGTTGGTTGACGGAGAACTGCTCCGTGAACTGGTTGAAGACGCGCATCTCGCCGCGGGAGGCGGGGTGGTCGATGGCGAGCTGGATGCAGCGGACCTGCGGGGGGAAAGGAGGAGGAGAGGGAGAGGAGGAGGGAGGAAGGAGGGGAGGATGGGAAAGAGAAGGGCATCTTTTTGACGAGGCGTGGCAACCTGTGGTGATAGCCCCTTAAGGTTGGATGCAAACATGCAAGGAAGGAGGAGGAGCAGAAGGAGGAAGGTTTGGAAAGAGTGCGCAGGTGCTGGACGCAGGAGAAGGAGGAGTAGGAAACCGAGGAGAGGACGACGAGTACCGTATTGCCCAAAATTTAATTGACAAAAACAAAATGTTTTGGGTTTTGTCAAATGGGGCAAAAATGTTTTTTTGCCATGTCAAATGGGGCTGGAAATTCGCTGGCAAGGTGTCAAATGGGGGCAAAATATTCCGCCTGGGGTGACTGCAGGGTAACTAAGATGGGAACGGAGAGGTAGGGGGCAACTGACTTGCCAGTGCGCTGGATCCTCACCGCGCCATGCCCAGTCGGGGTTTCCAAATGGTGTTCCACTTATCCTCCTAGGGCTGCACAGCGGCATACAGCTGAACTGCTCCTCTCCTTACCATGTTACATCCAATACGTACGGCGGCTTTGGGGGCGTTTTGGCGCATGTCAAATGGGGCTAGAAATTCGCCAACAGGAAGTCAAATGGGGCATAAATTATCCCGCTTTGTCAAATGGGGCTAGAAAATAGGCTTCCAAACGCATGTCAATTAAATTTTGGGCAATACGGTAGTAGAAAAACGACGAGGAGGAAGCAGCCATATTTAAAGCACACTACCGCACTACCCCTCTACCGCTCTCCCCTGCCCCCACCGTGTCGCGAATGTCCAGGAATCCGCGGGTCTGACCGCCCTTGCCGTACACCGTCAGCGGGTGGCCCACGGCAGCCTGAGGGGGGGGGGAGGTGGGGAGGGGAGGCGGGGGTGAGATGATGAGGGGTGGAGGGGGAGGTTTTCGGGCAGATCCATCTGGTAGGAAAAGGTGACAACAACGGAGAAAGGAGGGGATTACAGCCTCTATTCTCTCCCCCAGCAGCATGTGGCTGCTCCCCCGCCTCACCTGTACGACAAAGCGGTTGAGTGCCGTACCGAAGATTCCGTCGTAGTCGTACCGGTTGATCAGCAAGGGGTCGGCCATCGTCTCATCCGTACGAACGCCGTACACCACACCCTGGGGGGAGGGAGCGCGGGAAGGTGAGGGGAGATGGAGTTTACAAAAACACTCTCTCCCACAGGGGTATACGGCATGAGGGCAGAACAGCAGGTATCTTGCATCCTCCTGACACACCCCGCGCGCCCCCCTGCGCAACCCCTCCCTAGTTGGTTTCTCCTACCGTTACTAGCCGCGATTGGGACTCGTTGCTGCACTGGTCATTTTTGTTCCTCCCTTCCCCCACCCAATACCCAACACGCTTCACGCAACAGCAGCACGGCCCCCACCCACCTCTTGGCCTCGTCATACAGCTCGTCAGTTTCCTCTTTTACCCCCCTCATCCACTAGTCCACCATGCAACACGGCCCCCCCCCACCCACCTGGTTCAGGTCCGTTGCCGCCACCTTCCAGGCCCTGCACGTGAAGAGCATGTTGGTGGAGTCGTGGATCTTGGACAGGTGGTAAAAGGAGCTGCCCTGCAGGGGGGGGAGGGGAGGTGGGGGGGAGAGGTGAGAGCAGGCGGAGAGGAAAGGAGACCAGTAAGCAAAGCGTGTACAGGCGTAACCCGACAGAGAGAGCAGCAAGGGTACGAAGAGAGGGTACGTCTGGTACCGTACGTCCTCGCATTCCCCCCTCCCTTTCTCCCCCCGCACTCCCCCCCTCCTCTCCCCCCTGCTGACCTGCTTGGGGTACGGCAGCGTGTCGGTACGGCCGTTGTGTGTGACGGTGAGGTAGCCCTCCTCGATGTCAATGTTGGGGGTGCCGTACTCGCCCATGGTGCCCAGCTTGACCAGGTGGCACTCGGGGGCCAGCTCCTGGGTCGGGGCGGCGGGGTGGGGGATGATACAGTAATGATAAGGTCAGGTGGGTCAGGTGGGGGGAGAGTGGGTCAGAGATATGCCAAAACCACAGGTTGGGGCAAAGCAATGGGGATAGAGGAAAGCAGTTTGTTAAGACGGGGGATAGGGAATGGGGAGGGGAAGGGGAAGGGGGGGGTAAAGAAAGTGCCGGGAAATGGGGGAACAGTGGCAAGTTGGCGAATACCGGTAAGTAAAGAGAGGGCCGGAGGAGGCGAACCAAACACCCCAACCCTGGCGAAAGCCTCCCCTTTGTAACACCAACCCCATCCCCACCCCCACCAAGGTCCACCGCCCCCCCCCTCCTCACCTTGATCGCGAACAGCACGTTGAGGGTGCCCACCACGTTGTTGGTCTGCGTGTAGACGGCCTTCTGACGGTCGATCATGGAGTAGGGGGCGGAGCGCTGCTCGCCGAAGTGGACCACGTGCTCGGGGCGGAAGGAGGTGAAGGCCTGGGGGGAGGAAAAGGAGGGCGGGGTGGGGAGGAGAGGAGTGGCACGCCCTACTCTCACGGTCACAACCCCCACTGGGAACTCGGCCCTCCACCCTGCCCCAACCCTCCTAGCTCCCCTCCTCCTTTCCGCCCCCCCCGCCCCCCACTCTTCAGCTCGTCAGTTTCCTCCTTTCCACACACACACACACCCTCCTGCGGCGGTTCTGTGGGGACTTCATCTTCCGACAATCACAGTATGTTCGACAATCTCAGTATGTTCCTACTCGCGGCCAGTTTTCTTAACACACCCCCGCCCCCCCCCCCACCTGCGACAGGAACTCCCAGTCGCAGATGTCGCCGATCTGCAGCGAGATGTGCTTGCCCGACACCTCGGACCACCTTTAGGGGGGGGAGGGGAAGGGGCGGGGAGGGAAGGGGAGCAAGGTTGAGGTATGGGCGGGGGGCAGGGAGTCGGGTCGGGGTGCAGGCTGGAGGGGGAGCGGAGGTGAGTGGGCGGTTGTGCGCATGGGGTAGCAGGCATGCGTAGAGGAGGTTGGAGGAATCGTTGGAGGAGGACGCAGGGAGGGGCGGAGCGGGCTGAACGGGCATGTGCGGGCCCCTTGCATGGGGGACAGTGGGAGGGGGGCCTACGACCTGACACAACAGCGATGTGTGTCTTGCCCGCATGCCTCCACGACTCCAGGCACGCTCCCTTTCTCCCTAACCCCTTTCCTCTCCTCCTATCCGCATCCCTCCCCCTCCCTCCCCCTCCCTCCCCCTCCCCCTACTCACTAACCAACACTTTGTCTTGTGGCACCCTGCCGCCTCCTACCCCCATTGCTTTGCCCTAACCTGTGGTCTCCTATGGTTTGGTACCTGGTCTTTGACCTCCACCTTTCACTTATTTAATTTTTCCCCCCTCCTCACTGCGCTCACTGCATGCGTCGGGATTCGGGATTGGGACTGCGTTGATGCACGTATCCATAATTTTCCCCTCCGCTCCCCCTCCTCCCCCCTCACTTGCGCACGCGGTCATGCAGGCTGGCAATGGGCGTGAGCGTGTCCAGCCCCAGCTGCAGGTCGAACTGCCGGCGACACAGGTTGTCCACGATGCACACGGAGTAGCCGCGAGCCGACAGGTGCAGCGCAGTGGCCCACCCGCAGTAGCCGTCACCGCCTGGGGGAGGGAGAGGGGAGGAGGATGGGAGAGGGGGTAGGGGGGTAGGGGAGGAGGGGAAGGGCCATACACCATACCATAGGAAGCCGCAGGTTAGGGCAAAGCACATGGGGATATGGGGACCGTTGTATGGGGAGTAGATTAGCCGAAAAGGTAGTTCAGCGACACAGAAAAACATATTAAACTAAGCAATTGTGGCATCAAAGCGAATGATAGTCGATTTGGGTGTACAGCATGCACCTTTCCGGCTTTGCTTACCGATGATCATGACGCGAGTGCCTGCACCATTGCTGCTGGGCGTCACCGAGGGAGCAGCAGTCTTGTCAATTGTGGCCGCAGACTGAGCCTTGATTGTATCGGCCCGGCGAGCAGCTGGTGTGACGCGGCCAACCTGGGGACACAATACGCAAGTTAGGCCGGCACATGCCTGCCTCAAGCGGCCGAGTCCTTTCACCAACCTTCTTGCTCGCGCATACAGGAGACACCGCAGGACGCCCTGCGCAAAGGAGTTCATAGATCTTGACAGCTGCCAACAAAGGTTTGGCCCGCAAGCCGGCCTCCAGGCCTTACCGATGAGACGAACGCTCACGACGCCTTGCCGAGATGCCGCCGCCTGGGCCGTCTGGCTGCCTAAGAATCATGAAAATAGACAGGTTTAAAGATCGGCATTTTGGTCTGCGGTAAGCTGTTGCTCCCTGAAAATCACGTTTCCAAGGACAAGGCTTTAATATAGTCGCACCTGCGCGCTTAGACTGCATGGTTGAGCACTGCATTTTTGTCAATGATCCTATGCAAAGAAGTAATTTAAAACACTTGCTTGCACCGGCTTAAGCAAGCATCAATTGCCGGATGCGAATCACAGCAACTGGACCCCTTCCAATTGATCCGCACAACACCTCAGCTCGTACGTTTCATCACGTTCTACTCTTAAGGAGTTATAATGGGCGAAATTTTATATTGATCCGTTGTCGTTTATGCAAGCCTTACGGTGCCCGCCCCCACAAGGAGCGATCAGAACAATGTTTGTTGTAAAATCACAACACGTCAACGTGATATATTGGTATGTGCTGACACGACGGTGTCATTTGGTGCTGCCCGCATGCTTGGTCCCGTGGGTCTCTGCCGAAGATTTTTCTTAGTACCGAGTCCTACCCTTTCGATAGCTAGTGAATCCAATCTGCTGCCAAGCTGAAAGCAGTGCTAGACATGTGGCAAATGTGGGTACATGGCAAACTTTCGATCTTCCATAGCTGGAGCCAACGCCACGAGGCTCAACAAGAAAGACAAGCTTGAGATAAGGTCCATGCCAATGACGTCAGTCAGGCATGCCTAACCTGCCTGCACATAACCATTGCAGACGCTGTAAGAAAGATGTGTGCCTTCGGTCCACGCGGACCCTTTGCAGAGTTCCATTCGCAGGGTGCACCGAAGCCACCTATGTACTCACGTTACATGCCTGCCCATGCCGTACTCCAATTTGTTTGCTGCGTGACCCCTATCAGTCCTTACAAACTCGAACCCTTTGGTCAACCTAAGTAATCTGTCCCCACATGTTCTGAAGGGCTTCTCGTCAGCTCCATCCTCCCCGCAAGTGTAATAATCCGTATGTCATGGTTAAGGGTACCTCCGTTCATAACTGATCCGGTGGTAAAAATTCAAGCACAGCGTGCTTGGGGCTGGTGAACGGTTACATGTGAATGCACCTATCGTGCTTAGGACCAGGTTCTTCAGTACTATCAGGTGAAAGCTAAGAACGTAGCAACAAGAAGACCTCACTGAAAGGTAATTTCTTGCCGGGAGCCATGGCATCATAACGTAAGAACGGTCGGGTTCCATTAAGGAGACGTGAGGGCAGCAAGCAATTCGACTAGCATCCAAGGATACTACGGAATAAGATCATGGGGCGCGTCAAGACAAGCTTAATGCAATTTTGGGTCTTGCTGATCCGAAGAAATTTGGTTGACGCGTACGGGTGTAGCCGTACATGCTGCCAGGATCAAGCGCCTGCGAGAAACCCTGTGCTTTGTTGAGGCGAAGGGGGAGACTGGGCCACTTTACTGCGCTCCTCGTGATTACTGCATGATCTATGAGCTGGATAGTCAGTGTCCTTTCGCTTGCTGTCATTTGACCAGCTCACACCTGCAAATGCTGCGATAAAAAGATGCAAGACACTACTTTCTTATGTCCCGTATTCTAGAGTAAATAAACTGGAGTCAAAACACAAAACACGAACAAAGTGAACTTTGTTAAGTGTCCTTATTGCGTTATCAGTTTGTAGGGCACCTATAATAGTAGCTATTGAAGTGCTTTGGCTTTGGGGTAGTCTACTACCGGCTTGCGGGCTCTGGTCGCAGCCATTGAGCGGAGCGAGCAGGATTGGCCGCGCACCGGCAATCCAACAGAGACGCAATGGAAGCAGAATCTGGACGGCTAAGCTCCACAGGTACGTTTTAGCGCAGGGGCTTAGTGAAGTTGCACGATCCCCGATGGTCTAACGGTTGCTGCAGGCCTCACGGCATAGCACGCGTATTACAAGCATGTTTAAGATCCGTGAACATCCGTGTCTGCCATAGGCTTCACGGATCTTAAACATGCTTAGTGGTTAATGATTAACTGTCAAGGGTTGGGGTTAAGCAATCCTTGTCAATCGATGTGGGTCGAGGGGGAAAGGTGTTTGCGGAGGGGCGGCACCCGTTAACTTGACCCAAGTACCGCCTACATCCTTGCTGCACATATATCTTCTTCCACGCTAAGCAACGTTTACATACTCCACGGAACCCCTGACAGCAGTTCGAAGGGGTCTCAACCTAGCTGCTAAGTGCGACATGCGTATGGGTCGTAACTAGGATGCACTCTCGACACTACCGTAATCTTGCGGGGATACCTTTGAACGTCCCCTTGCGCCATGCATGGAGTCTGCCCGCTGCACGTGTTGCTTGCCTCCGCAGTGATCACTCCCCATATCCAAGCTCTGCCCGCATTGTTTTCCACCTCACCTGCCCTCACCTTACCCTCCTCCACCTTCTCCACATGCCTGCACGAACGAACGCCAGGTCGCCTTTCCTCACCTGCGCCATTCCTTACAGACGACCCACATACAGGCCTACGTAACCCCGCCCTGCTGCCGACCCAGATCACCCTAACCGCAAACCACCCCTGCTCCACAACGCAGCTTCCAAAACAAATACGTGTACTGCCATGCCCCCCACCTCCTGCAAAACACCCCTGCAACACAGACGCGTCCCCAGGTGCCGCGGTCCAGCTGGTCAACACCGGCGCCAACGGTGCTAAGCTGCCCTCCAGTAGCAGCGCACACCAACCAGGAGCAGCAGCCGCAGCAGCAGCGGACCAGCTAGATGGTGGGAAGCAGGACGCAGCGGCAGCAGCAGCCTCGGCGGCGGCGGGATTGGGCGAGTTCCGAGAGGTGCATGCACACACGGTGAAGCCGCTGGTCCGCAAGAACATCCTCGTACGGGCGGCGGAGGCGGCTTTTGGTTGTGTACGACATGGCGAGTTTGCGAGTAACGAAGTTCGTACGGCAAAGTACACAGTGGTAAGGAAGCAGAGGAGGATGCGGGTGCATGGAGGCATGCGGGTGGAGGGGGTGATTTGGGTCAGAGCCGGCTGGCGTGCTGGGTCGGTGTTTTACTCCTTGCGGAGGTTCATGGCGGTGGTTCACGGGGTTCTGAGGAAAGGTGATGCTGCTGAAGAGGGTCATGTGAATGCCGCCGTATCATGCCCACCTGCCCACGCATGCATCCCGGCTTGTGCGTTTTCACTTCCGCCTTATCCCCGCCCTGCCCGTCTACTCTTACCCTCCACACCCCTGCCTCTCTCCTCCCTCCCCCCCCATCCCGCCCCCCCTCCCGCAGCTCACCTTCCTCCCCGTCAACCTGTTTGAGCAGTTCATGCGGGTGGCCAACCTCTACTTCCTCATCACCGCCATCCTGCAGCTCATCCCCGGCCTGGCGCCCACCTCCTGGTTCACCACGGTGGCCCCGCTGGTCATCGTGCTGTGCATCAACGCAATCAAGGAGATTGTGGATGACTACTACCGGCACCAGTGAGTGGGTGTGCGGGGGTCAGGGTCGCGTCACCTGTTGGCCTAAGCGGCCTGCTTGTGTGTGAAGAAAACTGGCCGCTTGCGCGTCCTTGTGGCCTAATAGTGAACGTGTCCACAGGCCCCAGCCGCCGATGTCTTGCTGTGGTGTAGTAGGGGAAGACAAAGACGTCAATCCTTTCCCGCTTTGCACCCCACTGCTCTCGGTCAGAGTGTCACTGTCAGTGTCTCCTCGCTTTCTGTCACCCCCACTGCCCCCATTGCCTCACCCCCCTTGCCCGCCTGCCTGCCTGCAGGAGCGACAAGGACGTGAACGGTCGCACGGTGCTGGTGCTGGAGGAGGGCGGGCGGGAGACGGCGGTGGCGTGGAGGGATCTGGCGGTGGGGGACATTGTCAAGGTGGGGGCAGCGCATGGGGGCCGGCAGGGGTGTGTCCGGTATCTGGGGTGGGGGCGGCCAGGGGTCCCCTTTTCCCCGGCATGAGTGCCATGCCATTTACTGTTGACAACTGTGTCCGTCGTCAACTCCTCCACTCGGCGTATGTTGACCCCTTCCTCCTGACCTTGTGTCGTTGCCTGTAGGTGGTCAACGATACAGAGATTCCAGCGGATGTGGTCTTCTTGTCATCCTCAGACGCAGCGAACATATGCTACGTGGAGACGGCGAACCTTGACGGTACGGCACGGCAGAGCGTGTGTACGGCAGGGCCTATGTTGCAAGAACGACATTAGCGATTGCATGGGTCGGGGATGACTCGTAACAGCCGTAACTGCGGTGTGTGACGGACTGGCGACTTACCCCCCTCCTACCCGCTTCTCCTCCTCAGTCAGTTAGTTGTTTCCTCTTTATCCCCCGCCCGCTCACTGCATGAGTCGGGATATGGGATTGGGACTCGTTGTTTCACTCATACATAAGTTCCCCCCCTCGCAGGCGAGACCAACCTGAAGCTCAAGAGCTGCTTCCCCCGCACCGCGGGGAAGCACATGGCGGATGAGTTCCAGGAGTTTGCGCAGGACTACACCGTCCGGTGGGGTGGGAGGGAGGGAGGGCAGGAGGGAGGGAGGGAGGGACGCGTCGGGAGGAGAAAAGAAGAGGATAGTGCGAAGAAGAGGGGAGATACCGGTAAAACAGGAGGAGGAAGGCGTTTCGCATGAGACATGACCCACATTGCGGTGCCGCCCCTAACACCGTGTGTACTTGGCCGAATCATGTGCCAGTCGCACTCAACAATGCGACCCTGCTAACCCCTCTAAACCGTTTCCCAATCCCCGGTCCCTCCCGCCCTACAGCTGTGAGCTGCCCAACCCCCAGCTCTACAAGTTTGACGGCGCAGTGGTGCGGCGGACCGACCCACGGGTCACTGGCGCCTCCTCCGCTGCCTCCCAGCTGCCTCTGACCGCCGACCAGCTGCTTCTCCGCGGCTGCACGCTGCGCAAGACGGACTGGGTGGTGGGGCTGGTGGTGTACACGGGAGTGGAGTCCAAGATCATGATGAACCGCACACCCGCGCCCAGAAAGGTACTGAGACACTGACACTGTGCGTGCGGTGCATGCGGAGCATGCGTGCTGCGGTGTGTGATGGGGGTGGGTGGTAAACTGAGCCGCGAGGAAACACTGACTGTGTGTCGGGTGTTGGGGGTGTGTTGGCTGGACGGGCTGGCCCGATGAGGAGGTGGAGTATGTAGCGTGGCGGTGGGGTTGGAGAGTGGGGAATGGCTGAGGCCCTCACATGCGCCATCCCCTCCCTCCCCCCTCCCCCCACCCCCCCACCCCTCCCTGCAGGTGACCCAGCTTGAGCGGCACATGAACGTGCTGGTGCTGTCCATGTTCCTGGTGCTGTTCGGCATGGCGGCGCTCATGTCCATGGGCGAGCAGCTCTGGCAGCGGGCGCACGCGCACAAGGACTGGTACCTGGCCTTCCAGGGCAAATACCCGGACTACTTCCCCAGCTTCAAGGGATGGGTGCTGGGGGTGAGTGGCGGAGGCGGGGAGTGGGGGGTTAAAGACCATACCGAACCATATGAAACCATCGGGGGTGGCGGATGGGGGTCGGGATGAGGGGCATGGGTGGTTCGTGCGGGGGGGGGGATGTCGTACAGGTGGGTGGGTGCTGAGACTGGGTGCAACGCCCTAGGTTTCCGAAATTAGGGTTTTGATTCTAGCGTAGTCCTCCAGTACCCGTATCGCATGCTGAGCTCACATGAGCGGCACTCCGTTGCTGGGAGGAACTGTTACACGACCGCGCCCAGCCCAGCTTCCATTCCACTCCCCTCACTCTCCGCCCCCTTCCCCCCCCCCCGCCACTGCCCCCCAGGTAATCCGGTGGGTCATCCTGCTCAACGGAGTCATCCCCATCTCGCTGTACGTCACACTGGAGGTGGTCAAGGTGTTCCAGGTGTGTGGGGGGGAAGGGGGGGAAAAATTAAAGTGAAACAACGAGTCCCAATCCCATATCCCGACTATGAAGAGGAAACCGACGAGCTGTGTGCCGAGGCTTCACCATCCATGTAGGCGTTTAAAGATGGGTTAGGCCAAACCATAGGGTAGGGCAAAGCGATGCGGATAGGAGGAATATCCAGGTGGGGTTGGGAAGGGGGGGACCAGGGAGGGAACCATGGCGCTGTCATGTACAGCGGCAGCGGGGCATGCGTAATCCTGCAGACACACATCACTTGCGGCATGCTATCATAACCGACTGCAACCGCCAAGCCTCAACCGTCAACTTCCAACGGTCAAATCCAACCACCCTCCCCTCAGAGCAAGATGCTGCTGGACATGGACCGGCAGATGTACCACAGCGACACCGACACGCCCTTCACCTGCCGTACAACCAACCTCAACGAGGATCTGGGTCAGGTGCAGTACGTACTGACCGACAAGACGGGCACGCTCACGCAGAACGTGATGGGCTTCGTGTGGATGTCGGCGGGGGACACCATATACGGCAAGAAGAGCTGCAAGTGAGTGGGGGGAGGAGGGTCGGCTGGGCTGTGAAGCGAGGGGGGGAGTCGAAATAGACCAAACCATGGGAAATTACGGATGAGGAAAACAATGGGGGGGGATAAGATCGTAACCGTGTGGTGGGGTTTCAATGTGGTTTTGTCGTACAAGGACATGAAACAAGATGGGCCGTGTGGGTGCATGCGAGGGGAGGGAGAGAAGAGGGCCGCGTGCATCCCTGCCTCCTCGGGCTCCCGACTGCTTCATGTTTAGGCCCTCTCACCTTCCCGAGCCAACATGCCTCCTGCCATGAGCCCATGACCTTGTCCTGCCCCCTCTCCTCCCCTTCATGGCCTCTCCCTATCCTTTTTTTACGCTTGCTGTCTCCCTCCCCTCGAGCTTATGTATCCCTATCGACCCCCTCCCCTCCTCCTCCCCCCATGGTTCGGTATGGTCATTGACCCCCCCCCCTCCAGGTCCCTTGGCCTGCCCACCCCCAGCCACATCGACGAGGCCACCCCCCACTCCCTGGCCCTGGACCCCGACCTGATTCGGGGGCTGGGGCTGGATGTGGGGGTGCTGGGGCAGCAGCGTGAGTGGGGGGGAAGGGGGGGGGGTAGGGAGGGATGGGAGCGCAGTGTGCGGTGCTGTCAGGAATTCAGGATTGAGCAGGATCGCAGCATGCGGGGTATCCGGCCAGCCAGGGCTCCGGCTTGCCCCACCGTGTGGGGATGAACTGCCAGTGGCTTGCAAGACCCACCACACCCACCCTTACCCACCAACACAACGCCTCAACACCCACCTCCTCCGCCATTAAGATCCAAGTCATGCGTCTCCTTTCTTCCTTTCCGCCCCCCCCCAATCCCGCAGCCCCCTCCAAGTCCAACAAGAGCATGCGCGGCCACGGAGCGGTGCTGCGCGCCGCCGCCACCGGTCCCCCCCATCCCGAGCTGGAGCGGCTGCTGCTGAGCCTGGCGCTGTGCAACACGGTGGTGCCGGCCATCAGCGAGGAGGGGCACTTCGTGTACCAGGTGGGGGGGGGGAAGAGGGGGAAGTAAATGAAAAGGGAGTCGACTGGAGTTCCAATCCCATATCCTGACACATGCAGTGAGCGCATACGAGGGATGAGGGGGGGGCTGTGGTGGGGTACGTGTCGTGTTTTGGGGTGCGGAGTGGGTTAGGGCATGTCCCTGTACCTACCGGTACGTTTCGTCTTTGGCGCTTCTCGGACACCTAACATCCCCGTTTGCATGCAGTACACCCCATCACCACTCCCTCTCTCTCCCCCCAACCCCCCTCCCCCCCCCCCAGGCCTCCTCCCCCGACGAGGAGGCTCTTGTGACGGGCGCCGCCTTCCTGGGCTACCGGCTGTACAGCCGCAGCCAGGAGCGGGTGGTGGTGGAGGTGTTGAGGAGCGGGGAGATGCTGGAGTTCGAGGTGGGGGGGTGCCTTTGCTCCATTGGAAACCATAGGAAAGTGACGGACAGGAGGGAAGGGAGGGGGGAGTGGAGAGGAAGAAAGCAGCCAACCATGCAACATTCATCTAATCTCCCCACCATGTGGGGTGGGTTGCATCATGGTTGCCTCGACCGGGCCCGCCCACAGCCCCCCGAATGAGTTAAGAGCCAAAACGCCCCCACCCCCACCCCTCCCACCCTCACCCCCCCCCGCCAGGTCCTGGCCGTGCTGGAGTTCAACGCGGACCGCAAGCGCATGTCGCTGCTGGCCCGCTGCCCCGACGGCCGCATCCGGCTGTTCTGCAAGGGCGCGGACACCATGATCATGGCGCGCATTACGCCCACGCAGCCGCGGACAACCAACGTGCGGATGCACCTGGTGAGGCTAGGGGGGAGGGGGACGGGGGGGAGGAGGGGGGCTAGGGACGGGGGGGGGTTCAAAATAAACCACACCATATGAAACCACGAATGAACCACGGGGGGAAGGCGGGAGAAGAAATTAAATGAAAAATGAAGCAAGTGGAGTCCGAATCCCGTGTCCCGGGGGAGGCTGGAGGGGGCTAGGGAGGGTTAGAGGATGCAGGGCACCGGGTGAGGGGTTGGTGGAGGGGAGGGGGGAACGGGATTGTGGTATGAAGAGGGCGCTGGGGGCCACCTTGGCGAGGAGGATGGTGGGGGCTGTTAGGCAGCCCATGTTGCAAACAACTCCGGCGGGTGTGTGTGGCAGACCCGCCATGCCCCATGCCCTTGAAACCCCCAACACCCCTTCATCCCTGATCCGCCCCTTCCCCGCCTCTTACCGGTTCCCCCCCCCCGCAGGAGGAGATGGCTCTGTCCGGCTACCGCACGCTGTGTGTTGCTGAGAAGGAGCTCAGCGAGGCGGCCTACCGCAAGTGGGAGGCGCAGTACCAGGCGGCGTGCGTGGCCATGAGGGTGAGGGGGGGTAATAGGGATACACACTCCACATTAGGCTGAATTGTAGGGGGAGGGGGAGGGCGGGGAGGGACTATGGTTAACGTATAAACTGGCCGCTGGTAGGAATTTGCAGTGCGAGGAACGTACTGGCAGCCGCCGTGTTGGTCCTTCCGCCTACTGTGCTGCCTCCCTTTCCGAGCTTTACTGTTATAATACCAACCGTACGGTGCGACCAGCCGTTCGGTCCGGGGGCGCCATGAGCGTCCAGCCCGAAGTATTCTCGCCTCAACCATTCTCATCCGTACGTTGTACCTCACGTTGATGTACCCACATACGCACCTACATCGTGTGCATGTCGTACACCTCTCATGTTGTCGCACCTGGTGCCGTACACCCCTCATGTAACACCCAACCCCCCCCCCCCCTCCCCCCCATTGCTTTGCCCTAACCTGTGGTTTCCTATGGTATGGTCCCCCTAGGACCGCGACGCCAAGGTTGCTGACGCCAGCGAGGCCATCGAGCGGGACATGGAGCTGCTGGGGGCGACTGCAGTGGAGGACAAGCTGCAGGACGGTGTGCCCGAGGCCATCCAGGCCATGTTGGATGCGGGCATCGGGGTGTGGGTGCTGACGGGCGACAAGGTAATCCCGCTGATGGGGGTGGGGGGGTGGGGCTGCTAGATTTCCATCATGCATGTGTCGTAGCAATATGGCTTGGCTTCAGTGTGGCTTGCTGCAACTGCTGCAAGTGTGGTTAGTCGCACCGCAATGTGTCATGTCCTTTATGTGTGCTGTGGCCTGCCGTGCCGCATTACCTTAGGGCCCCCAATGGTGAAGCTTTGCCGTACAGCTAGTTCTTCCCTACAGTCCTTCCCCCCCTCCCTCCCCCCCCCTTCCTCCCCCCCTCCCTCCCCAGGTTGAGACCGCCATCTCCATCGCGCTGTCCTGCCGGCTGTTCAGTGAGGAGATGGCGCTGGTGGAGCTGCGGGAGAGGGACCTGGAGGGGGCGGCGGATGCGGCGGATGAGGCAGCGGTGAGGGGTGTGTTAAAAAAACTGGCCGCGAGTAGGAACGTACTGGAATGTCGTAAGATGAAGTGTGTGTGTGTGCTGACAAGCTACAGCTCGGCACGTCGTCAGCTGCCAGGGTGGGGTTTTGCATGGTGCGCGTGTGTTGTTGTTTGGGGGGGGGGGTGCGCAATTGCGCATACCGGTATGCATTGGTCGCATGTGTCTGCAACTCTCTGTGTGCATGCATGCAGGTGTTGGTAAACGCCTCCCGGTCCCTCTCTAATGCATCCCACCCTCCACCTCCCTCCACCTCCCTCCACCCCCTCCCCCCACCCTCCACCCATGTCAGATCCTGCGCAGCAAGCAGGAGGAGGTCCACATGGAGCAGACGCGGCTGCAGGCGGTTCACGGCGACAGCTGCGGCCCCATGGTGGGGCTGGTGGTGGAGGGCGGTGCGCTGGCCCGCCTGCTGCAGCCGCACCACTCCGCGCAGCTGGTGGACCTGTGCAGCGGGTGCAGGAGCGTGGTGTGCTGCAGGGTCAGCCCCATGCAGAAGGCGCTGGTGGGTGGGAAGGGGGGGTGGCAGGGGTGTTCGGTTTGGGTACCGGTACGTCCTGTGCTCCTTTACGATACCCGGCGGCGTGGTTTGCCTGGTTGACTCTTCCCAGTTTGTTTCCACCCCACCTCAGCCTCTTATCCCCATGGCTTTGCCCCTAACAAGAGCAGTATCACTTCTTTCGGGGTTTTCTCTCCTTATCCACCCTCCTCCGTCCCTTCTTCCGTCCTCTCCTCCTCCGTGACATTGGTTATTCTTCTTCCCCTCCTGCCAGGTTGTGAAGCTGGTCCAGCGGGAGCGCAAGGCGATCGTGCTGGGTATCGGGGACGGCGCCAACGACGTGAGCATGATCCAGGCGGCGCACATCGGCTGCGGCATCAGCGGGCGGGAGGGGCGGGCAGCGGTCATGGCATCGGACTACGCGTTTGCGCAGGTGCGGGGGCTGGGGGGGAGGGGGCGGGGAAAAATGGCCTGGCGTTGGGAAGGGGAAGGAAGGGGAAAATGAATAAAAAGCGAAGCAGCTGCAGTCCCAATCCCATGGGAGGGGAGGGGAGGGAGGCGAACAGCAGAAGACAATCCAGTACGTTCCTACTCGCGGCCAGTTTTCTTAACCCGCCCCCCATCCTTCCCCATGCATGCATGCATGCATGCCCGCACAGTTCAAGTACGTAGCCCGGCTGGTGTTGCTGCATGGCCGCGCCGCCTACAAGCGCAACACGGAGGTGGTGTGGTACGCGTTCTACAAGAACTGGATCTACAACATGGTGCTGATGTACTTTGGGTTCGTGACGGGTAAGCGGGTGGGGAGGGGGGGGGAGGAAACAACCAACTAGCTAACGGTGTGATAACTGATAAGGCGCATCGTGGGTTGCTCAACATGTGAGCCCGTTTGACCTGCCCAGCCCGAATAAGAGGGGGGCTGGTATAGATGAAAGGTGAAGCAACGGACGGGGGGGAGAGGCGACCGGGTAGGTAGGGGCTGGCCGTCACTGATGCGTCTCTTTTCGTCACTATGGAGGTGTTCAATGTGTGTCTTACCCCTCCCGCTCCCCCTCCCCACCCTCCCCCCCCCACCCTTCCCCCTCATCAGGCTTCTCCAGCCAGCCCCTCTTCACAACGGGTCTCATCGCCGTCTTCAATGTCTTCTTCACCGCAGCACCCACAGTGGCGTTTGCCGTGCTGGAGCAGGACCTGTCCATGGTGGGTGCGGGGGTGGGGGGTGGGGGTGCGGGGGGTGGGGGGTGGGGAAAATTATATAAAAGTGAAACAACGAATCCCAATCCCATAGCCCGACTCATGCAGTGAGCGCATTCGGAGGCACTAATAACACGCATCTCAAATTACTTACCGAATCGTTGCTTACCGTAAACCGAAACGACTTGAGGAAGAAGCCGCCTTGCGTGGTGACACTATGGAGACATGCGCCGCGCCGCCGGTCACGAAAAGCAAAGCAACACGCATATGGGGTATACGAGCATATATGTTATCGAGACGCGTTACGGGAAACTTACCTGGAAAGGGAAAACCAGCGGGGGGTGGGGGGGCGGGACTTCACCTTGGTACCCGGCTTGGCAGTTGGGAGAAACCTGGCCGCGAGTCGACTTGTACTGTCCTCCTTCCCGTGTCCCTTGTCTCGAACGTCGCCTTCCTCTAACCTCCTTTCCTCCCCGGCCCCTATCCCTAACGTCCTCCCCTCCCCCCTCCCTCCTCCCCCTCCCCTCTTCCCTCTTCCCCCCCCCCCCCAGTCCACCATCCTGTCCACCCCGCAGCTCTACTGCGAGACCATGAGCGCCACTCGCCGGCAGTTCCTACTGGAGCAGCTGTGGTGGCTGGTGCTGGTGAGGGGGAGGGGGGGGAGGGGGTAAAGAGGAAACAACTAACTGACTGAGGGATAAGGCGTCAACATGGGTTGCAACATGTGAGCCAGCCCGACCCGCCCGGGGGGATGGGGGGAGTGCTCTCGGGGTGACGAGCTCATGGGAGTCGAGAGTTGGTCGGCCCCAACGTCCGGTGTTGCACGGGAGCTGGCAGCCCTACCTCTTACCGAAGATGGATCAACATGGGCACCTTGCTGGAGCCAGGATGCTATCGGGTTTCGGTTCTCTACCGGTATAGGAGTGGAAACGTTGCCCCTCTGAAACCCCTGCTTCCCCCCTTGCCCCCTCGTCTCCCCCTCCGTCCCCCGCCCCCAGGCCTCCTTCCACTCGCTCTGCATCTTCTTCCTGCCCGTCTACTCCATGACCACCCCCGGCAAGGACGGCCTATTCGAGGACTGGGCCATGGTGGGAGCAACCGTCTACACGGGCATCGTTGTAACCGTCAACCTAAAGGTGCGGGAGACGCGTGTACGACACAAAACACATGTGCACGACATGTCATGGAATGTGCTATAGCCCATGTAGCCCTTGCGTGACGAGCCCTTCAAACTTTTCATGCCTGCCATCCACCCCGCCATACATCCCCCCCCATACACCCCCTACTCCCTCCCTCCCCCCCGCCCTCCCCCCCCCAGCTGGCCCTCCGCACCCGCTACTGGACGTGGGTGAACCACGTGTGCATCTGGCTGTCCATCGCCATCTGGTGGCCCTACGTCATCGGTTACTCGGCGGTGTTCCAGGTGTGTAGTTGAGTAGGACAAGAGCAAGCAATTGGGAGAGGTTCGCATGTGAACCGCGAGTACAGGCAAAACAGAGGTGACCAAACCTGAACTGTAATTCAAAAACTACTGAAGATGCTGTTTCTGGATGTAAGAAGAGTGGCGGGTGGCGAGTGACGGCGCATGTCAGTGATGCTGATGGTGTCGGAAAACTAAAATACTACTGAGAGCTAAAAGCCTGCTGTTCCAGGTGTGTGTGTGTGGTGGGGGGGGGGGTAGACTGGGTTTAAGACTGGTCCACCCTTCTGTGGGGCTTTGAAAGAGGCGGGAGGAGGGGTAGATGCCCTCTTGGACTGACTGCGCGGACATCTTCCTCTTCACCCCATCACCACCACCTCTCCCCTCCACCCCACCTGCCGCCTCCTAACTAGCGGCTGCCCTAACTAGCGGCTTCCTATGGTATGGTACGCGGTCTCTCCCCCCTCTCCCCCTGGTGAAGCCTTGTCATACAGCTCGTCAGTTGCCTCGTCAGTTTCTCAATATTTTTGCCTCCCCCCCCAAACAGGTCAAGGCCATGAGCAGTGTTGCCGACATGGCTGGTGTGGCGCTGGGTATGATGTCGGGTCCGCGCTTCTGGCTGACCGCGGTGGTGCTGGCGCCCTGCATGAGCCTGCTGCCGGACATAACACACACCGCATTCCAGAGGTACTTTGCACCCAAGCTGTTCCAGCTGTACCAGGTAAGGCGGGAGGGGCGGGGGGGGGTGATGAGAGGGAAGGTGTTTGACAGGCGGGGGAGGGAGGTGGCAAAGGCGGGCGGGCGAGGGAGGGTAGGGGGAGGGTAAGAGTGCGGGTTGGGTAGGTAAAAATGAAGGAAAGCTGACAAGGGGGGGGGGGGGCATGGCCGAGGTGGGTGCTGGGGGTTGGGTGCTCGGCTTGTGCTCCCTCTGGCGCCGCAAATGCCCTAGCTAGGTTGCCCTGTGGTCGCATCATTGCCTCCTCGCTTCCTCGCCATGCCGCCGCTGTTTCCCGCTGTGCCGCTAACGCCACCACTACCACCTCCCCTTCCGCTAATGCCACCTCCCCTCCGCTATGGTTTGCTCTATGTCGTTTATAACCCCTGCCCACTTTCCTCTCCTCTTCCTGCCTCCCCCCCCATTGCTTTGCCCTAACTTGTGGTCTCCTATGGTTTGGTATGGTCTTTGACCCCCTTCCCGCAGGAGGAGGAGCACCAGCGGGAGGTGGATGCGGAGGTGTTTCGCAAGCTGGGCCTCTCCGCAGCCCCGCTGGGCCCGCCGCCCTCCTCCGTGGCGTCCGCGGGGGGCGGGGTGGTGGAGTCCTGCTCCGAACAAGCGTGACTGGCGGGCGGGCAGTCGAGCAGGGAAACCTACCGGGGGAATGAAGCCGCGCCTGCAGCAGCTGCGGGTGGTACCGCTGCAACCGTTGACAACAGCTACAACACGCAACAAGGATTAAGAACGCTAGCCACAACACAACGAGGGGAAATTGCTACTGCTGGGGCTGCTGCTAGTGCTAATGCTAGTGCTACCAGTTCTGCTGCTTCTAGTGCCACCGCTGTGCCCGTGTCCCAGGCGCCGCCGCCAAAGGTCATCACCCTGGGCAGTCGTTCCGCGCAAGCACCGTCTGCCGTGAGCCGGGCGCTCGCTTGGGTGTGAAGGGAAGGGCAACATGTGGGGCATCAAGAGGCACCCTGCTGGGTGCACCCGTACGTGTGTCTGCCGGCACGTGTAAACACGCAGTGAGCAGCATGCAGGTCTCACCAGGGGAGCTGCTGCGTGTTTTGTTAACAGCGGGGTGTGCTAACAGGCAGTAGCGGTGGGGATGCTCTCAAACGCAAATGTAGGTGCGGGCCTGCCGCCTCACATTCGCGGGACACATGCACACACATGGGCGGCATGCGGGGTACGGGAAATGCACTTGGTAGGGGAGGGGTCGTGTACAGTTTCACTCGTTGTTGTGCTGTTGCAAAAAAGCGTGTGTCCATGGATGCGTTGTGGTAGTGTGCTTGTGACGGGGCTGCTCAGGTGCTGCGGCTTCACGTTGGGGGTGTTGGTTCTTCCTGCTGCAGCGTGTGTGAGAGCGCATGTATGTGGTGTGTGCTAGCGTGATCTGATGAGGGGACTTCGTGTCATGTGCCATCCGGCAGATGCCGCGTTTTCGGTGGCGTGGTTACCTGGCACGGCGTGTGGTGTGGAGTGCGAAGTGCACACGTGCGTGGTGTGCGAACGTGCGATGCAAGGCAGCATGTGGAAGGAGGGAGTCATCATGAGAGGTCACGAAGCACGCATGGCGCTGCAGAGGGGAACAACACAGGTAGGTGTTTCGTTCGATTGCCCGCATACAGTATACATGGAACGTGAGGAGGTGGAGGAGCGCGATGCTTACGATTGGGGTGTTGCTGAACACGTCCAGTGCTTTTCTTTTGCCTCGATTCGAGGGGTTACCTGTAGCGTGATGCGGCGGAGTGGGGGCACGGTGTAAGCGGCCGAGAGGGGCTGACTGACATCGCCGTGTTGGTGTGTGACTCTCGACGCCGTGTGATTCGCTGATTCCACTTTTGCGGGTACCACAAGATACCACAAGAGCTCCCCAGGATGTGAGGAACTGGGCGGCCGGTGTAGTCCATGGTCTGTGTCAGCGAGGCGTTTCTTTCTCCTTGTTCTCGTTTCTTTTCTGTATTTGGTGCCACATGGGCGCTTTTACACCTAACATGGACTTGAACCTCTGCGACGTTTGGCTTTTGCAACGGAGCGACAGCACGCGGGGTTACTGTGGTTGCCGGCGGTAGCTGCGAAGCCAGGGTGCGCGGTGCAGGCGGGCTGGGCCGCTTGACATCCAAAATGGGTGTTGGCTATTGCATGTATGTATAGTGGGCGTTTGAGCCTAGGTCCCGAACCCCTGGCATGAATGCTTTCATTACGCGCAATGAGAAGCACAGAGCTTCAAGCAATACAACGTGGGCGTGATTTCAACCGGTAACCTATACGTGGCAGCCCTATGCTGGCGCGCACAGTTGAAAGGAGGGAGCAGAGACGGGGGCCGGAAGGAGGGGAGCTACATGGCTTGGGGCGCCAGCCTCGGGGGTGTGCTTAAGCTGATTGGGGTGGCCGAGGGGTAAGCTAATTCACAGCTTACACGGTGGCTCAGCTTGGGTTTGCATGTTTGAACAAACGTGGCTAGGAGGTTATAGGTCCTGGAAGGTCATGGGGCCTCTTTTTGAATATGTACAGGCATTGTTAATTTGTTATAAAGGTACAGTCATGGCGATTGGCCGCTTCGGTGATTACCCTCACCTCCCTAGTGTCCTAGTATCTCCTGAGGTGTGGAATACGGTTAAGCATCTAGTCAAGGTCCAGGAAGGAGAGGGAAGTGCCAGGCTAATTGGAAGAGCGTAACTGACTAATCTGAGGTTTATTTCAGTGGTGTGTGTGGTGATAGTGGTGATGATGGTGAATGGCCAACGCACAGCCAAGGTGGCACGACGGTTGGCACCGCCGCGAAACGAAATCATGCATCATCAAAATTGCTCCGTCCTGCGTCATCGCAAAAGAGCAACACGTTTTGGCCTGCAATGGCCAAAACACCGTACGGCACCCTGGCACGGTGACCGAAGCAACGACATCACAATGGCCATGCATCTTGTAAGGCTATGGAGGCTATGAAGGCATGGACAGCACTCGACATGTACATCAAGACACAACCCCCCAACTTGTTTCCTCATTACCCCCCTACTCGTAGCGGACCGTTTCACATATCACCATCCAGCGCCTTAAGCACATTTCGGCTTGTCTGCGCCTAAAGCTATGTACTGTGATGTTCCGAAGACACCGTAGAGGCTATGGACCCAGCATCTGCTAGCGACATTCTTTCCGCGCCACACGGTATGCGTATCGTCCGGGCCGTTGCGGTATTGCTGTTGCTCGGGCACGACATGCCGGGTACACTTCTGCTCCCGATCCGTCTTTCAACGCAACTGCTAGGATGCTTATCTTCGTGGTGCAACCCAATGCCTAGGCCAGACGCAGGAGCGAACGTAGCGGCCTGGAAACCATTGGCTACCATTCAGCCGATCGCAATCTTAACTGCAAACTGCTGTGCCCGGGCCCCCGGCAGCAAGGGGCAGCGCTGTCCCCCTCTCAACACATCGCTCCCCCGTCTCCGTCGCCCTCACCACAATACCCCGCACCTCAGACGGGCTGGTTTCCCTTCGACCCTCGCACGGCCCTCCTCCAGACCTCCCTCCTCCCTCACTCCCCCATCACAACCTCTCTCTCCCCCTCACCGGCACTTCCTACAGCTCCTCCCGGTCCCGCTGCAGCCCCTCCACAGCCGGACCCCCCTGCCTGCCCCGCCGCACCAACACCTCTCCCCCGCTCTCCCCCCTGAAACCCACAACCGACACGTCGGGAACCTCGGCCCCAACCCCGCTTCCCGCAGCACCACCAGCAGCAGCAGCAGCAGTAGCACCCCTCGTCTCGTGCCCAACCGTAGCGGCTTGCAGAGTGGGGATCGCCTTCTCTGCATGCATCAAACCCGCATCCGCATCCTCCGCCGCCATCGCCGTCCTTGTGTCCTCCAAGGCGGGATCCAAGTCAAAGAAGTCGGTGTCAGCAATGACGCCACCGCTGCTGTCGCTGTTGCGGCTGCTGGTGCCACCGGCAATCTCATCACGTACCGTGAAGTCTGTGACCCCCCCGTCTGCCTGCTGTGACGGCTGCTGCTGTGGCTCCGTTTGCGGTGGTACGGCAGAGTCCAGCGGTACGGCGGATCCTACCCCCCCAGCTGGCTTGTCGTACTCTCCAGGTTGAACCGGTGTAGAGCGAATGACGTTTGGCGGCAAGCCCGGCTGTAGCGGCTGCTGTTTCTGCTCCTCTTGCTGCTCCGGTTGCTGCTGACCTTGCTGTTCTGCTGCTGTTTTTCCCATTGCCGATGGCTCTTCTAGTCCTGTGCCTCCGCTGGCGCCGGTGGCAGCGGTGGAGGGCTCAGCGGCGGGAGGTGCAGCGGGAGCGGCAGGAACAAGACAAGGCGGCAGGTACTTGTCCAGCATCTTGAGCAGGAAGGGGCGCATGAGATCAACGTGGTAGAAATCCGCCTTGTACGTCTCAACCGCCTGCGCCGTAGAAGGTAGCAGTACGGCAGTACGGCAGGAAGCGGTCATAATCTTAGTACGGCAGGGCAACGCGATCAACGCGACGCGGCAGCAAAGCAGGGGCTACAAAGTATACCGCTTTCGTATACCGGGGTATTAGATCCAAACCGCCTAAGGAGCCCTTACCCTTAAGTTCCTATGCCAGCCTTTGGGAATCCAAGTTCCCATCCTCAGGACTTTCCATCCTCCTCCAGCTGTGCTTACCTTCCCCTTGAAGTACAGTTTGAGGGTGGGCGTGCGGTCGATGCCTTGCCACTCGCAGAGCGCCTCGTCAGCCATGCAGTCAAACCTGCCGTATTGCGTGTCGTACAGACGGACATCGGAATCCATGGGCGCACGGGGCGTTCCCGAGTTTTGGGAATGCACAGTAGAATGGATGAAGAGGTCTGACGGTGAAACCACGACACGAAACAGGGCACATGGCTTTAGGGTAAGGGGGTGGCCTTCCCCAAAGATTAACACAGCGGTAATACAGCGGGACAAGGGAAGGTTGCAGAAGGCCAGCCAAGCAGAAGGGCTCATGCTAGATCCTGCACACCTGGCTATTACCACGTTGGGGTGGGTGTTGAAGATCTCGCCCAACTCGTTCCACTGCGCCTCCATGCGTTTGCACCCTCGGCACCAGGGCACATAGTATTCCACGAACCAGAGCCTGGGGCAAAGTTAGCATCGTTGGCATGTCAGCCATTGTCGGGCAAATCAACACCCTACATGTTTTATGAAGCCAAACATGGACACGCAGTTGTAGCTCTCCGTATTGTGAACACCCGGACCTTAGTATAAAAGTCTAGTGGAGCGGCCATTACATGCGACCCATGGGTCCACACCGAAATGCTTTCGTTGAAAACATCGCTGCTTTCCAGACTAGTGAGAAGCTTTGGCTGTGACGGTAGTACATCACATGCATTGAGAGATCATAACGCCATTTTTGGTTAACAGTACTTGTAAGACCTGGCGCGCGCCGCACCTGCCATCTCCAATGGAGCCCCGAAAGGTGAAGGTGTTGAGCTCCACGGCATGAGAGCTTGGTCCCATAAGGGTTTGTGGAGGCCCTTGTGCAACTGTGCTTGTTAACAGTATGCCCCTAAGCAGCAGCGCCACAAGCGCTGCGATGTAAGTATTCATTTCTCGGTCTGCAATATCTGGGCGTCCAAGAAGCTTGAGTACAATGAGCCTTTACACCGGAAGTCTTAGGAAGACTCGAGCTTAACAGGAAGGCTGGTAAGCTGATGGTTCTGGAGCGGTACTGCTTTTCGCTTCGCGTCATCTCTGAATTCGCCCTAAGCGCATGGATGGAGTAATGTGTAAGGGGTTGGTCACGTATTTGACTGAAACGCACTGACGAACGCGGTTACAACCTATCGATCCAATCTTCCAAGCGGACGGTGTTCCGTGCGCCAGCGGACTTTTGACATCTGCTTTGCATCCATAAAGCAACCGTGTATTTGGTTTACTTATATCATTTTAGGGAGCCCTTAGTCGACAAGGCTCCTGACACTCTTTCCTTGTCATCTTCATCCTTTGCACACCCGGCGACTAACGGACCGCGCGCACTCGTCCCCTAGAGCGCAGCTCAGTAAAGCTTTTATCTTTAGGGAAGATGGAATCTCTTCGGTGCCCGCAGCGGCGCCTTACGCAGGGCGCACCGCTGCGGTCTGCAGTCGTCTGTCCCGCTGTGCGCATGGTGCATGGTCGCCGACCTTTACAGATTGCAGCTGCTGCGTACCAACCCACGTTGGCTGCGGCATCAGTTGTGTCGGCAGTGACGCCAGTTCACGTATCTACTCCCTCGGGGGGCATGGAGCGTGTTGTCCCGGAGCTGGACCCCAAATCATTTTATGACTTCATCTCAGGCGATGCACTGTGTGTGGTGGATTACTACTCAGGTAAGCCTTCGGTCTGCTTACTAGGCATGCGAGCTTAGTTGAATGCTAGGTAAATATCTTCGCGCCATAGAAGTCCCAGCTCAGAGGGCAATACTTACACCCTGTACCTTTTGTACGCCTTCTGCGCTCGAAACCCTTGTCGCGACTTGCTTAAATTGTTGTTCCCCGCCGCAGATTGGTGTGGTCCTTGCCAACTGATGCACAAGGAACTCGATAAGCTTACGGCAGCATTCAAGGTAAGTAGCTTGGAATAGTCGTCTACGTGGACGGCGAGGCTTGCCGACGCTGGGTCCTTGGCAATCGTTGTCTGAGGGCCAGCCCTCAGCACTTAGGAGCTATTAATAATGCATATGTCTAGCGAACAAAGGGTGCACTTATGGCTGCGATAGCGATCCACTCTAGGATACGCCGAGGTCGAATGCTTCCGCATGTTGACGCAGCACGGCTTCTCTGTGGCAGTAAAATTCTGTGTTCACCTCCACCCCTAGCCGCATCTTGCGCACTGCTTTATTAAATCATGGGTTTGCGCTCCCTAACCTTCCATGCACCCCATTCCCGCATCTACCCCGATCTGTGCATCTGCAGAGCGTGCGCTTCGCAAAGATCAACTGCGGTCACTGTCCGGAGTTCAGCACCCGTCAGCGCATCCGTTCGCTTCCGACGTTCCGGCTGTACTACAAAGGGACATGCTTGGACGAGATTACGGGTGCTAAGCCGATGCAGCTGCGGCAGTTGCTAACGCACTACATCTGTATGACGTCCATTTCCCGATAAGAGCGGTACGGCTTGTACGGCATGCACCCCGCCCAAGCAATGCAGAGGGCTTAGCAATGCTGGGTTACTCCGGCAAGTTTGGCTTACCTGAGCGGGCAGGCAGCCAACCGAGATGGCAAGTAGCCCCGGCTCCACTGCTAGTGAGGCTCGAGCCAACTGCAGCTCACCTACTAGCCCGGCGGTCAGTTGGGACTAGGAGGATCAAAAGAAATGCTGCTCATGTAGGTGACCTGTTTTGATTGCGGGGTCTGCAAGGGCAATAATACGTTGCCAATTCGCGTTGCAACCTTATGGTGCAGCAGCGGCCGCAGCAACAGCCGTGGCGGCAGCTGCATCTTGGAGCTGGTGATGGTGGTACCGTTACCGCTGCTGCTATTCCTAAATAGACGTGCCTGTTGTCTCGGAGAGTTTTAGATGCTGCTAACCCTTTTATAGGTATTGAGATAGTCTACTAGATCCTAAACAACTAACGGGATATTTTATGACACCTTGTTCCGTTGCGTTGCAAGATATAGTGCATACTTTAAAGATCATGACGTGAGGTCGCTTTAGTAGGAGGTACGATGCTCCAGGGCCCCGCTTGTACACCATTGTTGTTGTGTTGGATCTGTTGCCTGGTTGCCTATCGGTATAACAAGTTGATGTTGATGAGAGTGGACGGACTTGATGATGAGAATTGAGCGTGTTCAGCGTTTGGCTTTTTTGAGAGTTGAGAGAACTCTGGAGCTATCCTAAAGTACAGCAGAGATCGTACAGGCAGATTTCTGTGCGGCTGAGCAGAATACCATATCATCCTAGCATAATTGTGGCGTTTCGGACGTCGCATGCGCGCCATCTGGGTTGGGTGTCGTCATTTAATCCGTCCGTCTGTCTACCATTCTGTCCTTTCGGCCTTTCCATGCCTTTCCCGCAAGCGCTATTTATTGCGCTGACTTTCAACTGCGTCACTTCGCGCACTGCATATCAATTGGATGGCTTGGCTTGAATGGTTTTCGTCTAGTGTGCTACCTGTCAGATAGATAACTCGCGAGCTTGGCATTGCCGGGCTTGTGTCCGCATCTACTACAGGAGCCGAACCCTGGGAAGATTTGTTGTCGCTGTCTTGTGCCTGTGCGCCTTTGCCTAAGTCTCTTGTGGGGTATTTATCCCGGCGCTGTGGGTGGTTCTTCTGGGTAGGATGTGTCGTTGTTAGCTGTCCTCGATTAGTTGGTTAAATTGCGTTACTTTGCCAAGCGGTTTGCCACCCAAAGGGTGAAACAAGGGATTCCTGGGTACGCAGGTCGTTCTGAACTGCCTATGGCCCCGGCTCGAAGGTGGGTTAATTGGGCGCGGAATGGAATCGACGGCTTCACTGATTTCAAGTAGAAAGGGCTTAACTGTAGCTCCCGGCGCCAGCTAAATGGGCAAAGCTGCTACGAATTGTCTTGGCTTTGAATGTTGGCAAAGATTTACGTATCTCCGCAGCTTGGTTGCTGCTGCGCACCTACCAAGGTGGCTGTCTGTAGTCCGTTGGTGGTTTGCCAGTCTGCATTGCAGAGGGCAGCAGATGCGGAGGCCTCTTCGAAGAGGCAACTCTCAAGCTAACAGCTATGCGGAATGGAGTCATGATGGGAGTTGCCGTCCTTTGCTGCGCTGTGCTGTACGGGCGCCTGATCCTAGGGTTGTGCACTTGAGCTGCGGGTTGGGGAGGTTGGGTGCACGCCCTTACGGTCCCGGCTGCTTGGTATGCTTGGCCTGTTGAGGCTTGCTTGTGCAGGGTTCTTGCCTGCTGTGGTGGTGCGGTACGACCCGCCGTACATGTGGTTATAATGGAAAGGGCTTTTGACTTGAAGGGACTGAAGCGCATGGTTGCAGTATCGAGGCGAGGTTGCCACGGTTTGCTGGATGATGTGGGTCATCAGCACGCGCGTGTGCTGTCATTGAAAGTTCAGCGCGTGAAGCAGAGGGAGAAGCAGAGTCGATGGGATTGTGTTTTCTGGTGGCTGCAGGCGGCGTGGTAAGTGACGTGTGTAGTGCGGTGGTGGGTGTGGTGCAGTTGTGGTGGTGGTTAAGTAGTGCGCGAGCGGTTTCGTTCTGCTGCCCTCTTTTTTGCCTCCGTGCGTCCGCGGGTGTTGTCGCGCCTGTGTGCTCCCAATTCAATGTTGCACAGCCGGTGTGATGCGAACAGCAAAGTAGCTAAAGACAATGAAAGCAACTTCCTTCTTTGGGGTGCATTTGGGCTCATCAATTTTGGATGTTAGAAGAGGCACATGCGGCTGGCTCGGCTCGTCCGTATCCTCTCATAACGTCTGGGAGTTCGAGGAATGGTGGGAATTTGTTTTTATCGCATTTCGCATGTGTGTGCCATGTGCACACCTTGGCGCTTTGCAGCTGTGCTCTGCCTGCTGCTGATTCGGATTGCGTGATGAGGGATTGTGAGCGGTAGCATAGGAACAACTCGTTGAGGGTGCGTGTTCAAGAATTATAGTGCGTGTGTGTGTGCATTGCGTCTTTTTACCGCGGCGGGTATACCGTACCGCTGTTGCCAATGCCATGTCCTGGGTTAGGGTTTTATCGCGCTCAATCTTGCATGCAATAGCCTAATCCAGGGCTGGAGTGGCTGACGTTACGATGACTGACAGTGGTCTCGTCGCTAACGGTTCCAAACGGTTGTCACGTGTAGTTGACCTCGTGTGTGCCTTTAGCAGCCATCCTGCAAGGTGCAGGGGTGAGTGGTCGTTTCTGTGGGTGGGAACGGTAAATGCAGATTGTGTGGTGTGGTTATGGTACAACGGTACATTACGTGTGGCTTCCCCAAGGTCGGCGCCGGTGTTTTGATGCGATGTTAGCTTGTTACACACAATGGGGACCAGAGATGGGTAGAGCGTTTTTGGGTTACGGTTAATGCCCCAGTGCTTTTTTCCGCTCGTTAAATACCGGTAGCTACTTTGGCTGGATACGTCGTCGCGAAATCGTGGGTTTAGTAACATGCATAGTACTGATGCGGGTGGGGCGTGTGGACAGCATACAGGACAAGGTAGATTGCAGGAGGTGGTTGGGTACGTGTGTTCAGTTTACTTGACAGTAGGGAAGGCACGGGATTGTAACAGGTACAGCTCGAAACCAGGATGCGCAATCGCGTCATCCGGAACGCGTGTGGCTCTTTGATGTCTCTCGTGAATTTGGCTAGTTACACTGTGCCCTCCGATCAAGATGGACCTGCAGCAATTAGCATCAAAATGCGTAGAGGTTAATCACCCAGGTAGTTAGTTTTCATACCGGTATACCATGGGCCATGCCCAATAGCCTAGCCCACTTCTGTTGCATGTGCTCAGTCATAACTCACAAGCAATCACCAGAACACATACATTCCTCGCGTTGTCACATGCAACATGAGGCCGACGTCAGATGGGTTGAGCGCTATCGACAGCCGCCACCACCACCCCTCAGTGCTCGTCAGACACCTGCCACCGCTCTGCATGCATCGAGCCATGCTCCTGTCGTACAAGATACAAGCAAGGGAACCAAATACCACTTAGCGAAGTTACATTGACAGCGCCTTCAGTCCCAAGCGGGAAGACATGTTGCTGTAGAACACTATGCTCCACACCGCTCTGCTCTGCCCTTTTCAGGGAACAACAAAATTATAATAAGCAAACAAATCGCCCTCTCCTGAGCACACCTCTCATACTCATCTCAGTTACTACAAAACAGTAGCCCCTTTCGACGCAAAAAGGCATCTTACTTCGCTCTAACTGCGCTCACTGGGTGGCAGAAACCATATAGCACAGCCTAGCAAGTGGGGAACAGAAACATTCCGCATGCTTTCCAACACGCATCCCCAAATCCCTCGTAGTAACACTCATGGCAAGGTCATACGTGATACGAGCGCATTAATTCAGATGCTACTACGAGAAGAAGATGCCTGTGTCTGTGACATCAAAGTTCACGCGGTCATCCTGCACGATCCGCCGCTCCTGCAGCTCCTTCACCGTGATCATGGCGGGGTAGCCGCCCAGCTCACACACGATACGCTCGGCGCCGGGGAAGGCCTGTGGGCGTTGTTGGTTATTCCGTGTGATGTTACGCATGTACATGTTGAGTGACGGCATGAAGTAGATGGGGAGCGACCCATGGGTCACCCCTCCGGTTCTCTAGCTATACCTCGTCATGCTCATGACGATGGGACTGACAGTACGACGGCCTGCCGGGTTGCCGCCATGAGCTGTCGTACAGTTACGTTGGCATGACCACCCTCGCCGTCTCCCAGCTCCGGAACCACGAGCTCAGCGCCAACAAACTCCTGACATTCGTGACATGCATGCATGCATGCGACGCGGGAACGCGGGGAGCACGACGCGGGGATGCATCAGGGCGATGACGCGGAGGGAGGTATCCGTTCCCATGCGGAAAGCTGGCTGCTGGACAGCTGTTATCCGAATACCGTATTGTATGGTGATTGTAGCAGGCCTGCTCCGACTTACTAACTTGGGTATCTGGCCGTTGTAATGTATGCTAGAGCGTTGCCAGGCCTGTGCGAAGTGCCTGGCCGATGCATGCCTCAACTTACCGGCCCGAGCGGGCACACCTTGAATCCCTAGTGGAAGACCCTCTTAAGGTCGAACGGAGAGCCAAGACCCGAATGAAACAGGGTACCGGTAAAATCCCAGGTGATTTTGCCACGTGGCTCAAGATGCCCACCTGATAAAGCACACACAGTTCGAATGCGCTATTGCATCGGTTTCCCCATGTTGTAGCGCTACAGCGCGCTAAAAGCGATCGCACATCGGTAGATGTCTAGGATGTTAATTCCATCCTACAACACCCCACCTTCCCAAGCCTACTAGATAATGTTTGGGAGCAGTCCCCAGTTTTCCCTTCCCCACCTGTGACTTGGTGGAGGGCGTGTAGGTGATGATGCAGCGCATGCCCGCACCCAGGGCGGCCTGCGGGAGCAAGTACGGCAGCGCGCGCGTGAGGCAGGTACGGTGCTGTACGGTACGGCACGGCAGCGAGAGGAACACGCGTTTCGGGGTGGGTGGCAGCGGTTGGGAGGCGACACAGGGGCCCTCTCGGTGACACCATCGAGGGGATCGTGCGATTCATGCCGCATGGTGCTCATACCGCATGCCGTGCATTCCCCCCACCTTCAGCCCCCCGCGTGTCATGCATTCCCCCCACCTGCAGCCCGATCATGCTGTCCTCCACCACCACGCACTCCCCCGGGCTGACCCCCAGCCGCTCAGCCGCCACTCGGTAGATCTGCGGGTCGGGCTTCTTCTGAGCCACATCGTCACCTGGTGGGGGCAGCGCCAAGGAGGTGGGCGTCGGTGGCTGCGGTGGAAACAACATGAGCGCGTGGTGGCGCGTGTCCAAGAACCTGAGCCGGTCGAGCCAAACAAGCCGGAACCGGGGTTTGGTAGGCTCACACGTGAAGCGTTGTGCTGGGAATTACGACAGTCATACAGACAGACAGCGAACAGCCCAGCAGCCCAGCGCAGCCCAGTCTGTATCCCCCGTGACGACCTCCCCATGCCCCGGGAACTCCCCCACGCCACACAACCCCACACTCCCACCCCCATCTCTGCCCCGCACCCCATGCACACGCACACCCTATGGTAAAGCCTTGCCACACAATTGGTCACCGTACCCTCTTCCTCTTTCACACCCCACGCGACTCGCTGCCGGGTTCCTTACCCCCCCCCCCCGCCCCCACCCGCCAGGAAGCAGTCCAGCCCCCCGAAGCGCCCCTCCCCCAGCAGCGCCTTCAACGTGGCCACCACGCTGGACTTGGTGGCGGCGGAACACACGCCCAGCTTGAGGCCGGCGGCGCGGGCCTCGTCCATGAGGCGCAACACGCCGGGTCGTGCCTCCACCTCGCCGCTCCTGGGGTCGAGGGGAAGAGTGTGAGCAGCGTAATCCCATTAACCCATGGGTCCGTCTCATGCAGTGTGCAAAAAGACGGCGGACTCAGCCGCTCCTGGGGACTATCCTCCTGGGGACTGTTGACGAGCGGGGCTGCAGGCAGTCTGCATGCAACGTGGACCGGCCCCCCGTCACTCGCCCAGCGCACCCAATCATCTGCTGGTACTTGTCCGTCTTCCAGTCCTGTGCAGGGGCGGCCACGAGGTCGTTGCAGAGCAAGGCATGAAGCATACGTTATAGGGATCGAGGGCAGAGATTTGTGAACTCTTAAGCCCACCACCTTGGGTATTAAGGTTTTGAACCGACAAACCCGTGATGCAGGCGCCCACGCTGCTCTTGCCCACTTCTTTCCTCCCCTGCCTTGCCTGCAGCGTGTCAATGAGGTGGTCCTGCTCCTCCTGGGAAGCCGGGACCCGGCCGCTGAGCACGTTGCTGGTGGGCCAGCCGTTGCGCGCAAAGTACCAGCGCATCTTGGGCTTGCCGCCGCCCACCTGGGTTAAGAAGTAAGCGGTGTGGAAATGTGTACGGCATCAGGGGAAATAGTGAGGGGTGTGATCAAGGACAGCGTGCAGAGATCTGATGTGGGTTAGAGGTGCTAGGGCTGGAACATTTGATTTGGGTCAGGTCAGATGGGGGTGAGGATGCAAGCGTTGGTGCCGGTGCGTTTCCCGGCCTGCAGCCCAGCCCCAAGGCGAGCCTACCGTGTTTTGCAACATGTCATAGAAGGTTTCGTCCCAGTCCACGACGCGCTTATTATCGCCTGCACCATGCGAGGTGAGAGACCTTAAGGGTATACATTTCAATTTCCGTAAACTACCACCGGTATGTGTTTACGTATTAAAGGACCGAGCGACTCGATGCCAAAGCGACCGTTACATCCGTCAGCAGTAGCTGGATGCGCGCTATGCGCATGGGGGTAACCAGCCCTAAAGGCGAAGGATGATAAGGCAACCGCTCCGTGCCTCATGTATGTCCAGGCGGCCACGGCATCCATGGCCAGTAACCCACCGCATTTCACCTCAAAATGCCGAAATGTTGCATTATATGCGCGCCGGTGCAGATCCTCCGATTCCAGAATCACACCATCGCAATCAAATATAAGCGCTTTCATAGCAGCATGCGCAACGGTCGAACACCGGCTGACAGGCCCATGGATGGCCCATGGCGCACGAGGTCTCGCAAAAGCCCTGGGGGTTTTCATAGAACAAGTGGGTAGTCATTGTGAAGACGACGACAGAGAATGCCTGGACTTCACTTGGGGCTTAGGAACAGACCTTGCGGGAGCCCTGAATTGTAGGGAATTTGCGTTGAGCTGCATTCTACGTACCAAAACAGCTGTTTGCTGCTGCTTGAACTTCGCAAGGTTGATTGGACCAAAGAAGAGCGTCGGGAAACGCCCTCGTTGCGTACGACAGGATAGCCTGTCCGTGCACTTCATGCCTAGTCGCCGTTTGCCGGCACCCTATTGCTTCTATATGCATGTTATAGCTGGTTAATAGACACATGGTATAGCTTAACCCTAGCCATAAATAACTTAATGCCCACTTAAAAATTTCAACGTCTGACAGCTTAAAGACAGCTTCAACATCTTCTGCCAGGAGTCAAAATGGATGACCGTAGGGAAAGCAGAATACCACGCCCGGGCTTTGGTGGTGGCTTTGCTGCGGGAGCCAAGCCTCTCGAGACCAGCCGGGTAGGGATGGTCCGAGCTCGTTTTGCCAGCTTTGGCTGCCAGACGACCTGCTATTAATAACCAGCTATATCCAGTTACTGGTTTGTGATAAAGGACTTACATGTAACTGGCGGACTGTTTTGCAGAATGCTAACACATCAGCGGCTGGTGGTCTAGATCGCAAGCGGAAGGCCGAGGCTCCTGCAGATATGACCGAGACGAAGCGCCCTAACTTCTCGGCGAGCCAGGGGCCTGCACGGCCAACGCGCTCTAACACTACCGGTGGGCGCTCAACCTCTCTCCAGCAAGGTGCATCTGCGAGAGCAGGACCGAGCCACGGTCAACCTGCAAACCAGCTGCCACCCGTAATGGAGGAAGAGGGATGGGACGCGATCAGGGACAGGACGGGGCAAAGCGAGGAACAAGTCCTGGACAAGGTCGCAACCTTTAGTAAGGGCGCCAAGCCTGAGCGGAAGGTGGAGGCCTACATTTCCCTGGTAAAGGAGATGAGGTAGGGATGGGGAGCAAACCCGCTGCTTGTCTTCACACTTCCGGCATCCGAAACCCCCCGAAGGCGACGGGAAACCTTGTCCTCCTTGCCCCCCGATTGCTTGACCTTGCTGGGTACTTGGCACGCGTCTGTGCTTCCTTATATCAGCATGTTCGCACCCCTGTGCAGGGCCCTAGCTAAGCACCTCAAGGTGGCCCGTGACCGGCTCGCCGAGGAGTCTGAGCAGTGGAAGAAGAGCAGCGAGGAACTGTCTGAGAAGGTGGAGGAGACGCAGCAGAAGATGGCAGAGCTTGCAGGCTTGCTAAGCAACCTGGTGGGTTGTCGTACGCGTCGAGTACGCAGACACAGCGTGTACCTGGGCGTCTGTACCTAAGCCTGGACATCTGGGATTCGGCACACGTGGGGTTCATTCGCTTTTATTTTTTCACGGATCTATCATGCTGCTTGCGTCGTACAGGAGTCGCGCAAGGACGAGCTGGAGAAGTTACTGGCGGAGAAGGAGCAGACCGTGGCGTCGTTGCACATGGACCTGCAGGGCCTCAAGGCCGATTTGCAGCGGGCCACTCAGCAGCTGGAGGACTGCAATCGCAAGGTTGGTAATCAGCTCTTGGCACCATGTCCTACAGGAGAGGGTATCTAGCGTTGCTTATATATGTTGCAGTTGTCAACACCTTCGATCGTACGACGGCTCACCACGTTGTCCCTCCCTTTCCATATTACCGTAGAATGCGGAGCTCGAGGAGAGCTGCCGCACCAACATGCAGTACAACAGCCAGCTGCAAGGCTACAACAGCCAGCTGCAGGCGCAGGTGGAGGCTGAGAAGGTGAAGCGTGACGAACTGCAGCGCGCCAAGGATGAGCTGCAAGGCCAGGTAGCGCGGCTCACCGGCGACTTCAGCAGCACGAAGAACCAGCTGGCCCTGGAGCGGGTAGGAAGCTGCGCGCTCCTGTCCTTTTAGGGTCTCTGTGAGCCATGTTTGTGTAAGCACTCCTCCAACCTTCTTTTCCAGGAACAAGTCGGCAAGATGCGTGAAGAGCGCGAGGCTGCGGTGCGAGACTTGTCCACGCTGCGCCTTGACATTGACAACATGCGCGTGGAGCGTGAGCGCGCCCTGGCGGAAGCCGCTAAGGCGAAGGAGGACCTTGAGAAGTGAGTTGGATCAGTGGTCAGGGTTTCTGGGGACCTAATCATAGGGTACGTGTTGAAAGATGTCAATCCTTGTAAACAATGTAAAGGCTTCTCCTAAGTCAGGTTCCCATCGGCTTGTCTGCACCAGGCTCCGGGCCGTTGGCGGGAGGAGCCTCGAGACGCTCGAAACGCTGACCAATGAGAAGGCGACCATGGAAGCCCAGATGACGCTGCAGGTATGCCCGGAATGCAACCTTTCACTACACCCTTAGTGTCGCTGCTCATGCTGCTGTTTAGAAGAGCTGGCAGCTAATGCTCCGTACGCCTCCCTTTGACCCTGTCCAGCAAAAACTCATCACCTCCATGCGCGAGGAGCTCGCCGGCGCCAAGCAGGGGCAGGCCATGTCGGATGCGCAGGCTGAAACTCGAGCCGCACAAAACGCTGAGCTGAAGGTGAGGTACAAGCGTACAACCACAACCTAACCGCCTATGTTTTTAAGGGGATATGCTTGTGGAGAGAGCATGCGTCATGTATTGATACTTCAAAGCTGCTGTCCAGGCGCAAGTGGAGAACCTTCAGACGGCGCTAGCGGACGCGGAGCGCCGCATCTACGAGGGCGAGCTCATGCGCAGGAAGCTTCACAACATCATCCAGGTAGGGATGCTTAGCAACGAGTCTTGCCGCAATCGCTTGAGTCCCACAAGTTGTGCTTGACGCTTAATGCAGGACCTCAAAGGCAACATCCGCGTCTACTGCCGAGTACGGCCCGTCAGCTCGGCGGAGGCGGCCGACTCGTCGCACGACTCGGAGATGTCGCTCGACTTTCCCGCCACCGGAGACCTGGTGGAGCGCGGCCTCACTGTCACGGTCCCCAGCAGCTCCGCCGGCCAGGCCCCGCAGGTATGTGACACGCCTAGGGCCGCGTCTAAGCGTCACATCTGCATGGGTTACACCGACAGCCTGGAAGTTTCTACTCCATAACGTGACGCGTGCCTGACAAACGTCCCGTTGCTCGTGCAGAAGCACAACTTCGCCTTCGACCGGGTCTTCCTCCCGGGCACGACTCAGCAAAATGTGTTTGACGAGATCTCGGAGCTGGTCCAGAGCGCGCTGGACGGTCACAAGGTGAGGCAGGGGAGCCCCATTTCCTTGCCGACTTGCCTCCCATCTGTCTTATACCAGCATGCTGACCTCACGCTATCATGCTTGTACGTGCAGGTCTGCATCTTTGCCTACGGGCAAACCGGCAGCGGAAAGACGTTCACGATGCTAGGCAATCGGGAGCAGCCTGGCGTAATTCCGCGCGCAATGAAGCAGATTTTTGAAAACGGGCAGAGGCTGGCGGCGCAGGACTGGCACTTCAACATGCAGGTACGATTTCCGTTGTGAATACTCCAGTCGAGTATGCTTAGCCAAGCACACTAACCCGCATGCTTTCCAATCTGCCCCGCTTCTAACACCATCAGGCCAGCATGCTAGAAATCTACAACGAGGATATTAGGGACCTGCTCAGCCGGAAGAAGGACGAGTCCAAGAAGCACCAGGTATGGCATGTGCACTTGGATTTCATGTCCGTGGTGGTTCCCATAAACGCAAGCACTTTGAACACACAACCACGACACCTTGCATGACGTCACTGCCTTGCCAGGTGTCGCACGACAGCAACGGCGTGACCACCGTGAGCGAGCTGACCGTGGTCGACATCAACCGGCCGGAGACGGTGGAGCAGCTGCTGGCCCAGGCCATGGAGAAAAGGTGAGGCTGTTAACACCTTGACTAGCCAGGTGTCCTGTACCGCCTGTTTACGGCTTCTTTGCCTCTCGAATGCACATCAATTTTGCCTAAGCCCTGACTTGGCTGGCATTCTTTCCCACTTCCGTGCTGTAACAGGTCCGTGGGCTGCACCGCACTCAACGAGCAGTCCTCCCGCAGCCACATGGTCTTCATCATGCGCATTGAGGGTCACAACAAGACCACGGACGTCAAGGTGGGTTGCATGAGAGCGCGTATGGCTGGAGAATGTGCAGCTTAGCCCAGGAGTTGTTCTCCGCACGCCTTGCTTACGTATGCATCTTAGGTCGCATTGACAGATCCACGCTTTGCTTATCGCAGGTGTCCGGTGTCCTGAACCTGATCGACCTGGCGGGGTCTGAGCGCGTCAAGGAAAGCGGTGCCACAGGATTGCGCCTGAAGGAGGCGCAGGCCATCAACAAGAGCCTCAGCTCACTCGGTAAGTTGGTAAGGCGTTGGCACGCCAACGCCCTCGCATACAGATGTAAACCATACACGCCCTTGTCTGGTCCGTGAACCCCAAAGCCAACAGTCAATACCAGCCCTGTGACGGTTCTTAATCCTTTCCTATGTCCACCCCTACCAGGCGACGTCATCATGGCCATCGCTAACAAGCAGGATCACGTCCCCTTCCGCAACTCGAAGCTGACCTACCTGCTGCAGCCGTGCCTGGGAGGCGACGCCAAGACCCTGATGTTCCTCAACGTTGCACCCACGCGCGAGTTCGCACACGAGTCGTTGTGCTCCCTGCGGTTTGGCGCGAAGGTGAACGCGTGCGAGATCAACGCGCCTAAGAAGAACGTCGTAGTGCCGCGTGGTTGATGCGTGCGGCATTGGTGGCAGGACCATGACAAGACATGGACAAGTGAGCTGCAGGCATGCAGACATACTTGGAAGTTCGTCTCACCCTAAATGCTGACGTCAACAACTTACCCTTACAGCATTAAACGCCATGACGTGATGGTCGCCCTCGCGCCTTCCTAATGCATCCCATAGCTGTGATTCTAGGTGGTTTGGGGTTTGCCACCCTGTACATAGGTACTGTGAATGTGTTTGCTTTACTGACGTTCTGTGGTCGGACGCGCGCACAGCGCAATGATGGTAGTCATATGAAAGGTGGCTGGCACAATACCGTGTTGGTTAGGCTGTGGTACGGCCATGGCCTTCCTGTGATGGAGGCATGCTGTACAAGGGGCCCCAAGTATGGGTGATCTTGGGCACCAAGCAAGACATATATGATTGTATGATATGATCGTACCAATATACTGCCATGTAGTCGTTTGCCTTTTATGCACGGGTATACCATGCCAAGCTCGGAACCTAGCACCAGCTATGCCGATGACAGCGATGTAGAGCGAGCTGGACAATAGTGCCATCACCCGTGCTCGTCAGCTCGCAGGCCGCGCACATGATAAGTGGCGTTGCGTACGGCGTCTCAGGGTCGGTGGGGGCCATGCCTGACAGCAGTGTGTGTTGGCACGCATAGGCATCACTGAAACGGCTACTTGTAATTAGTTTCCCCAGTTAGCCCAGCCCTTTATAACAAGTAAACAACATAAACTTGGCCCGGAAATGGGCGGGTGCAAGCTGGTGGGCTGGTATTTGCCTGGCGCCCGGCTGGCGTGGTGACAGCTATATTGGTCAAAAATATCGGCTCCCGGAAACCAAGTGGGAAAGCGGCCTCGAAAGAAGCGGCTTACCCAGTAGGTGAGCGATAGTGACCGGCGGCACGGGCAAAGGTGGTGCGGCGAGGGAGATCAGGCGCTAACTACCAGAGGGCCCTTTTTTGACGGACTTGTGCCCGCAAGTGTTCGTGTAATATAAGCGGACATGTTCATGTACACCAACTTCTTGCAGCTTCATGTTACTCCACTGTAGTTGCATCGTGCTGTGCATCAACAGTTCGGCCCTACCCGGCGCGATCCAAGCTAACTAAGCCCTACATAGCCGCCACACAACGCCCCTGCAACTGGTATAGTTGCATGGTTTACTTACACGTATAAATGGGCAGTCTTAAACCACAAGTAAATGGCCGCTAAACGGGCATCTAAACCGCAAGTAAATGGCCGCTAAATGGACTGTCCCAATAGCAAGTAAATGAATGAATGAATGACCGTTACAATGGTGCCCTAAAAGGGAACACGGGTGATGAACCCAACCCTACATTGCAAAAGAAACGGAACAAACCGTAGAGACAGCACCACAACGGGCCAACAAGATGGGATACACAGCCCTAAAAGAAACCACAGGAGGTAAACAAGAGGGTAGAAGCCAAAAAAGGGCCCCTCAGCAAACCTCGACAAACCTCATCTAGGGCAGAAGACAACCCAAACCGGAGGCCACGAACACACCACCCCAAAGACAGAGCCAAAACAGGACGCTCAACGGCACACAGAAAACCGCCCGCCAACAATACGTAAGAAAGGATGAGAATGGCCGCTAAACAGGCGTATAAACCGCAAGTAAATGGCCGCTAAACAGGCAGTCTAAACATCAAGTAATGGCCACTACCGGTAAACCGGCAGTCTAAACAGCAAGTACAGCAAGTAAATGGCCGCTAAACTGGCGTAACAAGCCTCTAAATAGCAAGGAAATGGCCGCTAACATCACTCTGAAAGCAAACCGCAGCATGTCAACGCCATATTATGCTTGCAGTTTGGTCCACAATTGGAGTCACCGATGTTCGGTACAAGTGCAACGTACAGGTCATGCATTTACGGCTTAGATACGACTTTGATACGGCTTAGATATGGTACTGTCAGCCTAAGCAACCGCACCTTCCCCCCCTCCCAGCCTAAGTACCTCCTTCGACTGGATTTGCAATACATCCCTGCCGCTACCTCTTCCGGCTTCCCTTCACCTTGTTCTCCTTCCTTTGCGTCCCCACCCCCCTTTAAACACCCAGCCCGCCCATGCGGCCATGCCTCTTGTCCTGCTCTCCTGCTGCCTTATACCTCTACGCCCCTCGTGCCTCCCAGCCTCCTTCCTGTGCTTTCCGCCACTGCATGTGTGCAGCATGGGACATGCCGGTCAAGACCCAGCCAGAGAGCCAGCTGTCAAGCCACCCACCAAGCCATCGACGATCTCCCGCGGCGCCGCCGCACCTAATCCCATTTACTCCCCGGCCGGCTCCTTCGCGGCCGCCCTCAGCCGCCAGCCCCGCCGGCCCCGGGCGGCGGAGCTCACGACCTCCCAGCTGTTGACTGAGGGAAGCGCGGGAGGGGGGGAAGGGGGGAACAGTAAAAAACAACACACGAAGCGTCAGGGGGAGAGTTGCCTGGGAGGAGGGGGAAAAATTATATTAGTGAAACAACGAGTCCCAAACTCCCAATCCCATATCCCGACTCATGCAGTGAGCGCATTCGAAGACACTATCCTAGAAGCACGCATCTCAAATTACTTACCGAATCGTTGCTTACCGTAAACCGAGACGACTTTAGGAAGAAGCCGCCTTGCGTGGTAACACTAGGAAGACATGTGCCGCGCCGCCGGGAGGAGGGGGGAGGGGTAGGAGACCGAAGGGGCGATCAAGTTTGCAGCACTATCGACTCATGTGGGGCTCCGACTGCAGTTTTAAGTTAGCTCCCTCCCCATCCTCACTTTGTCCCGCTACCACAGACTTCCATGACAGACTCCCCCTCACAACCACCTCGGCATACCTTGCTTGGTCACTTATTTGAGGCCCTTCTTCTCCGCTGTCACCACAAGAGCAAGCACGGCATTCTTAAAGGGCTGGATGCAGCTGCCCGCGTCGTTGATGAGGCTGCGCAGGAAGGTCAGATCCTCGGTGCGCGTCTTCAGGGGTTGGGCCAAGCGGTCCCACCGGTCCTTTGCGTAGATGACCTGCCGCCACTCCTCGAACGCCTTTACGCTGAATCCCTGCTGTTTCGCGAAGCTGTCCAGGTAGCCCTTCAGCTCCGCCGCCTTGTTGGATTTCTCGGCTGTGAGGCGCTCCAGCTCCTTAGTCACGTCAGAGATGTGGTAAAATCCGCCGAACGGCGCCTTCTCCTTCTTGAAGAAAATGTTCAGCGCCGTCACCATGTCCATGTCGTAAAGGTACATTAGGTCCGCGATGTGCATGTCGGCCTTAGTGCAGACGTCATCGTCATCACCGCGGTTCATGACGACGTGGCCTACTGAGGAGCCCAGTTGGGTTCCAGGCGCTACACGTTGAAAGACTCTCACGCTGCCCTCATTGTTATTTGCCTGGTGCGCTGCCCCTCGGCTGTCCTGCGGTTGGAGCGTGTAGTGTTGCCCGCAGACGTGCGAAACGCAGTGCAAATTTATCTATATTATAGTGTACTTTGGGGAAAAAATCGGCAAAGCTGTCAGAGCAGGGGTGTTATTGCTCTCGACAGGTTGTTCGGAACGGACAGATGCAACAATGCGACATACAACAATGTCACAATACTACAATACAACAATCCATACTGACTTAGGCTGGTCCAGCGCCCCTACCCCGGTTGGGTCGTTGGGAGTCTGATGTCGTACAGGGCCCCGAACTGGAAGGCATTCCTGAGCTTGCTGAACGCCTTATTGCCAAACGCATACCCTTCCTTGAGTTGCGGAGGCTCCCAGCTGGAAACCAGCATGGACTGAGAGGTATGGAGCCAACCAGCGTGCCTACCAAAACAGGCGTAGTAATGCGCTTGCCTGCCGTCTACCAGTCTGAGGAGGAGGATGTGCCTGCGGGCAGCTATGTGGAAGTTTCCGCTAGCCACGAGGATGAGGGAACAGACTCGGATGTGGGGGACGAGGGGGACGACGACATGGATAACCACAGCCAGGACTGGGATGAGGGTGACAGCGAGGGCAACTGATAGGAAAGTGCTTTGAGTTATGTGCACGCCTCTGTTACGCCCTGGTCGCCAACACCCTTGCCATTCTTACAAGACAACTTGCCCCCAAGGGCCGCAGTGCCCATTGGCACAATTTGGGCCTTCCGCTCGCCATGTAAAAACCCCATTGTATGTCCCTACGCTGCCAGCTGACGCTCCCAAACGTGACACCCACGCGCCGCCCTCGTGAACAGCCACGTCACTTCCTCCCTCACCACAACACACCGTCAGCCCTCCATGCCACACATGCACTTGGGCAGGCCATGAGATCGCTTCGGTCTGGTTGTAGCGTACTTAAGCAAGTTAACATGGGATGTAGCATGTCTCAGCATTTTAAGAGCAAACATTTAGGAAGGAAAAACCTGCGGCTAAGCATACGTGCAATACACAGCACATTAGTCATACAGTTGCTAAAGCCGTGCCCATTGCAGAACGCCGTTGTTCAACGTACCTATGGAACCAGCTACCACATCAAACGCCATACACTTACATGGAGCTTCAAGACCGACGAAAATGCAAAGCAACAACGCTGTCTCTGCCATCACTGAAAAAACCTTGGTCGTTTACGACCCACAACTCTAACCGTCTCTCGCATCGTGAGCCTTGCTTTCATCACTCATGCGCATATGCTGTCAGTCGCGATGCCTATGCGACGCCATGTTGCGTGAAACGGTGTGGACCGTTGAACCACCAACAGCCGTCTTCGCAGTACTTTATACTTTCTCATCTACACAAAGGACATCATTAGTAATACAATTAAGCCACCACTCCGAAACCGTGCCATTGCAACTTCTTTGAACACGCACATGCATACCAGGACTGCCGTCCACATTCGCTGTTGCAACTGTGCGACATACGGACTCCAACATTAAACCTTTCCAATCCATGCCAGTTCACAATCTCAGCAGATGCATCCCCCTTCCAGTTTACAATCCTAGCTGCTGCCGCGCCGCAATGCCAGCCCAAGCCGCTCCCACGACCTCCCCCACGGCAGACATGCCCGGCTCAGAGAGTGCGGAGCAGCCCAAGCCCCCACTCCCCGGCGGAGGCAAACTCAGCACGCGAGCGGCAGCTTCCGAGGGAGGCGGCGAGAACGGACGCTTGGTCACCAGCGCTACCGCCCCACCATCCAAGCCGGATCCCTCCGTGACTCTCACTCCAGCTACAGCCAGGGACACAGCCGCAGCGGTGGGCCTCAGCCTTGGCATACCCAGACCCCGCTGCTGCCGCCCGGCTTGCGACTCAGTTTCACTGCCCACAGCCTTCTCCCCGTCGACGCCGCTGCTGCTGCTGTTACCGCTGCTTCCCTTCGTCGTCTTGTTGGCCGCGCTGTACATGTCACCGCTCTTCCTTCTGCAGCTGCTGGTTCCGCTGCCGCCAGCGTCTACGCCGGGTGCGGTCCCCGGCGGCAGAGAAAGCCTGCGAAATGACACCAGGCGAACTGCCTTGGCCATTACGGCGGTGAAACTGTTACTCGCCCGGGAAGGCAAGGAGGCGCCCGCTGCCTCTTCAGTCGCCGCCGCTGCTACTGCTTCCGCCGTACTGTTTCTAACTGGCTCCTGCTGTGGTATCGGGGCAGCAGGTGCACGCCGGCCAAAGCACGCTGCAAGCGCCAGTGTCAAGCGCGCTTGGCGTCGGCTGCCGTTGCCACCGCCACCATTACTGCTAAGGGACCGCATTGCCGTACTAACAGCCGTAGCCGCTTTAGTCTTGCTGCTGCTGCTGCCGCTACTGCAAACGCTGATGTAAGCGCTGACACCGCCACTACCGCCGCCAGAGGCGGCGGCGGTGGCAACAAGGTCACTGTTGCCGCTACTGACATCGCCAGTGCTGCTCCCGATCATGCTGCGGCGATTTGGCACAACCTGCATTCCTCGGCCACTGACCGTCTCACTGTTGGCCACCGGTATTACCGTTGAGGCCGTAACAGTACCAACGGCAGCGTTATTGCCACGTGTATCCCCATAACTTGGATCCCAGGCTGGCGATGATGATGCTGAAGGTAGGCATGCCTGCGGATCTAACCCGTACACACCGGGCGAGAGACGACGATGCTGCCTTAGCTGTTGGAGCTGCGATCTCCTTCTGTGCCCCCGCTGCTGCATGTGGGGATCTCGCTGGCCTCCCGTCTTTCCACCCAAGGCGATGCACGCAGGGTCCCCTTCTGCGGCTAGTACGACATCCCTCAGCGTGCGCGCTATGGGGGCAGACGTAGCTGTAGCCGTGACAGTGGCGGCTGTTGTGGAGAAAGGGGAGGAGAAAGAATGGGAGGCACGAGGACCCAAAGAAGACGCCGGCAGCAGGAGCATTGACGACCTCGTTAAGGAGCCAGAAGAAGTTGACCCTTCAGGGCTTGGCATGGACGTGCCATGCATGGGAGGTGGCGCCACAGCGGTGGCAATAGCCATGGCCGTAACAGCAGTTGCAGTTGCTGCGTTCTCGCCGTACAATGGTGCTGTAGCTGTCGTACTGCTGCCTCTTGTCGGCGCTGCTACTTCTGCTGTTGTTGTTGCATTACTACTGCCGTACAGTGCATTCCCAGCACCGATGTCCTCAAACCCCAAATCCACCATCTCGATAAACTCCATCTGGGGCCATCCGCTTACGGAAATGGGAGCTGACGTGTCCTCGGGCGCAGCTCGGCAATCCAGCTCCTGCCCTGATAGAGGCAGCTCCTCGCCCCAAAGCAATTCGTCAGGGTTCACGCGAGGGTAGGCACCACAGAGCAGCGGGGGATACGGCGCCTGGGTTGAAGACGCGGGTGAGAAGGCTTGGCTGTTGGCCTTAACCGCCGATGGCCGCTGTTGCTGTAGCTGTCCGCTGTTGCGGGCTTGGCGTACTGCATTTGAACGATCAGCGACGAAACCACCGCCCTTGCCACCGCTCTGTAAATGAGCAACGGCTTCAACGGTCCGGACCGAGTGTACGACAAGGCTTTCGCCATAGCCCGTGCAGTCAAGGTTGCCGAGGTCGAGACTGCAAGTGCTGAGGTCTTTACCGAACCGTACTTTGTCCAGACCCAACCGGCAGATCTCGACCGGGACTGGAAGTACGGGCGATTTAAATGGTAATCCAACGCCGATCGAACACGGGCCGTCGGGGGTGTCAATGAACCTGGCAGTTGCCGCCACGGTGGTTGCTGTTGCGGATGTGAAATGCGGAATGGCCAGGTACCGCAGAAGTACGGTAGCCAGGCGAGTGAGTACGTCATTGCTGCTGTCGTACTGATACCCGTGCGTGTAATGGCTGTCTTCATCGTTGGACTGTACTGCACAACCGTTGTGACTGTTGGTAGCAACCAACGGCTCGACTTCAATCACGTTCTCGGCCATATGCACAAAGCAATTACGATCAACAGCCAAGATGATTACGTCTTCCGGGTAAGTGGGCTCGCCGTCGTCGATTATCGTCGCCTGGTTGTTGGTTGCGGCAGTTGGTGACGACAGCTCGTCAATGTCAGTCGCCGTTACCGGGGCACTTATAGCCTCAACAGGCAATGCTGTCGACGGCGAAGCCAGCTGTGGCGTTCCCACTGACGACATAGTTTGCTGGTCCTGCAACGTTTCGCCCTCTACCGGTACTGCCACCGCCATTGCTGCGGCTGCTGCTGCTGGCCCTGCTGCTGCGTTTGGAGCTATTGGTTTGCCGGCAATGCCCACGCCGGTGCCAGCAGAGGGCCTGTAGATGATGAGGGGAAAGCCAGGTTAAAATGCAGCTTAAGCGTATCCGTACAGGCATGCGTGTTGGTACATGCCCTGGAGGAGGTACCAAAAGCACTTTGGCGCATGACGACAAAAGTGCAAGGGCGCCCTAAGGAGAAACCCCGATAGGTGTTGCATATGCCGTAGCGGCCTTTGTTTACATCAACGATTTCTTGTTGCGTTTGAGAGAAGGAAAGCAGCTAATGCTGATATCCCGAAGGTCACGCTGGTCAACCTTTCATTACAGTCACGACAAAACAGTTACCCGTCGGCATCAGGTCACGCCCATTGTTGTAACAGATGAATGTGCATACGTACCGGCGTGGGAAAAAATCGGCTTGCGGATCGAGTTCTTGCAGCGCTGCGCTGGTCCATGCGTTGCTGGCCTTGCTCCATGCCGCTAGACGGAAATGCGGTCGCACTGCTTCCAGAAAATTCCTTACACCGTCTCTTTCAACAATGCAGTGCTCGCCAGGGCAGTCCTTCGAACATACGCCACTGCATCCATGCAAAGGCGGTTGGGAGACCGACTCCGACGTCGTAAGTAACGTAGTCGTTACAGTAAGGAAAATAATGAGCAACTACCAGAAGTATAAAACGACGGGCAAACACGTGCACCTTGTGCTTTATAACCGTAATGGCATATGGCATATCGGTACCTGCACAGCAGCTCCAGGTCGATAACAAGCATACGCCGACGAATTGGAGGATGGATAGTAGTCAGGGAGTAACGGCGTGCGGCTTGCTGGACAGCCTGTAAGGGAAAACGTCCGACTCTCACCAAAGAGTGTTGCCGTCAATGACTCTACAACTGAATGAGCTCCCAGCTTACTCGTTTTGCAGCTTTGATAAGAATATGACGACGAAGGGCGTCACCGCTGAGCGATTCAACTCGTCGATGGTCACCAAGGTGCGACTGGTAATACATGCTTCCCGCACTTATCCGACCGGCACAGCTCAGCCTTTGAGTATATCCTAGGGCATCATTAGCAAGCTAGTAGCGAACAGCGCATGTGCTAGGAAGCTTTGCCAACACGACAAGACAACCACGACATGCATGCGGTCACGATAGAGGCCAGGGTCAGATCGTTAAGCAAGGCTTGCCAATTATGTTATATAATTACGTATTCTGCAATGGAAAGCTTCTTGCGGGCTTCCAAGCCCACATAGAAGTTACGACGCAGCGCAGTTGGCGAACAATACGACAACCCATCGTTGGTTATAATATGGCGAACGTCACACACAGTTACAATACAAGATAAGCTGATGCTCTGGAATATCATGACATTTGTTCGCCCCGAGCTGCCCCGAGTCTCCAACAAAATGGTGTGCGGGGCATCCCTTTTGCAGACATGTGTTCACGGCGAGGCGTTTCTATCGTCAATGCGAATAGCATATATGCCACGACGCATAAAAACAGTGTATAGAAACCTGTCGTTGCCTGGCGAGGCCGCAAGACCCGTGCATGCGTGCCTTGACATCGTTACAAAGGCAAGACGAGCATGGACTTCTGTCTGTACCGTTATGTATCCTTTTCTCCATGTCTAGACTGTGTATAAGAGTATAACCAAGGAGAGTCAGCCGTGCCGAACCTCCTGACAGTATCGTACCGCCGATAGCAGCACTACCGGTAATCCTGGGTAATCTCATCATTTCTTTCATAAGCTTGAGGGCTTCGGGTACGTCTACCGAAAACCAGCATGTGTCGCCATCGTGGCCGATTCGCCTGACCCGGTATACGGTACCGCGTAGCGGTAATCCATTATGTCGCAACCACAGGTACCGACAGGATGTATTACCTGTGGTTCCGACGAACAACTTGGGATAATTGAAAAGCCCCAAGAGAGCCCGCAAGCTTTCCAGATTTTAATTTCCGAGTCCAACAATCCCCTTTATGGCTGCTTCCTCCGGAGCCTCACGGCCAGGCTCCGCCCTTCATCACTGTTTCAATCTCCTCCGGTGTCCTGGGCACGTGTGTGAGGCTCTCCGCGCCGCTCTCCGTGACCACCACATTGTCCTCCAGTCGTACCCCTCCCATGTCCATGTGCGCGAGGATGGCGTCCCGAACCAGGTATCGGCTCTTGACCTTATCCTGCACGGGCCGGCCATATGGACAGGTTTTCAACCTCTGGGGACCAAATGAAGAAGTGAAAGCATAAATCCAAAATGTGGTTCGGAGTCATTGCAACCGTCCAAAGGCAACATCGAGATATGTAGCAGCCAAAGCTCGTGTGCTGGTACGGCAATTAGCGGCTGTGCAGCATGAGACCGAGCGCTGCGGGGCGTCAGACGCCTCATATCCCCTTTCCGCAGACCCCCGCCTCCAGGCCTCTTCCCCATCCGCCTTCCCTCCTACCTCCAAAGCCGGCAGCAGAAGCGCCGGATTGAAGTAGCACCCGGGCTCAACCGTGATCACCATACCCGCCTGCGAGTTGCAGGGCGGGGGGCAGGGAGGCGCGCAGAAGGGCAAGAAGCGCGGGGGTGGGGTACGGAAAATCCAATCCAATTTGCATGAGAGTACAAACCCCATGGATGCATGCGAGAGGCACGAGGGAGTGCACGAGGGGGCAGTGCATGCGCGAATAGAAGTGGGGCCAACACAGGATTCGGGGGAGGCCGTCGCAGCAGCACCCGCCGGGGCACAGCGGGGGGGAGTGGGATCTCACGCGCCCAACCCCCACCTGCACATACACCCCTGTCCAGCGACAACTCCAGCTTAACTACTTCCAGCTTATCTACTTCCAGCTTACACATGCCAGTGACGGTTGCCGATTACTACCTACTTATCTAATGACTACTCCGGTCCTTAGGTCCGGTCGCGTTACGACACTGCCATTACTGCTTCTCATTCACTCCAATACTACTCGATAGCTGTATTACCGTACTACAAAGCCAAGGGACTCTACTTCACTTGTGGCGTTTCTGTGGGAGGACTCCATCTTTCGGCAATCAAAGTACGTTTCGCCTCGCGGCCAGTTATTTTAACACACCTGCAGCGTGCGGTTGGTACGCAGGCGGTTGAAGCCGGGGCGGGCGGGGCGGGGCGGGCAGGTGGTGGAGGAGGTGGGTGGGGAGGTGGTTGAGGAGGAGGGGGAGGGTGAGGAGCAGTAGCCGCCCACGTCGTGGGTGTCCAGTCCTAGGAAGTGACCCAGACCTGTTAGTGAGGTACGGAGGGAGGGGAGCGGCAGGAGGAGGCAGGAGGGGGTGGAGGCAGGAGGTGACTGTACTCGTGACGGAGCAGAGGAGGAGCGAGCGTGAGGCAAGGGGGCAACAAGCAGGTGTAGGGAGTAGGGGGGTGTCGGTACCGGAATAGTAACCTGATCCCTCATCATCTTAATAAGCCAGCCAACCCCACCTAGCCGCCCTAGCATCCCCGCCCACCACCACCACCACCACCACCTCTAATCTATGCCCGAACCCCCCCACCCCCGCCCCACCATGTGGCATGAACAGCGCCCCGATGTCCGCCTCCAACAGCTCCTCCACCGCCGCAGCCTCCTGCCCCCCCTCCACACCCGCAGCCCCCTGCCCGCCCCCCCGCCCCTCCACCCGCAGCAGTCCCCCCGACAGCAGCCCCGACAGCAGCCGCCGGTAAGCCAGTGCGTGCATGTCCTGAACAGGCAGGAGGGGGAGAGGGAAGGGGGTGGGAAAGGGGAGGGAGCAGGCGGGGGGCAGCGGTAATACTCTCGCCAAACCCAGTCAGTCGAAAAGGTACGGGGAGGGAGCAGGCGGGGGGCAGCGGTAATACTCTCGCCAAACCCAGTCAGTCGAAAAGGTACGAGGAGTATTACGAGGGAGCTAGCGCACCCAAAGCATGGTGGAGGGCCGCTGGGAGGCTTGTTGGGAAGGTACCGGTAAGGCAGGGAGAGAGAGAGAGAGAGACAGGAAAGGAGAAGCGGCTCCCCCCCGCTCCCACGCTCCCACGCCACGCCCCCTCTCACCCCCCATGCCACGCCCGGCTTCATGGCCCCCAGCACCGCCCGCTGCGCGCCCAACACGGCCTGGTAGATGACCCGCTGGCGAGCAGTGAACTTGCCATCTGGGGGGGGGATAAAAGGGGTTTGGGGTTTACGGGTTAGTAAGTTATTGGTCTGGAGGAGGAAACGGCGGGGAGGAATTTCGCAAAGTTAATGACCCGTGGGTCATGCAGTAATGTTAACATGTTCCAATGGTTTTACAATGGGCATTCGAGAATGGCACACTGATGCCATGGGCTGCTAGTGACCCACGGGTCACCAGTGGCGCTGCCCCTCTCACGCCCCTGCCATTTGCTATCTCCCACACTGACGACTGACCCACGGGCCACGTGGTGGTGATGTCGCTGCCGTACACGTAGTACGCGCACCCGCAGTCTAGCAGCGCCAGGTCGCCCGAGCGGGTCTGCCGGTCTGGGGTTGGGGTGGGGGTTGGGGTGAAAAAAGAAATTCCAATGTGTGGTGGGGTTGGGGTGGGGTGGGGCCGGGGGAAGGGAGGGGAAGAATGCACAAATGACAGGGGAGTCAGAGCTATACAAATGCTGCACACAAAGTGAATGGCACGGGGCGGACGAGGGATGCGAGGAGTTAATGGACATAGCAGGGGCGAGAGCGGATAGGTAGGCAGGAAAGCTCGAGTGACTACTGGGAGAAACCAAACACGTTTAGCATGGACAGCAACCATAGCAGCCGACAACAGCCACACCCATCAAACCGCAATTACTTACTGCTACTGCTACCACCACATATCGCGCCAACCTCCTACCATTCGGCGCCCCCGCGTGTCCATAATGCAGGATGGCCCCATTGGGCCCGCTGGCCGCAATGGGGATGTAGCTGTAGGTGCGGCACCCCCCGCGGCTGTAGCAGTGGTGTAGGAATGTAGACTCCAGCTGGTACTCCATGACACCCGGTCGGCAGGCTCGCATCATGGCGATGTGGCCCTCGGATCCAATCTTGTTGACGTAACGGATGATCTCGATCTCCTCCGGGATCTTGGTCTGTAGACCGCAGATGGGCGTCGAACGGTGCTATCGATGCGAAGGTGTCGTGTCCCAGTACATGCCGTACATAACGTTTCTAGTACGGTAACCAGTGTACGACCCCTCCCGTTCCTCCCCCCCCCGCCCTCACCACTCGGCACTCTGTCAGCACATCAAACAGCGTGTCGGTTTCCAGCGGCACTCCCTCCAGGGGGGGAGCGGGGGGACCCACGGGCAGGTCGCTGGGGGGTGGGGCGGGGGAAGAGGGGGCGTGCAGGTTAGGGGTTGGGGCGTGGCGTTACGGTACTATACTGTGGAGTTGTCCCACACCCACCACCGCCACCCAGTCCACCAGAACCCCACCGCGCTCTCCCCTCCCCGCCCCCGTCCCCGCAGCCCAGTCGTACAGCTCGTCCGCTTCCTCCTCTTTGCCCCCTGCAGCACCTGTTAGCTGCCTCGTCCGTTTCCTCCTCTTTGCCCCCCCCCCGCCCCCCCGCCACCCACCTGTCCGTGTTCCTGCCCCGCAGCACATGCAGGCAGCTGGGCGGCCCCATGCCGCGGATCACCTCGACCATCTCGTCCAGGTAGTGTACGGCATCCACTCCGTACTTGATCCGGTACTCCTCGGGGCTCTTGAGCCGCCCCATCCACACGGCGTAGGAGTCGGGCAGGCGGGGCATGAACAGCAGGGTACGGCCCTGCAGGGTGGGTAAAGAGGAAACAGCTGATTGAGAACCGTCGTACGGCGGTTCGGAAGGAAAGACGAAAAGGCTTAGAATGGAAAAATGTATGTTAGGGCTTAGGGTCCCAGCTCCCAATGGCATGACATGAGGACAACAAATACAAGTACACGTCGTCTTCGTGAGCGGTAGATAGCTGTAACGTGCGAAGGACTAGATGACCGGCATTTGCCTGTCGTACGGAATGACGTAAATTGCTGTACGGTATACGGCGTATACCCCTACGCTATGTCGCACCGTTTTGACGCACAAGGCCCCGCACCAGTCCGCCTCTTGCACTCCGAACAGGTAGTGGAAGTACGACTCCTGCCTGGCATGACTCGGGGCATGACAGGACGTGAGCACGTGACATGACATGACATGACGTGGCGGGGCCGGGGGGTGGTATGGGGCCGGGTGGAAGAGGAGGAGCACACCGCCGACCCCTGACCCTCAACTCCCTGCCCCTCCCTTCCCCCCACCCTCACCTGAAGAGTCGTTCCGTGTCTGAGCTGTAGAGCGTCTCATCCTTGCCGCCCTGGGGTGTGTTGGCGGGTGGGAGGGGGAGGGAGAAGGGGCGGAGGGAGGTCTTGGTAACAATTCCTAGCCACCGCTCCTTGTGTGTGTTAACTCCCGCCCGCACCCCCCACCTCCAGATACACCAGCCCCCGCCGCTCCTCCGGCAACACCGCTCGCAGCCGCTCCAGCACGCGGGCCCGCAGCTTGCCGTGCAGGGCCGTACGGGAGATCCTGTGCGAAGCAGTTGCGCGGCAAGCGTAAATAAACGCAACCGGCATCACTAGGTACCGGTAGGCAACGAGGGCCAGCAGCTAAAGCACCGGGTATGCAAAGCAGTGTGTTGCGGTGGAAGAGGGTTAGACTGGGAAGCGGCGTACCGTACCTTAACGTGCCGGGGCCCATGTGGAATACATCTGGAGCAATGGCGGTATCTGCGTCCGCCATGCTTACAGAGGCAGCAACAGCAGAAGCTTTACAGCGGACGTCTTCGGGCGAAGTCGCAAGGCCACGTTGAAGCTTAAGGAGTGGGAAAATTGCAGCCGTGGCTCGACTGTGATAGCTAGCTGAGGCCAATCTAGGAAGTGAGGCAAAATGGCGGAGCATCCAGGAGCAGTTGTTGCGACCTTTCCACAACGCGCGACTATCTGGGTAACAGGTAGTCAGTAGCACTGGAAAGCAGCAGTGGTCACAGGTGTTAACCGAAATGATGTAACTAGGAGGTGCGCATCCGAGGGTGTTGCTTTACGACCTTTGTACGATGCTATCCCTATCCTTGGGCGACATTCGGCTTATCCCTGAAATCTTCAAAAAGTTGTAAGCCGCTAGCCATTGTACATACAAGCGCAGAAGCGGTGCTGGCAACTGTAGGTTTCGGAGTTTCTGACGGGAGCAGAAATTAAAGGTTCATTCATACTGTTGTTAGTTTGATAAGCGCGCCGGAAGCACGATGTCCACAAATTTTCGATGTTTGCGCTGTTAGTGTGACTTGGGCAGTTGACCGCCCTCTGGGGCAAGCAGCACACTGGCGCAAGCTTTGGAAACTCTGCTTAGCGGCTGGGAAACATCTTCTTCTCGCGCTTTTAGGGAGGAGCAACGGGCCTGGCGCCACGATGACGTTGAGCATCGCGCACTCGTGCGCCAGAATGCCGACGCGAAGGCATCGCAAAGGTAGGGTTCCTAGCTACTTGTAGAACACACCTTCATGTCTGCCTTTTGTGATCCTCATAAAGACGTTATGTTACCAGGGAGCTCTTCCGCCAATGGCGAGCCTATTGCGTGGAGCAGCAGCTGCTTCACAATTGTCGAACCCTATGGACGCGTTATGTTGAGAAGAACCGCAGAGATGTGGATGAAGCAGTCGAGATGTTGAAATGCGTCGCGCAGCTCGGGGCATTGACCGCCGGATTCGCGGTCAGTGCGTTCTATGACTTTCAGTACACAGCGTCGTCCAATGACCCAGTCCTACCTTTCTTTAGCTTGGCGACAGCGCTCACGGTATGCCCTACGTAGCTACGTTACACGATGACATAGTAATCTGTACGGTAACAACCATACCGCTATTCACCAACCGTCCAGCTGAACCCTAGCTGCGGTTACCTTCAGATGCTGTTAGCTCCTTTAAAGCATATTCACACGAAGCCGCGGTGGTAAAGCTAACACGTCTCAACAGCCCTGGACTCCTAACTACTTATCATGCATGTCAACAGTGCACTTGGCGCCCCTACTCTCCCGCTGTTGCCCACCCCAGGTGGGCTTTGAACTCAACAGCTGTGTGCTGTGTACCCTGATGCTCAGCAGCGTGGTCAAGATAGGGAAAAGGTGGGTAACGTTTTACGCCACTCGCACTGCAAGTCCATCTTTAAGACATGTGTCCTCAGCGACCATCAGCGCCCCCAACGCCACTCCTTATGGTTTCCTCTGGTTTGGCTTCTTTCTGAATCCCCCGCCCTCGCCCCCTCCCGCCCCCTATGACCATACACAGTCCTATGCTGTAGCCTAATGCGGACTGTGTATTCCTATTCCCCCCCTCCCGCCCCCCCTCCCCCCCTCAGCTACCTCAGCGAGGCGGAGGAGGCGGAGTACCTGTGGCGGCTGCGGGAGTGGGCGGCGGACCACATGTGGGGGGCGGGCCGGGTGGCCCCAGGGAGGCGGGAACCGGGCTGTGGGGGCAACAGGGATGGTGGTGTTGTGGTGGTAGGAGGGCAAGAGGAGACTGGGCAACCCAACCTGCCGACAAACCTCCCAGAGCCAAGTTAGCTCCCCCACCACCACACTCTGCCCCCTCACCATCACCCACATGCACCTCTCCTCACCCACACCCGCTTCCACCTCCGCCCCCGCCCCCCAGCCCCGGCTCCGCGCCCCCCGGGCCCCGCCGCGACTTTCAGCGCCACTGGGAGGCGAGGTGCGAGGGGCGCTGGCGGGCCGCGGTGGCGCTGTTCCTGGCAGGTGGGGGCAAGGGGGGGAGTGAGGGGGAAGGGAGGACAGGTGGTAAGGTACGCGCACAGCAGCAGCTTGGGCAGGGGCCATGCGGGGTGGGAGAGGAGGAGGATGTGTTACCCTTCACCTCTTGTCCCATCCCTGGCGCACCTTGTACGGTACATGCTGATCCTAAACCTCTACCCCTGCTTACACCCCCACCTACACCCCCCCAGGCATCCCCACCTTCTTCTCCGTCATGGGGCTAGCCGGCTACCTGAAGTTCCTCACCTCGCCCGCCACCGTGGTCATCACGGCGCTGGCAATGGCGGCGGCATTCGTGTTCACGGTGGGGGGGGGATGTAGAACCTTAGCCTCCTTATCCTCCTCCTCCTCCTGCTTATCCTCCTCGTCCTCCTCATCATCATCCCCCTCCTCCCCCCGCGGCCCCCAGGTGGCAATGAGCGCCGATTGGGCCAAGTCACTGCTGGCGGGCGGCAGGCGGGGCGCAACCGACCCACGGGACTGGCAGGTGAGTGGGTGGGGAGGAGGAGGAGGTGTTGAAGAGGGGTTAGATGATACCGATATAGCAAAATGGAAATGAAGCCACATGTGGTTTTTTAATGAAGAAAATCACACAATGGGCAACATGCTGCCTTTCCCCATGCAACCTCCCCCACCCACAGGGATACCGTACTCACAGGGAATGGTTAGTTGGTCTCCTCCTCTTTGCCTCTCCCCCCAACTGCTTCCCCCTATCCCCAGCGCTTTGCCCTCACTTGTGGTTTGGTTCTCCTCTAACCCGCTCCCCCACAAAACACATGCCCCCCCCTTCCTCCCGCCCCCCTCCCCCAGGGCGGCTGCTGGTGGAGGGCCCCGGAGGCCTCCCTGCGCGGCCTGCCCTTCGCCTTCCATCGCCCGCCGCACCGGGGGCAGTTGGAGGCACCGGGTGTCGCCGGCAGCAGCGGTACGACAGCAGCAGCAGGTGCATGGGGGCAGACGCAGGTGACAGCGTCAGCAGGGGGACAGCAACATAGCAGCGTTCAGTACCTTCGTAACCGACGCCTTACTACCCGCCCTCACCACCAACAACGAGAGCAGCAACGGCAAGGTGGGCAGCAGGGGACGCAGCAGCGGCACCACCAGCAGCAGCAGCAGCAGCAGCAGTCCGCTGACATGGACTGCTCCAATGCCAGCAACGGCAACACCGGTGATGACAACCACCATTGCAGTAGCAGCCCTAGCAGCAGTTGCAGCTACACCAGTTGTGAAGGCACAGGGGTTGCCCCCGGCGGCAGCAGCAGGAGCGGCACCAATCTGGCAGTAGCCGGGAGACTACATACCACGGCTGTCGGTAATAGCAACAGCAGCACTAGCAGGAGCGACAGCGGAAGAGGAGGAGAGCAACGACCTCGGGAGTCGGCAGAACACCCCCATCGTCATCAGCAGGAGCAGGTGGAAGGTAGTCAGCAACCGTTGTACGGCAGGAGTCACCCGCTGGAGGAGTTGCCGTACCCTGCTATCTTGGGGCTGCAGCCCTGGCCTGGGAGGGGGATTCGGGGGCGGGGCTCGGCGGGGCTTTTGGGAGTCGCTGAGGTGGAGGAGGAGGGAGGAGCTGGCGGGGAGGTGGGGCCGCAGGGGCTGCAAATGGGAAGGGAGGCAGCGACCACAGCAGCCGCGACAACGTTGACAGTGTCGCAGGCAGCTGTATGGAGCCACCCAGGGACAGCAGCAGGTACAGCAGCAGGAGGAGCAGGGGCAGCTGCAGCCACTGTGTTTGTGGCAGTGGCGCCTGCTGTGTTGCCGGATGTGGCGACAAGTGTTGCTGCCCCCAGCGGCGTTGTTACTGCAGCTGCTGCTTCTACCAGTGCTACTAGTGCGGGTGCTGCTGCTACCAGTGCGGGTGCTGCTGCTGCAGGTGCTGTTTTCGCTAGCGGCGGGGCTGTTACAGGTGGTGGAGGTGTGGCCTCTGTATATGGGGCCGAGGCTAGCAGTAGCGGTGGGGGAGGCGGTGGGAGATGACGAGATGTATGAAGCAAATCAGAAGTATGGAAGTTACTGCCAGCACCTACGTAGTGGATGGATAATAAACGGATGAAAGCACAGTGAAAACGGGTGAGGATACAAGTGAAGTGACCCCTGGGTCATCCGTGTAAGCGGAGCGCATGGCCAGGACGCCAGGAGTGTATCGCATGAATGCTTGGTGAATTGCTTTGACTCGGCTGCCTGATTGGGGCGCCGAAGTGTGCATTGTGAAGGAGAACGAGAGGGCTGCGAGGTTACCGTTACTGCGGGTTGACCTCATGGGGGAGCGGCTTGGGGGACCTCATGCTAACAGAGATTGGGAGACAGGAGTGGGAGTTATCTTCAAACAGTGTGCCGCTGCCGCAAGCGTTTCGGGTGTCACGTCGGGTGTCCCTGTCGGGTTCTGTCGGGGTGTCTGACTCCTTGGGACATCGCATGCATGTGCTACCCATCCGTTTTTACAGGGGCCCTCTTCCCACACCACAGCCGAAACCACCGTACATGCAACGCGCGCAGCCCCCAATCCGTTCCAACTGTATCGTGGGGCTGCGCGGTGGGATGACAACGGCCAACATGTAACAAGAACAGGACAGTAAAACCAAAACAGGCATTCCAACCTAATGCCAACCAAGCAACCCAACATCATACGAGCCTAGGAAATCTCGAGAAAGGCGCCGAGGTTTTAATACCTCAAGTACGGCTCCAGCCCTCCTGCACCGTGTAGCAACTCGCATGCAATCCAGATCACGCCGTGTAAGCTGCCCGTGTACGAATTGGCACGATACACACGCCAACAGCTGCAGTCTGCCCTGCTGCTCAGTCCCCTTCCAGTTAGTTTACGCATTACACACCCAAGTAGATTAGGCCCCCCATCCTGCATGCACAGATTCGCTCTCCTTCAGCTACAGACCTAGTTTGCAGTCTGCAGCGGCAAACATGAGAGGCGCACCCGACTCTTCACACCCGCCGTCCCCAGACCTCCTGCCACATGACATGTCCCCCACACACACACGCGGAAACTGCGTCCCAGCAATCACCCCCCGGAACACATCCAACACACACATCCGCACCCATCGCAATGGCAGGCAAAAGAACCCCCACGCCAACATTTCACTTGCGCAACACACGCCGCAAAAACCTTTCACGGTGCCACCACAACGTCTAACCCGTCTAGCTAGACTTTCTGAATCACTAGCAGCCAACAGCTCTCGAGTCCCCACGCAGCAGCCCTCACGCAGCAGTCCCCACGCAGCAGCGGACATTACCGTGAGCTCGGGGACATGCGTCTCCCCAGCAACACACAAGTGGTACACAACGTAGACGACACAGCATGGATGACGGCACAACACGGATGCCGTGACGTAGACACCGCATGACTAGTCATGGTGATAGCCGCGGCCCCCCGTTGCTGCTGCCACGCCACCAAACTCCGAATCCGAGTCGGAATCCGAGCCCCGGAAGAGGCTGCTCGACACGGTCATGTCCAGGTGCTTCCGCAGGGAGAAGGTCGTCACGACCCTGAGGTGGCGGGGCGGGGAGCATGATGGGCGGCAGAGGAGGCAGGAGGTTAGGGGTATGGTGTCAGCAAAAATAGTAAGGCCCTGGACGGCCCTGGAAGCCGCTATTACCGCTTCCAAGGGAGCAATCGAACTGCACCAAACACACAACGCGCCACCGACTTGCAGGACCTTTCTAAAGCCGGTCATGGTATACTAAAAATTCCGCAAGCAGGGCAACAACCCAGATCCCCCACCCCCCTCCCTGCCTTGCAAGCCACACCCCGCCCTCACCCACCCGCCAGAGGACGGCGTCCTCCCGCCCACCACGCCATGCGTGTACGGCGAAGGCACCGGCGAGGGCAGCGACCAACCCGCGGTCGAGCTCCGAGGCGAGGACGACGGCACCACGATGCGGCTGGGGCGAGCCAACCGCAGGTGCGCCATCCCGCTGCCTGGCACCGGGTCGGGCGTCTCCGGACTGCCGCAGCCGCTGTAGCCGCCACTGGTGCTGCTCCTCGCACTGCCGCAACCCCCAACACCGCCACCCAGGCCGCCGCTGCCGCCGCCGCTGCAGCCATAGCATCCCAGCGGGCTGCCGCCGCTGCCCAGGCTGCCGCAGCCGCCGCCGCCTGCCGCCAGGAGCCCCGCCGAATGATGATGGTACTGATGATGGTGATCAGCAGCGGCAACGGCGCCTCCCACCTCCGGTGATGCCACCGGGGAATACGAAGCCGTCAGCAAGGTAGACATGCTCCTTGCAGACCCCCCACCGCGGCGTGACGGCGTCAGCTGCTGCTGCTGCTGCTCCCCAACGGAAGTGGCGGTGACGGCGGAACAGGATGCTGATGCCGCGGGCGCAATACCATGAATGGAGTCCCGAAGGCGGACCAGGCCCTCCTCGCCCTCCGACTCGCTGTAGCCATCGTAGTAGGGCGAGGAAGACGGAGGAGAGCCGACCGTGGGGCTGCCCCTCCTGTGGCCTCCCAGGCCCCTCCGCAGCTCAAACGCCGCCTCCTGGGTGCTGCAGCTGGAGGTCAGACCCGCACTCACGGCAGCGGCGACTGCGGCGGCCTCCGCGGATATGATGCCCCAACGCAGACCGCCATGGCTGGGGTTGCTGCACAGCTCATCATCGTCCTCGTCCTCCTCATCATAGTCGCCATCGCTGTTGATGTTGATGTTGTTGTGGTGGTGGTTGTGGTGGTGGTTGCCGAGGCGGTTGCTGGGAGCTGTGTCCGGGTCTGCATCCCCCTCCTCCTCCTGTTCTTGTTCTTCTCCTGCCCCACCGGCCCCCTCCTCCAGCTCACCCTCATCCTCATCATCCTCAAATTCCTCCAGGTCATACTCCTCATCATACTCCACCGCGCCGCCCCTGCTGCCGCCGCCGCCACCGCTGAGCCCGACACAGTCCCCACGCCCAAAGCGGCAACCGTGAGAGGGGTACAGCTCTCCACCCTCATCACCTCCAATAGGAGAGAACGCCTCACCGCCGCCTGCCGTAGCCCCCGCGCTGCCATCGCCGCCATCGTGCTCCCCTCCAGGCCTACTGACACCACCGCCACTCGCCACTTGGAACGCAAAGCTGAGGTCCGCTCGCGGTGTGGGTGTGGTGGAGTCGCTGCCCGAGCAGCTGCCCTCAGCACTGAGGGTACCGCACTGGGGCTGACCCACACCAACACCCACGCCAGTGCCTGGGCCCCTGGCAGCAGCAGCCGCTGCGGCAGCGGCACTGCGGTTACTTTCGCGCGCACCACCACCGCCACCGCTATACGGCGCTGCTAGGGCTACTGCAGGAGCCGTCCTAATCTCCCGGAGAATCACCGAAGCGACTGGGGCCACGATACTGGCGCCCTCCCCCTCCTCCTCCTCCGCATCGCGGCGTGCAGCTCCCCCCCTCCTCGCCGCACCCCCCTCCACCACAAGCAGCACCTCCGGACAGCGCAATAACACCGACGAGCCCGCGCTGCTCAGCATGCCACTGCCCTCACGGCCGCGTGCCTCCCAGCTCATCATCACTCCGCTGCCGCCACAACCGCCGGAAGACAAAGAGCAGCCAGCGCCGTCCTGCCTACGCACGCAGCGGTCCCCGCCGCCCAGTGCCGACCCGGACGGCGACCGAGGCGACCGAGGCGGCTGCGGCACCCCCGCTGCCAGCAGGTCCAGGGAGCTGCTGACGCTGTCCGCATCGAGCAACAGCCGCGTCATGTGGCTATTGGTGCCGCAGCGGGCGGCGGCAGCAGAGGCATCGCTGGCGCCGCCACCACTCCAGGGGTGCACCCTGGCGGCGTCCATGGAGGATGCGGCGGAGGTACCGCTGTCCAGGTGCCACTGACGGGTGTCGGGTACGGCAGCTCCTCCGCCGCCGCCGCCACTGCTGCTGCCGTGGCGCTGCTGTTGGGGGTAGCGTTGGTAAGGGTGGTGCTGCTGCTGGTGGCCGTACTGGGGCTGCTCAGAGCGGTGTGTCCCGCATGGTCCGACAGCACTGCCGCCCGTGTTGTTGTTGATGTTGTTGTTGTTGTTGTTGGGGTTCCACTCCGGGTGCACTCGTTCCGCATCTAGACTGGAAGCAAAGGATGAGCCGCAGGCGCCAGAGGTGGAGGAAAAGCCCGGTAGCGGCAGACGGAAGGGCCCGATGCCGTAACCTGGCTGCTGGTCTGCCGCCTCCGCCTCCCTGCCTGCCTCCTCGCCCTCCTGCCCTTCCGACTCATGCGAGAAGGGTGACCGGTCGATGACGGCGAGTGCGGCTGCTGACGTCACCTCGTCTTCTTGGCAATTGTGGTGTTGCGATTGCTGCTGCTCCTGATGATGATGAGACCTATGATCATGTTGATGTTCTTCCTGCTCCTGCTCCTGTTCCTGTTCCTCCTGCTGTCGGCGGTGTTGTTGGTCTTGTTGCAACTCTTTAAGGATTGAGGATCCAATTTGTCGTACAAAGGGGCTGGACAGGGTGGAGGAGCTGCAGGCTGCCTGCACCGCAGCTGTGCTCGCAGCAGCGGCAGGTGAGGCAGCGGAAGGAGGTGCAGACTCAGTTGCCCAGCACGGTCGCTGCGGCTCCTGCTGCTGCTGTTGTACGACTGTCAAAGCGGGAGACGCCGTCAAAGGGGACATCAGTTGCGGAGAGGCCGGTGCGACCGAGACAACAAACACCTGCGCGCCACCATCCGCCGCCGGACTGGCCTTGGAACCCGCCGGAGCCGCAGAAGCAGCCGCATTCCCGAGGTGACTGCCGCCAGCGCTAGTCGCAGCTACCGCAGCGGCTGCTGCTGCAGCCGCAGCTGTGCTTGCGGTTGCGCTGGCGGCTGAGGGCTCTCCCGCGGCGGTTGCGGCCGCGGCCCCCGCTACAGCCCTCGTGGCTCCCGAGGTAAGGGTGTGGGTTGCAGCAGGGATGGTCGAGGTGGTAGGGACGAATGGCGGCGCCGGGAAGCCGCTGCTGTTGCGGACGGCGGCGCGGCTGCGGTCCAGTGAGCTCGACAGCATGGTTGCCCGCTCCTGGACACCGGCGAGCGTGCTGCGGAGGGTGCAAGTGTGTGTAGAAAAAGGGACGAGTGGGCGGGAGGAACGGGTTGGTTGGTTGCAGTGGGAACTGGCGGGAAGCAGCATATGCTGTGACACGTTACAGCAGGTGACGAAGTGAGCTACTGTGTATGGGTGCGTCCTTAACGGGTTAGACCTTGCCGTTGTCAGAGGTCACACCACCTGTCTACGGTATCACAAAGGTTGCAAAAGGTGGCTCTGCGCAAGCCGGCACCCTAGGATACCCCTTCCTTGACCTCCTCAAGCTGTACACATGCATGCAAGCACGCATGTGTGCAACCTAAAACTACACACTACACGACCCGGGTTCGGGTGCCAGAGAGGTGCGACCCAGTGAACCCACCTGGAAACCCGCATCAGTTGCGCCCGTAGCAGCTCCATCCGCGCAACCAGACTTGAGGTTAGGCCAGCTGAGGAAGACTCAGCTGGGGCTCCCGCGGTCGTTAGATGTCCATAATGTCGAGGATGGTGGTGAGCCGAAGGACGGCTGCTGAAGGCAGGTTCAAATCCGAGATCCAAGCCCAGTACCCTGGTTCGTGTGCCGGGAGCGGCCGTAGCTCCCGGTGTGGGGGAAGCATCCCGGTAGCGGAGGGTTGCGGCTGCAGCTGGGGAGGCCGCAGCTCCCTCCCACTGCGTTTGCGGGCTGCGGGTGGAGCGTCCTGTTGATGGATGAGGCTGTGGAACTTCTGTCCCCATCAGCTCGAAGCCCAAGCTTCTCAATATGTTGTGGTTGGACGGAATGGCGGCACCTGCTGAGGACGCGTGTGTGCTAAAACTGCGCCCAGAACTTCCGGGTTGGTAACTGGGAGTCGCATTGGCATGCAACGGGCTCCCAGCAGGCCTATTGATGGCCCTGATATCATCCGCCCGTGACTTCAACGTACTAGGGCCATAAGTTGTCGTTTCCTCCTCATGATGTCGGTCACTGCAAGGCAACGGGAACAAGAACCGTCAGAGCCCTGTTTCCTGCATTGCGCTTAACTTAAGGCAACTGGACACGCATGGGGAGAACGCACACACCTCCAAGACGCTTTTGGTCGGTAGTCAGCTAGGACCACAAGCCTCAGCTGACCGTCCAAGTCGCTAAAGGACATTGTTTCAGCCATGTGCCAGAAGAGGTAAAAATGCTAGGTTGGAAAACGTGATATGGTTAATGTATATGTGGCCGAAGTATTATGTCTAGTATGTACCCTGCAACGGGCTGCCTAGGTACGCGCGTACGCCAGGGTCGCCGCAAGTGGGGGCGCCGTTCAAGTGTAAGCAGCAGTGACCGTAAGCTTCAAGCGTTAGACATATACACATTAGGTAGCTAAGCGGCATAAAAACAGACAAGGACCAGCTTTATGCGCCGTACGTGCCGCAAAGAAGAAACGCTTTCCAATAGTAAGTGAGAAGCAGTAGGCGATAACAGGAAGCGAGAACAAAAGCAAGCAACTTCATTCAATGTGATGACTGCTTGTCGAAGTGCTGGGACCCGTGGGCCTGTAGTTAAGTATTCTAGCAGGTAAACGGCTTTCCTGGCGTTGTCCATTTTCGACGTATTAAAGAGTCACATTCATCGTTGCCTGATATCATGCCGCAGTTACGCCTTTACAGCCGCATCTTGGTGGTGACGCATTAAGGACAGTCGCTGCAGGTGTGCTCTCCCGGTTTACCGTGTTACAAGGCCTGCTGCTGGCTTGTTTGCTGCACAAGACAGCCTTCACGGCACACACCTTAAAGCAAAGGAGCCGTAAATTATTTCCAGTAACCACATACCGGGTACATCCCAACCTCCCACTGTTCCACACATTCACGGCTGTCTGCTGTACGATCATCTGAGTAAAGGGCCCACGAAACAGTGCAACATGACAACGGCTGCATGTAACTGTTCGTGGTCTAAGTAAACCACAATACGTCCCAACCATAGCTTGGGTGTTTGCTCGAGAGAAATGCCAGCCCACATCTTGACTCCCATTGATGTGTTATAACCCCAATGCACCAGTCAGTTATACCTCTACAACTGGCCTGTTTGACAAACCCCCTGGTGCATGCTACGGAAACATCATGCAGGATGGACTCGGGGTTTTCGGGTCTCCTCCTTTCGGGGCCTTTTGTTTCATTCACATAGGTTGCTGGTTCGCTATCAACTTTCAGGGGTGGTGGTGTCGTTCCTTTCCTGGCCAGGTGGTCAGGGTGACAGGTGGTCAGGGTGGTGCGGGAACATCATGCAGGATAGAATGGGCAGCACGTCGGGCCCTGAACGCCGGTAATGAACGCAATAAGTATTGCTTACGCAATAAGTATACGCAAGTATTGCTTACGCAATAAGTATTGCGTAAGCAAACACACCGGCGTTCAGGGCCCGACGTGCTGCCCATTCTATCCTGCATGATGTTCCCGCACCACCCTGACCACCTGTCACCCTGACCACCTGGCCAGGAAAGGAACGACACCACCACCCCTGAAAGTTGATAGCGAACCAGCAACCTATGTGAATGAAACAAAAGGCCCCGAAAGGAGGAGACCCGAAAACCCCGAGTCCAAAACTTTGGCTCTGGACACTGAAACACATTCCTCCCAAACAAAACACCTCATCCTGGAAAACTCCCCGGTACCGGTGCAGTATGTACCAAACCTTGTCCCTAGGAGGACTGAAACAGGGAGTGTAGACCCTCGCAATATCCAAGAAACGTTCATATCTGCATCTCTTCTTGCGCGATGCTTGAGCCAAGTTAAGCTTTTTCCCCGAACTGCGCAGGGAAGGCCTTCTTGATGGCGTTGTAGTTTTCGATTACCCACACCTCCCACTTGTACTGCTGCTTTATCTCCGGCATCGCGATCAGCTCCTGGCACTTCTTCACCTCGCTGTCCAGCGCCTCCAAGGCGGTCAGGTGCGCTGCGTCGTTGTTGCGTCGAGTGATGAGGTTACCTGCCAGCCGCTGGAACTCGGCCGGCTGCTTGGAGGCCATGCTTGCCAGCGTGACAACCACGGGGTTGTCGGACGGCAGAGACTCCAACTCCAAGAACCCAAACGCTAACTCCAGCACCTGAGCTGCGGTGGACCGCAGCACGGAGTTTGCGATTGCGACAATTGCTCCCCGTATCTGGCGCGTATCCTCCTTGAAGGCAATGAACTCTGCCCGCAAAGCAGACACATCTGCTTGCAGCCGTGTCACAGCACAAGCTTTAACCTCCACGTCAAGGGCCCGGGTTCCTAACAAGCGGCTTGGCGTTACACGGACGACGTCGCCGAAGTCAGCAGTCGTGATGTGGCAAGAGTCGAGGCTGGCCTCCAAGCCTGAGGCCTTTAAGAGAATGGAGATGGCGTCGGCCATTTTCTCCTGGGGTGAAAACGTACGCCTTTGGATTTCCTGACGAGCAGTGTGTAAGACAACCATCGTCTGCATATTGCTACGTCGCGATGGCTAAGTCCCTCAAACAGTTGGTAACCCTTCAGCTTGTCAACGCACAGCTGGATTTACCCTGCGGTACGTATGAAAGAAGCCGATAAACGCAAAAGCCCTTGTAATAATTCGCAGCTCAAGTTGTTCAAGCGACCTGACACCTTTGCGCAGCTTTCTTTGTCGTAGCCCCGACAAAGGAAAACGGTATGTAAAGTAGGGCCTCCCGTAATGAATGCCTTTGAATTACATAAGCCCCAACCACCTAGCATACAATCTTCCCCAATACTGCACAATAATTGTTCTGTTTTACGATATGTATTCCTGTTAATGTGTATAAACCGTTGGCGCTGTATCCGCTCCTGAAAGCTCCCTCCCGGACTAATCGGCTAGCAACTTCTACTAGGCAGATACACGCCTCAATGACTGCGCACTAAAGAGCTGCTGTGGTTTAGGCTAGATAGGAAGCATTATTGCCTAGGTGCTGACGTTGCTAGCCATAGATGATCTCCCCGAGTAAACCAGCACGCCCGATGGCACCGTTCTCTTCTGACAGCCTCGTGGGCGTCTTCCTGACCTCGTGCCAAAAACCTTCCCGGAACCCTTGCGAACATGACAAGCCGCTGCCGTGGGCTGTACTCAAGCAACGACATACCCGCATAGGCCTCCCCCAGCGGCATTCCACACCTCATACCTCCGTTTCCTACCCTGCTTTCTGGCAACAAATGAACACCCGCTGTGGGGACCAAGCAGGCCACGAAACAATCCTGGTGGGATAACGTGACAACTGCCGCACCCTCACTCGGGATGTGACCGAAACACACGGTAGGCCTCTGCTCTTCAGTCTTCACGCCCTCATGTTATCGTCGAGATCTTCCCACAAACTCAGGTCTTAGTCGCTTCTTCTCCCGGACGACCCCAAGGGTTAGAAACAACCGCCAAGGGCTCAAACCCATCTTGCTAAACCCCTTTCATCATGAGAGCAGCAGTGGGAAAGCACTCTTGCCTAATTAATTAACCACTCCGGTAAGGCACCTTTGGCAAGCAGCTGGGATCACATGTACGGAACAGCGCTTGCCGCGCGCGTACGACAACTCGCAGTACGATAAAGGATCCGGCACAAGACTCAGCAAGCAAGGCACATGAGAAATTGCCGGGAGCGCCAGGCGCCGAGGGGAAAGCGGCCCGGGGACACAAAGCCGCTGAGAAACGCCGTAAACGTCGAGTACTACCGTACAGACTGACCACACGTTCTTCTACTTGTCCGCAAGCACGCGTCTTCCTCTCTACCCGTTGCCACCCTGTATTTCGTAATGCAGCGTTTAAGTCCCGCTGCAGATCCACAAGTCAAAAACTCAAAGAAAGGCAAAAGGACGACTCCACGTAAAGCCAAAGGATTGAAGAGCTGCTACGCTCGGCCTTGCGATAATTCTGTTGTGAAAGGTGTTGGGTTTATTTGCAATGCCGTACAATAGGTGCACAACCTCTTGAGGGATCACCGCTCTTGTGCTCCGAGGAGCTCTACAAAACGTAAGTGTTTATAGCTTGTGAGCGGTTCACACGAGTACCGATAGACGAACGTCGAAAAGGGTCAGCACACTCTTCTCGGCAGCGGCCCTAAGAAACACCTCGCACCAGGCACACACGCAGTATACGCAATGTACGCGTGCAAAACCCCAACCCGACAATACAACCCACAACGGCCGCATAAGAACCAACAGCACCCAACGCAACCGCTGCCGCAACAGAACCAACTGAGGAGCGCATGCGGTGCCCGAGGAGCCAGGGGCGCCCCTCGTCCCGCCCTACAGCTTCCGCCGCGGTCGCCATCACTCATGCTCAAATCGCGTGCGCAATAGATCGGGCTGTCCCTGCCATGCCCTTCGCTCGCTTAATAACTTCTATTCGGGGCCGTCAGCAAGGCATGCACAGCGTTGTAAACAGCGCCCAGAGGGGTTGAGCAGGCCCCCAACCCAACCAGGGCGGAAAAAGGAAAAGGCCCTTTAGCAAAGCCGGCATGTACGACAACACACAAGTCCTTTCACCAGCGTTTATTCGGGAACTCCCCGCTCTCCCGGCTGTCCAACTGTTCTGAACCAGCAAAGCACACTGACCCAATGCAACTCTCTACTAAGTTAGCACACCGAGTAAACACTGCAACCGTCCTGCTGCGCACGCCACAACACTGATCACGCACCGTCGTACCACCGTTCAATGATATTCACTTCCGAAACGACACTCACACGCCCTGGATTCGAACCGGTCACTCCAGCAAGGCGGCTGTGTAAAAAAAAGCACAGCCGTACGGCACGCCGTCCTCGTGTGTGTCTCCCAGTGTGACTCCCGCTCAACTTGCCCCTTGCCTCTCCACACACACCCGTCTCCCCAACTTCACCAAAGCCGTACGTCATCGTCCCGTCACGTGTGCCTGGTCAAGCCATCCCAGTCGTGCTACCGGGTGTGGATGTGGTCATCGACACACCCTCGCACGACAAAACCGCGCTGTGCGCAAAGTAGTTAACCGACCGACGCGACGTTGAGCGACCGAGCACCGCCGCCGCCAGCGAGCCATTCGACGCCTCCGTAGGTGTCGCCGGGCCGCCGCTGCCGCCTCCAACTCCGCTGACGCCGCTGGCGACGGTGTTCGGTGCCCCCGCCGGCGGCGGCCCCACCACCTCCTTATCCTCGTCCACTGTCGGAATGGCGGCACTAGGCGACCGGCCGTCACCGCTCTTCCGCTTGCTGCTGATCATGCGTTTCAGCAGCCGAACCGCGCCGGCACTGCTGCTGCCGGCGTCACTTCCCAGCCCTCCACCACCGCCCGAGGAGCTTTCCTTCTCCCGCTCCCGCTCGCGCTCCTTATCCCGATCCTGCTCGTCCACAGACGGCAAGGACCGAGCTATAGCGCTGTTTTGGGAGTGCCCCAACGTCAAGGAATGGTGCGAAGGCACCAGCATGCCACCCAAGCGCTTGAAGGAACGCCCCACGGCTCCACTCTCCCATGATGACCGGATCGCGGCGGCGGCGGCGGTGGCGGCCGCCGCAGTGGCGGCGGCGACGCCGTTCGTGCTCGTGCGGCCGGCGGGTGGCGACTGAGGCGGAGATGTGGTTGCGGCGGTTGCGGTTGGGGTTGCGGGTAGTGCTCGGGATGGAGATCCCGGTTGGGATGCTCTCGCAGCGGGGGAGCCGGGTGTCAGGGAGGAAGCCGCGGCGGCGGCCACGGTGAAAGGGGGCATGCCGGTGGGAGCCAGGTCGATGGATGGGCGGACGGGGAGACGGGATCGAGTCGACGTGGCGGTTGTCGTCGTACTTGTGGGACCCGCATGGGACTGGCTGGCGGCGATGAGCTTGGCGAGCATGGGGGACTCCTTGCGTGACTCGGCGGCGTGGCAGACGGAATTCCTGTGTGGCGGCGGCGAGGGGTGGCGTCAGTGAGGTGGAGGGGCTACAGCGGGATCCCTGACCAATAGCAACTATAGAGTAGGCTCACAACCCGGCTTCGCAAAAGCCTCTCTCTCCCTCACCTTCGTGCTCGTGCCGCCATGACCACAGCCGCAAAGGCATCGCGGGTGCTCTCAGCCTCAATCTTCATCTCCTGCGCCGCGGCCACCGCCGCCATCCAATGCGATCGAGCGCGCGCCGAGCGACGGTCCGCTTCACCATGGTCATCGCCACTGTTACCGCCCTTGCCGCCCCCGCCAGGAGCACCTGCAGCACCACGTCGCGCAACGCCCTCTGCACCCTCTCCACTTTCAATGCCGCCGCTGCCGCCGCTGCCGCCGCTGGCGGCGCCAGCACCACTGCCGCCGCCGCCGCCGCCGCCGCCGCCGCCGCCGCCGCCGCCGCCGGGGGCATCCGGCTGCGCTGCGACCTGCGGAACACTCCCAACCGGACTGATGAGGAAGGCGGAGTCATGCGCGGCGGCGTTTGCTGGTGCGGCGTTGACCTGCGGAGGAGTCAAAGGGGGGAAGAACGAGTGAGGAGTGTTAAGGCTACGCGTTTGACAGGGCGTTGCCTATACAAGGCAACGCAGTAAACTACCGGCAAATACCGGTAAATGGTGGTTTCACAACCCTTACACATAAGCCACACGGCCACACAGCCGGCTGCCAACCACACTAACGACCTGTGCCTGCCCACAACCGCCCCACACATCCCGTCACGCACCTGCACCTGAAGCCGAAGGTTCTTGCCACCCATGCTGCTGTCACTCCTGGCCACCATCCCTGCCGCTGCCGTACCATTGCCACCTCCGCCACCTCCGCCACCACCTCCGGCGCTTGCCATGCCCGCGAGCTGCATGAGCAGCCCGCCGCTGCTCCCTCCACCGCTGGGAAGTGAAAACAAGCCACTGCTCCCAGCGCCGCCGGCCGCCGTACCTCCGCTACTGACGGCGGCGGCGGCCGCGGCGCCTCCGCCTCCGTTGTTCGCAGCCTCCTCGACCAGCGCACGTCGTGCGTTAAAGAAGCTTCCACCCGCTGAGTTGGGCCCGTTGCTTCCCTCGTTCTGACGCTCCCGGTCGACAAGCAGCAAGCTGCGGCGACTGGCCACGGCTGCACGGAAAGTGGAGTTGCGCTGCGGAGGCGCCACCACAGCACGCGAGAGCTGCTTGAAGGTCAGATCCCAGCTACTGGCGCTCTGAGACGTCGCAATCTTGCTTCCGTTGGCGTTACCGTTGGTGCTACCGTTACCGTTACCGTTACCAGAAAGCCGTATCGGGCTCGACAGACCAGCCAGGCCTCCGGACCCGGTGCCCCCTCCGGCAGGGGACATGGGCATGGCATTGCCGTCCTCCCGAGCTGAAGCTGTGGACCACCACCCATGTGACGACGCCGGCTGATGCTTTCCGGAGCTGCTGCCGCGGCCCTGCGGCGAGGCGCATTGCGGATTCGAGCGCTTCATGAACCCCTCACTCACAATGCCCGCCGTCGTCGTGGGGCGGCGGCTGCCGTCGGCGCCGCCGCCGACGCCGCCGCCACTGGCGCTCAGGTTGCTGGTCGTGGACCGAGGGACAGAGTCGTCGGCGGCGGCGCCGCCGCCGCCAGTTTGGTCGCCATTGCCGTCAATGTCGCCCATCATCACAAACCCCTCACCGTCCCAGGTGGTGCCTCCGCCGCCTCCGCCGCCCGCTTCAGTGGAACCGCCGCCGACAAGTAAACCGGGGGGCAGCTCCATGGGTCTTTGGACGCCCAGCCGACTGGTGCTTGCACCACTGATATGGGCCTGAATGGACTGTAAGGACTGGGAGTGGGTGCTGTGTGGGTTGTGGGCTGCGGGGTGCTGGCCGGAGGACTGTGGGGGCTGCAGGAACAGCGGTCGAAGGGGCGCGGAATGAATGGAGGCGCCGCCGCCGCTACCAGCGCCGCCGCTGCCGCCGCCGCCACCACTGCCGGTGTGCTGGCCGGCTGCAGTGCGGGAGGGCGAGGGCTTGAGGTTCTGCGGTATCATGTCCGCCATGTGCGAGAGGTTCATCCTGCGGGAGGGAGGGAAAGAAGCACGATGATTAGGTACAAGGACGGGTAAGCTCAAGCCTACTGAATGATACCGGTATCGGTAGGTTACTGTGCGACAGTTGTCTACGTTGTGGAGCATACACTCACGCCCTCACGCCCGCCCGCCCACCCGGCCTGATGTTGGCACCACCGTTATTGATCCCTCCCTCGACCTCCCTCGACCCACCTAAACGTAGGAGCCGCCACCAGTCGAGCCGCATACCGGTCCAGCGCACTTGCGCCCCCCGACGCCGAGCCCTGCCCGCCCACACCCGAGCCCAGGCACCCAGAGGATGCGTTGGTGCGGGGCGCTCGCCGACCCATGGGTCCCGTCTCCCGGATTGAGTCCAGCGAGATGCGCGACCCCACACTTAGGTTGCGGTGGGGGGCCATGCGGTGCGTCGGGCGGTGGGGGAGGTGCAGTGTGGCCGCGGCCATCGCCGCCGCCGTCACTGGGTTTCCCGTTGCCTGCAATCAGAGGCAGCAGCAGCAGTATGGAAGGTGAAGGGGGTTCACTACGCAGGGAGCAGAGGACGAGTTGTCGGCAAAGGCCAAGGGCGCCCACGGAATGTTCCTGAGCAAGGAACCAAGCACTCGCTCACAAGAACTCGACCAGCCTTGTAAAAACACACACGCACCCTTCGCCCCTCCCGCTCCACGTACCTTGGACCCTGGCGCCTCTCCTCCTCCTCCTCCTCCTGCTCCTCCTCCTCCTCCGCAGCTCCCGATATCCGCCACGAAATCAAACGCGTCATGGTCCTCGCCCGGCGCCTCCTCATCCTCGCCAGGGGCGTGCCGTACCGCCAGCGGCTCACTGGTCGCAGCGGGGGGCTCCCCCTCGCCGCCGTCGCTGCTGCCGCCGCCACAACGGCAATGTGCGCCGTCATTGTGAGCGTGGTCGTGAGCATGGTTGCCGCCGCCGCCGCCGTTACCAGAAGGTCCTGATTTCGCCTTGCCAGCAGCAGTTGCGGTTACAGTTGCTGCTGTCGAGTCCTCTCCGCAACCGCAGCGGCTTCGGCCAAGGCTGTTGCTTGCAAGTAAAACCGGCGGCGGTTGGGCTTCAGAAAGGCGCGAACGAGCGCCAGCGACGTTTGTTCCGCTCATTAGCCCTGACATGAACGCCTCGTCTTCATCTTCCTCACTCGCCGCATCCCCAACGTCCAGGTCCTCCTCCTCCTCCTCCTCTTCGATGTCGTAATCAGATGTTGGATGACTGCCACGCGATGTGGACTTGTGTGAGGAATGCCGCGATTGCGACGACACAACATCCGCCAACGGACTGTTGAAGCAGCTAGGCGGGGTGCCCACAAAGTCATCGGATTCGTCAACCGTCTCCGAAGCTCCAGTCGTCTGCGGACTGCTCGTGGTTCGAAAGCGCGAGGGAGAGGTGCCGCCACCACCGCAACCACCACCGCCGCCGCCGCCAACGCTGCTGCTGCTAGCAACGTTCTGCTGTTGCTGACGCGTCGTCACAAGCTGTACCAGCGTCCGCGGACGGCGCGGTTGTGACCCATGGGTCACGCTGGACTCCCTGCTAGACACGGTAGCATCGTCAGCAATGGTGGAGCCGGCAGAGGCGCGCCGTGCGGCCGAGGCGGCAGCGGAGCCAGCCGATGCCCGCCGCGGCCCAGCACGAGGTCGCTGAACCGATGCAGAGCCCGATGCAGCACTACTTTGCGAAAACGTCCGCAAGCAAGCATGCGCCGAGGTATGGGCATGCAGGGATGAGCCCAGAGGCGACGCGGGGCCGGCGGGTTGCGTCATGCCAGGATGCGCCGCTGCTGCTGCTGCTGCGGTTGCTGGCGGCATCGCTGCGTTCCCGGAGCTGCTGCAGCCCGGGTCCGCAGAGGCTGCTGGTGGTGACGGCTGCAGCTGCTGCTGCGGTGCCCCCTCCTCAGCTGGTACGGCAGGCGCCACAGGACTGCCTGCTGCCGCTCTGGTCTCACCAGCAGCGGCACCACTACCACCAACAACAGCGCCGTCGCCGTCCCCGGCACCGCCCGCCGTGGCTGCTGCCGCCGCGGCAGCCCCCGCCGCAACCGCCGCGTTATGGTCCGCCATCACCCCCACCTCAGTAGCCCCGGAACCACCCGCCTGGCAGCCCTCACCCACACCGGCTGACGTCGCCGCCCCCAGCACCGCCGCTGCCCCCGATCCTGGAGGCGGCTGCACAGTCGCGACAACGTCGGTAGCCGTCGCAGCAGCAGCAGCAGCAGCTGCCGCAACCGCCGTACCGGCCGTACCGGCGCTGCTCCGCGGCCGCTGTAACTCGAGAGCTGAGCCGGATGCTGAGCCCGACGCAGAACCTGACGCGGAATGCTCCCGCTTGGCACCCTGCTGTTGTTGCTGTTGCTGTTGCTGCTTTTGTTGCTGCTCGGCTTGGAGTACCTTGGGTGGTTTGTCCATAAGGGCTCCACCCGCCACGCCGTCCATCAGAGCAAGCGCAGCGGCATCCATCAAACATGACCTGCGGTTGTGTGGGGGAGTGGAGTGTGGATGCGTGTTGAAAGAGAACTGTGTATGTATTAAGAAAACTGGCCGCGAGTGTTATGAAAACGGGCCGGCTATGTGCGGCGTATAATGGGCGTAGGTGTGGCTGTATAATGGGCGTGGATAATGTGCGGCGTATAATGGGCGTGGACGTTACTACCGTAGATACGGCCGGGCGTGACACACCGCATGGCCATCGTGATATGCAAGTGACGGCCAACAGGCAGGGGTGGCAGACAACACCAAGCAAGGCCGCTAAACTGCCTCTATGGCCTCCCCATACCCCTTCTTCCCAATGCATGCTCCACCATCAACCCCAACACGCCTGTATTGGCAACCCCGCCAAGCCTGCAAACCTCTCAACTCTCACTCATTACCCCTTACTGTAACCCAACGACCCACGGGTCGCACCTTCCGCTGCTAGGCGGAACGTACACAGGCGACCGGCCGCCCAGCCGCGACGCCGCGCCGTACGAGGGCGACGGCGACAGGAGGTGGGGAATGTGCGGGTGCGGGGGCGTGTCGGGCGGGGTGGAGGCATGCGGCAAGTGCGGGTAGTGCGGCCCCGGGAGGACACTCGAGGAGGCCATGCGGCTGGCTCCCCCCGCGGCGGAACGAATGGACGCACATGTCTCTAGCGTCTGTGGGCGGAAAGATGAAGAGGGGTCGGAGCAAGGGCGGTGAATGAAATGTGGATGACAGTGGAAGGAAACACCTGGTAGTAGCTACCTAGCAACATGGCAAGGAAGCGCCATGAAGCCACCGAACGGGAGGAGAGGCGTCGAAGAGGCGCAGGAGGTAAAGCCCAGACGGTTCGGGCCGGGCCCATGGGACGGGAATGGTCCACGGACATGCACGCCACCAGCTGTCTAACCCACCCGTACGAGCTGAGCGGGCAACAGGAAGGCGCACAATGGCCGTTCCCTTAACCCCCACATCCTGCCTCCCCACTACTTATCGTTTCATTTGGCTTGGTCTCTCTCTGTCCCCCACAGAGTCCCCAGAGCAAGCCGCAGCCCACACACAGATCCCACCCCCACCTTGGGACTGCCCTCCATGCTCCGCTGCGTGGCGCCCCCGCTGCCGCCCTCCTGCTCGTACAGCGTGCCCAGGTGCCGCACACCCAGTGCGCCGCCGCCCGATCGCGACCCATGGGACAGCGACGTGACGAGCTGCCCCGAGCTCAGCTGTGCGAGGGAGGCGGGGCCGCCCGCTGCTCCGTGGGACTCGGGAGCAGCGGAGCTGGAGGCGGAAGCGGACACCCTGGACGGGCGGCAGCAACAACCGGTAGGATGGTAAGTCAGCCAGTAAGGCAAGCAGCAAGAGGAGGGGGGAATGTTAGTTACGGCAAAGCAGCAGTCAGCAGCGGTATGTCGATGTGCGTAAGATGGGATGACGATAAGTGAAACGCTTTGTTTTGGTTCCCATGTCCCGGCCCGCAAGCGGTTGTAGGCAGCGTAAGCTAGGGAGTGAAAGCGCTCCTTCTGCGGCTGACCCCGCTTGCACTTTAAAGTGCAACCCCAACCCCAACCCCACACTACACTACATGTACAGCCCCCGGTGCCCCGTACCCCTCCCATTCCCACAAACACCGATACCCACCATCGCCCCTCCGTATCCGTGCCCGCCGTGTCCCCATCATGCGTGCTCCGTCCCCCCACCGCAGCCGCCGCAGCCGCTGCTCCTGCTGATCCCGCTCGGTCCGCCAGTTCCACCGACACATGGCGCCGGGAAACCACCACTCTTTTAGCCAGCGGCGGCATGCCAAACCCAACGCTCGCCTCACCAGCCCCCATGTCGTACACATCAGGCGCCAGCGCCGCCGTCGCCGCGGCGGAAACCTCCATTGAGCCCGCCGCCGCCGCCGCTGCCGTTGCAGATGCTGACGTGGCACCGGCGGCGGCGTCGACTGCACTCGCAGCGGAGACCGGTACGACGGCGTTGCTGGCCTTGCCGCCGTCCTTGTGGTGGGCCTTATGGGCCTTCTTGAGCTTGTGTTGCTTCTTGTGTTTGAGTTTTAAACGGTGGTGGGGGTGGTGGTTGTGGTGGTTGTGATGCGGTTGAGGGTGATGTGGGTCGCCGTACAGCTCCCCCGCCAGGTTGCTGTAGTCGGCGGCGGTGTACGGCTCAAAGAATTCCCGCCAGATGTTTGGCTTGCGACGAGGTGTCAGGCCCATGTCTGTTTCAACATACATGTGTGTGTGTCAGTTGGCGGTTTGTTTGTGTGCAGGGCCGGGGCGGGGCAGGGCAGGGCAAGAAGGAGGGACAGGGAGAGCGTGGGGGCTACACGTACCACGTGACGGGACATGTCAAGAAAGCACGGTACGACAGCACGGCACAACAGCAGTTCGCACTTCTACTGGACAAGTCTTGAACGCGTTTGTACACAGTAACAGATCTGCTCCAACCAGTCCCAGCTCCTCCTCATCTCTCCAGCGGCTCCCTCCCACCCACCCACCCCCCACCCATGCAGCCAGCCACCACCAGCAGCAGCCGCCTGCACACCGCCCGCTTACCCTTCAGCAGGCGGTCGTGGTAGTGGTGCGAGTAAATGCCGATCATGGAGGCGCGGTCGGGCTGCGGAGGCAGCTTCTGCCGCTGCCACCTGGGCGGGGGCGTGAGGGAGGAGGGGGGGAGGGCAGGGGCGCAAGGTGGGGATGACAAGGACAACCAGTGCTGCTGCATGCGTCATGGGGGCCACCAAGGGCACCGAACAGGTGCCACTACACGTTGTTGCCTCAACAGGCCAACACTGTTGTGCCCCGAGACACCAACCCCCCCACAACACAGGCATACCACGACCACGGGCATGTTCCGACGAAACCACGCGAAAACGTGCATGATAAGGTTTGGCAACACGGATACATCGCCCCCCCAGCGGTACATGCCAGCGGTGGAAGCAGCCGGCAGTAGACGTTGTAGGGCGCGAGGAAAGGGGCTAGAGGTGCACGAAAGCGAAGGGAATAAGGGGTCCATGCCCGGGGGCTCCCTCGCGCGTTCCCCGGCCCGCACCTGGTTTGGCGCTGCAGGTCCTTCAGCATCTCATGCGGGGGCGGCAACCGCACTCGCTCCTGGGGGGGGGGTCGAAGACCAGGTACCACACCATAGGAAGCCACAGGTTAGGACAAAGCAATGGGGAGGGGAGAGGGGAGGAGGTGTGGAGCAGGAGGGAGGGGCGGAGAGAGGACGTTAGAGAGAGTAACCAGGCCACAAGTGAGGGCGGAGACAGTCGAGTACGCTACAACTAACACTCCCCCACCAGCCGCTGCCACCCGCACACCTGCAGACACGCCGCCAGCCACTCCGTCTGCAGGAAGCTGGTGAGCGGGTTGTTCTGACTGTTGGCCTGCGGGGCGTTGGAGGGAAGGAGGAGCAGGGCAACATCAGCAGCAGCAGCATTACTCAGCTAACTCGTCCTGTACCGCGACTTGCGGACTTAACAAGCAAGCAAGCTGTGTCCAGCCTCTCTCTTAACAATGTGGGTTCCTTCTTCCTCTTGCTCCTTGCGGTGCCTGCTATTCCCAATACGGTATCCCCTCCCATGCCCCTTCCGCCCCTCCCATGTTCCCATCTCGCGGCTCAGTTGGACTGCCACCCCCTCCCCCCGCTCCCCACCTCCACCCCCCATGCATTCCGGGCGCCCCCCCGGTTCGCACTCCCCACCTCCGCCCCCCCAGCCCCCCCCCAGTCCCTGCTCCCCACCCCCCCAGCCCCCCCCCCGCTCCCCACCTCCGCCCCCACGAAGGCGATGTTGCGCACGAGCGGCGGCAGCACGTGGCGGTAGAGGTACAGCCCGTCCCGCTGCACACCCAGCTTGGACAGGATGTCCGGGTCGATGAAGGAGTAGTCCTTGCGGTGGCCTGGGGGGGCGGGCGGCGGCAGCAGGCAGGGGGGGGGTCAAAGACCATAGCCATACCAAACCTTAGGAAACCACAGGTTAGGGCAAAGCATTGGGGAAAGGAGGCGGCAGCAGGCGGGGCGGGGGATACAGGGGGTAGCGGGGGTTGGTTTGGTTTCCTTCGCGGCAACAGCGCTGGCCATAATACCATACGCATGGACCCGCGGGCCACGACTCCTCATGGCCCCTCCCCAGGCGCGTGTCATGCCGCCCCACTCCTCACCTGTCGCCATGATCACCACGTCTGCGGGAACGAAGGTGCCGCTGCGGAGGATGAGGCCGTCGGGGGCGTACCGCAGGGGCTCGCCTGGGGGGGGGTCGACATGAGAGGAGGCGGGGAGAGGAGAAGGGGAGTGGCAGAGACGGGCGAGTTGGGTGACTGAGAAGGGAAAGGAAAGAACCCCACGTGAGTAGGCATGTACGGCGACCCGTAAAACCAACCCCACCGTGCCCTCACCCTTGCTCACACCCGAGCTCGGCACTTGTCCTTCAATGCTCAAAACCCCGCCCCACCCGGGGCCGCGCAACTTAACCTGCACAGCTTGCATGCTCTGCTCGCCGCCCTCTACCCCGTCCCGCCCTCTAGCCCGTCCCGCCCTCTAGCCCGGCTCGTTAGTTGCCTCGTCAGCTTTCCTTATTTTGGCCCCGTCCCCTACCCCGCCCCCCGGCGGCGGCGTCGGGGGGGTCGAGCTTCGGGCACCGGGAGCTCAGTTCCCCCCTTCATCAGCCCCCAGCCCCTCACCAGCGCCATCACCCCAGCCCCCCAGCGCCCCCACCGGCCACAGCATGAGTAGGGATATGGCATTGGGACTCCAGTTGCTCTCACTCCTCATTTACCCCCTCCCCCCAGTCTGTCGTTCTGGTACATCTCCGGCCCCCCCCGCCCCCCATCTCCCCCCCCCCCGATTACACTCACCCTTGATCGCATGCACGCTCCCCTCCGCCAGGTACTGCGCCCACTTGCCGTCATGAACCAGTCCGCCGCTCAGCAGGTCCTTGTCCAGCGACATGGTGGGCAGCAGGTCGCCCGACAGCTGGTGTTGCCTGATCAGGGAGCGCTCCAGCGTGCGCCAAAACAGGCGCCGCAGCGGCCTGAGGGGTCAGCGGTGCAGGGGGAAGCGGGTTGGCGTAAGAGGATAGGCGGTGGGGAGAAGAAAAGAGTCAGGAGGAAAGCAGTGAGGGGTGGGGCTATGTGTGATGATGAGTTTACGAACTGCATGATGGTGGTCAAATGCATGAGGAAGACATGGAAGCATGTGTGTGCGGACCAGATGGGGGTCCCCGCGGGACACCAGCACCATACCTCAGCACACAAACCCACACACACATCAGCTTCCAGCAATCCCAGTTTGTACGTTTTACCTCGCGGCCAGTATCCGGTAGCACAGCACAACCACAGGGCTCCCATGCCCCCTACTCCCCCCTCCCCCTCTCCCACCCCGCCCCCACCCTACCGTGTGACCCAGCCCCTGCTCCGCCCCAGCAGCCCCTCATCGTAGTACGGGTCCAGCATGGCGGAGCACATGCGGCTGTGCAGCAGCCGGGTGAAGTGCAGCCCGGGCAGCGGGTGACGGGAGATGGGCCAGTGGGCCTGCGGGGGGGGGGGAGAGAAGGGAGGGAGGGAGATTAAGCGGGGGGGGAGAGGTGGGGCCAGGGGTGGGGTGGGGGGATGCAGCAAGCGGCGGGCCGTTGGCTGGCCTGCAGGAAGCGATAGCAAGGGGACAGCAGCAGCAGCGGGAGGAGCAAGCCTGCAAGCGGAAACAGGTAGACATGCATGCATGCATGCCGGCGGGGGGGGGGGCTGTGTGTGATGCGGTGGTCCCAATCAGGATCGCTCCCCCCCTCCCCCCCCACCTGTCTGTACACCACGGTCGCGCCCTGCGCCCCCGCCGCCGCCACCCGCGCCACGGAGTCCACCGCCGTCTTGGTGCCGCCGATCACCACCACGCGGCGACCCGACATCTGCGACACAGGGGGAGGGGGAGGGGGAGGGGGAGGAGGCAAGAGGAAGCAACCAACTGGAGGAGGGTGGCAGTGGCGGGATTGGGGATGCAGCTGGATGGGAGGGAGCAGCAGCCAACCTACGACCCGCTCTTCACCCCCCCTTGCCGGCCCCACCTGACTCCGCCCTCGTACCCCACACCTCCCGGCCCAACCCGAGCCCCACACTGCACCCACCCCCCTGCGTAGCTCCGGGCACCCCGCCCCCACACCCACACCCGCACCCCTTCACATCACACCAACCGCGAAACGCATCCCCATCGCCACCCAACAACGCCCACACCGCACTCCCCCACCTGCCGACTCCTGTGTCACCTGCAGCCGCCCTCCCCTCCGCCTTCCTGGCACCCAGCTAACCCACCCGCCCCTCCCACCCGCCCCCTGCCCCCATGGATTCGGGATTGGGATTCCGATGATGGCATTACCTATATCTCCCCCCTGCCCCCCGCTCCCCCCACCTGTCGTTCCAGCTCCTCCGCCTCCTGCGGCAGGTCCTGCACGTGAAGCACCCGCCCGCGGAACAGCTGCGGACTCTGTGCGGGCCGGGGGGGGGGGGAGGTGGGGGAGGCGAGGGAGTGGGTGGGGAGGCGGTGAGGGGTGCAACCGAGACGAGGGATGGCGTGCTGCGGGCTGTTAGCACTGTTTGGAGAAGGAGGAGGCAGGGGGCGTATCCCCTACTGTCCTGTTGCGGTCCTCGCGCTCCCTCCCTGCCCTCCCCTTCCCCTGCCTCCCGCCCTTGCTACACCCCAACCCGCCTCAAGCGCCCATCCCCCAACCAGCCTCCACGGTTTCCACCACCACCTGCCCACCCACCCATCCACCCCACCCCCCTTCCCCTGTAAGTCTTCATTTTCTGGTAAGTGCATTACACGTACTGGCTTCGCTCTTTCGGGCTGGGCGGGTCGGGCTGGCTCACATGTTGCACCCCATGTTGACGCCTTATCCCTCAGTCAGTTAGTTGTTTCCTCTTTACCCCTTCCCATGGAGATTGTCGTCTGGTTCGAATTCTCATTTAACGCACTGGGACCTCCTCTTTTACCCCCTCCCCCAACCCCAACCCCCCGCACCCCACCTCAATCGCCGGCATGTTGGGCGTGCAGTGCAGCCCTGTGGCCACCACCACAAAGTCCGCCGTGATGCGCTGCTGCAGCACCTCCGCCCGCCGGCCTGAACCCCCTCCACCCCCACCTCCTCCGCCCCCTCCACCACCCCCAACCCCACGCTCCAGGTCATAGAAGCACTGCCACTGCCCAGACAGCCGGTGCAGCCGGGTGACGTGGGCGCGGAAGACGATGTGGCGGTACAGGTCGTTTTTGTGCGCGTAGGCGATGATGTAGCGCAGCAGCGAGCGGCCGCTGGGGTACTCCTCGGGCTCCAGCTCGGGGGGGCAGGCGAAGCCGGGGAGGGCAAAGAAGGCGCGGGGGACTAGGGAGGGGGGAGGGGGAAGGGTGGGAGGGAAGGGTGGTGGGATGGGAAGGGGTGGGGTGGAGGTTAGGGAAGGAACCGAAGGCACAAGGAGGGGGTAGGAGAGTAGGGGTGGGAGGCGGCAGGTGCGATAAGGCAGGGAAGGGGTAGAGGGGGTGGGGAGGGTGTTAGGGGAGGGAGATGTGGAGGTGGGTGCGGAGCGGTGCATCCGTAGGGGCGAGGGGGTTACTTGAGCTTGACGCTAACTGCCAATGGTGAGTGAGGATGTTTTCGATGGGAGTTCTTATTCTTTACAAGAACAAGGGCATTTACACATGCCGCCTAGCAGAGAGCAGACATTGGGTGTTGTTTGTGTCGTGACATGGGATTTACAGGAGGTCAACAAGTTCGGGCGAATGGCATGTCACGGACTTCAAGGGCACGTCTGGAGTTAGTAGCGGTTGAAGTGTGACCTACGGCGTTTTCCTCTCTTAGGAACCTTTGCTGTTGAATTGCATGCATGGTCTTTTGCCACTAACTGGAGTTTTTGTGGCAAGCGTGCGGGCTCATAGAAACCACCAGACGCAAAGAAGGAGCCATACAGCTCACCAACAAAACAGTTATCGGCTTCATAGCATTGCCAACAATGAATACATTTTAACAGCCCGTATGAGGACGCCGGGAGTCATTACGAGTCGACCTTCGCACTAGTTAGTTTCGCCGCCTGTAATAAATGCCCAAGTACCAAACACAAGGCATATGTTTTCGATATCGCACCTTGGACATTGAATGCCGTATAGCGGAGCCATACGCCTCCTACGTCCTCCTCACGCTCAAGGAGTGTCACAGTGTGCCCAAGCCGCAAGAGCGCCGTAGCACATTGCAAGCCGCTAATGCCAGCTCCAATAATGACCGTAGTCGGCATGGGTTCCGCTGCTCACTCAACCGCTGGCTTCAGCACGTCAGGGACCAGTGAACCAATGCCTTGAGGCATAATTACACAACTAAAGCCTATTATCAACACACACTAGGGTTTATGAAAAAGCGACGCAGCTGCCAGCACAAAGTCTTCCCAGGATTATGCATTCAGGTCACGTCTTTGGCCGCATGATGGTGGTCACGTATTATAAATGAGGATCTACTGAGAGTAAGTCGAAGAGACAGTACAGGGACCAATGCTTCAGGTTTTGCACAACACACGCATTCCTTGCACGGCCGGCAGTCCGGCACTACTAATTAGGTGGATACTCATACACACCCTTTGCGCAGGTTTTATAGCAGTCAGTTGGGAAACTATCTACACTTCTATATGATGCACCATACCACCTGACGTTACTGAACACCATTTCGCCCCTCAGTTCTGTTTGGCAAGTCGTCAAGGAGAACGCCCATAGTAGCTAACCTCACTTGGAAGGACGTACAGTTTGTGATATTGGCTGATTGTTTGGCAAATGGCATCGCACCAAAAGGTCCTGGAAAGCGCGACAAGTTTGGAGAGGTTCCTAAACAGATCCGTCATCTTTGTTCAGGGCATTGATCCAAATGCCTCCAAGTCAGAAATCGTTCAGGTGAAGAGGGTATATGGCAACGTCACAGCTTGTACGCGCGCTGGCGCGCACCATACCATGTTTACCTTTGATGGCATTTGAGGGGTTTACTGTCTGTGGTGCCCTTAATGATCATGGCATCCCACTGTAAATAGTAAAAAGCGAGCATCCACGACCGCGCTGGTCATGTTGCCTGAGATGATCTGCACCTGCGCTTGCGGCTCTTCAACTGGCGACTGGCTGTTAGAACAGCTTGACACATCATGTAAAGCGAATAATAACATTGAACCCGACCTGTCTGTTGCTGGCGACCCTCACGATGAAACCCTGTGAATCCCTGCCCAATCCAGGTCCTCAACCAGGCTATTAAGCAACCCCAGCAGGGCGGGATAGACATCCTAACCACCCCCGAGGGGAAGAACCGTGGCACGGCATTCCTGAACTTTTCGAAAAAAGAAGTAGGTGTGTGATAGAGCCATCGTTTGGCCTCCTCCTGTTGCCCCCTCCTGTTGCCTACTGGCCGCGAGTCGGAACGTACTGTGATTGCCGGAAGATGAAGGTCCACAGAAACGTGACCCCACTGCGCCCCGCACCTCACCGCACAGGATGCAAAGACAGCCCTTGAGAAGTGGCGCTTTGGTCTGGAGTTGCGCGGCCGGCCCCTAAAAATACAGTACTCGTCGGACCGGGAGTTTAAGGACGTGTTGCAGAGCCCGTTGGTGAGTGGTGAGGGGGCGGGCGGGGGGTGCGGGAATTTCAGTCTTCAACGGGCGGGGGTGCGGGCGGTGAATTCAACTGAGCCGGCAGGAAACACTGACCGTGGCCGTGGGAAGGCTGGAAGATGCGGGGAGGGGGTGGGACTCCGAGGCAGGACGTGCCTTGATCGCGCGAACGTGGAAAGGGAAGCGGACCGTGGCCCACTGACCCGCCACTGCTGCCGCCGTTGTGCGGCAGGTTGCCCGTTTCAAGGTGCTCATCCGCAACCTGCCGGAGGAGCTGGACCCGCCGGCGTTGTACGACAAGTACTCGGCGTTTGGAGAAATCATACAAGTGAGGCGGGGGGCCTACCTAGAAGCAAGGGCAGGGTCTACCTCCCCACACAGCGGGCTGGGCACCCTAGCCAGCCTGGGGCCCTTGCCTCATGGTGTCATGGAGGCATCTCCAACATCTGGGCCAGCCTCGTAGTCCGTACCTGCCTTGATATCCTGGAAAAACCCCTTTTGTTTCTCCATTAGCGCGCTGTCTGCTCTGTCAAAGTCAACCGCTCATTCCGCATACCGGTACCACAACGGCCGCCGCCGCAAGCACCCACAGCAGTGCAAGACGGCTGGGGGCAGTCCGGCCTCCTTCAAGCCACCTTGTTGTGCCTGCCGTCCATGCTGCACACTGCACACGCGTTCTTGACTCTCTGCACCTGGCGCCGCTCCTCGCCGCCCGCAGGTCCACACCAATCAGGACCACTACGGACAGTACTTTGCCATCATCCAGTACGTGGAGGTGGCCTCCGTGGCCCGGGCCATCCAACACACCAACCGCCAAAGGGGTAAGTGAGCCAGAGCGAGAGCGAGAGTGAGGGACCAGGAACATGCCAACTGCCAACAGCCTGCCTTCTTACCCTCCTTTCCCTCTCCAGCCACACCCCAACCCTGATGTGTAATATCACTCTCTCACTCTCCCTCCTCACTCCCTCCCTCCCGCCCTCTCCGTCCCGGTCACCAGTATACAACAATGTGCTCATGGTGGAGCCCTACAAACCCAACGCGTCGTACGGCCCCATCCCGCGCAACTTTGGCGCCGCTGCAACCCCCAACGGCACCAACGCAACCGGCGCTGCCGCCTCCTCCTCGAGCAGCACCGCTGCTGGTGCTGCTGCCGGCGGCGGCAGCGGCCCTTCCGCTAGGGTCATCGGCGGTCACATCTCCGCCCACCAGGGCATCACCTACGCGGCCCTGCAGCAGCAGCAGGAGCGGGAGCTGCAGGAACAGGAGCAGGAGTACCTAAGCTACAGCGCGGGTAGCGGAGGTGCTGCTGCTGCTGCGGGGGCGACGCAGAGGGCAACGGCGGACGGAACAAGCGGCGGGGGTGCGGCTGCGGCTGCTTCGTCCTCATCTCCGGTATCAGCAACAGCAGCAGCAACAGCAGCAGCGGAGCAGCGGCAGCAGTCCACGGGCAGCGGGATGCTGCCGGTGCCCAGCTTCTACGCCGCACCGCCGGCCAGCCCCCCGGTGCATTCGCTGAGCGGCGCGACGGGCAGCCTGCAGGGCCTGCTGACCGCTGCACTGAGTGAGTGAACTGGGTGGGGGGTCAAAATGGGCTAAACCGTATGAAACCGTGAATGGGCGAAACAATTGGGGAATGAGGCGGCAGGGGGGGACGGGGCGTTGGGGCGGGCAGGCAGGTGGTGTTGAGTGGTCCAGTCCAGAGCGGCGTGCGGCTGCGGCGGTACGGGACCACACGGAGCGTGCGCGATGGAGGGGGCCGGGGGTTTGTAACGCCGGGTTGAAGGCTTAAGAGGCAGTAACGAAAGAAAAGCGTGCTTTCGTCGTCTCCCTCTTTGCACTTTTTGGTCATGCACACTGTCATACACATCACACCCTGTTTCACACCCTGTCTCGCGTTCTGCCGGTAAACTCGCTGCCCGCCCCTCCCACCTCCCTCTGCCTCCCCCTCCCCCTTCCCCTCCCTCTGCCTCCCGCCTCCCGCCTCCCCCTCCCGCTCCCTCTGCCTCCCCCTCCCCCCAGCCCGCGCGCACCTGCTTGAGGAGCTTCTGTGCTGCCCCATCACGCAGGAGCCGCTGGTGGACCCCGTGCTGGCTGCGGATGGTGAGGAGGGGGGGGAGGGGGTTAGTAGGGGTATACATGATCCGCATGAGGCTGGGTAGTTGGGTTGGCGAATGATTGGTGAGGGGGAAGGGAGGGCAGGGGAGGGGGCACTGATACTGATAGCTGTTGCTGGATCGAGGTGGGATTAACAGGCAGCTAGAATCCGAGTCGCAGGGGACTCATTGTCGCTGAAACGCACAGCGCACCAGCCTGCAGCACCGTTGTTCCTGCTCGGCCCCATTTGTTGCCCCATTCGTTGTCCCGAACGCTATCCCAAACACCGCCCTTCCCTCCCAGGCAACACCTACGAGCGTATCGCCATAGAGGCCTGGCTGGCTAACCACGACACCTCACCGCTCACCAACCAGGTGGGGGCGGAGGGGGGGGGTTGTTGATAGCGGCCGTTGAGCCACAGGTCTCCCATGTCGCATCCAAGCAACATGCTGCGATGCCATGCTTTTCCAAAACCTCCGCTTGGCACGGAACCCTCCGCTCGTCGACTCCCTACCCCAGCAATCCCTACCCGCACAACACCCGCCACGCGCCCTCCGCAACCCCCAACAGGTCCTGTCCACCAAGCTCCTCACCCCTAACAACCTGGTCCGCAAGATTGCAGAGGAACTCAAGGGTTCAGGGCCGGCCGGCAGCGGCCTGGACGAGCAAGACGCTGCTGCCGGGAGCTTCGGGGAGGCTGAGGCAGCCCCGGATGTGTTCGCGGCAACGATGGCGCAGCAACAGACAACAACCCTGGTGGCGGTTTCGTCGGATAGCGGGACCGCTGCAGCCCGGGAGGCGGCGGTCGTCAGGGTGGCCGTTCCGATACCTGTACCGACGGCCGCTGCCCCGACAACCGCGCAGCAGCAACAACAGGAACAGCAGCAGCAGCCGGCGGTCACGGCTGAGTCGCAGAGCTACTACACCACCGCTCCTCAGCAGCAGCAATCCCAGCACCCGGTGTTTGGAATCTTCCGACACCATGCATCTCAACAGCAGCAGCAGCAGTTGCAGCCGCATCCTGTGTTGGTTCAGATCCCGCAGCTGCAGCACCAGCAACAGGTGCACTACACGCAGGCCCAGCCGCAGCAGTATCAGTACCAGATACCCGCCGCCAGCATCTACGGGTATCGCCCCATGGGCATGTGAGTGTGAGGGAGCATGCGGCATGCGGGATTTGCTCGCTGGCTCGCTAGCTCTGGTGAAGTAATAACAGGGGGCTTACGTCGTTACGAGGCGAAAACGCGAAGACGAGTTTGTCGTACAGTACACGTATGGGCGCGCACGCAGCGGTTACAGCTTGAGGGCGGAGCAGCAGGATGGGGCTGTGCGCATGCGGTTACGGTTAGATATGTGTTCTTGGTGGTTTGGGGCCTTCGCCTCTTTTGCAGTGTAGGGCTGTAGGCCGTTGCCTGGATAACTGTCTTTACCAGACGGACATTGCTTCTTGTCCCGAATGGAGTTGCGATGGGAGTTGCAAACCAGGGTAACATGCGCGGTTTACGTTAGCCCACCGCGTTTCCCAATGTCCCGTAGTACATGCGGTACGCATATTTCGAACGATAGCACGATGCGGACTTGCGGAGCGCTGTCGCCTCTCGCAGGCAGTGCTGTGTGATTGGAGAGAAGAATCTGCATGGTAGGCTTTGGATGTGTTCTAATAGATTCATCAACGAGCGCCGTACGATGATTCTAGGTGGAGGCTTCCAATTGTGTGGGGAATGCTTACGGCCGCAGGTTTGGGCAGGGGGCATTGTAGGTTACGTGCGCAGGCTTTGCGGTGCCGCCCAGTATTGCTGGTAATAACCGGTAGTATATGTTGCAAGGCGCAGGATGCTTAGGCCGCTAAGCTGACGCGTAACTGGTTGAAGGACGTGTTGCGTCAGGAGTAGTTGTTTTCTCACAATAAAGGACTGCCGGTAGACTTTGTGCGCTCTGGCGGCGAAGGTGGCGCTATGTCCCACGGGTCTGTTGTGCCCCGTACCTCGTCTGGCTTCCAACCTGTTTACCAGACGAGGAGTCTTACGGAGTGCTGCCTAGAAGGTATGCTGATGAGTTGCGGTGCTTCCTACATGACGGTACTTGAACATGACGCCTCCATTGACTACCTCCGCTGGGGCTAGCTGCTAGCATTCTGTAAAAGCCCAACACGACGTTAAGGCTTTATTATGGAGACCCGTCTAGCCTATACGCTACGTGTAACCCAGCATCCACCCGTGCTCTTAAAGGCCTGCCATGTGGCGGAGGTGGGAGACTCCGGTATGCACCGAAGAGTAAATAGGACTGCTAACGTGTGCATAACCAATGCAACGGCATGCATTGCCGCTGGTGACAGTCAGCCTAAGGGGATTAAGGGCCCTGATTAACCGTTGCAACGGCACCGTTAAAAGATGAGGCGACATCACGAAAAGCGAATACAGTGCTTTTGGCAGGATGTTACAACTGTGTTGTGCTGTGCCACGATGTGCTCCCAACCTTTTGCGCACGGAAGGAAGGAACCACAGGGTGTCGCAGAGACCTGTGACTCCTTGAGACGAGTAATCGACAAGCCGGCACTGGGTAGAAGCGTCTAGGTGTAGCGTTGGCTTCGCGTCATAACCGGATATCCGGAAGCCTCCGGAACCGAGTGGAACCGGCGCTAGCGATCGACGGTGTCTCTGGAAGACGTGGAAGTCTGCACGTCTGGAACTTAGGCCCCGAGCGAGCGTATAAAAGCCCAATGGATTCATTTGTCTTTCAAAACAGCAATCCTTACAACATCAAAGAAACTCCACAGCAAGCCTTATTTCACAAGCTTTAGTCAAGCAACCGTTAGAATGGCTCTGTCAACCGTCTTCGCCGACCCTTTCTTCTCCGATATGGATCGCGCTATGAACCGCTTTCTTTCCAACGCATTTGGGGGCGCGCTTGCGAATACCACCTCTGCCAGCGCGCGACCCAGCAATGCCACCGGCCATGTCTTCCCGATGGACATCATCGAGACCGACACCGCGTACCAAATCCACGCCGACGCTCCAGGCATGGCTCCGGAGGATATCAAGGTTGAGTTGCACGAGGGTGTGCTAACGGTCAGCGGCGAACGCAAGGTGTCCCACCAATCCAAGGATGCTAGTGGCAAGGTATGGCGCAGCGAGCGCGGCTCCTACAGCTTCAGCCGCGCCTTCACACTTCCGGAGAACGCCAACGCGGAAGGAGTGGCCGCCAGCATGGACAAGGGCGTGCTCACGGTTACAGTTCCGAAGAAGGAGCGGCCCGCCAAGCCGGAGCCCAAGCGGATTGCGGTTACAGGCGCGTGAGGAGCGGCGGAAGGGAGGGGGCTGAGGATTGGCTAGACGGGAGATCGTGGGGGAGGCGACGGGTAGGCAGGGTGAAATGGTGTTACACACCGGTGCAAGCTAGGTTGTGAAGTTGGTGTGCCAGCAGATGCCATGTTGTTTTTACGCGTGGGGGCGGGCGCTGCACATGTCAACACGACTACAAGGTGCACATTGCTGTAGCTGTTTGGCTTATATCGTAGTGCATGTATCCTAAATGAGGCTTAGCGAAGTACTTGTTGCATTGTGTAAACCTTTTGACAGCGGAATACACGTTGTCATGTGTGATTAGGCTTGGGGTTAGGTCAACATGATCAACTGAGCGAGGCTGTTCTGATTGACGGATGGTAGGCAGCACGGTATCCTGTAACGCCAAACCTACGTATGCGTCACACATATACTGACACACTATTAACAAGTTGCACATTTCCTTCCACCGCAGCAAGCTATAATGTATCATTTTGAGTGTCAACAAAAAATGGGGTTTTGGAGCGCATGTACGACAGGGAGCAGAGCAGTCGCCACCAGGCTTGCGAGTGGACGGTGCTAGACGTTTTGACCTTGGTTAAACAGTTTGCCCTCAGCTGGCCTTTCAGGTCTTTGCCGCTGAGTTTCCGTGCGCAGTTAGGAAGGCGCTGACTTTTGCGTAGTTGCAGACAGTTCTTAAGTATGGCTGCAGCTGTAGGTAGGCGAGCCTTTTGTTAGGCTAAATTAGCAGATATTAACCAAGAGCTAGCAGAGCTAGGTTTGACCGAAGCAGACCGAGCTCAGGTCCGCGAGTACAATTGGGCGGTAGAGCAAGCCGAACAAGCGTATCAGGCAGCCATGGCTCCAGTGGGACTTACCAGGCCTAGCCGTGGCAGCGCGGTAGCAGTTAGCACCTGGCAGGAAGCCCATCAGCGGGCCAATTCAAACAGAAACGCTAAACGGAGGCAGGCTCGCGAGACGCACAGGCGCGGTTATGAGTTGCTATCACGTTACCAGTCTTGGGAACAGCTTCGCAATCAGGGGACAGCTCTGCAAGAAGAATTGGCCGCGCTCCCAGGGCCCAGCAACGCAGCGGCCGGAGCAGCGCCGGCTCACATCCACAACGCCGAAGCAGAGGCACCGGAGGAAATTGACAATGGTGAGAACGGGGCGGAGCAACGGCCAGGAGGGTCCAGGGGCCGGCGGGCAACAGCGGCTCGCGTTCGGGCAGACAGGGGACGGGGGGGCACTCGTGCAGTCCGGGAGGCTTTCCAGGCGACCCCCGGCCGTCAGATAAGCCACCGGCACGCCACCACTGCTTCACCTAACGCGCCTGACCCCGAGACCTTGGGCGTAACTGGTCACCTAGATGCTCTTGCTGAAGATTTCCTTGCCACCCAAGCAACGCCACTGCAGCACACCGGCCCTCCCGCCATGCCCGGTACGGGGTCGCCGGCAATCGCAAGGGCAGCGCCGGCGAGGGACGTGGGTGTGGCACCCAGCGCCGTATCCGTCCCACCGACAGCGGTTGTACGGGCTCTCGATCGCCTTGAGAACGCGGGCTTGAGCGATGCAGCTCGCAAAGTACGGCGCCTCGCGAGCCTGGAGCTGGCAAGACGGGAAATCAGGGAGCCTGTATCCGCTGACGAGGCAGCGGAAGTCTGGAGGACGGTGCTAGAGCGGCAGCTGGCGGCTCTGCAGGACGAAGAAGACAGCGAACAGCACCAGCCTCAGCGCCAGCAACGGCAGCAGCAGCAATTGCCGCAAGACCGGCGGCCGGCAGTCGCCACCCTGCAGAACGACCAACGGCACCCTGCCATAGGGAACGCACGCTGGAGTGCCGGCCTGAACCTACAGGGCCTTCCCGGCAGCAGCAGGCTGCAAGCATTTGGGGCAGCGTCAGCAGGCCTGGGAGGCCTAGGGGGACTGGGCCTCACGCTGGGGGGCAGTGGCGGGGACTTAAACAGCAACTCTTCAGTGCTGGGCCTCGGCCACCTACCCCTCGGCTCAGCACCGCCGTCCGCTCTGGGCCCCCTGGCGGCAACCGTTCAGCGTGAAGGGGCCTGGGCAGACGTGTTCGACCGCATCCCAGGCCTCAGCAGCCTGGTCTCGCTGGCGGACGTCAGCTTCGCATCCCGGGACCAGGCGACCTTCACGCACAAGGCAGACAGTCATCTCCGCTCCCTGCAGCATCTCGCGTCCCAGCTGGAAGCGGCCAAACACTGCGCATCCTCTTCGGAGGAGCTCTCGCTGCTCTTGGCCAAGGCCGCGCAGGTGTGGGAGGAGGCTTTTCGTACACAAGAGGTCCTCCGGCAGGTGCAGAATGCAGCCCGTGTCCTGCCCTTCAAGGACGTCATGGACGTATTCAGCAAGGGCTCTCCCCTCACACAGCAGTTCCTAGCCGCCCTGTCGCAATTTACGGACAGCCAGCGCCAGCACCTCTTCAGGAAGTTCGCCTCAACCGCCGCTCCCGCGGCGGCTTACCCGCCGCCCCCGCCTCTTCCACTCCCGCCGGCCCCGGCACAGCCCCGTGCCCCACGCGACAACGGCTGCTTCTACTGCAAGAGGCCCGGACACAGCTACCGCGGCTGCCGAGAGTTGCGGTCGCTGGAACCTGGGGCCCAAACGGCAGCATTCGCAGAATGCGCCAAGCAGGAGCAGGCAGCCCGCCGGCCGGCTTAGGACGCGGCAGCGTCAGCTGGGGGCGAGGTCGCCCCGGCGCCAACGACGCCCCCCCTCCATCCAGCCGCCGGCAGTACGGCCGGCGGTGGGGCAGCTGACGCAAATACGGCAGGGATGGAGACACCAGAAGGTAAGCGTGTACGCGACCTACGGCGGACTGGGGCCCTGCGCGGGTGACAAGCAATGTGCTGTTGCGTGTGTCCATGTGGCGCGACCCTGCCCGAGGGGAGAAGGGCCTGCCTGCGTCTACCTGCCGTCTAGTCTGTGGTGTACGCGACCTACGGCGGACTGGGGCCCTGCGCGGGTGACAAGCAATGTGCTGTTGCGTGTGTCCATGTGGCGTGACCCTACCCGAGGGGAGAAGGGCCTGCCTGCGTCCACCTGCTGTCTAGTCTGTGGTGTACGCGACCTACGGCGGACTGGGGCCTTGCGCGGGTGACAAGCAATATGCCGTGGCATGCACCGGGGTCGTGTGGCTCTGCCTGAAGGAAGAAGGGCCTGACGGTGTTCGCATGTGGTTCAATCGGTGGTGTACGCGACCTACGGCGAACGGGGGCCCTGCGAGGGTGAACACCCAAAGCGTAACCTTGACCTGTGCCTCATGCAGTTTTGTGGATGCCTGACTCGGCGGCGGAAACGCCGTCGGCCGGCCGCTGGTTCGGCCCAGGGGGCGTGAAGCTTAATACGGCCGCGTGGCAGCGTCACGGCATCGACACGCCTGCGTCCCGTAACGAAGCCAGCTGGACCTTCCACACCACGCCGCCAACCTCGCACCACTTGCGCAACTACCCATCCGTGCGCGAACACAGCGAATGGTACGCCAGCCACATTGACGAGTTACTGCGCCAGGGCCTGGTGGAGGCGTACGACAGCAAGCAGCATGGCCCCCTGCGCAACTTTGCAGCCACTACCAACCCACTGCATGTTGTCAGCAAGGCGGATGGCAACCTGCGCCCGATCATCGACCCTACCGCTTCGGGGGTGAACGACTGCATGACCAAGCTCCCCTGCCCGCTGCCCGACCTCGCCTCAATTCTGGAGCATTTGCCGTTCCAAGGGGCGCTAGGCAAACGGGACCTCGCATCTGGTTTCCACCACATCAAGTGCAGCCCGGAAGCACGCCGGTACATGGCCTTTAGGCATCCCACCACGGAGGCAGTCCTGCGTTGGGTGGTGCTGCCCTTCGGCGCCAGCCAATCGCCCCCAATCTTTGTG